AGAACACGTCCCTGATATGTATGTATTATCTTACAGCTAACGCATCGGCATTAACCCGAGTAAAGGTTGCCATATATGTCCGATCCCTATAGGTTACCACACAAAACGTTAGAAACATTAATGATGGAACAGTTCCCCACAAAGCATCGATGATATTTACGTTTTTTTCTGCAGCATTCTCGTGGTTTTCGTCGTCGTCGTTGTCGCCATCAATAATCCCGGTCGCTGTTTCTTGGCATGTATCAAATAAGTGTGAGATGATTCAGGTAGAGTGGGAAGCGAGCGATCACCGGAGCGATATAAATCCTTTATCTCATTATCTGAAAGAATTCCGTCCCAAACAATCATCGGCTGTGTCTAAGATGAACGAATGCACGGCGCTACAAAAGTAATTGTAGAGTTAACATTATACACAGATAATTCCCTATACCCTCTAAAAAACGGACTTACTGCTCATATTCGAAATCGAGACCACGTTGATTCAGAGTTAGTTTAAGAAGAACAAGGAATAGAAGGAGAATGGAGCAGAAGATATGTGTGAGTGTGGGTGGGGTAGTGGGTCAAGGATTAAATGTCTAGCGGATGGGGTTTGATGGGTAGGTCGGATAAATGGGATGAGTTTATGGATGGATGGATGGCGGTTCTTCTCTTGCTAAATTCCGTTCGCTATGTCGATGGATACACGGGTCGCTCAGGACTTTTAACTTTTTCATTCAACATGACCAGCACGAGTGACGCCTTCACTACACCAGACCGCGATGCCTTCACGCAACTAGTTTATTTGATAAAATGTCAGCATTCTCTTCTGTCTCAACCATCCATCCAGGCGCTCTTTTTGTGAAATGTACTCTAACCTCGCGCTTCCAGAGCACACCGCGATACTGAAATGTCCAAAAGCTCCAATGACAAATCATGACGAGGCCGGCCACGGAGCTGACCAGCAGCAACTTGGCAACACTGTAAGGACGCAGCAGATAATGCAATGGGTAACCATCCATATTGGCCATGGCAATATAGACCAGTCCCCAAGCGCTACCGGCACCCAGCAACGTCCATATCCGATACACGATGATTTCGGTCTTGTACGATTCGAGTTGGCTTGTAAATTCCCACTGTAGCAGGCCCCATGCATGACGTCGCTCAAGTAACAGGGCCCAAAAGAAGGGTGTTGTTGGATCAACGTAGTTGAGTCGTTCGCTGAATACAAAGACGCCCAGTAGCCAGCCGGTCCAGTACAGCGTGGTGCCATAGACGATGCAGTAGCGTTCGATGAGAAGCCATTGGCGCCAATGTGCTATCAGGTGCGTCATGTGAAATACGAGGTTGGAGGCAATGAAAAACGGCGGGAAGGTATGTTCTTTGTTGGTGATCGTCGTCAGGGTATACAGAGATAAGAGGATGATGCAAGAAATCAATGCGTATGTGGCGGGGCTATATGAGATGCGACTACAAATACGCCGTATCGAGATTTTAGTTTCTTTATCTCTCATGCTTCCTTGCCTATCCTTATTTATTTTATGTAACTTACATGATACGTGTGCTTTGTAACAAGGTGGGTAGATCGTCATGTTCAGTACTAGCGTCGTGGTTATCGCCTTCGTCTTTTAGTTGTTCTTCTTCTTCCTCCTCCTCGTCATTTGGAAGCGGCGGAAGCGGTTTTTGTTGTTGCTCGGGGTAATGCTCATGCTGTTGGTGTTGTTGGTATTGCTGTTGATATAAATCGCCAAGCAAGGACGACGTTGACGAAAATGACGGCTTCTGATCGGAGTGGTAGCCTTCGTCGGAAAACGTGGACAGCGCCGACGTTGAAATGGACGAACGGATCGAGTAGCAAAAGGACGGTGGCCGTTCAGAATCTTCTCTCATTCACGGTACTTGAATGGTGGTTGCATTCGAAAGAATGAGAAAACAAAGAGGAAATGTAAACTTTACAAAAAAGTCGAAAGAGCGTTCTTTTCTTTTTTTACTTTTTGGTTTAGAGGAAGCAAAAAAGTTTAGCACGTGAAAAAGAATTGTTATATCCAACATTACTCCCCCAAAAAAATACAAGTCTGTAACTGCTCCTTACGACTTCTTGTGTTGCATGCGAGAGAGAAAGAGGAAGGCCGAGCCGATATGGCAGCATGTTATTTTCATAAAACTTTCTTGTTTCCCATAGCCCGTGTTTTGCGTAACCTTCTCCTTCCATTTGAGCAACATAATGAATATACGCCTCTCTTGCAATTGTCTTCGTTCAAAGGTTCAGTCACTATGGCTACTTGGTGGGAAGGCAAATGGTTTGTTGACATGTAAACAATGGCTTCTGATTTCACGAGGAGCGATTCGCTATCAGTGCATGTCATGCTAGATGCTAGCATGTAGAAGAAGAACTCGCTTTTTCTTGTATGTGTGCGAGCACATCGAACTATGATTAATGAAAAGCTGGCCTTGCCTGTTTGCTCGTCTCCTCTTCTTCCGTCGATCAAAGGCCTCTAGGATTCATGACAGTAGTAGTTTGTTTATAAGTCAAGCTTTTTGTTGATGTTGATCCTAATACTTATTTGTGTGACGGATACAGTATGTATGCACTTAATATATCAAGGAAAGTAAGAAACCCAAATGCTTCTCACGTCTGTTTGTCTTTTGTCCGGTTAAAGGTTGTTTATACTATTGCGACTATGTATTATGTCTACTATGTGGCACTATCTACAGTATGTGCTTTATATACATCTCACGGAGAACAGTTCGGGCCAAGAAAAATGACCATCCCCGATGCTCTTGTTTTTCGTGTTCGTGCCTATCTGTCATGTGCAAAATATTCATTGCGCATCTGAAGATTATGTTACGGACCGACGATACGTATGGCCGCTGAGTATCACTGAAAAGTCTGACTATTATATAACATCGTAACAGTTGAGTAACGATGATAGCACACACTTGCCCGATCCATATGTTCTTATATTGGCACTGTTGTTTCGAAAAGAAAGTTTAAAAAAAGAGAGAAAAGGTGCATGTGATATAGTTTAAAGTAGAGGTTCCGAGCCTCGTGAAAGTTTGTTTGTTATACATAGTAACTTGCTTAGGGCACTATGTATTCAATGTACAGATATCCAAATGTATGTACTTGTGACCATCCATTCCGTTTTTCTATGATGAGAGCTGGTACAGTATGTGATTTACATCAGGATTTGACACACTTGTCAAAAGTACAAATGTGACCTTGGCCTTTCTCTTTGCAATCAGCAGACATACTGTAGCTTGTTCAAGAATGCATAAGAACGAAATGACCAAGCTATGCAGCAACGTGTTGAATGAATACATACTATTGTTTCACAGTGTTTCTTCTGCTGTATACAAAAAGCGGCCACAGCAAGTGTACGCGTAAGAGTACGAACGGCTAACGTGCTCTACAGCTATATTACTGTAGAATTAGAAAGTTCTTGATATTGTAGTAGCAGAAGTAGTATAATATAGTGCTGAAAACACACTGTATACAACTGGAGGCATGTTTCCCTTTGTTAGTAAAATAATAATCAGCTGCTTCTTTAGACCTATTTCTCACTGTGTGATGAGGAATGATTTCTTGCAGAAGAGGTCCAACAGAAGGGTAAAAGGGATATGCTTGAAACAGTAGACTCGTTACTAGAGCAACTTGCCATGGAGTACTGTCATGACTTCTAATGTCGCATTATAAGTATGTTCTTTTCTACATTCATCCAGTATAGCTTAGAATCATCATGATAACAGGTTCAATGTTTTTGCTTACGGGCACAGCAGGGTTGTAGTAATTACGAGACTCTCATTGTTAAATATGTTTACTTGACAAAGAAATTACCGTTAGTGTGGGTATTTTGGTGTTCTCTATTAGTTGACATCATCTATCAACCATCAGCGAAGGAGAAGCTAATTGCCACTGCCGTCATTTTAATGCAGAAATGTGTCGATAACAACACATTTTGCCCTGATCAAAACACGTCATTTTTCAAATAGAACCAGAACTTATTACCAATGATTGAGCTTATATCGTTTTTCCGCTTGCTCCCTCGTGACCGAAAGACACATGTTCCGTCGCCAGGACTACTGCTACTAAATTGATGATCGACATTATTGATTAGGCTAATTATTGCATTTAATCTTTGAGGCAAGCCGCGTCCCAGATAAATTTCTTGATAGGTAAATACTTGCCAAATATTATATTATATTGAAGCCTGCTGATGAATTACAGTCGACGGCTTCTTCTCCCGAGCCAAACATATAACAACAATGACATACATCATGATATCGCAATCATTGTTGCTGTTCACGCACCAGTATATAATCGAAATAGTACAATTAGCAGCTAAAGAAAAGAAATAGGGGTACAGTTTGTAGTATATCCATGTAGTATGGCTTCCATAATCTCTACATGCACTCTCTTTATGCTCGTTTTAGAGTTAAATATAGCATTCCGAAATAAAGAAATGTAAAACAATAAAGTAGGTCACCATCATAGATTCATTACACATATTAATCACGCTTGTGACGGCTTATCACATCATACCGAGAGTTGATGTTACTTAGTTTATAGGAAAGACATTCGTGTTTAGCAAAAAGCATCCATAAATGTCTGTGATAAGAGAGAGGACCGTTTGCTGGAGGTCGGGGCATTGGAGAGGGTAGGATCGAGACTCTATACTTTTGCTTCCTAACAACACATACAGTAGCTAAAGTAGAATTTGTGTACCACCATCTCCATCATCTCATGGCATAATAAATTCCCTTTCTAGACTTTTGAAGGAATCTCGTTGTTGTTTGGGGTGTTGGTCATCGTTGTCTCATCCATCCATCTTTATTCTTTTTGAAGGAGAAGGAAGCAATTTGTTGTCTCTTCCATAAAGAAATTAGTGCTATTCTACAAAAAGAAGATTATACTGACGAACAACACCGCATGGCTCTCTTTTTCTTATTCTTATCTTGCAAAATCCACGACGAAGGATTATAGTGTTGGCGGTTCTTTTCTTTCATTGTTGGGCATATTTCCCACAGCCAACATGGACCGCCATAATCTTTGCGTAACAGTTACGCGTCAGGGAAGAAGGACTCTTGCGTCGCGGCCATCTATCGGGGGCGACAAAAAAAACCGGGGGGAGGGCTTATAATGCCAGGTCCTCTTTGTTGTTTAGCGTCTAATAGTTTTCAAAGCCAGCAACAGAGAAAGAGTCGGGCGGTAATACCAAGTCGTGCACAGTTCGCTTTGGCCACTGCCCTGTTACGCCGACAAACCCGATCCGCCCGTCCAAGCCAAGTTCATTCCGCCTTTCAAAATCATATATAAGAGGGCTCATCGCAACAGCCTTGTTGTCTCATCAACATCATCACATCTTTACTCTGCTCTTTGCTCTTCTTATTCTCCATTACATCTGTCCATCTACTCATACTATTCACTCTTCACCAACAACCAGAATCATGCAATTCAGCAACAAGCTCGTCTTTCTCTTTTACCTTTTGTTGGCATTCGCTGCTTCCAACATGATTATGGCTCTTCCTTTGCATCGTCGCGGTTCGTCTTATTCCGGTGATGGCACTTTTTATGCTGTCGGCTTGGGTTCCTGTGGCCAAACCAACAGCGATAGCGAGATGGTCGCTGCATTGAGCTCGAGCTTGATGGCAGGTGGCGAGAACTGTGGCAAGAAACTCACGGTGACCAGCGATAGTGGATCCGTTACTGTTACTGCTGTCGATACCTGCCCTAGCTGCGCTACTGGTGATGTTGATTTCAGCTCTGCTGCTTTCCAGAAGTTGGGTGATGTTGACGAAGGTCGCATCCCCATCGAATGGTCCTTTGCCTAAAGGGAAGAATGCCTTTCTTGCTCTCTTGTAACTTTTCATCATTCGCGCGCTGGTTTGCGTTATGTAACTACTATAATTACCACTACACTTACTACTACCCCACCCTAAATAGAATTGATTGTACATTCATGGTTTGCTTCACACAACCCTTTCCCTTCAAACCCCTTCAGCTGTTTCTCGATTTCATTGATCTTCTTTGTTTTTTTTTTCAATATATATATATATATAGCACATTCATACTTACATGTTTTTTCCATATCATACCTACAGTTCTCCCCTTTTCTTTCGTCGATTTATCCCTCTTTCTGTTATTTTGTGTAAAGTGCCTCGTCCTCATGCAGGAGTGTATCTTTGCATATAAGTACGCACACACATGAATAAACAGATTTGATGTAGCATTCTCATAATATCCAAGTCATTTTGAGCAATGTCATGGCACAAACACATCGCTTAGTGTGTAGAAATGACGCGTAGCTTTTTGACTCGCTTGGGGGCCCTGCGTACTCTCGAAAAGACTGAAGTCGGATCGTGTGTCTGGAGTACAATGGCGTATTTTTTTTTAGTGCGTTTCAGATTGATCGTGTATTCAATATCAAAAATACCCGTCATCGGATGATAGAAACCAACTGATGTAACTAACGAGTTGCCTATTGACATGTTGCAACATCAGTCTTTGTATTTATTGATGTGCATATTTTGATGGTAACAGAACAGCTACAAGAAAGTGATGTCCTGGTATGTAAACAAAATACAAATGTCATCATTTTCGATTAATCATACAAGATTATCGCATGGCCCCGCCTTATCATATGTGTCTTGTGCGATCGGGATCGCCGGGATTACCATTCTCAGCAAACAAGAATTTTTTTGGGGGACAAGGAAAGAGAGGAGCCTCGGCAACCACGTTGTTTTCATAGTCCACCGCAGTAGTAAATTGATCCAGTTCTTTTGATAGAGACATGCACGTAAATTGAATAACACACTACCAAATATGGTAGCTTATTCGATTAGTCAAATTTTCAGTCTTTTTGATATTGGCTTGGTAAGATTTTTAACCATGGGCGACAGCAACAACAAAGTCAAGATATTTCCTTCCTACCTTGCAAAAGACTCTATCTCATGTTCAGATCATAAGAAAAACCTGGGACTGAGGATGAACAAAGTTTCTAGCTGCGCAATATGCTACGAATTCTTCTTTTTGCTCAAATGTTATATAATTTAATACGGTGTAGAAACGACGATTATGTTGGCACGCAAGCATCCAGGCAGCTTCCTCATCTGTATTTTATCTTTTAATGCTATGATATGTCAGCATCAGCTTATACATGTTTCTAAGAGTTCTGTTATCAATAGTATGTAACAGTATCAGGATCATTAGAATAATTGGATACAGTACCTCAATGAAGCCAAAGCTAGGAAAGCCAAACATAAACACAGTAATCTGTTGAATTGTTGTAATATATATGTAGCAATAACAACGCAATCGATAAAAGAACTGTTTTAGAAGCTCTACCATTGGTAAGAAAGGGCAATAAAATGTATTCTAAGTCCTATGCGCTTCTACCTGGCTTTTGTACATGCTTCATAAATCGCTGCTTTCAGTTGCTCGTCAGTGTTGTTGTGTCAACAAAGTAAGGCTCTTAATTAAGCTGATAATTTCGTATAGATGGAGGAAAAAGCAAAAAATGAAGCATATATATTCACAAGAAAAGAGAAAGGATTTAAAAGTAGGAAATCAAGTTGGCTTTTTGTTTGTGAAAGGAGAGAGGGTCGTTAATGAAGGGAAAAGAATGCATGGATGTGCGATGGACGGAAATGCAAAATGAAGGATTTAAAGGTTGGATCTCATAATTTTGACGACCTTGACCTGAGTGTACTCTTGCAAGGAGTACTTGCCCAACTCTTTGCCGAAACCAGACTGTTTGTATCCGCCAAATGGTGTAGACTGGTCAAACACGTCGAAACAGTTGACCCACATTGTTCCGGTCTTGATTTCGTTGGTCACCGTAACGGCAGTATCCAAGTTGGTGGTGTAGACAGCGCCAGCCAAACCATAGATAGAATCATTGGCCATATCAATGGCCTCTTCGATCGTCTTAAATGTAGCAATTGCTACAACAGGGCCAAAAATTTCTTCTTGCATAATTCTGCCAAGTTCATCCCGTTAATACTTCCGCATTACTACTTTACTTATCTCGTCTTGCTTCCCTTAGCCTAAAAGCAGTGTATTTGACAAACCTCATCTTGTTGTGGCACTTGATGAACACGGTAGGCTCAATATAGTAGCCTTTGTTACCCCATCGCTTGCCGCCATGAGCCACAACAGCGCCTTCCTGCTTGCCAATTTCAATATACTTCAGAATCTTGTCGAATTGACTCTTGTTGATCTGTGGTCCGTGGAAGGTATCTAAACAAATATCAAAGTAGTTAGTAAGTCCGCAACTTTTCATTATGTGGGACATCATCATAATCGTTTGAAATATTACCTTCATCAAAGGGGTCGCCAATCTTGATCATGGCCTTGGTATGCTTGATGAACAGCTCCAAAAACTTATCATGAACAGACTCGTGGACCAAGATGCGCGAACCGGCATTGCAGCTCTGACCGTGATTGTTAAAGATACCGCCACAAGCCCATTCAGCGGCCTTGTCAAGCTCGGCATCAGCACAGACAATCTGAGCAGACTTGCCGCCCAATTCGAGCTGAAGTTTCTTCAAGTTGCTCGTCGACGATGATTCCATAATCTTGCGACCAGTGCCGGTGGAGCCGGTGAACGCCATCTTGGAGACATCAGGGTGGCAAGCCAAAAAGTTACCCGTGGTATGACCATAGCCGGTGATGATGTTCACCACGCCAGCAGGGAAGCCGGCTTCCTTGACAAGAACAGCAAACTTGTATGCGGGCAATGGAGTGACTTCGGATGTCTTCATGACAACTAAGTATGAAAATAAAGTTTGTTCTCGTGAGTTCCACAGTATACACGCACGGATGTTATGCAGGTATATTACTTACTGCAGTTGCCTGCTGCTAAAGCAGGTGCGAACTTCCATGCAGCCATCATCGTAGGGTAGTTCTGCGGAGAAAAGAATAAAGTATCTTAGGAACCATTCTAAACCTCCACACCAGCACTTCCAATAACACTAACCCATGGAATGACTGCACCGACAACACCCAAAGCCTCATGACGAGTATAGCAGAATTTGTCAAAGGTAGTGTCAATGGTCTTGCCGTGGATCTACACAAGGGACGAACCCCAAAAATCAGTTTTTCTTTATTTCGGACATGGATTTCATCTCCCTTATCGTTCTCTGGCTTTTCAACGGATCTTATACCTTATCAGCCCAGCCAGCAAAGTAGCGATAGCAAGCGATTGAGTCAGTGATATCGACATCACGGGCGACAGTGAATGCCTTGCCGTTATCCAATGCATCCAAAGTAGCCAACTCGTCCTTGTCACGTTCCATCAAATCGGCAAGCTTGTTGATCAAGCGAGCCTTGTCGGCAGGTGCCACCTTGCGCCAGGTGTCCTTGAAACATTTGGCAGCAGCAGCAACGGCAGCATCGACGTCTTGCTTGTCCGCTGAATGGACTGAGCAAATGACTTCTTCGGTGGCAGGGTTGATGGTCTCAATCAAAGGACCGTGGCCGGGAACGAACTCGTTGTTGATGAAAAGTTGAGTGTGGACTATATAGCAAAGAAGCGCGTTTTTGCCTTTTTTAGCTTTTTGCTCGTCTGGTGGTCCTGGTGTGCTGTCGTCGTTGTTGTCGTTGTTGCGATAACGGTTCAAGGTAGTAACTAACCTGTGATCTGCTTGCCGTTAGAAAGGCGGACAGTTTGAAGATCAGGCTGAACCATGATGGTATAGTATAATGTGAAAGGAAGAGGACGTGGGAAGAAATAATAAGAGAGGAAGAAAAGAAAAGAAACGCAGCGCAGATCACATACCCTTTATATATCCCACACATGGTCCGTGGTTTCCAACTGCATTAAAGCTTTTTGCCTCTCATCACCACAAGTGCATAATTCTTTAATTTTAATCCTTAATTCCCCAGCAGGCGAGTGTTCTGGTAGGCATTCACCCACCGTTAAACCATGTACACATGGAGTATGCGATCGACCTCTTCATTCATCGTCTGCTGTAAATCCCACCTTGTCATATTTTCTGATAGCTGCTATCACTTCTCAAGTTAAAAAAGATGTGTGAGAGTGAGTTGAGTTAATTACAAATCGACGTCCAAAAAAGGTTTGAGTAGAGGTAAAATTAGCCCGATCTGGGGTGTTGGTGTAACCTAGTAGCTTAAGGGCTTAACAATCGCCTTACCAAAAGATGCCTCGTTTCAATGGTACTAGTGCGCATTATGAACAAGCAGCATTCTGTAGTCACCATATACTACAGTAGTACCCTCAAATGAAAGCCATAAAAAGTCAATGCGTAGCTCGATGCCAATTCGCTTTTGATTGCAAATACCCCGCTTATTCTGGTCCACTCGCTTTCCGTCCTTTCTTATTCTTTTACCCTTTATTTTCTTTCGTGGACTTCCCGAGACACATATGCTGCACTCCACCATATCACTCTTCTTCTGTCTATCTCCAAGTGCAGCATTCGAAATACAATTGAGGTTCAATATTATTATCTTCTTCCCCTTTTCTCTCTTCCAACAATTCTGAAACACTTGATTGAGGAGCGACTTCACCGCGATGCTTGACGGCGGACGATGCTGCAGCACGAGACTGTATATAACACCACATGCACAATAACATGCACAAACAAACCAAACTGTTGTATCACATAGGGCTAGACGAAGACGGCAAAAAGCCCGCGAAATACATTTGCGAAGGGGAAAGGTTTGAAGATGGTGGGTGGTAGATGGTGATGAGTGACCAAGCAACCCTTTTCAGCCACTTTCATATAGAAGCGATAAAGTTGAATAGAGCGCAACTTCATTTGTAACCAATATGTCGGATAAATGGCTCATTTGCCACCAAACATTAACACTTTTGTACAACATTGAACCATTGTTCCCAGCTTTATATTTTTTTTAACCTTTGAGCCACGTTCATTGCTTGTCTACCAGTTTCTTTTTTTCTTTGACGTGATCACTTTTTACTGTTTATGCAATGGGAGTTGACATTTCACTCGTTTTTCGAGTCATCAATTGCATTGTAGCTGCCTTTATGGTAGTCGGTGCCGTGGGCAAGATCATTAGTGGTACATTACTTTATTCTTGCTTTATTCTGACATTGTAATCTTATGACTAATGATTCATCTTGTTATCGTATTATAGGAGGTATAAGAATGAAGAGTGGTTTCTAGTCTTAGTTTAATAGGAAGAAAAACTCAGCATTACATATTTTTCCTTATCCTAGGGTTTCCCAATTTCATCACTGGTATTTTCTGCATGTGAGTTTTGTCTATACTATTTTATCAATTGTATACGAGCGAGCGAAAGAGAGAGACTGATCTGTGCGTGATACGGATTCTATAAAGTATCTTTGGCATTGTTACGGCCGTATTCGAATTTCGATTGCCTGCGCAAGTTACCCAGTATGCTTCATTTATGTTCTCGTTCCTTGGCCGTGGTTTATGTAAGTTTTAATCTGCTGCTGCTATTCCTATTGCGGGGTAGGGGAGGATATAGAAGTGATAAAGGTCTAGGGGAGATACTATGATGGCGTACGCCTAACAAAAACGAATATGTGCTAATCACTTTTACGTAGTTTACATTTTGTAAGTGCTTTTTCTACCTTTTGACATGTTTGTTTCTTTTCTGTAGTACACACGCACGCATAATAGTAAATGCTCATGTGATGTATTTGATAGTATCGGTTGCATTACCTTGAACTACGAGGCACTCACCATTGCTTCAGGTGTCATTATCATCGTGGTTGGTGTCGCATACGTGGTTCTACACTTTGTCCCTGGTATTCAGGCACCCATCAATATGCAAAAGTCGGCATTTGAAGAATCGCTCGGATACTCGACACGCCCAACGGATGAGGGTGGTGTTAATCCATCCGGTGCTTCCTATAACGCTGGCTCATATCCCACCAAGACCTATGTCTCTGATGGTCCTACTGTATAAGCATCGATCCCATCTCTTCTTGCCCTGTCCTCGATGGCCACCATTTTCAAACTCTTCTTGACATATTCTTATCCATTTCAACCCCTATTATTATCCTTGTACCCCCGCAACCATTGTAATAGTAACCACCACTCACACCCACACCTCTGTCCTTACTCACATCTGCATTTTTGGTCGTGGACAATAACACCTTTTTATCAAAGTATTTAAAACCATAATATAAAGAAAGAACATTATATAGATGAATGCCTCTTTCCTTAATCCCCAACCATTTTACGCAGTCTCGTCCAGATTGCCACCAAAGACACCTTTGCGATAATGTTCACGTTGTTTTCTCAACCATGACCGGTATTCAGCTACCGAGTTGATCTTTTCGCCATAGTAGTCAGGAACGGGGTTACGGATCGAATTGAGACGCGCACTTGATCGATTTCGTTTAACATGTTCATAGAATGCCTTATCACGCTCATCCATTGCCGCCACGTATTTTCGATTCATGCATTTAAATCCCACATCGCCTAGCACTGGTCCCATCAAGTATCCACAAAATCCCTATGTAATACGCAGTGGTAGATTGGTCATTATATATATAAGCGTTATATGTACGATATCGTGCCTTTCTCTCTCGTATCATCGAATCGTCGGTTCCACCGACAATAGTCAATACACACTTACAGCGCCGATAGTTGCTACGCCAGCCGCCATCAATGGATCCAAGCCCATAAACGTCGAAAACGGGTCGATTACAAGCTGCATAAAATATGCGCCCGTGCCGATCATTGGTACCACCGTGCTTGGAAAGTACGAGACTATTTCATACTTGCGCCTCTTGGACCGTAATTCAAAATAAGCATCCCATGTTGGAATGAGCGTTTCGTTGTCACTCTTGCCGCTAGTAGTAGTGGTTGCCATTGAACGGCTCGTTGCTGCCATTGGTGAAGTTGATCGATGTACAAGTTGTTGGCTTGCATGAACGAGCCTGGAAGACAGCACGAGTGAAGACATGAGTTAATATGTGCGTGTGTGTAAATGAACGAGAAAAAGAGTAAAAGAGAAAGGAACGCCGTGGGTAATTCGTATGGTACACGTACACGTTCCACTAAATTTTATGCCGCTCGCTCTTATAGACATGACGCTTTAATGGCTGCTGTGTGAGAAATGCATAGTCGCAACTCCTCTTCTGACTTACTGCGCGAAATTCTTTGATATCCTGCTGGCAAACAATCATTATTCGACACACACAGCAGTTGGAGATGTTTTTAGCACTAATAGCTTGCATAAGGAAGTGCTATAAAATCGGTAGAATGATTTTAAAAGTCGACGGACTAGAAGACATCATCAAATTAATATTTAGTTAACAAGTAAGAGTACAGAATCTATGCCACAAAAAACGCTATGCCGGTTTTATCATAGCGACACAAACAGCAAACAACATCATTACCATAAAGTCGCGGCGGAAGGCTGACAGTGGGAAGAACAACGCCATTGTGGAATGAAATCAAACAGTACCTAACAGTCATGTATAGCCTCATCAAATACACATATGACAAGCAATGATCACTACATCATATTGATGCACGCGATACTCTGGTGTAGTGTTGTCACCAGGATATCTGGTAGCATAGATATTGTCTTGCACCAGACGGGTCCTGATATGATATAGAACACACATACTACGGCAACTTTTCGTCGTCTACATGATCCAATTATTTTTTGTTATTGTAACAGCAACGTGAATCTGTATCAGTCACATCATTGGTGGACCATGTCATAATCCGCAAATATTGTCTTGGTCACTATTTTCGCTGTTGTAGTAGTTGTTGTTGTTGTTGTTCAGGAGAAGACAAGATCACTGAAAAAAATGACGACAATTCAATCCATATTCAACCAGTTAACATCCTCTTTTGATACAGAGTCATAGATTACACCAAGTATGAGTCTATACGTAGCAGTGACAATGTCTGTCGCTGGTAGCATAACAACGTCCAAACAACAACAAGCTGCATGGTCATTGTAATTTTTATATTCATAATAGTCGTCACCACCAAAATCTTTAGCAACGGTAGTGCAGGATTAGGGTATACAGTAACGATCTGGATGACAAGAAGAGGAAGGGACTCAAAAATTCTTTTTCCGATGCCACAGAGGCGGCTTTGAGTTTCCACAACATAGCATAGTTATTGTGCTACGTATATCGCACTGTATGTTATTCAGTTTGTAATGTATGGTATGCACACAAAAAACGTACAACATATATATCATCATCCTACCAAAAACCAAGCTGCACAGAGATTAGATTTGTTTCCATTTTCTAGTGCAGATCAACTTCTTGATCCGCTCGCTAGAGTTGTCAGAACAACTAGCGTCTTTGTGGATCGGTCGAGGCCGTTTGTACTACACTTGTCGTAGTATTAAAAACATATGTTTCCTTTACTACTTGTTCCTGGCTTGTAGCTCTCCTGATAACTACATAGATCATGTCGCAGCCGGCGACTGTCGAACTGAAGAATTGTTAGTAACGCAGAAGAAGAAGGGAGTGCAGGTGAAATCTACACTAGTGTATGTAATGAAAAGAACCAATATTATCGGCAGCGATGTTATAAAGGAATAGGCTTATCACCGAGATGCTGGTTTATATGAACTACATCGTGCTTGGCACCAAAGGTGTCAGCTTCCTGAAACGGGATTCCACTCCGAAAAGTGAGCGGGCACATTCGCCCCTCTTTTTCCTCTCTTTTGTAAAATTATATAAAGCGGTGTTGTGTGCTGTTGTTACTGAAGTACTGTATCGTGGTGTGTGTACGGGTCTAAACAATATATTATATATCCAACAAACTATAAAATGAGTTTCTTAAGTTTTGGGTAAATCATTCTTACCATATTTCTATACCAACGTTAAGGAGCTTGTCGAAGGGGATCTCTAAACACTTTGTAATTTCATTTTATTAAAACAGGCTCGGTAGTAAACGGAAGCAAGCCAACAAGACGAAATCCTCATCATCCACAACGTCATTACAATCAAAACCACTCTTTCTATGTTACCCGTACGTGACCCACATGCTCGTCAAGGGCAATTTCAAGACCATCATTGAACTACCAAAATATGTGGATGCCAACGAATGGCTTGCTTTCAACAGTACGTTTTTTATTTCTACCTTTTTCTCTTTACTTTTATATTGTAAAAAGCTATGCGTGAGTGTAGAAAAAACACTAAATAGGGGGGTGGGGGTGGGGATGCATGGTGGAAACGAGAAAAGTTGATATGTATGTAACGTTTATGCTTATAATAACCATCCATTATAGCATTTGAATTCTTCAACTTGATCAACTTGTTCTACGGATCAATTACGGATTTCTGTTCGTCACAAACATGCCCAACGATGTCTGCTGGGCCTGGGTAAGTTGATAAATCGGTTATTGGGATCATTACACAGCAAAAAGGGAGGAGACGGTCGCATTAATAGCATTTTATAAATTTATAGTGTCGAGTACCCATGGTCCGATGCACAATCCAAAAAAATCAAACTGCCTGCACCGCAATACATTGATTATATGGCAACAAGCATACAAAACATGTTACATGACGAAACTATATTCCCCACCAAAGCAGGTAAGGAAGAGAACCAGAAGAAGAGCGTATACACATGTAGCTGAACATTATCACAATAGGCTGTGAATTCCCTCGCGAGTTCCCAACCATCATCAAACGTATCTTTGGCCAACTCTTTCGGCTTTTCGCGCATATTTATCACCACCATTACGACAAGATCCTCTCGCTAAACCAAGAACCACACTTCAATTCATTGTTTGCACATTTCATATCGTTTGCACGCGAATTCAACTTGCTGGATAAGAAAGAAATACAACCCTTGCAGGAATTGGTCGATATCATGATTAGAAACGGCGTGATATCCTGAGTAATATCAATAAAAAGGGACTTTCTTTTTCTTCCAAATTGATTATTATTTATTTGCGCATTATCCAAAAAAAAGGAATGTTATGAATGGGTAACGAGGGAGGTGGTGCTAGTTTGTAAATGCGAGTGTACGTAAGTCTTGCAGAGTTGCTATTTTTGACAAAAATGGGGTTAAAGTAACTATGGCGGCTGTTTTTATTTTCTTTGTATTTGCTGGTGGCGGGTGTAAGCATTATTCTTTTCTCCCCTCTACCAAGGCGTCCAGGACCAGGTAATTCGGCTTTTGTTGCTGTTTTTGACAACTGGAGAAGGAGGCGGAGAAGAAAAGCTTCGATTGCTAAAATGGTGACGACGTTGAGGAGAAGAAGAGGAAGTTCGCTGGTGCTGTTCCTTGTATCCGGGGGCTTCTTTGAACGCCACAACAGCCTTTAATCCTGCTGCAACCAACATGTACACGGCTTCAGATACAAGTTCATGCAGCCGGTACTCTTCGTCTGCCTGCAAAAGCATTTTCAGACATTCGACTCCGAAATCTTGGACTCGTTCAACAACATGATATTGGCTATCGAACCAAATCAAGAATTGGATAAAATAGCCAAACAAAAAGCAAAAGATATCTAGATAGCCATCCATTCAGGTACGCCATTGTATGTATGTATGTTTGTATGCAATATATATAAGTCAGTCAGTCAGCCAGTGCGTCTCTCTATATTAGTACTTGGATACCTAGAAGTGATAGGAGTATGTACCTGGCAATGGGGATTGCTTGATAAGGATGGCCATAGTGACAGTCATCTGAACAACGAATTGACCAAACCGCTTGAACCGGTTCAGTGGATCTCTAGAGCTATTGCCCCTTCTTTTGCTGCTACGTCGGCTAAGATCCTCTTCTTCCTGATACACATGCTCATAACGTGTCTCGGCATGACTGCTGATATTGCTGATGGTGCTAATGGTTGTCGTGATCCGGGAAAAGATATATGACTGCAGAGACCCTTTGGTCTGGATCGTTTCAATGGTGCCATCGACATCGTCGCTGTTGTTGTTATTGTTGTTGTGCTGACTTGCAAGGTTCAGGATCCCCACTCGTTCCTCGACACTGTTGTTGTAATTATTTTTAGGGAGGAAGAGGAGTAAACATAAAGAAAGTTTAAATATCGTGGCTTACACATTCACGCTCTCTCATATACTACTACTACTAATAGTAGCAGTAATGCTACTCCATGGAGGGGAAGGGTTAAAAATAAAAGAGAGAGGTGCTTTTGTTGGGGGGCTAACCGAAGGAGTAACCAAGAGAGAGAGAGCATAATTACCTTAATAATTTCTCGCGAAGAGCCAGTTTGGTCTTTGGATCCGTTTTATCTATCAAACCCCATAATCCACCAAGGTATCAATATTGCTGGTGCCTTTTTCTTTTCGTCACCCACTATTTGATAATGTGGGGAATCTCAATAGGGAGAGTTTGTAAAGACACGTTACTTGGTAAGGCCATAAGGATCTTGTCGAGGCCTGTCAGGTAGATATCCAGCGCCACAGCCTCGTTGCCCCCATCGTATTCGTCTGCGGCGATCGAAACCAGCTTGAGTCCCTGAGATATACTACGTCGATCCAGCTGCTGCACCACCAGTTGTTTACTGTTTGCATTACTGTTGTTATTATTACTGCTGCTAGTCATATAATCGTCATCCTTGATTCTATCGGCTAATGCATTCATATCCGAAGTCCAAGATGTGCTAGGTGTTGGTGACGGGCTTTGCATCATCATTGCTTCATACGACGGTGGTGGAGACGATACTGCCATGGACATATTGTTGGTTTGAGGATAGTGCGGATGATGCGGATGATGAGGATGATAATACTCGGCACTGCTACGGTGCTGCTGTTGTTGTTGTTGCTGATGATAGTTATTGCCCGCCATGCCGCTGCTACTGCCTGTTGGAAGGGACTGTCGTTTTGAGCGAGATCCAAGAAAAGGCATGTCGTCGATTCGGTTAGCAGAGTGCTGGAGAATCGTAGATACGAAAGAGGACATTGGGTGAAAAAGAGGAGTGGAATAGAAGAGAAAAGAAGGATGGGTCTAGGAAACGGTACGAGAGAAAAGAAAGAGAAGGGATGAGAGAGAAGGGAAAGGAGAAATAGGGAAAGAAAGAAAATTACGGGTACTCCCACACACCCGGGCGGACCCCACACGCACAAGGTTGATGCCAGCAACATCCCCCAACCCCCGCCTGATCCAAGCGCTGGGTCTCTTACTTTCATGCACGACCCCCACCCATAATTCATCTATCATTGTTTGTTTGTTTGTTAATCATTGATTTCTATACACAAAAAGACTGTTTTATTACATTTGAGGTTCTTCTTTTCTTTTAATTACAAAAACAAAAGAGATTACATTAAAAACACAAGTGGGAGAGAGGGTTGCAAAGAAGAAGAAATAATAGAAAGGAGCTTAATTTATGATTCTTTTGGAGAGTCTACTCGTCGTCTTCATCGCCAAACGTGACAACAGGTCCAACTTGCCATAACTCTGCGTCTTCGTCCGTAGCTTGTTCATCTTCTCCACCATACAACTGTGCTACGCGTTGCTGTTCCTGGTGGGCCAACTTGCTTAATACACGACGGTGGTAGTCTGAGATCTGCTTCTGCGTAGTGGCATCGACCGACTTGAGGTAGGCTTCATAGATGTGCTCGGCAGCGTTCAATTGGAGTGTGTACACCAGTGCGCGTTCGGCTGTCAGCTTGACAGGAATGTTGCGGTCACGCACACAGACCATCATAGGAGGTATCAGCTTGTTTAAATAGGGTTCCACCAACTAAAAGTAGTATATCACCAACGTCATGGGTGAGTTTTGTGCTGCAAACAAGAGAGATCCCCATCCACTCCATCTATAACAGAACTTACATAAGGATGCTTGCGGGCCACGCCACGCAAAATCACTAGAGCAACACGCTTACGCTCGCCTACACCAGCACCGGTACTGCTAATGACATCTGCGAGTGCAGGAACGAGTTTCTGGATGATGTCTTCGTTTTGATAGTATTCGGTCATCAAAAACTTGCCAGCAGCCGTGATGGCCGCTTCAGGCACGTCATTCTTGTCTGTCTGCATGGCGTCAATGATGAAGTCGACTACTTGGTCGACCACACCCAAGTCTTCCAACAGAGTGGGCGCGTCAATCAGCAACGAGTTGATAGATAATACGGCACCATACTGAGGAGCAGCGCTCGACAAGATATGTTCATGGACAATCGGTTCAGCATCTTGTACTGACATGGCCTTGCACAAACTGCCCAACAAACGTGCAGCAGAGACCATCATGCCGGGTTCGGCTTGATCGGCCAGACCTTCGGCAATCACCGACATGACACCGCGCTTGGACACTTCGCTCATGTCGTTGACTGTCTTTGCAACAACCGTCTGCAAGGCATCCATCATCGTTTCCTTGATAGCTGGTTCGCTCGTACGAATGCCGGATACCAATTCGCTCACCAATGGGTCCACACGCGACTGCAAGGTGATCAAAATGCCCAGAGCAGATGCTGCGCGCGATCGCACAATTGCGCTGGTGGGATCGCTCAGTGACTTGATAAAGGTGCGCTGTAGTTGAGGCAAGAACGGCTTGAGGTGCATGGGTACCTTAGCCAACAACAAGCTATTGATAACAATACGAATAAGTTAGTTCTGGATATTTTATGCATAGGACAAAAGTGATTCACTTGGGGTTGTACCTGAGGGTTTGGAGGATAGCCGCCTTGACTTGAGGGGGATAGCGATCGCCAACGATACGAATCAAAGGACCAGTGATCTGGGTAACGAATGGCTTCAACGCGTCCGCAGATGTACGGTTTAACAAATCGCCCACACCAAGAGCAGCCTGTTCACGCGTCTGTGAGCTACCGTACATCAAGCCTTGCAAGAAGATGGGGAGAATAGGGCTGATGCCCTTGGGCAAGCAGAAGCCAGGAACATCAGCGCCAGGAACACCGACACTGCGCACGGCTTGACGGACAGGGTTCACGAGTTCTTCATACTCGTCCTTCTTGACCGATTTGGTCAAGGCATTCAATGCCTGCCATGCCGCACGGACCACGTCGCTGGAATAGTCGCTCAACAACGGTACCAAAGTGCCGATCCAATCAGAGACATATTGCGAAGCATCGAGCTTGGTATCCGTGTATAATGTGTTGACGATATCGCATGCCACTGCACGCTTATCGGCCTTGTCGCTGCGAACATAGTCTTGAAGCGTCGAGATCAGCGTGTGCATACCATCGTCTTCATCCAACGAGATAAGCAATGCCTCGGTCGTGTTGGCGAGTTCCTTTTGCACTTCCTCGTCCTTCTCGACCATGCGCGACTCAACAATGGCAGACAAGATCGTGGTAAGACGTCGGTTCAATGCTGAGCCAGCCACAGTGACAAGCGATGCCAGGGCACGTGCGTTGAAAGCAGTGATGGGAACAGTGACAAGCGTAGGGATGAGTACAGGGAAGACCACGTTGGATCGAACAGCCATAATTTCCTTGAGTGCCGACAGAGCATAGACAGATGATTCGGTCGAGGATTGGAGCTGGTGAAGCAAAGCGGGCAAAATTTCATCAATGGCACGCGAGCCGACGTTCTGGTGCAATGTGTCAAATGCCTGTGCAGCAGATTCACGGACTTCTTCAGAAGGATCGCACAGGGCCTTGCGGATAGCAGGAATAATCTGGTCAGCAAAGTCGAGGATTTGCACCTTGCCAGCAGTGATCATGATCTCGCTGAACGCAATAGTGACACCCTGGCGTGTATCTTCGTCGGCTGAACTCATACCATCTGTCAAGATGGGCAAGATCTCGGCCAGAACACCTTCGCCCAATTTCTGCACCAGTTCGCCCAAAGTGCGAGCAGCCACCGTGCGTTGTTCGTAGCTTGCACTGGCCAAATTTTTGATGATCATCGACATCATAACAGACAGAATCTCCTTGAGAGTGCGAGGAGTATTAGACACCAGAGCCTTCCAGACGTGAAGCGAGGCTTGACGGACGAGACCAGAAGCTATTTTTTATAGATAAAACGTGAGTAAACAGAATGTTGCTTCGTTTCCATAGAAGAAAGTTTGAAGAAAAGAGATGCTTACTGTCTTGACGGATAATGTAGAGAGCAGCCAAGATACGATCGCGTCGTTCCTTGCCCAAAATATCCACAAGCTGCTTCTTGCCTTCACCTGCGCCCTCATAGCCCTCATCGTCGTCTTCCTTGATTTCATCCTCATTACCGAGGGAGTGCAGAGCATTCTTAGGGTTGGTGGTACCGGTGATACGGAACAGCAAGTCACCGACCAGCTGAACAGAGCTCTGACGAATACGCCAGTTGTCATCAAACAAGCCCTTTTCAAGCTCAGGCAACAGCAGATCGACAGCCTTGGTAGCATAGTTGATGACAATCATGCGGCCAGCACGCAGGGATGCGTCGCGCACAAACTCGGACTCGTCGGCAAGACCCATCAAGATAGGAGGAATGATACGGCCCAAGTAAGGCTGGAAGCGACCACCGAATGTAGCAGGCAAGTAAATGAGCAAGGAAATGAAACCTTCGCGCACATAAGGACGAGGGCTGTCGGCATTTGCAATGATTTCGGGCAACAGGCCATCCATACGCTCCAAACCAAGACCAGCAAGCACTTCGGAAAGACCTTGGGCAGCACCTTGTCTGTCAACACCGCCAGAGTCGCTCTTGAGCGTATCCAAAAGTTCCACAACCAGGTCAGGGAAGTTGTCTTCGCCCAGCTTCTCGACAAGACCACCCAATGCTTTAGCGGCAGTACCACGGGCTTCGGGAACAGGGTCGACAAGGACTTGCTTGACACCGGGAAGAAGGACAGGCAAGTATGGGACCAAGTCGCGCTGGTCAGTGAGCGAAGCCATGTTGCCGACGATCTGAGTAGCCTTGGTCTTAACTTCGGTACCACGTTCACGCAGACCACGGTTCAGAATAGGCATCACCAGGGCAAGCGATGGTGGATCGATGTAGTGGACAAAGGAGGTCTGCAACAGAGAAGTCAAAGCCTTCATTGTCTTGCGGTTAGGATCGCTCAAGGCATCCAACAAGACTGGAACCAGCTGTTGGATTTCTGGATTGCTGATGACTTCACCAAAGAGCTGGAGCGAGCGGTTAGCAGCAGCCTGCACTTGCGAGTGAGTATCGGCCAAGACTTCGGTGATGCGAGGAATAATGTTGGGCAACGAGACGGACAGCTGCTTGGGAGCACAGTAAGCGGTAGCACCCAGGAGCTCGACGGATGCCTTCTTGGTACGCCATTGGCGTTCTTCAAGACCTTCCAGAATCGAGGGCAAGATAAGCTTGACACAGTGACCGCTGATCTTACTCATGATCATACGTGCTGCGTCCGAGGCAGCTTCACGGACATCCATATTGGCATCACTAAAGCAGACCAGGAGCAACGGCACAATCTGGATAATGTAAGGTTCGAATAGACGACCCAGCATCGCTGAAAGGGTCTCAAAGGCAAAGAGGGCGCCTTGTCTGTGCTCGTATTTCTTCTTGCTCTCGATAGCATCCTTGAGTGTGGCCATAACATTGCATTCCTTCAAGGCAGTGATACCACGGCCCTTGACCACACCAGCCAAACCATAAGCAGCACCGCGACGATGGGCATACCGTTCGCCATTGAACATCTTTTCGGTCAACGTGTCAATAATCTGCGGCACATTCTCCTTGATCTTTTTGATGAGGGGAGGTAAGCATTCAGCAACAGCGCTTTGCACGACTTCTGAAGGCGTATCGAGCGTGGCAATAAGCTTATCGACAGCCATTTGCACCTTGGGATCGCCCTGGTCCAAAAAGCCAGCAGCACCACCGTACAGAATGACAACCGATTGGCGAATATAATCGTGTGTTTCCGTATTGGCAGCCTGTGTGTTCAAGTAACCTTCAAAGGTAGCGAGCAGATCTTGGGCACCTTCCTTGCCATAGGCGTTGACAGATGCCAGACCAGCTTCAAGCATCTGCTTGCGCACAGCTTCGTTGCGGTCACCCAGAGCTTCATCTTGGATCAAAAATGTGCATACACGGGGCACGTTTTCCAGACCCACGTACGGAGCACCTTCCTTGAGTGCAAGTGCTAAACCAATACGGGACTCCCATGGATCTTTGCGATCCACAGTCTCAGGAATCACCATACCGAAACGATCGTATTCGGGGTCCAAAGATTTGGCCTATCCATTGTTGAATTTGGGTCTAAATTAAGAGAGGACTAATACACACACCTTTTCATTCATTTTCACGAGAAATACGATACCTTTTCCTTATACAAGGCATAGATTGCGTTCAAAGTCTCAGGAACAGTATCTGGGAATTCCTCCATGGCGTCAGCGATAGCCTTGCTTGCTGCAGTGCGAATATAGTTGGACTCAGACACTAATCGACATTCAAGCTTTTTAGTAAATAAACACGTAAACCATCTTGACAGTATCTATACTTTACCAGCATATTCAAGTAGCTGATTTTTGTAAGTCGGCTCAACATCCATGGCATACTCAGTCCAGAGCGTCTCTGCCAACTCTGCATTTTGCTCGTTAGCATCATGCGAAGCCAAGAACAGTTGTGGAGAATAGTCGATATCCGTGAGATCCAGCAGATCCAAAGCACTCAGAGCAGCGTTACGCACCAACAATTCTTCCGACAAAAGACCTTGCAACAAAGTATTGATTTCCTCGCTGTTGATATTCTCCTCATCCTCGCCAATATCAGCCGCATTCATAGACTCGCAGAGTTCAATCAAAGAGGTCTTGGCGCTCTTGGTGCACTGAGGATACTCTTTGATGCTGTACAACAAAGTAGCGATCATATCCTTTTTGGGCATCACAGGAGAAGATCCACCACGCGAGCAATGGAAACCAATAATGTCGACGGCCATGACAACCTGTTCGAGCACAGCTTCATTATCAGCACCGCCGGACACGCCAATACCACCTTGATAAATGATTTGTTGCAAGACAGGGAAGCAGTAGCCAAACGAAGCTGGATCCAAGGGTCGTGATTCAGTGACAAAGCGCAAACGATACAACACTCGACCTACAAGATCGGCGAGGGGTTCGTCGAGCCAACGCGATGGAATCGAGGCAATCTTGTTGGCGCGTAAAGTGGCCAAGGCAATAGCGTATCGGATTGAATAGATATCATCGGCAATACAGTCGCCCAGTTCCAAAAAGGTGTCAACAATGTTTTCACCGACAAGGAGTCCACCGTGCGCTTTAGCAATAGCAAGTAGTGTGCTGACCAACGTAACAAGACTTCCGGTCAGATCAAGACGGTTGCCAGCAACCAACGCATGAACAATATCCAAGCCCAAGGAAAGCTGATGATACACAGCTTGAACATGAGCTCTGACTTCGGCTTCCTTTTTGCGCTGAGCATTGACAGCTGCTTGTTCTTCCTTAGTAAGCTTTTTCACAGGAGCAGCACCCTTCTTTTTGGCCAACTCGGCACGAAGTTCTTCTTCCCACTTGTCATCATCAAAGCCCTTTCGGTTGCGGTTTCCGGTCACTGCCTTGTTGTTCTTGTTCTTACTCAAGACTGCAAAAGCAATCGTTAGCTTTTTCTGCTTGATTTGAAAACGCTTTTTCTACCTTCCACCCAACAAATATGCAATTACCATCAACATAGACCTGGTCTTCAGGAGTCTGCCAGATGCCAAATTCGGTCTCATCAATACCATCCATCAACTTGGTATCCAAATTCTCGCGTGCCAAGTCGACAAACAAGGAGATCATTTCTGGTCGGATAAACACGAGCGTGGAGATAGCAGAGCATGCTGCTTGGTAGAATAGCTCGGACTAGAAAAAAGCCATAATAAGTAACCATAGCAGTATCTGGCTGGACATGTATCATACTTGTAGATAGCAGAGACAGCAACAAACCTTTTCTTTTGAAGTAAATGTATCCTTCAACAGGTTGATGATTTTGGATTCTTGGTTTTCCACCAACTTGCCTGGGTTAACACCAGTGCGCTGCACCAGCGTGATCCAGTTGTACTTGTCAGTAGGCGAAGCTTCATAAACAAGTATTAGTATCTGTGCTGCGCAGTCCCATTATGCCTTTAGATCTCTTCTCTACGACGATGATATGGAAAACATACCAATATACTTGTGGTGGGCCAAGATCATCAATTCGACGAGCTCCTTCTCCTGTAAATCCTCGCCAAAGTCCTTGTCAAAGGCGGTGATAGCATTCAAAACTCCTGCGGTGCGATAAGAAGCGATATCCTCACGGTAGTTATCAGTGCTCTTTGCAATCATCGCTGTCGATTCTTTGGTGTTGTTTTCCAACTATTGAAGATCCACTACGTGTGAGTTATCTCACCTTTGCTAAGAAACAATAATTCACTTGATTACTTACATCAAGTAGCCACTGAGACAAAGCAGGCTTCATAAACGCACCGAGTTTGACGGCATCGGACTTGGCCAAAGCAGCTGTCTCTTCATATGCAGCTCTACGAACAGTGTGTTCAGGATGGCTAGACAAGGTCCAGATCAAAGCTTGAGCAGCGAGCACACCAGAACCGGTCTTTTCCAAGGAAGCCTGGGACTCATTAGCAAACACGCCGGCCAATGCACGTACAAACCAAAGACCTTCGCCGGGAGTGACAGCCTTGGTATAGATACGATCCCACAGCAAGAAACTGGGTTTGGGCGAATTTGTTAATAACGATCCAGGATAATTGTTCTTCTTCAAAAGATCCGTGACAGGTTGTGGCAATGCTGGCCATTGCTGGATGCGACCCGAAACCGTCCCAATCAACACATAGGCTTCCAATGGACCGTCCTTCCACACCAAAGGCTTGTCTACAATCTTGCCAAAAGTCGCAAACAGATTTTGTAAATAGCTCATGACGTTGGCGCTCAGTGCCTGGCTCGGCTCACGTTTAGCCCACACCGTGCTGCCGAATGCAACAGCCCATTTCTTGCGTGCTGCCGCCTTGGCCGACTTTAATCCTTCCGACGAAGTCTTGACGGTCTTGGTGACAGTATCCTTGTGTGTCTGGCAATATTCGTCGTTGTAGATCAATACCGTCAAGTGACGCCCTGCTCCATCGATGGCTGCTGCCATGGCTTGTTCGTTCGATTCTTTGGCAATCATGGTAAAATAACCTTCCAAGGCCTTTTCGCTGATAGATGGTTCGTCCGCTTGCGCAAGTGCCGAAAGTGCATTGAACGTCAATACTCGGTGATCCGCAGATGATACCTTGCCCGTCGTCAACGTCTTTATTACTGTGGTCACGACTTGTGCAAGCTGTGCCGTGTCGTGGCACTTTACTGCCAATACCTCCCATAATTCTGAAGCTGCGTTGCGCGTGGCGGCTGAGTTGGCACGCAACTGGTTTAGTACGGGTTCTGTCCATTTCTTGCCAAAGATCGAAGATGGATCGAACGATAGCTTGGGTATGATACGAGCCAATGCTATATAATTGAGAATAGCACCCATCAATATCGGTAAGTCTCCCAATACTCCCAGAATAGTTCTTTTGACTCTTTAATTCCTTTTCACCATCATCTTGCTGCAATGAATAATATGTACAAACCTCGTGATGCAACTTCGGGCGATCTCAACATCATCTTGTCAAACGTGGGCAAGAAATCCTTTGTGAAAGTTTCCTCATCCACAAACGCATTTACAAAATCGCCAAACGCATCCAATACAGGTGTGGGACCTGGTGTCCGTGCCGATACCACATTTTTCAAGTAGTAATCTGTCACTTTTTGCTTGTCGATCAACTGTCGTCCATCCACGCCTTTCTTCTTTAATCGTAGGCTGACATCGACAATGGTGCCGATCAAGACTGCGTTACGATAGGATGGTGTGGCCGTCTGTGCGTTTGCAAAAGCGGATTCGAAGAGAGCGGGTATGGCCGTGGCGTTTTGACGAATAGTGCGACGAACGTCGACAAGCGCACTTTTCGCGATCGTTCTACGCTTATCGCCTACGAGTGAATCCAACAAGATGGCCTGTGCATTAACGAGCGGAGTCAACAGGTCGCTGTTGTTGTTGTTGTTGTTATTGTTGGCTTTGAGCACGCAACAAATGAGCAAATCAACCCATGTCAACAAGTTGAAACGATCTGCAGCCGTTGTAATGCATTCACTAACAGAGGGTACACCGTATCACGGTTTTTTGGTTACACACATACGCATATACGCTTTCCAAATATATGATTGGCCGTTGCCCCTTTTTTTGCTGTTCCTGTTTGCTCCTTTCTGCTTGCTGCTTGCTATTTGCTGCTTTTGCTGCGCCACCACCATCTCTCCATATATGCAAAAATTAACACTTACTTTTCACCCGTTCGCTTGGCAACTTTTTCGGATTCTTTTACCAGGGCAGGAATAATAGTCTTTTGGAAATGCTCCGCGTTCCAATTATCCAACGCCTTTAAAACTTCGAGAATGGCATGACGCGATGCTCGGTCGTGGTAACGAGTATATGTCAAAAACACGAGATGAAGTAGTGCTGGAAGTGCTTCGATAGGCAGATCTAAACAAAAAGTATACACACGTTTACGTGAGCATACTATTTAACCCTATATACGCGTTGCAGCATTCTGCTGTCTTTTTAGTATATAAATATATACCCTTTCGGCGTAATCGGATCAATAAGGCATGATTCAAGAAATCCAGGCGGTCGGTAACGCTCGATCGTGTAATGCTAGTGACGACTCTGGTTTTAATGAATTCCGGCCAAGCCAGCTCGCCGGGTTGCTCGAGCGGTTCAGCCATGGCAAGTTGGTTGTATGTGTTATGTGTTGGTGCTTTTTACTAGTGAAAGTAAAAAAAAAAAAATGGGAACCTCACACAGTGTGTTTGAAGTTTTTAAAGCTTTTTTTTTTTACGCTTCAATCAAAAATGCCCATGACCTTTACTCCGGTTTTTAAACTGCGAAGCTGTAATGCTTGTGTGGCCTCGTCAGTGATAGCTGCGGTCAAACTTCTTTATTTTTTGATGCTGCGACGTGTTCCTTAAATGTAGTAAATGTTCGTAAGCAGCAAGTCTTTATGGTATTTAATACTGGAAGGAGCACCCTACGTATGGTGAACTTATAGTGGATAAATGAAATACCGTATAATTGACTTGCTGGTTGGTGTTCACCTTAGACAGCTTGCTACATAAGATCATATCTCGTTGCTATATAGCAGCAATGGTAGTTAGCAGCTGCTAATTATCTTGACTCAAACTACGTATAGCGTAATGTAGTCTTTCTTGACAGATCATTATCACTGTCCAGTTCTCTCTTCTTTTTGTTGGATATACAGATAATATGTCCGGGATTTCAAACTAAATAACTAGTTAGAGATGTAGCATCACAATCAAATTAGTAGGAGAGTCCAAAAGCCGTACATTGATCATACTCACTTGTCACACATTCCATATTGTAAGATCTACAGTATTGCTATTTTGATAAAAAGAAGACTACTTACAATAAACTGGTGGATAGCACACTACCTAGCCATCATTATTATTGCTACTTACCGGGTCATGGTTGATAGATTGATGGGCAGCTTTGTCATAAAAAGTACATGTGTAGACATTTTAATTAACATTGAATCACATGCTTTCTGCGAGCTCGCAGGTTCGAGTAGTAGTTACAGTTTACGTAGACAACTGCACCAAGAAATGAAAAGCATGGCTTAGAATCGCCATCAGATCGATATATTTATCAACACAGACAACTAACATTCATTAGTGTCATCAAGGAAAAAGCAAAATCAGCCAAGCAAAGAACAGTGATATAACTCTAGCATCATCGACTTTAATTCTCGTATGAGATATGCGTGATGCGCGTACTTTTAGGACTCCTTTTGACTCTCTCTTTCCCACGCGCGCGTCTTCGTTCACCACCTGTATGTATCCTTTATACTATCACTTTTTGTAACCATCTATTACAGTACCATTATCGTTATACAATTGTACATTAATAGCTTTGATGAAGACAGTAGTGTCGTCTAAAACCTGTCATATCGACGGCGACGAGAGTTGTACCTTGGATGTTGGAACGTACGTAAAGCCAACATGAGAAAAACTAGACATACCCCTAGATTACGTGTGATCTGTCGTGTAATAGTAGACTCCACTATAAGCATACAGTATGTCATAACTGATCATATATGCCTGCTTGATCCGTTTATTTATATAAAAGACTTTGAGTAGTGACAAGGAGAGCAACAAAACGACAGTACATAGAGTCAGAATTATGCTCTGTATGGAACAACGTTCTACATTGTGTAACATTACACCAAGACTCGGATTTATTATTGATGCTTTTTCTTGCTTTTTCTTTTCAGTCGCTGATTTCCTTTTTCTTTTCTTTTCTGTATACGTACCTCCATTCCTTTGAGTATCTCAACCAACCCATTCCTTCATCCTCACTCTTACCAATTTCTATAATAATGGATGTGGCAGGCTTTTTTGTATGGCTTTGGATTATCGTTATGTGGATTATCATCGCTGTTGTCTGGTATTATCTTTTTGTACCTTGTATATGTGGTCTTCTCGGTAAGCTCTTGTATTCCAACCCTCCCTCTTTCTAGTGTCTATACTTGCTTCCAATCTAATCAAGTTGTTACTACTCGATTATATCATTATCTTCATTACATGCATGACGACGAAAAGTGGAGTTATGGTACGCAATTGGATGTGCAGAGCTTTTTTATCGACTCACACCAGACGAATTCCGGGTCTATCCAAGGGACGAATACGTTCCTGAATATCATGAGCCACTTTACATGTGTTATTGCAATCCTTCGGTCTGTCTGTACATGGGATGGCATTTTTGGGCTCGAACGTCACGAAAGCTGCGCAACTATTACCAAAAACGATTCGATGGCAGTAATAGTAGTACAACAAGCACCCAATGGCGGAGATTCAATGTATTCAGATCATCAACACTATACGAATCACTTCTTCCGATGACACGGACGACGACGACGGCTATAATACCGAAATTATCATCAATAACAACAAAGATAAAGAAATTTATAACGGCTTCATCATCGTCGTCATCTACTGCTACTACTACTACTAATGAAGCACAAAATCATGTTTTGGTCGAAATGAACGAGTTTGGCGACGACGGCAATGGCGAAGACAAGCACTCATATCATAGCTTCGCTACTACTAGCAATGCTTCAAACGACGAATTGCTCGAGAATAACGATTACGCACAAAGAGACGAGGCAACAGTACCGTTATTGCAACAGCAATAGTGGCAGAAAAAAACAGTTTATGCTGTTTCTTTACGTCAACCTTATCCACACATCACCACACTATCTAATACCCGCTCAACATGCAGTTGCATCAAAGTTGAGTAATATCATCAGTTGCTGGTGACATTGTTTTATGCTGTATATTTAAACTATATATAAAGTACCTTATGTAATTTACATGTTCTTTTATTTTATTTTCAAACCTGTAGAAATGAGACAGAACGTGCACGTTAAAAGAGAAGCTTATGACGATGATATGTTGTAGATTGGTGGATATTTGAGTCAATCAATGAGTTGTTCAGCATTGAATTATTACTCTTGTATCAATTACTCCAATTTTCTTTTTTTGCATCACTGTGACGAATACAGTAGATTAAACAGACAACTGCCATTCATCACATAATGAGTCAGATGAGGCAATGGGAGACGCAGAACCACAAGAATTTTTTTTTGCTCGTGGTTGTTAGATCAACTCTTTAAAAAAGAGGGTTTCCACCTCACGTATTTCACTCCTCATTAAATTCAACTTTATGAAGCCTGTCTGGTATCCGATTCATAAAATATGAAGCTCAATGATTCCCACAGCTATATGTTGCTTTTTTACGTAGCTAAAAACAGTAATGTGAAAAGCGTCTTTAGCATTGCTTTGAACAACAAGAGGTCGGGCTGCTGTTTGGTCAAAAACTGCTGCCATGTTATACAGTATCACGCTATGACGACACTATCTTCATCTTTTCCACGCCATACGTAAATACAAGTATCCAGAAAACTTTAAAGTAGCGGGCAAATTGGTGCATTTTATCCCATTCGGAGAACCCTGTTAAACTTGGTAAATGTAGCAAGAGCCCTGACGTCATGTGCATACCACATTTTCCACAAACAAGCTCAAACAACCCAAGAAAAGAGATCATATATTGGAAAGGAGTGATTACGTAGCAGTAATGATAACTTGAAAGTGGTTGAACCTATTACATAGCAATATGTAAGGACGATCCTTTATTTCTGCGCGCGTTGTATATGAACCTACAGCTTTTCGACTACTATTCTCCCTTCAAGTAGGTGATCGAAGACAAGGGATGAAGAAAAAAGGGTATACTTGGCTTAGAGTTCATTGTTTCAACAACAAAGTGGTATACATACAAGGTAGCTACCTATATGTGGTGAGCGTGGGCCGAAAAAGGCAGCCAAGTTGCGCGCGGGAAACCAACAAGTTGTTCTTGTGTATGTACCTTGTTCCTGAACCATTCATCACTGACGTACAGCATACATGTAGTAGTTATATCATGAAATAAAATTAATAATGAATTTTTAATTTCAGCAATGTTATGTTGTCCTCTTCCATGATCAACGTGCACACAAGCGTCATACCATTCAACTTGAATGTATAAGCCTATCGTCATCATCGCCCCTAATTCGACAACGTATCCAACACAAGTCGGAACATGCCGATGATGACGCTATTCATGGACGAGCGGAAAGAAGGACAAGACCATTCTCCTCGTGTAGATATTAGAGACCGCCCAGTTCCTTTCAATACTAGCTGAGTCAAATGGCTGAAATGAAATAAGGGAAAAAAGAGGATGTCTTTATAGAGATAAGGGGGGCGCTGCTGGGCAGCAAGTAAGCAGCCATAGCGCTCGACCTATCGTTTTCGAATGGCAGATTGCTTTTAAGGAAAGTGAACAAACAAAACCGTGCATCATTTCATCATGCAACCACCCCCCGCCGACAACGGAGAAATAAAAAATTGATAGAACGCGTGACCTAGACTGTATTTTTTTTTCTGTGTGTGTGTGTGTGTGTCTCGGGGACAGGCGGATTCAATGTGATATGCGAGGCTGCTGTGTGTTGCCAAGGATTTCCATGGCAACACAACAAAACCTTCTTTTTTTTTCATTATTTTGTGCTCTCCACACGATTACCCCAAAGATCCAGCCCATTTCACCCATGAAGTATAAACTCAATTCTAGGGGGGTGGGTGGTGGAGAATCTTGGATTGGAGAGAGCGACATTCAAACATGTCAGCAGACTCATTCTTTCAAACTCATTTTGCCAGTAGTAGACTTTCACGACTCTTGTCGACGTCAACAGAAAACAAGGAGACTGGAGAGCTTGTTCGATCTATTGGTATGTGTGTACATAGAAAGACAATGAAGTCGTCCGGCTCTTTGTCAGCGTTCCATTTTTCGGGATGCGGTCTTGTTGTGTGTGTGTTGGGGGAGAGAGAGGGGGTTTGTTGCGGTTTGGTAAATGCTGTCTGTGTCTGGGCTGTGGGTGAAAAAGAAGTCGATAATGACGCTTTTTCATGCGAGCGGAGAACTACTATACAGTGGAGTTTATGGAGTGGGGGGGAGGGGGGAAAAAGAAAATAAACTACTGTAAATAAGGGCTTATTTACATACATTATCACTTTTATGTGTGTGTGTGTGTGTGCCATGATCTAGAACAAGCTACAGATGCAAAATCAGAACAAGAGGACTGGCGGTTGTTCATTCACGTATGCAACGCAGTGATTCGTATGCCAAGTGGGCCGAAAACCGCGCGAAAAGTGCTCCAGCAAAGGCTGGCGGTTACCAAAGAACCGCAAGCACATGTGTTAGCACTCTCTGTGTGTGTCTTTCTCGTAGCACAACATTCAACAATGAAAACTCCATTTCCCTTTTTTCTCGTACTACCTTACGATCACGAAAAGACTCATTCCAAGTTTCTTTTCTATTTTGCAATATACAAGCTATTACGCGCGATTTCAGAAAATTGTGTCGAATTCGATGGTATGGTAATAGAGTTGCACTTTTTGGCAACCAAGTAGTATTCGTACACTCATGTTTGACAAACATCATGCTATTCCAATTTTTTTGTTTTGGTAGCTCAATTGCAAGACAAGGGCTTACTCAGAGATCTGAATACCTTGTGGAACGATCCAGTAAGTATGAATCGTGTGTGCTCGTGTCGCACAGCACAGCAGCCCAGAGTGTTTGCTCAACGCACGCGGTTGTGATATTCCCCAATTAATATATGTTAGAGCACACATATCAAAGTACGACAGAAAATGACAGAATGTATCCAGCTGTGGATAACTCAGTATCAAAACAATCCAGCCATGCAAAACTTGATTCAATTTTGCGCCACAGCAACATCGTCGTCGTCGTGTAGTGGCAGTCCTGGTAGAGCTGCGCCTCCTAAAGGTGTTGTCGCCAATAATAGTGCTGCTGTGGCGGCTGCTGCTGCTGCTGCTCGTGCTCATGACGGAAAGCATCGAGAACAGCAGCAGCGTCGATTAGTGTTCCGATGGCGAACAACAAAGGGAGTGCGTCAAAAGGAGGAAAAGAACAACATTGAAGGAAGAAGAAGAAGTGTGGATTTCTACAAGGAGCAGCAAGAAGATCGGATGGAGGTGCGTGTATTTTACTTTTATGGTGTGTCTATGCTATAATAGGATGTGTCATCATGAGGGAGGGTGGGGGGAGAAGGGGGCCAGATAGGCACATATCACGCTTTCTCTTTCTTTCTGGGCCACGGGGTGGAGAGGTGGGGGGGAGGTTGGTTGGTTGGTTGGTTGGTTGGTTGGTGGGGAAAGGTAAGAGAGAGGAGGAATAGAATAAGAGTCGGAGGGAGAAAGTGATGGTCAAATAGGGTATGGCAAGGTTCAATGTTGGTCCCCTCGCCGGCTAAGGGAGAGAGGGTTGGGTTGGGGGGTGTGAGTGTGAGTGTGAGTGATAAGAGAAGAGGTGTGTACAAAAAAGACAAAAAGCCGGTTGTGAGAGTGTCAACAGCAGCAGCAATATGCGAGCATAATAATAATAATTAGCATCGCAATATCTAAAAAAATTGGGTCGTGCGAATCATGCAAATTGTAGGTACAGCAGCCGATCATCGAAGAAGCCAAAACAACTGCCGAGTGTCTCTCCCAGTTATTACTAACCAATGGTAAATCACGACAGGATGATGAGCTAATCCAGGTACAGCCATTGATGCTTATCCTTTTTCCTTGCTTGCTACTGCTATGGACTAGGTCGATGTTGTTGTTGTTGTTGTTGTTTAAAAACTCTTTTTTTCTTTTTGTCTCTCAGGAGATCTATCGAAAGTGCAAAGATCTGCATGCGACCATCATGCGTTCTATTGAGGAATCGCACACGCCTGTACAAATATGTATGTGGATCGTGTCACCATCATGCGGCTGCTTTAAGGCCATCATCACTCATAGATGTTCACTCTATTATCTAAACTGCAACGCATGCCACTGGGCTGTTGCTGATAATGTATGTACGTACGTACGTACGTGTGTTGATGTGCGTTGCATTTTCTGTGTACTACAGCATCACTGATCGACGCGAATGGTGTGTTGGTTCAAGCTCTGGAGACGTATCATGCTGTGACGGTAAGGAATAATGCTTACACATGCCAAAAAAAAAAAAAAAAAAAGCAAGTGTGATGTAATGAGCGTTCTTGGTAAAGAATAGCCGGAGATGGGATCTGAAGGATAAACTTTCTGAGGATTAAAAAAGAAATACTGACCCGACAATAACAACAACTGTACTTCATTAGCAATCGGACCTGATGCGGTGAGGAAGGAGTGGGAAAGAGACAGGAGAGGTTTGGGGGGGGGGAGGGAGGGAAGGAGTGTACATATAGTGTGTGTGTGTGTGTGTCTATTGTCTATATGACTTGATCCATCACATTAACAAACAAATCTTTGTACATGCATTCATGACACACTCCCCACAGCGTCACGACGGACCACCACTGCACTCCAAGCAGCAACAACAACAACAACAAGAAGAACACTGATGGTAGTAGTCCAGTGACGATGCTGAGCGACAAGGCACTCGGGTAAGACCACAGACTGAAGGGTTGGGGAAGAAGGATGATGAAGGCGAAAGAGACGCACGATCAGTGATCGACTTTCCTTTCCGTGCCATGCTTACGACGGATTTAGGAAGCGGCCCGTCCGTCGTGGAGGTGGTGGTGGAGAGCACAAGAGCAGGGATGAGGATGACGATCGGCTGCGGGTGTAACCAGATTAATGACCATTATTTCTATATATAAAAAATATCTCAAAAAAGTATCACCACTGCAGCAGCAGCAGCAGCAGCAGGTTCTCGGTCTTTAATTTTTTCTGATTGTGAGTCGCTGTGTGCTGTACTCCTTTCTTCTGGCAGTTTACTACCTAGCACACTTACTGCTGCTTCTACTACTGCTGCTGCTACTATCACTACTATCACTACTATCACTAGTAACACGTTCTTTGTGCTGTGTGTATATTTGGCCCTTATTTGGACTGGCCAGAGATTGACAGGCTCTCTCTCTATATATAGAGAGTCCACCTCATTGCTGACACACAGTTTCTCTTCTCTCTTTCTCTCGTTCGTCTTCGTTTTCCCCGTCCATTCGTTTTTTTTTTCTTTTTCTTTACCTTTTACAGTATAATCGCTTTTTCTATTCTGCTTGCCACCTTTGTTGCCCTCGCTCTCCATCGCTTCGTCGTCTTTCGCACACCCACCGAGCAGCACAGAAACAACCTCGACGTACCCGCTCCTGTCAACCTTATTACATCACCATCGACGGGCACGGCAACAGGCAGCAGCATTCTTCTCAACCCCCTTACAAAACCCCAAAAATTATATAAAAGTTACAAAAATGATGGCCAACGACTACAGCCGTTTTAATGCAGAACCCATCATGCTCTGCCATTCTTCGTCGCTGGCGGCTGGAGATACCAAGCTGATGATGGATACTTGTGAGGTAAGCACTGCTTTTCTTCTGCTATACCCCAACATGGGGGGGACAAAGGGGGCGTTCTATCTATGTTGCTGCGTGTGTGCGTGTTGATGGATAATGTGGGAGAGAGGGGGGGGGTTGGGGGTGATGATGATGATGATGCCGGTGATGATGCTGCTGGGGGAGTATGATATATCCAGAAGGATGAAGAAGGGGCAGGGGAGGTGGTCCATCATGCTATGTGGATGTGATGGATGTGATGGATGGATGGATGTGATGCGATGCGATGCGATGGGGTTGAAGGGTAGCACAAAGGCAGCAGCAACAAGAAGAAGAAGAAGAGGAAGAAGAAGAAGAGCGACTGGAATACTGATGATTATTCTCTTTTATTCTATGTTGACTGGATTGACACCCGCACACCCTACTATGCAATGCTTCCCAAAAACCGCGCGCTAATTTGCAATTGATCTTGGTCGTTTGACACCTGCATCCTCCTCTCTCTCTCTTTCTTTCTTTCTCTTTCTCTTTTACTTTCACTTTCTCTTCCCCTCTTCTTCTCTCTCTCTCTCTCTCTTTCTGTCGACATCACACACACTCACACATTTACCACATGCAGTCGCAGCACTATAGCAGCGACGACGATGAACCAGTCGTAGTAAAACAGACGCTCGACCCCGAACAGAAAAAGTACGAATTCCCCCCACGCTCACTGCTCCGGGAACTCTCGTATCTCGACGACGAAGAATTTGATTCCTTCTTTGACGAATCCTCCTTCTCCACATCCGAATCCGACTATTACCACTATCATCACCACCACCCTGCCCGTGGCAGTCTGCCCTCTTCCAGCAGCAGCTACATGATTGACGACTACGAAGACTACGACGACGATGACAATGTGCATCAGCAGCAGCAACAACAACAACAAGACCTCTTGGTCGACGACAGTCGTCTGTCGCCCCTCCAGCTACCTGCACGAGCCAGCTGCTCTCCTCGACTACGACGACAACGGCAAAGGACCCGCGAATTATCGTGTGACTCTACCGCCACGGTCACTCTGAACCCTCACCAATCCACCGATCCAGTCGTAGGCCCGTCATCCTTCTTAAAGCAGCAGGCGTCATGCAACAAGAATGGAAGAGACGATCTTGGATTCCCCAAAAATCGGGTTACGCAAACAAGAGGTAACGTGGCCTCTTTGAACAATAGACACCTCCTTACTTGTCCCTCTTGTCTGCTTTTTCAGAAACTAACCCTTTTTTCTTTACACACTCTCTTTTCTTATAATTATACATCAGGGATATCGCCATACCAAGGCTTGGACCGTCAACAAGTTCTGTCACGGCTTGATTCTGAAGACGAACTTGACTTGCCAGTATTCCGTAATGAATCCGAACCTGTAATGGACGATCTTAGCGACACCGACAGCGATGACATTCAGTGCAACAACAATTCAAAGATTGTCTTGATCAAACTCAACAATAACTACAGCAGCTACACCAAAAACAAAATTAGACAGCAACCGCTTATTTCCAGCAACAACAAGACCAACGATCGTCATTGCTATAGCAGCGCCAGCAGCTACCATATCAGCGACGAAGGGTACGAAGAAGACTACGACGACGAGCCTCCCATCGAAAGCGTCTCGGTATTCCTGCCCCTATCCGACCCAGAACAGGAGCATATGGTGGATCGGGATACGCTCCGGAACGCCGCGGCGACGCGCATTCAAGCAGCTTGGCGTGGCTATCGAACACGAAAAAACCTTCAACAACCATCGCAGGGCGGATTAAACCCGGCGCAACGCATCGTCATTGACCTTGCCCGTCTCTGCAGCAATATGCATCACCGTCAAATGGGACGCATGAACCGGCGTATGGGCGAGTTAGAACAACGTATCCGAGAAGAACAAGCGATGCGGATGGCGTTTGAAAAGGCCATGGAAGACATGACCATCTTGATTGACCAACAGCAAAAGGTGCTTTCCGATCGCATTGATGGCGAGATTGCTATGCGCGACAGCTATGAGCGCAAGATGGCTCAGGCAGAATCTAGATTGAAAAAGGAAGCCAAGGCTCGGATCGATCTCGAGCGTTCCATGTCCCAGGTGCTGGAACAAGTGCAGGACATGCAGCTGACGCAGCAGCAGCAGCTCAAGGAGGATGCAGACGCGAAAAAGACGATGCGCCGCAAACTCGATGAAGCTCTTTATGAAATTTCAATCCTCAAACGTCAAAAACAACCACAAGCATTATCATCCACCCAACAACAACAACAGCAGCATAACATCAAAAAGAACAAGGTAGCAGCAGCAGCAGCAGCAGCCTCGACGGCAGCAGTTGCAACAGCAATCAACAACAATAATAATAATAATAATAATAAATCATCATCAGCATCATCCACAACAGCATCTTCATCAACTACATCTTCATCATCTTCATTCAAACCCACAAAAGCATCCTCTGCATCATCTGCTTCTCGTAATACTACTACTACTACTACTACTTCTACTGTCACTAAAAAACCTACCACCACCACCACCACCGCTCGCCGTACGATTGTCCCTTCCTCGCATCGCCCTTCATCCCAAGTCACCCCGGTTTCTCGACCCGTTAGCCGCATGGATTCCATCAACAACAAACGCCCTACTGCAGTTCCCCGTACTGCCACTACCTCCTCCCGACAACAACAATCAAGACATCAACCATCATCCACCGCAACGACACGACGATCGACTGCCCAACAACAACAACAACAACAACGAAGGTGACTGGCGTTACTGTCTTCGTCTCTAACCCGCGTGGTGATTACTGCATACTTCATTTTCTTGTTCCATATCATTTTCTCCACCTTTCCCTAAAAAAATAGTGCCCCCCCGACCCCCACCCGCATGTATGTACTTAGATATCTTTCTTTTCTCACCCTCATGTCATGCAAATAAAGCAAATACTACCAATACTGCATATAATGAATACAATTCTATTTTGTGTGTGCTTCCTGCTTGCTGCTGCTGCTGCTGTTGTTGTGGGAGGATAATCATGCAGATGCAGGGATCAAACAACTATCATGGTCGACCAGGGCAAAGGGTGGTTTGGGGGGAATGGGGTTAGTTAGCTTTCGTGTTCGTGTGTGTGTGTATGTGTGTGTGTGTGGGTGGGGGGGGTGTTGGGTGGGGAAAGACGAATACAAGGATTGAACAAAAGTGAAAGTGAGGGAGGGGGTTGTGCGTGTGTTTGGGGTGGGTGGGTGGGGGGGAGGAGGAGGGCAATAGGAATCGCATGGATTTCTTTTTTGGTCGCATCGTCCGTTCTTAATATCACCTAGCAACCCAAGTACTGACTGACTGCATCGAATGGACGGGTCGGTTGTTAAGGCATTAGGGATGCCGCTTCTTCATTTCACTTACAAAAATTGTCACTACGGGATATGCAATAATATAGGAGTCATTTCCACACACATTATAGACACGCGTTTTAGCATTTACATCCAAAAGTCTTGCTTCCATGTCCCATCCAATCAACTCTAATCGTTCCACAGTATAACACATACCAAATAATACAAGGAGAATCGATGTGATCCCAACTGCAATGCGTATTCGCGATTCCAAGGTTTTTCGTCTGCGTAGCTGTGCTTGATCCACATCCCTGAGTGCAGAGGATAGCTCTATGTCTTCGTCTACTGCTGCTGCTGCTTCTGCTGCATTGTTTTCTTCTATACAGGGATGATGATCGTTTCTTTGCTTCATTAGCACATACTGCTATTGTGTAGGAAAAACCGAGTGTGGATAGTATAATACGTGCGTGTATGTGTGGTTGCATTATTATTATTATTATTATTACTATGATACCCTTGGATTCTACCAACTAACACGGTACCATTTTTCGCTGTGGATGAAATGCTCATGGCACGATGCATATCATTCATCATATGCCACAGCACAGACTCTGTGCCGCCGGTCATGGATATCTTTTTGTTGGTACCAGTGACATGATGGCTGCTGTCTTCTTCCATATTACTATTAGACACTCTATAGCAATGGATCCCTTTAGCATACCAAGACAATACCTAGCAGCTCCCTTTTCTCCCTTTCAGGATCTCCTGCTTTGGGGTTTTTTTTGCGTTCCCCCAATGAACACCCAAATAGCAATCGTTTGCTCCCGAACACAAAGAAAAAATAAAAGGTTATACCTTAAAGGAGCGCTGTCAACCTTGCTATTTTGACGTCCAGACGCAATGTGCAGATCGTTCGTTCTCTCTCTCTCTCTCTTAGAGTTTGTAAACTTCACGACGACACGCACACGGGTTGATTTCTCGTGCTGTTGCTGATTAAGCCGTGGCGTAGAACAGAAAATAAAAAGAAAGAACGTTCGTTTGCTATGCTAAGGGTACCAGAGCACGTTGCGGTGTAATATATTCGGCATCTTTTGAAATGAGACCGGATCCCGGAAAAAAGAAAGTTTAGTTGGCAGTAGTGGTAGTATAGATATAAAAAAAGCATATGGTTCTCTAAATCTCCGTGTTTGCATGCTATACCTCAACCCCCCCCTAAAGATACACACACACACACAATCACAATGGACCTATACAGCAGAGTTACAGATCCACACAAGTATAACTTCTCCGTGCTCTTCCGAAAAAAAAAACATAAAAATAAAACTGCTGACATATAGGAGTACATACATGCGTACTTGCTAAACAAGTCAATCCGTATTCACTGCTGCTGCTGCTGCTGCTATTATGTACATCGTAATATACTGCAAACATGCATTAGACCTAAATGTCGTACTGTATCCAATCTCGAGATAAATATTAGTAGTTTATCGATTCCGATAGGTCTGCTTCTTTATTTTGCATGTGTCACGATAACTATGATGTGGTATGTGATACAACAGTCTGTTGGCGTATTTTTTTTTTTTGTTTGTTTGTGTGCGTATCTATGAGCCACGAGTAAAAAGTGCCAACCTGTCAAACATGCGTTATCGTTTACGATCTACACAAACTTTGTTGAAAAAAGGAAGGGGGAGATGTTGAGAAGGGGGGTAGGAAAAAGACTAAAAGTGTCCGTCGGAATGGGCGAACCGAAAATAAAAGATAATCCTTTGTGTCTACTTGTTGTTGTTTGTTATATATTGCTACTATGCTGCTGCAAACGGGGGGGGTACTCCCTGTATTACCGACCCATCCTATTTTGAATTTACTTTTACGACATGTCCATATAGAGTACATAGGATGCTATCATGTCCTTTCATGTCGTCACGCCGTATCATATCACTAGCGTAGTAAATAGTAGCGTAGCACTTTTACATGTTCTAGTCGATGAAAAAAGAAGCATTCTATAGAGGAAGAATTCTCTAGAACATTTGTTTACTAAAATGCTGCATCAAATTGATAATCTACCCATGACATGGCATCATATGTAGCACGTAATGACGGCAATCCAGCACAAACAAAATACGATGCTATGTGTCATCATCATCACCGTGTACGTTCATATAAGAAGGTATATAGGAACATAATGGTGATGGTGCCGGTGTCTTTCTAGCAGAAATATATTCTCATTGCATACTATAAAGTCATTACTTTCAAAAGTGGGATTAATAGCGGGTAGCATTACTGATGAGCTGATATCGGTAGTAGGTAGATCCTCGGAGAAATAGTGAAATGTGATACACATATGGACAACAATGAATAACGGAAGTTCCATACCGCTGCATCTGCAGAAACCATAAGAATAGATGTACAAAGACGCATCATTCAGTGATCCATGACATACAGAAGAAGATTGTATAAATCTGTATGGGACAGCACACGTCTCTCCTCAACAAGTAGTTGCTCGCGTTTCATGTTTAAATTCGTGCATCATCGCTTATTAGAGAACTATTCTCTTTGGTCTTTTGGTTGATGGATGGGTGATAACAGGACCTGTGGTAACATACTGCATGTCTGAGGCCTCATGTTTCCCCATTGTTAAATGCTAAACTGTAACATGCTTACACTTGCGCTCATTGTAAAAGTGGCATAACACTATATTCATTGTCCTTTCCATCATGAATACAATGATTGTCCCTGATCCAGAGCAAACAATATTTCCGTTGGTGTTTGAACATATGTTTGTAGTTATCTGACAAGTAATCTCCACACCATGCTTGAAGAAACTATCCACCTTTTGTAAGGCTGTAATACTCCATTTGTAACTTATTGGCACGGGCACAGCCTGCTGTTGTCGCTGCTATCATACCATGCATCCGAGAAGGATCTATTTCCTTGCTAATTGCTAATCTGCTGCTACTGCTATTTCTGGCTTCCGTGAAAGGTTGAATAGCCGTTCTGTAAAGTATACAATGCAGGGTGTCTTCCTTCAGAGCCTTGTTTTGGGTGATATAATGAAAACATGACCATGAAAAAAAAAGAAAGTGTGAGGACGTACTACTTCTGCTTAGTGGTGATCTATTACACCCATAGAATACTCTATGATATGGGCTCTAGTAAAGAAGGGGGTGGTTCATAGATAAAGAAAGAGTGACATGAAGGGCTCATCCATTTCTTTCTTCTGATGACCATGGGACCCCCAGACAATTGGACTCTGATTGGTTCTGTCCATAATTCCACCCCATCAAGATGTGTTTCATTATCAATGATGTGCATATGCAAGTTTATTACATAGGTCAACTGATGATGGTGGCCCTTGCTTATCCACGCACAAGAACACAAAATATGGCCAACTAGTAGCCCACCCTTGCATATACCAAAGCGTGGATGATGTAAGGGTCCTTTGTTTTCTTCTTCTTTGTTCCCTTGCTTGGTCAATGACATACATGATGATAATGTATGTGGATGATGATTGGTCTTGTGACGAATTTTTAATCTTCATTATCGTTATCACCATTGAATGCTTACCCCCCCCCACCTTTGCATCTTATGTTTAGATTCGGGCGGGCGGGCACATGATGTGCACATAATCATGACAGAATGCAAAAACCCTTTTTTTTTTGCTCTTTCTTTCTCGTGACATTACTTTTCTTTGTATTCCTCCGATAATACATGGCCCTTGCACCTATTATTACAACCACCCGCCGCCCCCCAACTTAACGCCCTTCCACCAGTAACATCATCACCACTATCGCTTATGTTTTAATCTTGACCATACATATACCACACGCTAAATAGATGGTAATCATTTTAAGAAATCGCGATATACATACATACCATATAAATAGCTAGGTGCTGCTGCTTGCAGTATGTAGTTTGCGTTAGTAGTACATAGATTCAGCAGCAGTAAGTAAGGGGGTCGAACTACAACCTCATATGAATTGTAGTATACAGAACACAGAATGACAAAAAAAGTAGGATTGCTGTCTCAACTTTGTGCGTAATTCAGGGTTTTCTGTAGGTCAATTGAGATACTGCGCACACTACCATCATGCTGCTTATTCGCTCATCGGGCCAATCATCAGCAGTGCCGATCCGGGGGAGCTGTTATAGCGGTATTGATCCTTGCAAGAGTAGCTGAGATCATATTGTGTGTGCGAGAAGATGAGGTTTGGTTGAACCAATGATCGACAGTCTATACAGAATACATGATGGTCCTTCATCAGCCGTAATATGTATTTGCTCCTAATTGGGTATAAGCGTTACTGCTCTACGATAAAATAATGAGCTATGTACATCATATTACTAGTTTTGGTGTCATAGAAGTAGGCATTTTTCTGTTTTTAGATAAAAGAGTATGTAGCGCTCTTCATAGAGTATACTCCATATAAGTTCTTTAACCTTCTTTTTTTTACATACTGTATCATAAAGACCTATTAAAGCAATTTCTCACGATGGAAGCATATGTTCACTTGAAAAATTATTGTGTTTTCGTCTGCTTTCAGCAATGCACGCGAAATAAACATGCTGCAGCAGAAGCATTATTACGTTATATGCGCTACAGTATCATATACTCAATATATCTACAGAAACGAACTATTATATAAGCGTCGGGACTACTGCAACATGATGATATTGAGGTCCAATCAGCCTCTTACGCAAATAATAGTGAAATAAATGTGCGTTTTTCTTTTGCTTATAAGCATATGTATGCAACCTGTTATTCGCCGGCTTCTGCATGAAAGTGCTACTATGACGAAGGAAAAATAATGCGTGAAGTGTAACTACTGCCTAACATATGCTGTACATATCATCAGTACAGTGTGCAAAATAGTGGAGGCAACCTCCTACTAAATAAAAGAATGGTCTATTACGTATATAAATCTCACGTAGACTCCTGTGAAGATAATAGGTGCGTGTAGCATGTTGCATGCGTACGAAGCTAAAATATCAGGGATGTTGAGTTTGTATATGTACACTGCACGGACTCCAGTGATAATTGTAATAGCAACAACACCACTGCCAATCATCACACCAGTGATCTCATATGATTGGTTTATAAGTACGTAAGTGAGCTTATACTGCAAAGATGTATAAAGATTGCCACGAATCATACATATAAGAATAGCAGTCTCCTAAAGAACTCTACGACATTATGTTCGGGCTGCTCATAAGAATGGAGACCTATTTGATAACATCAATAAAAGCTGATGTAGCTAAATGTATATCTCGCTCCAGTACTAGAGAATATCAGAAAAGAAAAGATGAAGGCAAGAAGCATATGGTTGTTGTATAGGTTACAGTGCATTACACAAAACGGTAGGATCGATCTCATTGAAAATAAATCCGTTCAGTGACCGCTCTTCGTTCTTCGCTCTGCAACATATAACTCTTTTTTAATTACATACATGAGTACATATAATTCTCTATTCTTATCATCCTTGGTCGTCACCTTCGTTGTAGTCAGAGCCGTCGTGTTCGAAACTTTAACGAACAAGCAGGATGAACACATATGTCAAATATACGATTGTTATCATAGTCAGACAAGTTTTCTTGATGAGCTCAGCGATTTTCATCGACATATTTAAATGAGCCCTTGCCGACTGTGTAATTGTCGTCAAGCATCATATGTAGTATCATACATCATTTCAACTTTTTGTCTCTGCTGCTTGGATGCTCATGAATATATTACCGCATACGTACAACGACATAGTGGCAATATTAGTAGGCATAGCTACCATTAGAGACTAAGTTTTCTTTTCATCATACTACACTTGTATATTTTTAATTGATCAGCATTATGCTGTCATGATATCTCCTTGGCTTCCTTATTCCCTGCTTGGTTTTTTGCCACGATTCAACACTAAAATTCATATACGACACAGTGTCTTACTAGTGTAGTGCAAGCAGCAATAAGAGAAACAGCTGGAATATTTACTGCATTAAACATCTTCTTCACCTGACCGCTATATATGATAGAAACGCCATATGAGTGTATATAAATACAGAGAAAATGATGGAGAGCAATACTTTCTAGAATTTCTTCGCTTGGCCCGTCTACTTTTTTTGCTATACATTGATTTATGTATACACGATCGTAAAGGCTAGTATAATGCGTTCTTTTCGATAGCAATGACAACAGAAACACCATCAACGATGCCATTTATGCATGAGTACGTTGGCGTCGATGACGGTACTAGTAACCTTGTCAGCTTTATGTCAGATCGCAGTGTTACGCTTTCATGGGTTGCTTCATTGGACTTTGGTGTTCGGAAACCTAATACTCTGGTTCGTTCGTCATGTGTTTGGCGATGGCCTTAAGAAAAGTGACGATGTTGGAGGAGGTAGCCCAAACGGAGCCGTAGATTAGGGTCCTGCTTCTACTACGACTGCTTGACCATGGATACGACCCACTATATCGCTGTGGTTACTCAAGTACATGAGTTTTTGACTACTTTTAGCTAGCAGACAGGATACTAGTTTCTTTTGAATCATCTTGTAGTATCTAACATAACACTTTCCGTGATATTATGAAGTAAAGTCGATTGAGCAGTGCTACTGATGCTTACTAAGAGATGTGGTTCCGATGCTTTTGTCTGTGTTATCATAAAGAATATTTAAAAGAGATCCTTCGTGGTGGCCAATCGTGATGATTTTCTGGATGTATAAGTTCGCGCGCAATTAAGTAGACATTGTCAAGTTCTGATGATCTTTATATGATTGACCAATATCTCTTCCTATTCCTAAAAGATGCTTTGCTTTTGCCTTGCTTTGCACTATTTCTGAAGCGTCGTATAAACATTATATGGCTCGTTTGTTTTGTGGTATAATTTATTACGGTCGTCGGTCGCCATTGGTGCACTTGCGTTCAGAGATGGGTTCTAGTATGATACGCAGTGGAAAGAGAGCTCGTAATGTACGTACAGCATATATGATTCATCTAATGTTGTCATGATCCTATCAACAAGATGCTTATAGTATTACTGTAAATATCACAGTGATTAGTTTATTATAACCGTTGTATACTCTGTAACTTTTCTTTGTCTTGCAACCGATCTGTCATTAGTGCCAGCTTTTCAAGTTTTTTCAACGTGAAGTACCCTTCATAGTTCCAATTTCCAAGATCAGGAGAAAAAAGGCGTCTATTTCTGTGTTCCGAATCAAACAATGCTTTACTTCAAAAGGATAAAAAGAAGAGACGCTACGTGTAAAGAAAATATAACTAATAGAGTATGAGATGTGTCGTGTGCTATACAAACAGGGAGAAATAGAGAAAGATTTCTTTTTGCTAAGGAACGGGTAATAGAAAGAAAGAAAGAGACAGATAAAAGAGACAAAGATATATAGACTACTAGGGGAGGAGGTGATGGAAAAAAAAACAAGATGAGTGTATAGAAGAGAGTGAATGAGTGTGCAACCTTGACTTTGGGGGTAAATGGCTATGCTTGAAGATTAACATAGCCTTGTTGTACTTGCTGCTTCTGCTGATCTTGAGAAGATTGATCCGATGACCCATTATTTGTGGTGGCAGCACTGCTATCCTGCTGCTGGTGATGTTGTTGTTGCTGTGGATCATCATCCTTATCCTTGTCCACGTATTCGCCATTCTGCAATTTTCCAGCCTTCTCCAACTCGGCAATCTCAGCAGTAGCTAATTATGAGAGGATAAGCAAATTAGTATGACAAAAAGCACACAACGGCAAACATCACCACCCCAGATCCCTTATTCGAGACATACTCAAAAAACGACCCCCAGGACCTCTAGGGCGTCGCATGGCATGCCGATGTCGGCTTTCGTGGAGATAAGGTCTTCTGGCTCGGCCAACTCGGTTCATTTCTTCAAGCTTGAACCGTGCTGCTCTTCGCTTCAAAATGCGGTGATACTGCTTCGCGTTGACATACAAAGGTTCCTCTTCTGGCTGTTGAGGCGCCGCTGCCGTGGGCGCAACAATCACTTCTCCGTTCGGTCCACGATACAGTGAGGTGTTCATAACTTGAGCTTGTGCTGTGATCATGGCTGCTGCAGGCTAAGAACATTAGGAAAACAACATACACCACCCATTCATCTTTAATCAGTACGAAAATTTTGACACGTAAAAAAACAGACTTTTATATCCAACTTACCATGGATTGCGCGGCGTAACTGAGATGGCGATTGGGATCGTACGCGAGTGATGATCGTTGTTCTTCCGTCTATACACAAAGTTGATCCCGATTAGAAAACAAAGAAAACAGAAAAATAAACAAACACTCCAATCGTTAACTACCACACCCCACTAGCACCAGAACGAAAAATAAAATAAAAGGCTCACCATGGTGCCTGGAACTGACGAGGCTGGTGGTTCCTGCGAACCAAGACGACTGCCTGAATTATTGCTCGTGTTGCTGTCGTAATTCATTGTGGTTGTTGACTAATGATTCAACCATGAAAAAAAATGAATGTCTTTTCTTTCATCATGACTCTTCCTTATCGAAACGTGATTGCAATATATATAAATGCGTGGATAGAGAGGAGGGGTAGGTAGCAGAGAACGAGAATATGTAGAGGGAACAGACCGAATAAAAGAGACGGGTAGGTTTGACTTACCAAATATTCGCGGGGTACTCAGGATACGACCTTATTGGCTCGAGAAGACTTGTTCGAACAAACGATATGGTTGGATGGATTTTAAGCTTCTTTGATTGGAAGAAAAAAAGTCTTTTATACCCTTCAGTTCTCTCCTTTTCCCTTTGCACCTGTGGCCGGAAAAAAAAATGTTTTTTCGGATTGGGCAACGCCTTCCTTGTGTAACCATAAACTGGAGCTGGGTGAATCATTTAGCCGAAAGAGAGAGAGAGCTTTGTTGCTCTCACTTTCAATGCATATAGAGCAAAATCGGCCAATACACAGTAACTTTGCAGCAAAAACAAAATGGCAATGCACCCTATAACTATATATCATTAGAGAGATATTTGATGCATGAGTTTACTAACAGCAGTACAATCAATTTAATAAGCGGATCAAAATAGAGCGTCTATAATGGTGTATTTTGACAATTCAGGCACCGTTTATCAAGCACGAGTTAAAAGTATATATAAGAAAGATGTTCTATTGACCTTCTACACTAGCGCAGTGGGCAACTACACCAGCACACATATATCTGCGTTTCCGAGCTGTCTCTACAAATTCAGATGTTTCAAGAGCCTTGCCGATCATGTTATTGCCATTCAAAGTGTCTGAAGAGATCCTTGGAAGGCTCTGTTAGTCTTCAGATTCATAAGGTACCTTCATCCCAGGTATTAAGCTGTATAAATAATTATAATAATGGGGCATCGCATGCCATAAAACTGATAATAATATCATTCAGGAAATAATGAGCCTTATCCTATGAGTATAGTCAGCTTCCTTTACTAAGACTGCTTTATCATCATTGCTCTTTCTGTTCTATCAGGTCCAAAAAAGTATATGTTGAAAGTTCATGTATGATATGTCATGCTTTGATAGTAGAGCAAATGTTTGTTTAGTTTGAACAGTATAATATGAGAAAAAGTGAAGATGATTATAGATTCCACATGTACTAATGGCCCAAGATACTAATCCCCTTCTTTCCTGATGAGCAGAAACCGCTTTTGACCGAGTAGAAGGCTCTTGTCGGTGGATTGAATCCACAGAATTATATCCAATAGTCAGCCCCAGAATGATAACTTTGTTTCGTTACATCGAAATAATGGTTTGCTGCATTGTCTTTGGGGTACCAGAGGTAGAACCGCACCAGCAAAACAGCTTTATTTTTTCTTTTTTGGGTGTGAATCTGGTGTCCAACCAAACCATACTGGTTTGCTACCGCGAGTTCCATACAGCTATACAGAAATAGCAAGCACAGTGTGTACCCGACGATATCGCATCTCCAGATAAAGGTGATATGTCGCCTGATGCTCAGGTACGAGGTTACCCTCCTATGACTGACTTGTTGCTAGCTATACCTGTGCAAATTATAATCATCAACCTTTTCTTGACGTTGACATCACATCATTCTTCCGATCAAACATATTGGAAAGGCTTGCAAAGCATATTAATGGATGCGTTTTTTATCCCCCCCAAAAGAGCATAGAACTGGACTATCGCGTTCTTCCAAAGGTTGCCCTTGCTTAATGGCATTATTCTTGATGGTAACCGGGGAAAGGTTCGCAAGTGCAAATACGCAGTCGTGCTCTTCACTGCGTGTGTGTAAATATGTGCTTGATTGAGGGCCTCACAAGCAATCCATTGCATTGCTCGCAATGGGTACCATACGTCAGCCAGATCACAACAATTATGTTGCGTAAAGTACCAAGTATGTTCATCGCTAGCAACAAGACACCAATTTCTGAGACAGAAGTGTTTCTTTATGTTTAATCCATCCCGATTCGCCAAAACCAGTGAACAGGCGCCGAAATCGAACTGCTTTCCTTAAACAGCGACCGTGGTTTATCTTATATGCATCTAGTGTATTTCGCGAACGTTTTTTCTTGGGATCGTGTTGACTGATGCACTTTTGGTCATATCAATTGTATTTGATTACAAAATTCTTGCACACATGCTGAATGATACTTCAAATGGGATGTATTTAACCTTGTGGCGAATATACCTTTGTACCCCAAACTTTTTGCGTACTGTCTTGGCTGGAACGATATCTCTGTGCTTGCCTAGATCGACGCGCTTTTCAAATTAAGCTGTTTCGTTTATGTTCATACTTTCTATTTGGTTCCAAGAATATGATAATGTACAGTATATATCCTTCGGTCAGTGTAAGAAAAGACCGCACTTCATATACACGACAATAGGTGTTAGTACAGTATACAAAGCCGAGAAGTACAAGCCAAGTCGAGAACTATAACTATAAAGCGACATTATGCAACCAGCGACAACTGTTGAAAAGCACTGGATAGCGGATATATGCGTCATTAGCTATCGCAAGCATTATAACTTTCTCTTTTTTTAATCGGTGCATATATTTAACAATCCCAGTTTCTGAAAGAGACATAGACGGTATACTGAGATGGATACACTTGATACATGTATGGTTGTATCATGTGTTCTTTAACGCTCCTTCTTCTTTTAGGGCACCAGCCCCAACTAAGTTACGCAACCTCATCCGGCAGAATGGGTGTTTTGAGATCTGGTTTATGCTATCAGAGGTTGAAGGGACATATGACAGGATCAAAGTGCTATATATCTTTCACGCAAATTTATTAAGTCAAGGAATTGATGATTATTTTAGCAATTAGTGGCAAGCATATATTATGCTCTCTCATTTGTGCATAGCACGCTATTATCACTGTAAGGAACGCTGTAATGTGAGCATCAAATGAAAGAAGCCTCACATGCTTTGATTCAGCCAACTTATGGACGCCCTATCTATTACATTATTCACACTTTATAATAATGCAAGTATTTTATCCGATGGTTTTTCTCTACATAGCCACTCCGATCGACCAGCCATCATGATTTTATCATATTGACAGGACAAGCAAGAGGAGCACCGTGAAGCAAAGAGTCAAGTGATTTGGATCAGATGATGCAGCGCCATAGCAAGTTGCATAAATGTTTGCTTTTAGAAGAAAAGTCTCAAATAGACGTTTCATAGATCCGATCAAGCGCGGTATGTTATGTACAAGTACAGTGCCGGTGGGCTGATCTGTATCCTTCCACTCAAAGAGCGGGGTTATAGGGACGGCGATTGAGACCGACCTGGCAAGCCATTTGAATATGTACCCCGAAAAGATCTCGTTTTCCATTGGGGTGGTAACACCCTGCGAGCTTGTGCGCCGTCGTTTCTATATTTTTCTGTTGGTTGTCCTGGAATCAAAAAAAAAAAAACTCCTCCGCTGTTCCTTCCCCTTTATTTTCTCTTTTTCCACACTTCTTTTTTTCCCTTTGTCATCTAGCACCACCATCACCAGTAACAGCAGCAACAACGACAACAGACTATCATGGACGTTGCATTAGAGCTTGCTGACGAGTATTTATTTGACAGCATATACGCAAAACTAGTACCAGCACACACTTCAGTCAATGGCACTGCCCTTGATGATCTTGTCGCCACTTCAGCATGGGCGCGCGATTATGACTTGCGCATCTGCCTGACTATCATGTGTCTGGTCACCGTTGGCGGTTGGTTCTTTTACCTCTCGGCAGCAACCTTTTCGTACTTTGTTCTCTTTGACCACGAATACATGAACCACCCCAAGTTTTTAAAGAACCAAGTTCGCCTCGAAATCGACTGTGCTGTCAAGGCTGTTCCCGGTTTTGCTTGTACGTTGTAGTTGCTTAATACTATGCCCTCAAAAAAAACCATTAGCTGTTGACTGCTTACCTGTTTTCTTGTTCTTCACGATAGCTCTTACCGTACCTTGGTTCTGGGGTGAAGTAAAGGGCTACTCTCTGCTGTACGAAGGCTTGCCTACTTCTGTTCTTGGTTGGGCCTACATGGTCGCAACCGTTCCGTTGTTCCTGCTCTTCACTGACTGTGGTATCTACTGGATTCACCGCTATTTGCACCATCCCCTTCTCTACAAGCGTTTGCACAAGGTAAACAACGTTTGTCTTTTGTCATTTTATAGATATATGCAAAAGCTTACTCACTAATTCTCTTTGCTATATGTCGGTCTGCTGATAATTATTGTTGTGGGATACTATATAGCCTCACCACAAGTGGATTGGTATGGGATTGACAAAAACGGGGCTCGTGGAAAATATACACAGACAGCAATACTAACGTAACACCCTTCTTCCATTTACTATGCTAATATTTTAGTCCCTACACCGTTCGCATCGCACGCTTTCCACCCATTGGACGGCTATGCTCAATCCGTGCCCTATCACCTGTTTGTGTACCTCTTCCCCATGCAAAAGTGGTTGTATATCGGCATGTTCATTTTCGTCAACATCTGGACAGTCATGATTCACGATGGTAAGATCCTTCTTTGGTTTAGAAATGAACTTTCTTGGCTGGAAAATGGAAGGAGATGAGAAGAGAGACGGGATGTCAGAGAGAGGACATTGGTGATAATTTCACTACTATTATTGATATTAAAACGGTTTTCTTCTTTTTTATGTAGGAAACTTTGTCTCGCGTTCAACAATTATTAACACGAGCGCTCATCACGCCGTCCATCATTTGTACTTTAACTTCAACTACGGTCAGTATTTCACATTCTGGGACCGTCTGGGTGGATCTCATCGCGAACCTACCGAAGAACAATACAACGACGAGCTCCGAAACAGCAAGAAAACATGGGCCCAACAGGCTCAAGATGCCGAGAGCATCGAAGGCGAAGTTCTTGGAAACAAGAAAAAGATCAACTAATAACGAGATTATTCTCTCTCTTATCTATTTCTTCTTCCTCCCCTTATTATTAATCATCCTCTAACGCACTTCTTCATTTCCTACCCCACAAACAATCCATTTCGTTATACTAATCCCTCTTTTGTAATTTTGGTACATTTATTTTGGCTTATTTGTTCTCTCTCCTCCCTCTCTCTCTCTTATCACTTCCACTCCTCTTGTTACATTTTTAATCTACACTCTTATTCCCTTTCTTAATTTATTCTACACACTTGACTTTATGACAAAATATAAGAGATGTCAAAGTAACATTATGGTGGATGACGGAATATTTAAGCCGATCAGATAAAGTACAATGAGGCATATCTGATATCACTACACCGATCCCCCTCGTTGGCCCCCTTCCGTCTTTGCATATGGAGTACATACTAAGAAGGTGAGCTCCGATTCACATGTGTTAAGTGTGCACAAAGTTCCGCATAATGAGTACACCCATTACATAGAAACAGTATGTGTGGAACCTCAAATGGTCTATAATCCGGGGCCCGTTTCATCCGCCAGAAACCATAGTTCTTCCGACGAGTGGGTTCTTATTTACCACTAGCCTACTCAAGACAGTTCTGTTTATTGAAAAGTCGGCCTGTCCCGCCAATTATATTCAGCACGTCAACTACATAGCAGTAAGTGAACTATCAGTTAGTGCTCCATACCTTCTCTAGCAGCCACTCATGAGGATGGAATAGCAGTTTAAGCATGCCAAAATCTCAAGCTAGTGCTATCACCACCATCATCATACATATAAAGAAATAATGAGCTTCTGCATGTATATGTTATTTAGGCCGCATTCTTCCTTTTTGTTCCTTTACATTTCGATTGGCGACTTTGAGGCACTTTTCTTGCTAATTTATGCAACCAGACGGGAAATTTAACTTTCTATTGATGGTACTGATGAGTTCTTCTAGCGTATATTGACAAACATTGACTAATAATACAGTAAGCTTATAGTTGATGTTCTATGATGACTTCAAGTCGAAGGGATCAAAGGGTCCTGGTAACATCACTAATAGATTGTCCAAAACGCAACTGACGCCAGCAACGACGTTGAATACTACCGTACTATATGTATATTCAGCCAGTGCATAGATGCAGCGCCTTTTAAAGGTAACGTACTTTGACAGATGCTGAGCAGGGCCATACATGGCACATACCTCTGTTCTAGCTGCCCACGACTGTAACACAATGATACCAACTTTTTGATGTTCCTCTACCTCATCATATCCCCAATGAACTGGCTGTATAGCCAAGTAAGCTTGTTTATTTATAATCAACATATCACTGTCATGAGACACGTTAGATCATGTGTTCCTTTGGTTAATGTTCCTGTTACTGCCAATGCAACCATTGCCCAGCTCCAATTCCATTGCCAATGCCAGTTGTGCCCAACTCCGACGCTCGTTGCAGAAAGTAGCAGGCGCAGTGCGCGTCACCAAGTTCAAGTTAGCAGACGATCACCAAACCACGAAGAGTTGTTGTAGCATTAAGCGTTTGGATGTTTTGTTGACTGTCAAATGTATATATATCTTTCAGAGCTCGTATTCTCGTCCACATTAGCTTTGACCAAATCCGAAGTACGTCAAACCGAAACCCAAAGGTCCAGTGCTTACATTGTTGCAATGTCTTCTATATAAAAAACGGTCACCATCCAAAGGGCTGACTCAAGCTCTTCATATTGTACGTCAAGCATGGAAGAAGCAACTCGCCCACAGTTGGCCGTTGAGGTGACGGCCGAGCTGAGAGCGATCCTGTCATCCTAAAATGTACGTTTGCGTGTGAAATAAAAGGGTGCGTTGCTGCAAGGGATAAAAGCATGACTTTCGTTGATATGTTCTCGACACAATGGCGCCTGTGGCTCGTGGCCATGTTGCCTATGCCTGCGCCCGCATCGGCTGCTCTAAAGATCACAGTTACTTTTCTTGATGTACCTTTAAGAATCAAACTTGTATGCACGCTTTTAATATTCGTTTTCTGGGCTTACTAGCAATCGGCTCCGGTTCAAATTCAAGTATGCACTCACTTAGCAATAACAATGTACCACTAGTAGACATTCGGCGACTCTAGGACTCAAATTAAATAAATTGTTCTTTTTATTTTGTAAAGTATATTATTAATTGCTACTGCACTACTTTGGGTGGTCTTCCGCGTTTCTTTGTTGGTGGCTGTTGCAGCTTTTGGCTCTTTTTTAATCGTTCTCCCCAGTATCGTTCATATTGGTCGTCCTAAAAGTGTTTTGGTTTCGTTGTTATTCTTATAAACCATCACAAACAATTCAATCCAAAGAAAACCATCCCTCCTCTGCACTCAAGTGTTTCGCTATTGTTACCTTGTATCCGTCCTCGACTTCCTCCTCAAACTTTCTCTTGTTTTTTGCAGAATTGTTTAGCTTCCGTTTGCCTCTTCCTGGTTTCACATCTTGTGGTGCTGTCGCTGCTTCTGTTATCGACGATTCAATTGCACACTGTTGTTGCACTTCTTCTTCGTCTTCTGATTGATAATAGCCTTCGCTCAGCAAAACCAAGAAATCTTCCATGGCTACTTTGAAGTCTTGGTTGTCAAACACTTGAGGCGAAATATAAGGCGCGCTCCAAGGATCTTGTTTTAGACGATTGACGTGGTCGATCGATTCAGGTCGCACGACTTCTAACTTATCGTCAGGTCCGTCGTCTGGTTTGGCGCGTATGAAAATAAGATCAGCTGGTGGCAGCAAGTCAATGAGCGATTCAACAGCATCCAAGGGAAGTTTATCAAAGATCTCTGCTTGTAGCGCTTTCTAATGTCCATAAGGAGAAATGAGAAAGAGTTTAAAGAAAAGATCCAAGGTTATGAGATCAATCGTTTGATTTCAGGAGTGGACAGAACATAAAAGTAAATGTACCTTCATGTCCGCTTGAACCAAGGGGCTGTTAGGATCTTCCAGTAAACGTTTTAATGAGCTCATTTTCTTATGTGCTTTGTTTAGATATGTGGTGGTATTGTCGTTAGAGGAGTGAAATAAGGACGCGATCAAAGCACAAAGCGGCGAATACCGAATTTAACTGTCATGACGGCCGAACGCTTTCTCCTTTTGAAGTCATATGTTTGGACAATGAAAAAAATGTATTTTCTTTATTATTGATGTAAACATTATACAGTTGCATATATCACGCAGCGGATACTTTTTACGGCCAAGTTGCCTTGAAGCTAGGGCGAGCACTGACGCGTTCATAGTAAGCCTTGACTGTAGGTCTTCCTTGGAAGTTCTCCTCGCCACGTACCAAGTTTTGACGATACAGCCAAGCAGTCAAATGGACATCAGCGAGCGAATAGTCACCAAAAATAAAATCACCCTTGCTCTGCTTCAACAGCTCCTCGGTCTTGTCCAAGAAGCGCACAGCCTTGCTCCACATTTGCGCGTTGGTTTCAAACATGGGCTTAGCATCTGCCTTGCCTTGGTACTGCGCAATCATTCCGTTTGTTGATTGGAGGAAGCTGTCATACAACTGCTTGTGTTCCGGCGCCTGCTTGCTGTATGTTTCGAACCCTTGCACACGCCCTTGCAAAAATGGAACAATCATGTCCTTCTTCTTGGCCAATTCGGATTCATCCCGCGAGGTAAAGAACAATGGGTTGCCAACATCTGCGTTGTCGTGCATATCCTTGACATATGAATCGATGGAACTGGCGTTCTGCGAAGTGTACAGTTGAGGCTCGCCGCTCATCTTGTCTAGCTGCTTGCAGACTTCGATCGAGTCGTCTTCAATCGACTTGCTGCCTCTTTCATCAGTAAACTCCAACGCAGGAACGGTGTGGTTTGGATTGACCCTAATGTATTGAGTTAATATACAATCAAGTGGTTTTTGTTTCTTTGTTTTAATCTCGCTGTCTCCGCAGTACTGCGCATGTACGTACTTTAAGTAATCTGGAGCAAAATTTTCCGCCTTGGACAGATCCACGGTAACGTATTCGACACCCTGGATATTCTTTTCAGCAATCAAGAGTCGAGGTATTGATGCATAGAGCGAAGGAGGAAAAGTATACAATTTGATCTTGTTGTTATGGGACATGGTGATGATAAACAAATGGTTATGCAAAAGAGAAAGTGCTTCATTCAATATCCAGGGTGTCTTAAATAACGGACCAAAAGTGCGTCAAACATGCCTATAAATGGATAATTCCGGGGTATTGAACAAAAAAAAACCTGAGCCCCACTTTCGCGCGAACTACATATCAATAATACTTGTTATAATACTAGATGACAAACTACTATAGTATTCTTTATCAATCATGCATGGATGAAAACATGTGTTGATGACATAATATACTTTCCTGCATATCAATTAATATTGCTGACGCGTAATTACCGCATAGACTTCCGCGCTGATTTAATTTTTTCACCTAGGCCAAACATTAGTACACAACGGCCCATATTACATTGAAAATTTTATTATAAGTACTGCATTGATTGCACGACTACTTATGTAGTCATTTGCTACGTAGAGTAGCTCAGAAGCTACCGATGTACCGGCTTATTGCGTAAAATACAGTGTGGGACTTATTTCTTTGACGACTAAGGGATTTTACATCCACCCACTCATCCAATCGTTCTTTTCGGTAGCTATGTGTGAGTAATTGCCGCACGGATAAAAGATGTATGCCCTTCATATATAGTATACTGCATACTGTACTGAGAGCATCAACAGGTTCTGGCTTTCCTATACAGTTATTATGTTAGAGTCTCAAGGCCAAGCTTTCACTTTTGACTTATTAAGCATTCTTGTATATGTATAATTCTTTTGATGGTGATTGAACGCTTTCCTGAGGTTTCTTATCAGTACTGACAAGTTTGACGAACATTTGAAGTTTATATACCATTATAAACAACGTAGCTTTATCAGATTCTCACAGAGGAGATTCTGTATTTTATCGTCTTGCAATGTTTTGATTACCAAACTTGAGCGCAAGAAAATAAGTGTTCCCACGCCTCAAGGCATGGTCATTACTGTACTTCAGAAGGCTTCTTTTATCAGTACCATATTGATATCAAGAACGATACCTTTGGGGCACAAAAGCTTGCTAGGATCAGGCATTGACTTGAACGGTAAATCTGGCCACTTTCGGTAATCCCTTTAAAGTGATATTTTGAGCGCTAATTACACTGAATCTGTCAAGCTAATAAGCTGTGATATGATACCCATACAAGCGATATATATACCGCACCTTTTTATTCTTCTTCTTATAAAGTTCCAAGATGTGCATACATTATGCTTGAAATTCATCATGAACGATCGCAACTCGAGTACCAAACTATCTACAAGGCTGTTTTTAAAAATCTCTTTTCACTACGATACATACAGTAGTCGATCATCAAAGTATTGCCCATCGACAGCATTTTACGCTAACATCAGCAGACCTACCAGTATATCTTACCTGTATATGAACACTCTTTAGCAATGAACAAGGAAACTAGTTAAATCAATATCTCAGCTGCTGTGTGTCCGTATTGTGCACACATGTCACTACAACAACATTCCTGTTAGCGTAGCACAAGCGGGTCTCTGCTTTGATGAGCTATTTGAATATGTGAGGTTCCCATGATGACAATGACGCAATATTTTTATATAAATTGTCAAAAACGTAAATTAGGATGGCGAGTAAATAATCGCACGGGCAAATTTCTACGGGTTCCCCACTTAATAATACCCTCTATGTTAATAGGGTTGGATTTCGTCCTACCCAGTGACCACACGACGCATAATCCTTCCGAGAAACGGTTGATAACTTCCCTCTGGATACAGTTTTCCGTTCTCAAGCAAGTATATCACAAAAACGGAATCGTAATCTCATACATGTGATACGCAATACAAATGTGCGCCGGATATTCTTCTTGTTATGCATCGCGCCACACAGGCAAATATAATACTGTAACAGACGACGTTTCTTCTCGAATCTAGGAAGAGCTGTTGCTGAAAATGCTGATATACCGGAGAGGGACCATGAACGTGAGTAAGCTCTTCCTATCACTTATTCAAGAAGGCAAACGTCCTTGTGTGAGTGCGTGTAAATGCCTAATTAACAAAAACAAGGTAAATGAGAATCCCGTTTTCTCACTCGTCTGCCTTGTACACAAGCGAGGTCTAATTCAGTCGACCCAGGATATGCCCGCCGTTGTGCTACATTGATCTTGGTGAAACAATCCTATCTGTCTGTCAAGTGAGCTTGCTGCTGAGTTTTTTTTCCCTCTTCCATTCCGCGCCGCCGAGACGAACCACTTGTGAATTCAACCTTTTTTTTCCGTTGTTGGACAACATAACACACGTATAATGCATGGGCCACCTTTTTGTTTTCACTCCTTCCTTTGCCGCCCCTTACATATGCTTTGCATTAGAGACATCGTATGTCTCTTTAAGCAGGGAAAGGTCTGAGCGCGTGCATCGCTCGAATTACGACGCGCCAAAAGAGATGAAAGAGCGCGATGGAAAAGAAACACAGCAGTCAAAAGGGGGGGTAGGTGGAACAGTCCCCCACCACCCCCGAAAGGGCATCAGATAAAAAAGAAAACGGTCGTGGGATCAGATAACGCCCTTTACAAACGTTACAGGGTTGTATACTCAAACCTGGTTTCCCTCTCTTTCTCTCTCGCGCTCTCTCTTCTCTCTCTCTCTACACTATCGCGAAAACTCCCTCCTCCCTCTCTCTACCTTCACTCTTACTCACTCGTTAACAATCACGGCCAAACCTCTGTAATGGAGACCAGAGGGCTCATTCAGCAATGGCTCATTTCATCGCAAACGGAGGTCAAACCTTCGTTACTGGCACAAATCCTCCTTGGTAAATAAAACAAAACCATATCCAAGACGAGACGAAGATAAAGCTAATCATATGTAACCAGACATCACACGCGATCCAAGCAGCATATTGACCGTGACGGATATTCTGTCGACACAACAAGGAAATGATCCACGAAAATGTAAAGATAAAATTTTGGTCGTACTTAAGATCATGACATTGTCAAAAATTTAATTCATGCTTGATTATTGTAGGTGTTGATTTACTTGCACAAGTCACGTTACATAGTCGTTCAACGATCATTGATGCTGCAGGTTCGAGAAGACAAAGATCAAGAATTCGCGACTTTCATTTATGCGAGTAGTCTACTAACTCTTACTATGCAACAATAGTGGATGGCTTGTTGAATTTCGCGTGTCAGCGGTTGGATCAGCAGCACCCAATTATTGTGGCACGGTGCCTCGATATGATCAAGTGTTTGATGGAAAGTAGCAACATCAGCGGAGCAAGCGCAATGATGACATGTGAAAGGTAAGTTTCTGATCCGTAGCGGAATGCGTGTTACGAAAACTGATGATCTTTCTCTCCTTCAACCATACAGTATGATCAGTAATCTACCAAACCACAAAATGCACCAAGACGCACGATACAAAACTTTAATGATAATCGATAAACTTTTGCAAAATCATGTGGAAGGTATATAAGCGACTCCTTGTCCTTGCGTTTCAACTATCCATTACTACACCTGCCACTTTACTGATAATGAGATTTGATACGTGTATTAGACTTACGACAAGGGCATTTTGACTTCGTCAGTGGGTTTATTGCGCTAATCGATGGAGAGAAGGATCCTCGAAACTTGTTGATTTGCTTTGAGCTGGTGCGAGACGTGATTGCAAAATTCGACATATCATCTCATATTGAGGTAAAACAAAAAAGAGAGGATCAAACGACAATAACAGTATGAAAAAAGGAACTAACATAATGATATCTGTGTGTGTGTGTATGATATACAGGATCTTTTTGATTTTGTATTTTGCTACTTTCCAATAACCTTCAAGCCACCGCCAAATGATCCATACCAAATTACAACAGAAGACCTAAAGCAAAGTTTAAGGTAATCTAGTCTCTCCTTAGGTATTTCTTGTAGCGCATTTGGACTCAGTAAGGATTGAACAATATATGTACTGTAGGCAATGTCTTGCTTCGACACCTTATTTCGCCAACTTTGCGACACCGCTATTAATCGATAAGTTGCTGACCTCTACCGGCAGTGCCAAGGTAGTAACCATAATGATTGCCTACAAAAAGGAGAAATGGGCCGCATGTGAATTGCTTACACCACATTTCGCATATCCGTGCTAGAGAGATACCATGGAGACAATCGGACTGTGCGCTCCTGCATACGGGGCCCATGCATTATTACCGCACGCACAAAGTATATTTGACATTCTTGCCAAAGAGGTAAGTAATTGAAGAGAAGAATATGCCAAGTAGCGTGTGGTGATAAAATTTCTTTTTTGCTTCAGGTGTACAATGCCGGTTCAGTTACCATGGAGACCACTGCCCTGGAAACGATTCATAACGTGGTTGCTACGCTAGCCAGCGGCATCTGTGTCGCAGACATACGCGTGCCTGTAGAAAAGGCAATCTGGTCATTGCTTGATCCTTGCGTAACACAATTGCAGCATCCCGAATCCAAAAATGCAAAGTCAGCTGGCTACATTTTGCGTGCAGCTGCATCGGCAGCAGGTATTTCGAAAAGAGTCAGCTTATTTTTTTACATGTGTTTGTTTTATATATTTATCCCTGTACATCGTCATCGTTTAATATATCTAGATCCGGCATGTGCTTGCGTTGTACATACCATTGTCCCGATGTTGACCGGTTTAATACATACGGACGATTCACCTATTCGACGGAAAGCCATTGTGGATATTTTCATTGAGATCTTGAAGGGCAACAACAGCTTATATGGATCGTTGGACGAAATAACGAATAAAAGCACAAGGATGGGTAAGTTAGCGCCAAAACAATTGTTCGAGAGAAGAATGGTTAATTATTTACTGATCGTCAGAGGAAATAAACAATTAGTTCGATAATAGCTAACATGATTGCCCTTTAGATGATGATGACAGCTTGTCACCATTGGCAACTTATAAGCAGGAAATTTTGACAGCGTTCATGTCAGCATTATCTTCAGAAGACGAACATTTACGGCTTTCTGGCATTAAAGGAATCAGATTAATGGTCGTAATACGACGATTTCTTCTACCAGATGAGGTATTTGAAAAAAAAATACATGTCTCGTCTAAATATCGGGTTGCAGTTACTAACATGTAATTTTCTTTTTATTTAATTTACGTGACATTAGTTTGAACACGTTATCCAGCATCTAATACGTATATTCATTGCCTATATAGAAGACCAAACAAGGTATGATGAAAGGAGCGACAGTATCCACAATACAAAGATAAAAAGAGGTGAAACAAATTTTGAGTAATCGTTATAAAATATGCTTTCCTACCTAGTCGAGCTGCTTTAGCAACGCTTGTCATCATATGCAAAGTAGATCCTACATCAATTGAGCATCATGTCTTGCCAGTATTGTTAGATCGTCTCTCTGACGGTGGTGACATGATTGCGGATGACTTTTCATATGCTCTAGAAGCATTGGATGCATTATCATTCCAGCCACAAATAGCGCGTGCCACGGTCCCGTCATTGATGGATAAATTGGGCGTTTATCTTAGTCGCAAAGGTAAAGTAGCTTGTAATCGCGTTAAATATAGTAAAATATATTTATTATTCAGTTTTGAAACTAACTTTTTCACGGCGTATTACAAACAATAGATGGCAGCGAATTTCATTTTGCCCATAGTCTTACACGAAGCATATTAACTGCCATTCGATCCACATCTAAAAACCCACAAATGATTGAATTGGCACAACGACTGGTGTTTCCTCAATTCTTATTGCAAAGTATTAAGGCAGCACTTGGTTCATCTGATGCTTGGCGACTCGATAAAGAACTCATTAATTTATGGGGTACGTTATTAAAAAGAAGAAGGCGGATATCTACCGTCTTTCGCTATCATTACTTGTCTCATTGTCCCAACCTACTGTTCTAACACATAAATCCGTCGTGTTTATAATTTATAGCATTGACACTAGCTATAATTCAGCGCAACTCCAGCGCAAGGTATAAAATTTTATTTACAAATCATCACTGACCCTTTTTCAGCGTTTTTATAACTTACTTAATAACTGTTATTATCAGGTATCAGCAAACTGTAATAGTAGATGCCTTTAACGTTTTCGTTTATGGTGACTTATCGACTGTGCCGATACAAACAGATAAATGCCAACCGTTACTGGTAAGTATCGCAAAGAGGGCGAGCTGCTCTCGACCATTGTAAATCGGCAGTAATAGAGAAAAAACTCACGAAAAAACAATGGTAGCTTATTCCGGCAACAACGTCCAATGCTGATATATCCGTCTTATTCCCTGCAATAGCTGGCAATTGCAAAGAAGAGGTACTGAATATCTTTAGTTATTATTTGTTGAGGCCTTGAAAACAAATCTTTAAATTTACTAATGGATGAACATGCTATCGTCAACAAGGTTGAAGCACCTGTACCATCATGTCCGGAACTGATAGGCAACCTTGGATTATCGGTTACAAAACAAGAATTCCTATTTTCCCAAAAACTTGCAATCGCACGTATTGTTGGTTCCATAGCTAACAAATGTAAAAACGGTAGGTAGTGCTATATGTAGCTAGAAGAGAAGGGTAACATAATATTCCTGCAAACAACTGTATTTATTAAAAATAATGCCACCACGTATTAGCCAAGATGCCCGACTCCATCAAAGCACTTGTAACGAACCATCTCATACCCACGATCAACAATACTACTACATCTAGTGCTTCTGAACCTGCCCGGCGTGCTTCTGTATTTTTATTAAGCTGGGTAAGCTATGCTGTTCCATGCAATTGAGGCGGAAAGGATCTTGGCTTAACAAGGAGATGGGTGCAGTTAAAAAAGAACCTGTAAATTTGAGGACAGCAAAAACTGACAATTTATTTATAGCTTGCAAAAGCACTATTAATTAAAGGCCATAAACTCGGTTTTGAGCTGCTGGACAGCCTGCTCCAACAACTTCAATCTCCAGACGATTTAGGAGCAGAAGCAGCAGAAAGCTTTATCGTCATTTTACATGACGACGACCTTGTCTTGACCAAGGCTGCTTTTGCCAAAATTTCAGTAAGTTACATTCTATGCTCATAATCGCCACTTACATGAAGAGTAAATGACTATACTGCAAGAGTTGGTTGAGTATAAGAAGGCTAAAGCTTTTGTTCATGATGTTTAGATCTTGTACAAACAACGTGTTTTCTATCATTGCATATCTGCACTTATTAAAGGTGCTGAAAGTTCATCAGAAGGTATATGAGTGTCTGCACACTATATGTGGCATGAGATTTATTATTGTTCGATAGAGCTAAGAACAAAAAAAGTGGAAATCATGGCTTAAATCATTAACGTATATCCAATCATCACTTAGTTATAAGAATCAATCATCTTGTCGCATTTTCGCATATTATCAACAACATTCCAACCCAAATTATAACTAATGAAATCCAAAAGGTAAAAGAAACTTTAGAGTTTATGTTGTCTCCTTATTATTCTGTGTGTACTTACAGGTTATTATTCTGCATCGATACTAGTTGGTTCCCGCCATAATCGCATCCCTTACTGCTGTTACTCATCCCCATCCGCTATTGTCTCTTATTCGAGTGATTGAAACCATCGCACCAGATTCCATAGCCGCTAAGGTGCTATCACAAGACCTTATAGAAGGACTTGTAGAAGCACTTGTCAATCTAACAACCCAGAGTCGATGTTATCGCATGGATATACGCATGGCTGCGCTCCGCTGTTTACGGTTATTTGCAATCCAGCAGCAGTGCAGGAACGAACTCCGCTTCTTGGCTCCAGTCATTGTCAAGCACTTGGCAGCTGCATTGGATGACAAGAAACGCCAAGTCCGTAAAGAGGCTGTTTCTTGTCGAGAAAAATGGTAAGTAACGTCTGAAAAGATTGAAAAAGAAACGTTTTCTTATTGCTCTATATAGGTTTAATCTTATGGAACTACCGCGTGTATAGCGAAAAGCATTATTCTATCATCAACTCTTATATGTATACATACGCCTCTTATGCTTCTTTTTTCTTATTTATTGCTATTACTATTAATTACTTTATGATGAAAGAGAGAATATATGAAGAAAAATAAATGAAATCAAGCGCATACTTTTTCTGTATATACGAACCATAGAGTGAATCCCCAAACCCCTGTTGTTGTGCACCCCTTGTCTACTATGTGGCATACTCAGCGCCAGCATGTGTATGGCCGCTTCTGTCAAGTGCTAGAATTGCTCAGCATAATATACACACCTAATTCTTCAATGGGTGGATAACGATGGTTTCACGAAACTCTTACAGCTTTCCCAAGTCGGTATTCAAATTCCTTATTGTCATGCCAATGTTATTATTGCCGAGCCCTGAACCCTTTTCTTTCTCTCTTTCTCTTTAAACTCTGCACAATGTCGTTTGGTACCGATTTAAAGGTAAATCGTTGAGAAACGATCACGGAGTATACATTCAAATAACAGAATAACAAACCAAGTTTCTCTTTGTCTCTCCTTCGGCGTGTCTCCCCTCTGCTATTCTCTCTGTGTATTTAGTGCCAAGTACCCGCGATTGTTGATTATATTTCTGATGGCATACAACAACTCAACCAGTTCCGAAACTTTGTGAGGGATCGATCACAAATTGAAAAGGACTATGCACAAAAGCTCGACAATCTCGCCAGAAAATACGCGCCAAGTGTAAAAAATAATAACGCCGAGCAAGCAACTATGGGTGAAGACGCTGAGTGGGCAGGTGCAGATTCGAGGTATGTACATCAATTTCTGCCGAAACTTTATCTCCCTTTTACATATATGTATAAATGGGTTGCTGTTCTAGGCAAAAACAAAGTTTCATCTTTTTTTGCTGCTATTATGTCAACAGTGACCACAGCAGCAGTAGCGCAGTAATAGGAGCCCAACATGAATTAAATAGTTCAAGACTGACTCAAAGGAAAAAATAATAACAACTATATAGTACGGCCAACGCAGCATGGTTTAGTATTGTGGACCAAACAACCCGGATCGCAAAGTGTCATTATCAGCTAGTGGATGAATTGAACAGTGGTATCATTGAAGTGTTAAAGGCAACAGGGGCAAGAAAGGAAGATGCGCGAAAAAAGGTATAACAAATATGGATTTCCAAGATGCAAACTGGAGGAAGAGAAGAGTAGCTTACCTATCGCACGAAATGCTTTTTTGGGGGTTTTCTTTTCATATGTATAGCATGTAGCTTTCTATCAAAAACTAAAAGCCGAACGGGATAAGACATATGCCGAGAAAGATAAAGCAAAGTCAACATACCATGACGCTTGTATGGAAATTCAAAATGTACGGAACAAGATGGCTAAAAATGCTGGAGGAGATCAAGACAAGGTAACGAAAGAGATATAAGGAAGGTAGGACAAACTATATTTAATTTTCAAGAAAATATAACCTATTATTACTGTATATCTCTTTAGTATCGAAGGCAATTAGAAAACGTAGTACTTGAATGCAATAACAAAAAGGTAATACTGGAAATGACCATTTATGCACATAGTATGTGCGGACCACAATGTTAACTAAATGGTTCTTATAGAACACCTACTTGTTGTCGCTAAGTACTGCTACTGCCGAAAAGGAGAAATACTTTGAAGAAGATTTACCCATTCTTGCCGATGTAAGTGTACATACAAGGTGACTAGAGAAAATTGATAGAGAAAAATCTACATAGGAACGTTGAAGTAAAACGGAGAAAATTTTATTTACTTTTGACTTTTAACTATAGCAACTACAAGATCTAGATAGCACACGCGTGCTTGCACAACAGAAAATGTACAGAGAATACATTGCAAAAATGAGCGCCACAATTGCACAGGTGCAGAGCCACTATACGGATGCATTGGCGTCGGTCGATCAAATAGATCCTAGAGCAGATGAGAGCATGTTTCAAGGATCATTGGATCCAAACGAGCAACGAGAACTAGGCGAACACGCAACATTTGCGTTTATGCCCTGGAACGGTGGTGCCAATGCGGCAGAGACAGCTGTGGATACTGTAGATAGTCTAATGATCGATGAGCCTTCGGTGATCTTTTTGAATAACAAGTTGATTAAGGATCGACGACAGTTAGATATATTGGGCGATGAGCTATCTCAGAATTCGGCCAGGATGAATGAGTTGGAGACAGTGGTGAATGGTATATCCGATCGTACATCGGCTGAATATGATCATGCGAGAGAGGTATGACGATTCTGTTGTCGATGCATAATATCTTTTTATCACTAACTCGTCAACGTTATATTCTTTATTTAAAGCGACTCGCAGAAGTGACTCGAAACATCGCAATGCTATCCACTCAGAAAGCACGAGTCAAGAGCGAAGTGGATCTGATCATCCATAACATTGGAGGTAAGCAAAACCATATACTTAGCTTTTACATCGAATATTAGAAATGTTAAATATCTGTCTGTTTAGATAGCGGTCTAAGTGCTCAAACGCACAATTTTAAGGCTTCTTCTTTTACTATTCCAACCACGTGTGATTACTGTAATAACACTATCTGGGGTCTGTCAAAGCAGGGCATGACATGCAAAGGTAATGAAGTCAACTCCATTGCTATAAAATCTAGTAAGTGGCATGCTAATGTTAAGTAATATGATAAATATGATATACAGCATGTGGTTTGAATTGTCATGCCAAGTGTGAAATGAAAGTTGCACCAAACTGTTCTCGAGTCAAGGGCAAAATCGATCGTTATCATCCATCTCCCGCGCCACAACCTAGTCCGTCTGCAACACCAAGATCTTCCATGACTACAAACAACACCACCAGCGTACCTACATCGCCCAACACGCCACGAGGAGCAGCGACGATTGCCGTTGAGTCGGCACTCAAAGTCTGTGCTCTCTATGACTATAATGCACAATCGTCAGATGAGTTGTCAATTACTGAGGGTGAGGAGCTGAAGATAATTGGATCAGAAGGTATGTACATATTTGTTCTAGATGTCTTTTATTATAAAAGAGAATCATGCTGATAGGTGAACTTGCTCTGTAATTATACTACAATAGATGATGGCGAGAACGGATGGTTAAAGGTAAAGAAAATAAGATCAATGAGATATGAAGAACTACTGTTGATTTATCTATTTCTTAGGTATCAAGAGGTAGTCATGTAGGCTTTGTCCCTGCAAACTACATCACATTCGATCAATCATCATCACCACCACTATCACACAAGAGCAACAACGACAAGAGTAATATCAGCGACGAGGACGAGGTCATGTCTAATGCAAAAACACCATCGCCACCTGTACAACAACAACAGCAGCCAGTACCAATACAAGCAGCGCCTGTTAGCCCTCCATTAGATACACAAAGTCCACCACCATCACCACCGACCTGTGATTATGTAACGGCGCTGTATGATTTCGAGGCCGTCAATAACGATGAGCTGAACCTTCATGAGGGTGACAAAATCATGGTCATCAAAAAGGATGATAGCGGCTGGTGGGAAGGTAAGGGATACGATTCATTAGTTTTCTGTTCTGGATGCGTTTATATTTTTGGGAGCAAATTTTCTAATCATTTTCCCATAATTAGGAACTGTCAATGGACGTTCTGGAGTCTTTCCAGCAAATTACGTCCAGTAGAAAAAAAAACAAAGGCCAATCCTTTGCACATATTACACGTTCTTTCTTCCCGCCTTTCCTCTTATTTTATATCTCAACCTCTCTCACTCTTTTTGCCATATAGTTGTCATCAAGCTAGTACTTGATGACAATGCTTATTTATATTACCTTATCAAACACCTTTCTCCGCCATCATCATCGATCATCATCATTCTAACTTTTCTGCTATATCTTCTTCTTTACTGCATGTACATATATGAAATATATTTACTTTTTTGCGTCTCACCCAAAATAGCTGTGTCAGTACGATAAAATGCTTACGGATATAGTAAGGAGCTGACAAGCATTCTCATTCCTTCAAAACATCTTGTTGTTGTTGGGGTCAATAGCCTGACTCTACATGATATAATATTGAAATAATGTAGACAAGACAACGACAAAAATAATCCTAAGAAACCCTCCATGTATTGCCAGAAAAGTTTAGTAAATGACCGGAGATATCACTGATATAATCATCACCAATTCAGGTGGTGGAAACAATCAGATATCTTTTCATATTTCTCCACTCTCCCCATAGACTCATTGACTTGGTAGACCCAAAAGTGGTTGAGTAATTTTTCAAGTACAGCGGCGAATTTGAAGGCCTGTGACTTGAACAACTGTACTCGACACTTCTTGCAAAATTATATAGGCGTTACCACCCTAACCATATACAAGAAAAAAAAGGATCGGGTTGTCATCTTTTATTTTTCTTATACATACATTCGACCAACACAAATAGTCGAGAGCGCGAAGCGGTTGCAGCACAGAAATAGTTTGTCATGGCGTCCAGTGGTATACGCTATCCAAGCATAGCAAGATGCTATGCCGATGCAAACAATAAGATGCCCAAAACTTATTGGGATTATGACAATTTACAAGTCCAGTGGGGGTAGGTTTACGTTGTTTAACGCCGAATCATTCAGAATTTATAATTAATCTTGCTACGAACAACAACATAAAGGTTACAAGATAACTATGAAATCATTCGCAAGGTCGGACGCGGCAAATACTCTGAAGTATTTGAAGGCGTCAACATTACCAACGGTGAAAAGGTCGTCATCAAGGTTTTGAAGCCAGTCAAGAAGAAGAAAATCAAGCGTGAAATTAAGATTCTGCAAAACTTGGCTGGTGGTCCTAATGTGGTTGGTTTGCTCGATGTTGTTAGAGATCCACAGGTATGCTCTTTTTTACAGAGGAAGAAGGGGAAGGGTATGCTGTATATGCTTATGGGCCCTGGTTAGTTACAAGCCCGGGTTTACGCGCCCGTACGTACATATGTAATTTCGCACATTTTTAGAGGATATTAATTGTTTCCTATACACATCCTATAGTCAAAGACGCCAGCGTTGATTTCAGAGTATGTCAACAACATCGATTTCAAGGTGCTTTATCCAACATTCACCGATTATGATATTCGATTCTATATGCTCGAGCTGTTAAAGGTAAGTAGATGGAGAGCATATTTTCTTGCCACTATCGCTGCTGTTGACTACATACCAAATTTCCTCTTGATGGGGTAGTACAATGAGGGGTTGGGGGCGGGAGGATATGTGGGTGGTGGCGAGCTCACGTTGACAGCAAGCGGCTGCGCACGGGCAATAAAATCAAGGAGAGACCATAGCATTGTAGTATCACTGACATTACATTTCATTAATTCTAAAATAGGCTCTGGACTTTTGTCATTCACGAGGAATTATGCATCGTGACGTGAAGCCGCATAATGTCATGATTGACCATCAAAAGCGCGAGGTAATACTATTTATTATATAGAGATGATGATGTTCAACAGATGAAATAAGTGAAGGGAGAAAAAGGAAGGGGAGCAAGTATATTAACCTTTGGAGACATATATTTTAATACAACATAGCTGCGCCTGATCGACTGGGGTCTAGCAGAGTTCTATCATCCTGGCACAGAATACAACGTTCGGGTCGCATCACGTTATTTCAAGGGTCCGGAATTACTGGTGGATTTCCAGGATTATGACTATAGCTTGGATATGTGGAGTTACGGCTGCATGTTTGCTAGCATGGTACGAAAAAAGGAGGCATATTTTGATGGGATGGGAAGAGAGAAGCACTTACAAGCAAGTGAAAAGAGTCTGGATGAGTAGTTGACTAATGCAATGGGCACCATGTGCGTTTGTGGATAATACATAGATCTTCCGTAAGGAACCATTCTTCCATGGACACGACAACTATGATCAGCTCGTCAAGATTGCTCGAGTGCTTGGTACAGATGAACTGTTTTCCTACTTAGACAAATATGATATTGAGTTGGACCAGCAATATCACGATATCCTCGGAAGGTAAGAATACTTCAATAGAAAAGAGAAACAGTGAAAGAGATTTCTCGCGAGGTATAAACTATGAACAGATAATTAAAGCAGCTATGGCCCGTGTGTTTGTAGATATCCACGCAAACAATGGTCGAAGTTCATCACTAGCGACAACCATCGTTTCGTGTCTGACGAAGCCATTGACTTCTTGGACCATTTGCTCCGTTATGATCATCAAGAACGACTGACTGCACAAGAAGCTATGGCTCACCCATACTTTGGTAAGTTGGCAACCACCTCCCATGCAGGCTGGATTTAGACTTTTCGATATGTATTGCTAAGTACTTTGCCTCCCGATATGGCGATCAAATAGATATTGTAAAGGAGAAGGAGGGTCAGCAAGCATGAGAGTGCAATCATTAAAAAGACACCGCAGCATCCAAAGTTCCCCGCCAATTTCCAGAAAGAAATGATGATATGAGAGAAAGAGAGAATCAAAAAGAGAGAGAGAGAACCGGATATGTTGATTTATATAATCCCCCGCTCCACCATATACATATATAAAGACCAAAAGCTCCAAAAAAAACCGAAGATTGTTTGACAAATATTTCCTTATTGTACACACAACACACACAACACACGCACGCACATCATTTATGTCAAGAGACCCAAAAGGTTTGATTTGATACTATAGCAACTGTCATACTACTACTTTTACTACTACCACCACTACACAGATGAACTTTTTATCCCATAGTGACCCATGTTGTAAAAATGAGCTACGCTGGGCGTAGTGATATCAGCCGTTTCAAATAAAAAAAAAACCATGTCGCGTATCTTGTGCATAATGCCAAAAAATACCCGTCGTCAAGGGAGGTATCGGTCGGTATAGTTTATCCGAGCATATACGTGAAAGAGAGACTATGCCATTTCTGGAGTTTGAAGAACGGTTCCCTAACCTCTTGTGCGCCTTTAGAACGGCAAGAATTCAGGAGAAAACTTCATTCTACATAAGCGTCGTTTCTCTTTTTTTTTGCTCTCTTTCTTTCCTCCTTTGTTTTTCCCTGACAGTTGTATATATCCATATATTTATATAGTAACAATAATAATCTAGTGGTGAATGGAAAAGACTGTTTTTCTCGCCGTATTACTACTACCAAGCTACATCTCCTTATTCACGGAAGCCGTCCGGCCATCTACATCCCGGGTTGGGCAGGGTATACTTATCCATTTCTACGGGATTATATATAATTGGGCGCACCTCTTTCAATTCCTTCTTCTGTGCGATAGGTATAATGCTAACCAAATAACGAACTAATACTAGGATGTGCATTATTACGAGACACAACAATCTATTGTTACGGCGGGGCCACTTATAGTCCCAACGCCGATGACGACGACGACCATGTCGCCACGACATATGCTGACCACTATGCTCTCGATATCGGATCCATGACTCAAGTCGATGACAGCTCGCTTGATGGTTGGCGCCAGTTGAATGATGGCGACGGCGGACCAAACGCACATTTTGCTATTGCGCCGTTACCGGATCAATCTGGATATTTGATGCATGGCGGCTGGGGCCGTCATGATAGGCGGACCTATTTACGAAACCAGACCATGCTATTCCATGGAGATTCGGAAACCTGGGAAAACATTCCAGCAGCTAATAACGCACGAGTGGATCTCACGTAAAGTTCGCCACTGTATTCTTGTTGGCAACAAGAAAGAGTAAAAAAGTTGCTAATCAAATTTTCTGTATACTATAGTGCCAGGATGCCAGGTGTTCTAGGTGCTAATGATACGATATGGATCTGGGGTGGTGAAGTGTATGTATTGACAAGGCCACCGTCCTACGAAGAATAGCCATAATCTCTCTAATATAATCAGCTCTTCTTTTTCAGAGATGATCTGGCCGACAGCGAAGATATCCCGGAACCCGAAAGTATACGGTCGTTCCACAGCCAGGTTCGTATTACCGCTCCGTCCTTCTAATCACAAAGAACGAAACGTCCTTCCACAAAAGAACAAAAAGAAAGACTAAGCTAATGATTATCAGAACGACAACAATAACGAGCGCTGACTTTATGTTATTATAATCCAGACGCAACAATTGACACAGACACGCATTCCAACGTTTCCGCAAGGCGCATTCACACGCGTGGGCCACTCAGCAGTACTGGCACGCGACGGCCGAACCGTGTTCTATTTTGGCGGCATGAATGCAGAAAGCGAAGAACGAGAAATGGATTATGATGAGGATGGTTACTCCAACGCAACCATGAGTGATATCCTTGTGTTTGATACAGCCAATCAGAGCTGGAGTAGACGCACGAGCACAGGTGATGTTGTTCCTACGCCAAGATCTTTTCATACCACGACGCTCAGTAAGAACCTCTTTTTTTTGTTGTTGTTGCTGTCACAAAGTAGCACCTGCAGGTTCTAAAAATAATTTCCGCTTTCTCTGTGTTAATAAAAATAAATTAACTGACATCATTCTTTCTTTTCTTTCTTTTGGTACGCAAAGTTCCCAACTCGGACGATATCTTACTTTATGGCGGTCGAAGGATGGGAACTGATCTTCCGGTCGATGACTTTATCTATAAATACAACACCGAAAACAATCAGTGGACTCAAATCAATTTGCCACAAAATGGCGCAGGTCCACGCTGGGGTCACTCTGGTACAAAAGTGAAAATAGAGTGTCCGAAACCCGGGGAGTAGCTTATATCTTCATTAACGCCCAAAAATGGTATAATAGCTGTACTACATCAGGATCGATCACTATTTATCTTGTTTGGCGCCAATGCACAAGGCGCATCCACGAACGATTTTTATATGCTCGATGTCAATGATTTAGAATGGAGAGGCCGATCTTCTGGCGATGATGGTAGTGGAACAGATGCTGGTACCAATGGTGGTTCTGGTGGATCCTCTTCTTCAGGACTTGATGGCGGAGCAATCGCTGGAATTGTTATCGGCGTGTTGGCGGCTGCAGTAAGTTTTTTACATGTCAAAGAATCAGGCCTTATTTCTAATATACTACTGGCTACCTGCTTCGTTTTGTTTACCTACTGTTTTTATAGGCCCTTACTGCTTTTGTGGTCTTTGCATTATATCGTCGACGAAAACGACAACAAGAACTCTATGCACAATATGGAAACAATCCACCAGACAATAAGGATGAAATGATACTTGCAGGTGGCAGCACTACCACTGAAAGCAACATTGCCCCGGCTGCAGTACCCCCACCCGTACCACCCAAACATGGTGTCCTTAACCGACTATTCCAAAAACCAGACGAACCTTCTCCAAAAGATCTTCTTTATCAAAAGGAAATAAAACCAGATACAGTTGACTAATTTATATATACCTTTCCCTCCCATCCTACCTCATCAGTTACGTTATTGCTGTTATGTACTTATATACATTATTTATTAATCATTAGTGCAAAGAAGTACTTTTTGATTTCTTGGTAATGATGATGATGATGGTAGTTGTTGATTTACAATGCTTTTCACTAATACATGCTAATGTTGTTGTTGATGCTGTTTATCCTGTCTTGTTATACCGTTGCTTGGTAATTTCGAGTATTTGAGCTGTTTTGATGCAGTTGCTGTGGTATCTTGGGTGGAGACGACGGATGATGACGAGCCTAAACCACGACGATGGGTTTGCGTTGATGGTGAAATTGGTGCCACTATACCATCCGCGCCTGTTCTACCAAGACTCTGACCTTCCTGCCATCCCATTTTTCGTAGCATTGTATTTCCAATGCCTTGAACCTGTGTTTGCATTGTGGCTCGTTCTGTTTTCTCAACTCGTTCTTGTTTTCCTTCGTCAACGTCACCATCGGCATGAGGTCTTTTTAGATGACTGGATATTGTAGTCGAAGCATACAATTGTCGTCGTCGTTCTGCTGCATCGACATAATCACTCTTTGTATTTTTCTCCTTAGCAACCGGCGCATATGATCGTTTCAATCGACGTAATTCCTGCATCCATTCCCGTTCCTTCATGTCTGTCGACCCGAGATCCGAATGTGTAGAAAACATCACGGGCTGTTGCTCCTTGTTATTAGCGATACCATCCTTGCGAGTTCCATCACTAAGATCTACCGTATTTTGATCCCGTGATACACATTGATGGCACGGCTGTTTATGCTTATGCACTTGAAACAAGGTCGAACCAATCTGTAAATGATCCAAATCACTCAATGAAGCCGGGACACTGCTGGATTTGGTGCCTGACAAGCGCTGTTGGTTAAGAAACGTGCCGTTCCTTGATCCAAAGTCGATCACTTGAAATTGTTTCGTGTCCTCGTTGTAATAGATTTGACAGTGGTATTTGCTGACAGGCAGTTCGGCAAGCCGGAGATGCCGTTCTTCCCACGATCGATCTCGTCCGACTGTCAGTCCTTGGGTATCGACAATGACGACTTGCCCAGTTGACAAGCGATTCGATTCCAGCACAACCAAGTACACTGTATCGATCAATAGTGTTGTTGTTTGTTGATCTTGCTGCCGATCTTCTTCTTTTTCTTCTTCTTGCTTTTCTTGATATTGCCTTTGCTCATTGTTTGTTGCTGTTGGTGATGTTGCGGGTAGTGGGGTTATAGACATGTAAGTTTGTGATGTTACGTCGTAACGTAAGTATTCGCCCATGAGAGTGTCGTACCACTGATCAGTGTCTTGATTGTACAAGTAGCGTTCGTCATTATAATAATGCTGTGGTTGCTGATCCTCTTCTTGTGTTTCTACTATTTGTCTCTGCGCTTGCAAGTAGGAATCGACATCAGAAGCAAACTCATCAAGGCTGCTCATGCAAGCTGAGAGGGGAGGATATTGCGTATGGCGGAAGAGAAGAAACGAAACGGAGTTGTTGCATCCTTTGAACCATATCCTGAAGAATACACGAGCGCGTAAACGCTTCTCATATTGATATTTATCTTCCTCACCCTTTTGTCAATCCTGGTTTCCTTGCACTTCGTAAGGCGTTAACTGCTCCATGTCTGGTGCTAAGTAAAGATTAGCGTAATTTCCATATAAACTTCGTCCTTCGCGTGGGTCTTGGATGGTTTGTAAAACCGCAAATTAACTAGTGCGGGATGCGGGAAAATGGGCAACTGGTTTGCAGACAACAGTTGGAGCTCACTGAAAGCGCTCAAAGAGTGTGTATGGTGCATGTCAAGAGGTTCTGGAAGAAGAGACGAACCTTAAAACTGAAAAACATTACGGTTTTGACGGCATCCACGAATGATATCATAGCCAAAAGGAGCAAAAGCAGCTATGTAATTATAAAATTCATGCAGACGACAGTAAAATGATCGAAGCACATAATCGAATGAACGGTTTGAAAAAGTGGATGGTTGAAGGGAAAATAGGTCCCGGTTTCGAAGCTATCCACCAGTACTGTACGTACCGAATTTGTTCACAAGTCGCTTCGATAGGAAGCGACATTTGCAAAAGAGTCTTCAACAGAAAAGCTTTATGTACCTTTGGATAATTTATAGCTGTGTATGTATTGTGACAGGTGACACACCACCCCCGTCGGCCTACATATTTACAAACGTCAATGACTACAATGTGCTTGCATGTGAAAGTGATATAATGCTCATGTTGACAGTAGTGACCTCCTTTGCATTTTCGATAAGGACTACAGCACACTATATCATCTAGTCTATCACGCCCTTATCGTTGGAGGGCTATGCTGGGAACAAGTCGTTGATGCTGTTCATGTTACCGTTTGTTGTTTGTTTATTCTATCACAACAAAGCTGTAAATGTTGTTTGATGCATGTTTTAATGTTTCATTGCTTCTTCCTCTCTCTCACTCTCACTCTAGTGCTCTAGATGTGCAGCAGGGGGAAGAGTCAAGAACAAAACAGCAATAGCCCCATTTATAACTCTGCTAGATAAGTCCCAACCAATTCTAGGAGCTCGGTAGAAGGAGAGAAAGAGAGAAGGTAATGAACGTATGCCACCACCTATTTTACAATTGAATAGGATCCGCCAAATGTTGTAAAATGGAGAAAAAAAAAGTTCTTCGGGTTTATCGCTGAGATTGTAATCCATCGGCCAAGCAGGCAGGGTCCACTACTTTTGGGGTTGTGTAGGTGTGGGTTGGTGCGTGATTGTGATTAAAGTCCTTCTCGGCCTCTGCTTTTGCTTCGTTTATTGCACGTTGTCTCTTTGGCAGTTCAAATAACTCTGTCTGTATCTTTTCCGAGCTGCATACTGCTTTTCTGTCTCTCTTCTTCTTCTTCTTCCACCACACTTCCACACAATAACTATGGGTGAGGCTTTTCTTTTCTTGTGCTTATATAAAAAAAACACGAGTTAAAAAAAAAAACAATAATAATAATAATAAGAAGAAAAAATAACAGAACAGTCGACACAACTGCCACTCGCTGACAATAGCAACAACACGTCGCCGTCATCGTCGCCTTCACCAGCAGTCAAGCGAACAAAACTCAACAATGGTACAGCATTGGATAATGGACAGCAACAACAGCAACACGACGATACGCCAATGTCCTCATCATCCATGTTTGATGAATACGAATTCAAAGTGAACGAGGTGATTAGACGAGTCAAATGAGGTCCCATATTCTCTTAAAGAATGACTTTTAGCTAAGACTTATATTTTAGCCACCCGTCGGACGACCTGTTCGTGTATACTGCGATGGTATGTATGCATAGTACATAACGTTACATAAATAATTTGTTTATTTACTTATTTATTCCCAAACCCTTTCTCATATATAGGCATATATGACATGTTTCATTTCGGACACGCCAAAGCGCTTGAGCAAGCGAAAAAAGCGTTCCCAGACGTGTATCTGATGGTGGGTGGTAAGGGATCCTTTTTCACGTATTCTGTTTTTCTGGCTTGGCGCACACCTAGAAATAGCTATATTGTCATATATACATCATACTGAGATGTATATTTGAAATATATGTAATAGTGTGTAACGATGTCGAAACGCATATGCGTAAGGGCAAAACGGTAATGAACGATACCGAGCGGTATGAAGCTGTACGACATTGTCGCTGGGTGGATCAAGTGATTGAAGATGCGCCCTGGTTCGTGACCCAGGAATTCATTGATACCCACCAGATCGACTATGTCGCCCATGATGCAGAGCCTTACCAGTCCACCGAGTCGGGTGATGTCTATGCATTTGTCAAAGATCAGGGCAAGTTCTTGCCTACCCAGAGAACCGATGGCATCTCCACATCCGATTTGATCACCCGTATCGTGCGTGATTATGACCAATATCTTCGACGTAATTTGGAACGTGGCGTCAGTGCAAAGGATCTCAATATTTCCTTCTTGAAGGTAAAATGATAAATCAGAATGGCTAAACGTTTAGGACGATATTATCCTGACATGTTACTGATGGTGATGTGTAGGAACGAGAAATCAAAACGAAAAAGTCAATCGAGGATATACGGAAGCATATCAAGACGGCTGTGCTTGATCAACTAGAGACTTGGGAGGGCCAGAGCCATGATTTTATAAGAGGATTTGCCGGCATGTTTGGTGCCGAGACTGTGGTGGTAAGGTTTCTCATCTCTTCAGCTATACAAGCGTTTAGGAAAAGATATTCACCATGGAGATATTATGTAATAATTAGGAACGATTCCTGCAAAAGCGTAAGCTCGTCGCTTCCAGGAGTCAGCCTGGCTCGCCCGTATTGAGCGCCAGCAGCAATGACGCTGATAGCAACAAGAGCGTCAGAAGCATCAAAAGTGCTCCTGAAGAGGAAACACCCAAACCTTAAGAAAGAACCTTTCTCAAAAAAACCCCATGTTGTACTATCCCCTTCTACCCTTCTCTGTCCCCATCTATCATCTCTATCTCTCCCTTTGTTATCCACTAGATACCTATTATCACGCGTTTTTCCTTCTTCCATGACATATGTTACAACATTAACCCATCCACCGACTTACATTTTTCTCTCAACCACCCTGCAGTATCTTTTGTTTTCCTTTCTGTAAACCATCCTACAACAACCCTCTCGGCCTATTTGCTCATATCTACAAAAGAAAGTTGTATTGCGATAATATATATATAGAGTAGATATTATATTCATAAAAGAAACAGAAATTGCGACAACAAAAGTTAGTTTTTCCCATTTATTGTTTGTTTTGCACACTCTTGCTTTTTTCTGGTAGGTGTAAATAAAATATATGCATATATAATATGGTGTCTTTGCGAAAACCAAATTAGCGTCGGATTTACACGCTAGGCTTTTTTTAAGCGGTCCAAGCGCGAGCAAGCAATTCAGTAAGACCAATATCGTTGGTGTTGAACTGGTAGCAACCGACCAAAGTGCCAGCAGTGGCAGCGTAGAGGACAGCAGTGGCGATCTTGCCGACAACAGGTGCCTTGCGGGGGTTCAAGTAATCTAAACAAGATAACGACGGTTGATTTTAATCAGTGTGTGTGAGGTTGATTTAGTTTTTCTCAAAGGTCTCACGGGTAGCTTTCATTATTCATCGCTAATCAAGAAAATGATAGAACGTACCGGTAATGCAAGCACCGAAACCTAGATAATAAACAAACAGCATCATCATATATTTAAAGATGTTAGTAAAAAAAAGTCGATCCGTTGTTCACCGGCATCACCCTTCATTGGTTGTGTAGTTATCGCTTATAGCGAGGGACAGTTATCTTACCGATGTGAAGATGGACAGGAAGGACAATTCCGAAGAGCGTATCAAGGACGGGCGAAGCGCCATAGGCGAGTTGACCGGCGAACAGGGGGACCAAAGCAATCGAGAAAGCGCGTTCGGTATCCCAGTGGTACGAACCGTGCATACGATCGGGCGTGTGGGTGGTGGTAGCGGCGTTGCTGCTCTTGTTAACAACAGCTAAATTCATTTCAATAATTACGTTGTTGTTCGTTATATGGAATGTCGCGTTTATACGTATCATATTGATGCATTCAGTATTAATTCTCTCGTTCGATTCCGTTTGTATATGCTAGAATGCAGGTAACTGTTTTGAAAGAGAATTAGTTACTCACACGAGTGGATCTTGACAAGACCCATGGGCTGCTGACGAGCAACAAGACGAGCGGTCGAGCGAAGAGTGGGGGTGGCGAGACGCAAAGACATGATTTTTAGTTTAAATGGGGAAACGGTAGAGTGGGGAGTTGTAAAGACAAAAAAAAAGGAGATAGAAAGGGTTGGGCACTATGGTAATAAACACAAGCGGGCTGGGCGTACTTTGCTGGCTGGCTTATTATTTACCCCAGGTTAGGCCTTGCCATTTGTGTTGTTATTGCTGCCCGCCACTGTTGCGTATCGGAAGGCCCCGCGATGTGAAATTGCTTGATGACGTCGCACTGCACGTGAAAATAATCACATAAAACGATTCGGAAAATGAAAGGTAAGATTGATTCATGCAACACATGGACAACAACCGGTAGGCAACGTTAGTATTCGGTAGCATGACTTTTCTGGTTTGACAGACGTTATAGTACACAGCCACTAGTACTCACGGTGAACAGTAATCGCTGCTCATGTTGCTACCAACATTGCGACCTCCTATACAGTACTAAAGCTTTCTTCTGTTAATACCTAGTAGCGCTTCCATCCACACATATCACGAGCTTTAACCCACATTTTCTCTGATCTTTTATCAAACCATACGTATTTATAGAGCAACATGTAAGATAATAGCCATTTCAACTATAAGGCAAGGTCTATACAAGTAGCGCTATTTAGGTCTTGACTTGATTAATATATCCTGAACAGAAGGACGCGGCGAGCGTAGAATTGCTCACAAAAAGGTTCTTCACCATCTGTGACAAGAAGAGAAAGCAAAATATGGTTACGAATTGCCAAATCACATACACTAGTGTAACCATCGATCATTTGAGCCCTCATGAAGGGACCATACACTCAAAAAAAATAATTACAAACTACGTTGTAGTTATGTTGCGGTTGATTTAGTATATGTTCATCCTGCACATACCCAAAGCAAAGCAACGACGGCTATAAGTGGGCTCTTTTCGGTTGAGAGAACCTCTTTTACCTGCTCACAAAGCAAGATTGGTAAATTCGTAATTGTATACCTTGACGCTGATTTTGTTTCTTGCATTATTACCTTCTAGGTAACCTCTTATAAATAGACGGTACAGGGCTTGGTCACCGAAGCATTTGAAGAAAGGATATAAGTTTATAAAAACTTACATGTGGACTTAGTCATACTTTCTATGCGATATACAACGGAAAAACTTCTTTATAGTGTCTCATCGTCATACTGCTCATGGCTCAGTCACCATTGCTGCTTCTTGTGGAACGTTGTAAGCTTTCAGCTTAGCCAAGTACTTTTAGAAGAGCTCGTACGTTACTACCAGCGTCGGATATGGTCGATACGTATAAATAGCGCGGATTTTTCTTTCAAACTTCAACTTCATTTCTGATTTTTCTCTCTTTGTTTTTAGCACTATTTTTTATTACATACACCCATCTGTTTCCTTTTCATCAAACCTATTCTTTCATTTTTGTCACGTACTTTCTGCTTTGAAATTATCTGTGATACAAAGTCACACTACTGTCACAGCAATCGTAAAGATAAACAAACATTTTAAAGAGAAAGCTTTGCAAGGTAGCTAGAAATTAAAAGCTAGAACAGCTGATAAGTAAGATACAACAAGTAGGAGACACACACCGTTAAAGTTTTATGTAGTAGACATGCTTTTCCACAGTGGAGATTCTCCCGACGGCTACCTAAACCAGCATTTACTCCCACTTGGCTCGCTCGTACATCAGATATAAGGTAGTTCGGTGCTCCTCCGTCAATTGAGGATACCGCGCGCTGTCCTATACTTGGAGTCGATCCGCGAGCATGATCATTGACAAAAAAACAGGCAAGACAAACCTTGTCGACCAAGACAAGCACAGGGTTATCTTTCAAGCCAAGAAAATCGGCAAAAGACTCAAGGACGAAAGCGCATTCGCCTCAAAATTAAATAAGTCGATTTTTAAAAATTTCATTTAGTAACTGTGCAAGGATCCCAACATCAAAAATATCTGGTATAACCAAAAATGCATGATTCAAGACCAACTCAAGGGGCAACATCGCGAAATTCGCCATATGCATAAGGTTATAAGAGCGCCTACTGTACCATGGTGTGAATTGTAGAATGTATCATTCTTCTTATGTCGACAAATATTTCCAGTTTTTGGCTAACCAGATGGACATCGTCGTCTGATCTCCAAATTAAAACGCCTAAGGACTATAGAAGAGGTATTCCTGTCTCAAAGATGGATATTTGTCGTTCGCGACCCACATACTGAGTGAGCTTAATAACGTCGCCATTACTTTATCAGTGATTTTTGGTTCCCACTACCAGCAACAGGGTGGAATGCTCATCACATTCTCAGGCAACACAAGCAGTGAGGAGCACGACGGAATATTTGCGTTTGCGAATCTTTTCCCCGATATCATCGACGACACTATTATCAATTACGAACAGCCAATACAAGGCTTGATGGTCGATTCTTACGGTCAACTGGCGGATTAAGTCCCCTCCATCCTGTGTTTTTGGCGAAGAGAACGCAGAGATACGAATAATATGTATAATTTCCCATATTGACTAGCGTTGATGAGGCCCATATCAGTGGGTATACGCTGAATCTCATCTCGATGCTCTAGAAACCTCAAACGTCAATGTCAACAAAATATCACTACAACATGTGACTTGCACCAGTATAGAACGCCAGATCCAAAGAATGAAATAGACAAGTGGACGCTTGAAAACTTGCCACCTATACCAGAAGACCCTACGTCGAGGGATTTTGAATGGAAACTTGGGATTTCCGTACAATTGCCCGGAGACCGTGTAAGAAAAACCGTATCTCTTGCTAAGATGTGAGCCTTAGGCTGATGGAAGACTTTGACGACGACGACGACGACGGTGCTAAATTCTGGGGGTTAGGGTTCTCTTTCTACCAATAGAAGAGAAACTGTTACAACGCTACTGCCCGAACGACGGGTATCGAAAGGATTATGCATCTTCCTATTTAACTCAACGGCGAAGCAACGCTATATCGACAGAGAATACGCGATACTTATCGGAAACCGATGTATCAGAAGCGTTTATTTACGTGACACAGTAGACTATTTTCCGGTTGTTGAGAGAGAACACTGTCGTTATAGGGCCATAAGTACATGCATGATAGAGAATGTTGAATATTTTTTCTCTGAAGTGCTACTACATCCCTGATCATACATATATACTAATAAATAATCATATTCATTTCTTCCTTCACATTTCACTGATAACATTACCTTGCTACATGAGAATCCAATGGTATAATGAAAAGAAGCAATATTTTCAGTTATTTCAGCACTGGCTTTCTCACTCTCTACTAAGCAATAATGTTAGATTATCCTTTTGGATGTAGGTTGACTTGCTGCTGCTGAGAATTATGTATGTATGTCTCGTTGGAGAGTTTACGCTGTAACATACTTATCATTGAAAAGGAAAAAGAAGCTTGATAAAATATATGTAACGAGTTGGTCGATATGATCTTTATATCTGCCTTCACAACCAACATATAGACGTTTGATTGGCAATCTGTCACCTGAAACCTAGCAATACGGGTCAGGTCGCTTCTATCAGTCACAATGCTTGAAGTACAGCAAGTAAAGGAAAAGGCGCAGTTCTGTTGCTTTAGCAACTAATTCACGGGGCAACAATGAAACGGAAACGTCCAGGCAATGACGATCGGCCAACTGAATCGAACACAAGGAGCCTCGATCACTATTTTGCAAATTCTGCCCCAAGCACGGTCAAGGTTTCTGATACTGCCACCACTGCTACCGATTCATTTGACAATGATCTCGAGCGAGCGATTCAACAGTCGCTTCAGGAAATTAACACCACACATATCGAAACTGCGGAAACAACGTCAGAAGCAGTAGAACGCCTGGATCGTCAAGAACCACTTTCGAATTCTTTAAAGCAGTGTCCAATTTGCGATGTATTGCTCGATCAAACCGCTGACGCTAACAGCCACATCAATAGCTGTCTTGACAGTTTCGAACGTACAGGGTGTCCCAACAAAGAAAACGCCAGTATTGAAGCAGGAGCAATAAAGGCAACAACGAAAACGACACAAGCAGAAAATGAAAGCGAGCCATCATTTTCCTCATCATCCAGCACGACGAATTCTGTGCCCAAACTCGAGGCTTTACATGAGCCAAAGCGTGCGCCAGCTCTAGATTTGCTGCAAAGGGATACAGGCAAAGGAAAAGACATTGACAGCGATCAAAAGCCGGATTCATCGCCGAGCATGAGACCGAAAAGGAAATGCCCCTTTTATAAATGGATACAAGGTGGATGTCTTTGCTTGCCATGGTGTTTTTCTGCATCTGGAAAGGGTAACTAACGCAAAGTGTGTTGCAGGGATCCCTTTTGTTGTTGACGCATTCTCCTTCGGGAAGATCGAAAACTGTCAGGGATACTTTTTATCCCACTACCACAGCGACCACTACTATGGATTGTCACCGTCATGGTCGCATGGCCCTATTTATTGCTCTAAAATCACCGCAAACTTTGTACGACAGGAACTCAACGTTGACAGCAATTACGTCGTCACTTTACCGATGGATCAAGAGTATGCTTTAAGCAGCACGGTCAATGTGAGTCTTATTGATGCCAACCATTGCCCTGGCTCTGTGCTGTTCCTATTTAAGGTGTATCGGGCTGACGGAACCGTTGCTCGTCATCTTCACACTGGCGACTTTCGTGCGAATCCGCGCATGTGCCTGCATCCGCTTTTACGACAGCCTGAGAACGGTGTGCTCGACACACTCTATCTGGACACAACCTATTTGAATGGACAGTATTCTTTCCCGGCTCAGGAAGAAGCCATAAATGCTGCATGTGATTTGGCCGAAAGATGCGCGTCTGGCGAGCAAAAGGAGAGTAAACGTGGATTGTTGCAAGGATGGCTGAGCAAGTTAGGTGCAGATGCGTCGATGCCAAGTGATACGGTTGGAAGCTCTATGGGTTTTCCGGGGACCGGGCCAGCTTCTAAAGTGCTTTTCATTGTGGGGACCTACTCGATTGGAAAGGAAAGGATGTTTTACAGTAAGTATGGATATTGTCGACGTTTGATTATGGTAAAGCACGGTATTTTATATAACGGATGAATGCTGTAGATTTGGCGAAAAGATTGAACAGCAAAGTATATGCATCGCCTCGCAAACTAAGATTTATCACCTCTCAAGAGAACAAAGAGCTGGACTCGTTGTTGACCGACGATCCACTGAAAGCACAAGTTCACTTGTTCCCGATGGGGCAAATCCAAGAAGAGGTACATAGACCAGATTTAATTTGTTCTTGTCGGGCTTGCTGAAATCTCATGCCAATCATTTAGCGCTTGTCACTGTACTTAAAAACCTACCATCCGCATTTTACATCGGCAGTCGCTTTCCGCCCGACTGGTTGGACATTTAAGAAAAGCTCACCTGCTATAGCAGCATTATCAGACGCACCATTGGCACAAGTGACAGCCCCACCTGCAGATCGAAGCGTCGTATTGAAGCCAATGAAAACCACTATCGATACCATTCAAATATATGGCATTCCGTACTCTGAACACTCTAGCTTTCGTGAACTTGCGTCCTTTGTTGGTAGCCTTGAAATACGACGTATCATACCGACGGTAAATGTGGGAAGCGAGGATAGTCGACGAAAAATGAACACAATTTTAGACCGATGGCAAAATGAGAAAAAGAAGAAAGGGACCAAACTTGTACCATATCCAACAGAAGAACATTGGTGATAGATATGTGCTTGTCTATTGGAACATTTACAATTACATTGTTTATTATGTAAATATCACAAATTTGTATATAATATATTTGGCCAAGTACTCACCGGCGTAAACAACACGGGAATCTCGCCACAACTATGTCGACTACTGCTGGCTGGTGCAGATTTTCGCCCATACATATTAACTGTTAATACCACCCTGGAAATTGATGAATTAAATAACACTCTATTTGCATAAACCACCCTAGTTTCTTTTCTCTTAGGCCCATTACACAATTAAAACAAACCAAAAAAAAAGAAAGAAAGAAACATAGAATCAACACCAGTATTTATATAATTTTAGACTGACTTATGGTTTTTAAATCAACCAAGTGCAGCAGGAGTGCTTATTGAAAAGACTGATATGTGCCAGCGCTGCCATTTGAATATTTTACAGGACGCACTTGTATATATAGTTTGTTTCGGAGAAAGCAGTAGAAATTTATACGACCAGCCGTATATTTTAGAGTTTTGAGATTTATTAATTTGCAATAAATATTTTTCATAAACAAAATGTCGAACAGATGGCTTGTGAAGATGTACGCATGATGGAAAGCATAACATCATATCATAAAGCATGCATAAATATCTAGCTATGGATAAACAAGGAAGAATGCAGAAAGAATACAGAAAATGTTGCAATCACATTGCGGCTGCCGTTTTCTCAGGGATCGATAAATCTCGGGCAATGGTTTCTAAAAGAGAATGAGTATTATGACAAGAATTAAAGGCTTTTATCTTCTTTTGTATTTGTACATATGTCACATGCTATTTCAGCTTATGTACCTGTAACTGAGTGGTCTTCGTGCTCTGTCTTCTCTTCGCAGTTGTCACAACTCTTTTCTTCAGCGTCTGCAGCAGATTGCTTATTCATGTATTCACTCAAGCCAAATGACTTCATTGGTAAAGTGAATGCAAATGTAAGGACGGAAACACACAAGGCGATAATGTTGAGAACGCGCTGCGTTTCAGCATAGGCAAGCACAACGCCAGAATGTTGCTCGTCAGGAAGGTTTTGTGCATATTCTACACTGCCGATCACTTTAAGAATGTCTACATCAGGAGCATGCCTGGCAAGTTCTTGGGGAAGCATGTTATTCCAGATAGCACCAGACATTGTGGAACCGATACTGGCAGCAATGGAACCACCAAGCTGATATAATGCAGTGACCATGGCAAGATCTAGTTACAAGTTTATGCATGAAGTTGTTCTGTTAATTAATAAAAACATAGCTATAACCTTTTTGTCTAAGTAATGTTAATATAGATAGATTATATCATACAAAACTTACCATTGTGCGGAACGGAGGACTGGACAGCGACAGTAATTGGAATATCCATCATACCACTAGGTTAATGTTCGATAGTCAGCTACTGTAATTAAATCACAATTGACAGGAAAGAATAACCGAATGTAAACTATAAAGACGTACCTTCCAATACCGACAATTGTTTGGGCAATAACAATGAATGCATCGGAAGAAGAGGGCCAACGAGCAGCATACAGTAAACCGACACCTTAATTGGTAAAGTAGGTTTCCAACGGTCATAGAAGTCAGTAAGTAAGATACCTGTTTGACAAAGTCTACAGAATAAACGTGCTACTTTTTGTACACGGCCTTACCGAGAATCATCAAAGAAATACCAGCCCACACATACGGTCTCCAAACACTATAACATATTACATGTGTTTTGTTAGTAAAGTGTACCCCATTTGGCATAAAGCGAAAAAAACTAAAATTCATACCGAGTCTTCATCATAAGCCAGCCAATCACGAGTTGAACGACAATGTAGGCAACATTATAACCTCTACCTAGCAAAACTGCATGTGCATTGTCGATTCTTCGAGTGACTTGAAAATAAGTAATCAGGTACTGCCATTCGGTGGATGAAATAATAGTAACTGTGGATGTAGCAAGAACACCCCAAATAGGAGTACGGTTTGGCCAGCTGCCCATAGGGATCAATGGCTTAGTCGCAAACTTCCATTCCCAGATGCCGAGGAGGACCCAGCAGACACCACCACCACAAATAGTACCAATGACTCGGGCTATCAGTAGAAGCAGTATACCGTAAGTATATAAAGACACAATATGTGCATATCAAGCGAACTTTCATTGGAAGCTACTACTTACAATTTCCCCAACCTCCCCAAGTATACAAAGCAAGCACCAAGGGAAGCAATGTCATTGTAAGTGAACCGACGAGCAGAATACAGCCGACAAAGTCAATGGCAACGAGATAGTGCTTGATGCTTTCCAGGATAGATCGATGGTTATCTTGCCGGCGACGAGCTTGTTTATATTCCAAGTACAACCCTTCCTTGAAAATCTTGCGTTGAACAATCCAAAGACCATACACCAATGGAAGATTGGCGACCAGCAGGACCAAAGGAAGGTGTCCATAAGCCCAGCGCCATCGGCCCTGATCAATGAGGGACTGACCAACAATCGTTGGGACAAACAGATTGATGAGTTGAGGTAGACTGTATAATCCTTGATAAAAGCCACGAGTAACGACGTTGGTCATATCTGCAGCAGGTGATTTTGTTTTATCAGCGTATTTGTTGTCATGCAGTGATTCTCATGCCAACAACTACGGGTTGTGTTATTACGACATTTGATGGTTCTTTTGTGGAATTTTTACCTCCAACTAGAATGGGGCCGAGGATCATAACGCCGGAATAGCCAAAAGTATACAAAATTTGTCCGCCCTGTGTAGTAACAGAACATACATCAGAGAGAACCCAGTATTAGTTGCAATTTTGCATGAAGAAAAGTAAATATGTGTATATAGAAGAAGGGTTAGCAAAGACTAATATACTAACCACTATAGCAGCAAAGCTTTGTGCAGTAGCCATGACGATGTAAGAGAGGATGTAGAACACCATACACATGCTGAACACCTCAACACGACCGACTAAATCCGAAAGCTTACTGTACGAAGGAAACAGTACCGATTGCAGAATGTATGTGACAGTGCTGAGGATACTCATGTAATTGTTCGCCTCAAATAAACTGGTAACATATGTAAGTAGTGTGAACGACAGGTTGGATTCCCAACTACTGGAGAATGACAGTAAAATAAGGCTATACATAGTGGATTACCGTATTTTGGGCTTGTTAGCTACTTTTTATCTTCCTTAGTATATCACTCAAATATTATATGTCTGTTATCTTTTACCCGCTGAATATAATCCACATGTCCAGTGCACTCCATACTTTTTTAAGAAGCTCGACCTTCTTAACTCCAGGAAGTAGCGTATTGTCGCTCTCAACAGTCATTGTTTCCGTTACCAATTGCGTTATTGAGTGATGTGTATTATGCGCTCGAGTCGAGTGGGAAATGGGGAAGGTAACAGTTACGAAGCAAAGACCTCGTTCTTTCCAGGCTCCTTCTAAAGAAGTTATGAAAAAAGGAGAAAAAGGGCAGAAAACTGGAGTCCGACCGGTCTATAAAAGAAGATGAAAAACACAGTCGAGTATTCAAAAACCCGAATTCAACTTCGTTTGCACAACCGAGAGAATAAACCCAAGTCTATAAAAGGGATATCTGATGATCTGATCATGAAGTTATTTAAGAAAAGGGTCCTTCCCGTTGCAACTCCGAAGAGGAAAACTTTTTTGACATTCGCCTGTGCCACAACGCAATCTCGTGAGTGTCGTACATGAGTAATGCATGCCTGGTTTGTGCTTCTTCGAGGATTTAGGTTTTTAGAAAGGCTCTTTTAATCTTTTCTGCCTATCGTCCTTTGTACAAATATAACGCATTGAGACGACGTTTCTTTTTATTGCAGTTCGGTCGGTCTCTTCTGCCTGTGTTGGGGAAGGCCCAGAAAATACCGACGTTCTGATGGTGATACAAATATAGTTGGGAAGCGCGCTTATATTTCTATGCTTTTCCTTGGCATTTTGTTCATGGCTAAACTTTTATTATGTTTGGCTCTAACGATATTCCTGTATGTCACTATACAAACACCATAAATGATCCGTGCACAGTGGCACCTTACTATATATCTTATGAGCGACAGATGCCATTGAAACATACATTTGACGATTTCGTACATATTAAAGCACGCAGCAGTAACAACAACGATCCAATTAATTCGCTCGTTCGCTGTTGATACAAACTGGACATCGGCCTAGACCGGGCCGCCGTGTGAAATACAAGGAATGTTGTCTGGTCGTTCGCAACACAATTGGCTGAGATTGTTCTTCTATATAATATTTCCATTTTAATATGAGAGGTTTCTGATGAATTAGCTCATAATAAACATAATCACTTTCGACTCATCCTGGCACGTTACTGATCGTTTTTATTATGCATTTACTACAACAGAAAGAAAGGAGGTATTATGATAGATACATGGTATAGTGTCTTCCGTATTTTGTGCTTTTGTATGGTTAATGCTGTATAAAAAAATATCCTATTCATTAGCACATACGCAACGTTTACCCTTTTTCCAGTAAAAAAGAAAAAGTGAGAATAATAAAGCCTAACTTTTTGCTTATTACTTAGCGCGACGACCAGCACCAGCGGATTCTTTTATTAACGAATGCTAACTATATCACACTGACGATTGTACTACTCCAAAGTACACCATAAGGTTATATACTCCCATTACGGTTTTAAAGCTTGCGAGTTAACATGAATATAGATCACCCCTTCTACTATTTAGTGTTTTTCTGATCTTTATCATAGCAGTTTGTACAATACAGCACTACATCGACAACCGCATGGATTTTCCAGTGACGTCGTCCATGCATGAGCAACGCGTAAATTACTAATCCAGGCGGCAATTTAGAAACGAGGCGCTCGACCGTACGATCGTTCATTGCAAAAAGGGGTTCACAATCTAGAGTAAGGTCGCTGATTGCTGCCGAGTACTGTATAGGATCGTCTTATCTCGGTCTTTTGGTAAATATTATACAGTATTTGTTGTTGTTGTTGTTGTTGCTATCGCTGATGCTGTTGCTATAGCGATAATGACCTTCCTCCTCCGCCATCGTCATTTTTACCAGCCTCACTTCCAATCCGCTGATAAAAGCGCACTCACCCGTAAAGCAATGCCGAAACGTCACGCGCTTGAGCTGTCTGAACTGCATCAGTTGTTTGATTATGTTCGGTGTTAGACATATATCCTTGCCTGTAGTATCGCTACCGTTAGAGAAATTGAATCTAGTTGCTGCATTTTCTGAGTAGCTCAAGCATCATTGACCGGAAGACTAAAGATCTCCTTGTTGTGCCGTGTGAAATATCATTCAGGTCGTTTGCTTCGGTGGTAAGTTGTTGTCGCAGCGTTGTATTTTTTTGAACTATGCCTGTATTATAGGTTGTCGTCGTTGTGGATATAAAACCGTCGTTGTTCTGCTGTGTGACGACGTCATAGTTATCATATGTAGTTGCAAAAGAGTTGAAAAAGATGTTGTGCAAGTTCATCAACGGCTTAGTAGAAACTAAAGCCACAAGTGCTTTCGATAGTGTATCGATTCCTCTAAAATTGTATGGCAAATCAATGGTTTCCAAGGTGAAGCAGTGTTTCAGTAAAATGGTGTTCAGTGTTTACTTCTTTAGAACAATCGTATTATTTGAAATGTCGACCTTAATGCGGCTTTCCTGCTTTTGGCGGGATGTAATGGTCTTGTGTAAATTGAGAAAATATGTTTTGTCGTCACTATCCTCACTGAAATAGTCTTCATGGCCGCTGTTGTTTCGCGTAGTATCACTGTCGTTTGTCACTATGCTTGTGACTGTCGTAGTTCTCATCATCCACTGGATATGCAGCAATACGCGTTTAGGGGACGAAACATTACATCGTGTTGATGGGTGTTATTACTGTAATCGTCTGGTAAGCTCGTAGAATTTTTAATGTAATGAACGCTGTTTCTTCGACCGCAGATGGATCCTCTTGACTTGTTTCTGTTGCTGGATATAACTTTGTCCATCAGAAAATGTTGTTGTACCCGCCGGTTCTGTTAGTTTTGTTGCCATGGTTGGCGCTGGTATGCCGAAATCTACAAACAGTCTCCGAAGAGCTAAGCGTCTTTTGGTTTTGTCTAAAGATTTATGACACTGTAATGATGTGAAGGTGTTCCTGACGGTATTTCGAGGACGACAATGAGTCTTTAATGATGCTGATCCGACTTGGTATCTTCTCTGTCTGTATGTAGTATAAATCTAAGAGCAACGGGCAGCCATCAATTGTCGGACCGAGCACAAGCTCTGGCGAAAAATTTGCACATTCAATAATGTATAATGATGTCAAATTAAAGCTCTATGCTAAAATTGTCTTGGGAAGATTATGTACATTAGAATTTCCGGACAATGACTCGATAATTGTCATCGAAGTATAGTATGATAGTATATATTAATGGTAAGCAAGCATAGTAAAGTAATAATAATAAAATCGATACACAGCAATGATGCTTACCTTATCCTGCCAACTGAGTGTAATTAGTATCCGCCATCAAGCTGAGGACTTCGTCTACAAGGTGCTGGCATTTTTTTTATCGTAATATGGAATAATCATGCAATGTCAGGCGATCGGTCGTTTCTCGGTGCAATATCTTGTCTACCATTAAAAAATCTCTGTGGGATAGAAATTGCGTTGATTTTCCGCCAAAAGCGTGGGCAATCGAGCGAAAAGCCGTGCCATGGTTGACAAACACTAGCGCATCGAATCAAACACTGCGATTTAGTAGCTAAAAAATACACTCAAGGACATATGTGTTCAGTTTAATGAGCAATTGGGTGTTGCTTTGATGTTGCTGCTGTAACTTCGAGGGTTGATAGTAATATAGTGCCGTCGTTTCTGCTGCACGTTGTCTCTTCTGCTGTCCATCCAATGTCACGCGATTACTACCAATAGCATGAGACTCCATATCGAGAGTATGATGCCACGAGTGCTTATCGGCTCTGATGCTGTCGCCTCTATTACTTTGACATTTAGGATAGTAATGCTGCTCGAGTAACATATCATCATCGACCGAGTAATATCATAGCCTTTCGCTAGTAGTGGAAAATACCAATGCTGCGCGTAAAGCTCGCTATCGTTCGCTGCCGCAGTGCTTGCTGGTAAAGCGTCAAGTTTCTTGCCTACTTTCTTCGAGCCCGTAACTTTATGTATAATTACAGTAACAGCTGAGCTATAGCGTTATCTTTGCCATCATCGACAACATCACCATCACTGCTTCTGGAGATACTTGTTGTTGCTGTTGTTGTTGTTGATTCTCATAGTCATGGGAATGAATAACGAGAAAAGGCGATAATACTGGAAAAACAGGTACGTTCCTAAAGAAATTGGTGCAAGAAGTGGCTGCGATTGCCATCGTTACACTTCCAAGCGAACATTTATCCGCGTGTTCCTCTTTTTCAAAAATGTATCAAGTATGAATTTGCACCTTTGGGAAGTTAGCGTTTATGTGGATATGTGTATACTTTGATATACGGAGTAATTTTTGTCAATACAATTGCTGCCATTTCCTATGCTAGTCTGTTTGGTATTAAAATACATGATGCGACGTGATGTGTTTATAAGAAAGTGAAAGTACATTATATAATAGATACAAATATAGAAAAAGTGACCATCAATAATCCTTTCTTTGAAAAGTCCCATCTCGTCGATGCAACCCAGCTTCAACAAGACGATGTACTGCGAGATCTGTTTGGTTCATCGTATGCTGTGCATTTGTACGCAAAACAACATGTTTTAACGTTCGCCATTGACTGATGACAGGTAACAAATCGCGGTGCATAAAATTAAGATCAAGCGTTTTCACAACGCCAGCGGCTGATGCAAGCTGTGATAAACCTTGTGTCGTGAATGAGCGACAAGAATGCACACGAAGATATTCTAGATTGGTACACTGGTTTGCCAATGATTGCAGTACTGGGTCTGTCACAAGCGGTGTAGTCGGTGACGGTGATCGGTCGATAATGGTAAGTGCTTGTAGTGCTGGACAGCGAAGGAGAAAGGTGCTTAATGCGTACGTGAATGCTGGTGTAGTGCTAGTTGAAGAGATACAGTCGCTTGCTGTCGATTGTTGATGTGTATAGATCCAGAGCTCACGCAGTTGTGGAAACAACTGACCATGGTAAGCTAGTCGACATAATAGTTCAGATGTTATAACATAGCCGTCGTAATGTAAAAACAGCAACTTGATTGTTGATTGATGCTTGTGTAGCAATGTATGCACTTGTTCGCTAGTTGCGTTATAGCTACCGCTGCCTGCCATCACAAACTGACATAAGCCGTGGGTGGATACCGTACTAGTACTGTTGTTGCTTTCGCTGTCGATATCACTCGTCTTGACCGTTTTGGGCATCGTACAACTATCACTCAGCACAAAATTCGTGATCCATGGACAACGGTCGCTGACGGTTAACATAAGCTGGCCGTGACATACAGCATCTCTTGAATCCAAAAACAGATGTTGAAGTTTTGGACACCGACGTATGATCTCGTTTAAAAGTTCACCGTCGCTGTGGATAAATGGCGTTGTGGTTGGTGAACGTCCCCCAAGTGATATTTTAAGATATGTAAGCTCGAACGTTAACGTGTCAGCAAAGCGATTGAACTCCCTTGTCCCAAAAACCGACGATTCTCTGTTGTAGTCGATAACCAAAGAGAGATTGCTACTGCCATCGTTATTGAAACTTATGTTTTGTTGCTGCTGTTTCTCTTCGGTTCGTAGAAAATACTGGTTGCTGTCGTTGATCTCTGCTATCGTTGAGTCGGCTGCCTTAAAAATAATACGATCTGCTTCGTGGCATGCTAATACGATGGATCCAAGCAACGAGTCACTTGACAACTGCACATTGTACAACTCGAGTGAATTCAAAGAATGTGGTTGCAACGCGCTAAGCAAGAACGACGAGTCACTATCAATAATCATGTTTTCGATTACTTTTGTTGAATAACAAAACCGATTATAATCAACACGTGCACCAATTAGCAAAATATACACCAAATAATAAAGAATGGAGAAAATGTACGTTTACATACATAGTGATTCCAATGGATAACGAAAGCTTTGTAAAGCGACTAAAAGCGACAGAGCATTGCGTGATATAACTTTCTGTCGGTGTGTATGAGGATGCTGTTGTTCAAGAAATTTGAGGCCACGGTGACGATTCGTCAAATACATTGTAAAAGAATTAAGATCGAGCTGTGGAATTTCTGCGGTTATTAATTGCCAAAATACAGGCCATTTGATAATAAATCGGCGCCATGAATCACACACTGATGTGCACTTTATCAGATCGTGAACCGACAGGTGGCTGAATATTAAGGATATGATGTCGTAAGCAAAGGTAGAGGAGACTGTGTCCAAGTGTTGTTGGTTTATCGCATCTTGATGTTTTTGTTGTTGTTGATGATGATTCCTCGCTGATGATGGTAGTCGTTGTAGTTTTTGTCGTTTCATCAATTCAGCCTGGACCGCGTCATAGTTGCGCTGTAGCAACGAATAACTGGGAACGATATTGGGCACGAGCTCCAGCCCTTGCTTGTAGACGGCTAATGCAACTTCGTAATTTTTTTGCTTAAGATGAGTGCGACCGGCCAGAAGGTATCCTTTGAGAGAAGTCGGGGCAATCTTGATCATTTCGGTCGCAATGGCTTGTTGCTTGTTAAGGTCGGTTTGTGTTGCTGAAGCTTTGGCTTCAAGCTGCACTAGACGGGTACGGGTTGACGTGGTGGCCGAAGATACAGCATCGATGCCTCGTTTCAGCAGGTACATCTTTGTTGGACGTGTATATGGTATGCATGCGTTGACGAGGGACAGCAATTTTATAAGAGTTTAACACACGACCTCTATTTATTTACTATTTCCCCTCTCCTCTTTGTGGCGAGTTTTACTTTTTTTGTCATACTTTGGAATAAAGACTAACCCGCTGAGTTTTCCGTGGCTGATCTTTTCTTAGGGCAGGTACCTTCTATAACAATGTAAAGGTTGCTTTTAGCAAAAATAAGTGCTGAGCAAAACGGTGTAATTCTACAGTAGAAATAATCAGAGCTATGGGCATAGTTATAGTAAAGGATGTGAAACCCTGGACTTTGGTCAAAGTATACAAAAAGTTAGCTGAGTGTATCCGTATTTAGAGTTAATTCTACGATGGAAAACCTCCCATTACCTCATATCGTAGAACGTGATGTTACTTACACAAACTGATCCCAGTGAAACCTTATACCACTTACCTTTATAATATCGACAAGATTTGCAATATATCATCATGCCGGTGAGAAAGAGAATGACTATCTTTTCGCTAGTATGAACAATGTGTATATATTTATTTGGTGCACAGCAGAATGGTTCAACTAAAGGTCTACATGGTAATACATCAGACGAGTACGATGGGCGATAAGATAGGTGCGCTGTAAATTGGGATCGACGGCCGGCTTCCTCAAGATGGACTCTATGTACCACCAAAGGGTCGACTTAATATCCATACAGGGTGAATAAGATTCAAGATTAGGAATTGGAAAAGCAAAGCCTCAATAGTGTAGCTTTTCTTCTCCTTTTACTGTACTGTTCGCATATATAGGTCTTCCAAAGCAGTGTATACGATGTAGTGAGCATGTACTATGCACTATAAATTATTACATGCAAGGCTAACGATAGCTCATCATGCGGCGGAGCATAATTCTTACGGTTACTTTCATTTCCATATTTGATCGAATTTGCCCTCTTTGTCACCAGTTTACATTCTATTTCGAATGAATGTTGGTATCATTGTTACAAATGACGGTTGCGCTAAATATTGGGCAAAGTGGTGTTTTAAGTTAAGACAAAGTAAAGCGAACAAGTAAGCTCTCGTATCCTTTATCGCTTCCGCGGGTCATGTAATTTAACTAAAACCGGAGAGAGCTGAGCAGTTCTTTTCTTTCCATTGCCCTTTTCTTATGCTGAAAGCAAAATCATTGTTGCGGTTTGGCCAAGCAAAATATCTACAGTGAAGCTTAGTAATGTTCTTTCGCTAAACAGCGTACCAAATGAAATGCATGGTACATACACGCCCTTAATCGTTTAGCTTGTGGCCTGGTATAAGAGCTAAAAAAACTCATGCCATTAGTGGGAGTTTTACAATGTCTTAATTTATATCTTATCAGCTTGAAGCTGTCAGTCGAGCCATCTACCTTCTTTTTTGAAGAGCACTTAAAGTACACAGACAGAAAGATTGCCCGCTCATGCTGAATTTGCCTGGTGGGGCCAACACTGGAATTTGCCACACTTGCACGGCAGTTCCGCTCTCACTCAATGTGGCTAAACTCCGCTGCCGAGACCTTGTAGTGGGATCCCTCTTGGAAGCTTCGTTCGACCTTCACAGAAAGGTAAAGTATCAGGACCCATCCATATGACCATACATCTATCGATCCATCCATCCGTAATCTATAGATATCCAACAGCTCGAACGATACTTATTCAGCATGAACGGATGGATTGATCGATACCTATCTTTACCTTTGGATCTATGAACTCACCATACAAATGATACGCAATGTCCGACCTCCATTTCGACATTTTCTCTTATATAAAAAGCAGATTCGCAATGGCCCAACGTCTCACCTACCGACGCCGTCTTTCGTACAACACCCGCTCCAACCGCGTCAAGGTCGTTAAGACCCCCGGTAAATATCATTTTGCTATTTGAACTCTGCAGCAGACGATTTAAATAAGGTCGAAAAATCTCATTAGGTTGCACATTTATATATGTATAGGTGGTAAGCTCGTGTACCAGTACCAGAAGAAGCCTGTCAAGGCCCCTCGCTGCGGTGACTGTGGTGTTGCTCTTCCTGGCGTATGTATAAGATTGTTATTCAAAAAGAGTGAAAAAGGTGTTTTCAAAGTTGGGGAAATCATTAACGAGTGTTATTCATTATGAATAGCTCAAGGCACTCCGTCCCCGTGAGTACTCCCAGGTCTCCAAGACCCAAAAGAGTGTCTCCCGTGCCTACGGTGGTTCCCGCTGCTCGCACTGCGTTCGCAGCCGTATCGTCCGTGCTTTCCTTGTTGAGGAGCAGAAGATTGTCAAGAAGGTGCTTAAGTCTCAGACCGTGAAGAAATAAAAAATATGGGTTACCTATTTTTTGCACTCTTGTACCACCTTTAAACACTCGTGCTTGTCATTCTACATACATCACTACAACAACATCAACAACAAACAACAAAATTATATCATTTGGGCATATTGGAATACGGTGATAGGTTTCCATGCTCGCAGGGGCATCATGTTTGTATGTGTGCTGTTGTAGCTGTGCTGTTGTAGCGTTAAATTTGGGTTGGACAAAGGGACGTCCCTATGCTGGACTTTTGAAAGGGTATTTGTCTTTCAATAGCTAAAAAAGCCTATAAAGTAAGATATAATGCAGCATAACTAGACGTGAAACGGTGTTATCAGTGAATGGATGAATTATACCCATTTCTTCGTGAACTTCTGTAAGATGGTCTGTGCGAATGCGGCCGTCACAGACTGTCTGCTGCTCCTGCTGAGATGCAACCTGGCTGGTTGGTGAGGGGAACACATACCTTACGTTCTCACGTAATACATTTTGAACCTGAACAAAATGGTACGATTACATCAGCTTGAGCGAAAGCCGAAACTCAAAGAATAGTTAACAAACGAGCTTCACGTTACTAGACGACACATACCATTCTGCTTGTCCAACCACGTCCAGATAAAAAGTAAATTTGTCATTGCTGTTGAATCTATGCCACGATTATATGTACACTTTTGGATCTAAACTTTGAACACTTTATTTCTAGCTCGCGCACCTACTAGTAAGTTTACCTCCTCTTGTTTCCTACCCCTCGGTTTTAAATGCGCTCCCGGTTTCTAAATGTTGACACAATCTTTGTTATCTAAATAAGCGAGCGCAATACCGTAGCTGCAGCTATGGATCGTAAGTTCATATCTTTTTCTTTTTTTGTTTTCTTCTGGAACTTGGCAAGGGACTTATTCTTCTGTTTTACTTTTCATAACAGAGATCGCAAACATCTTTGAACAACATCTTCAGCAGGAGAACCCTGGTCTCCGGCAGATTCAATATAGGTCAGTGCACAGAAAGTGAATAGGAAGTGTACTACCGTTTCAAGTAAAAACTCCTGCTTGACTAATATGTGGCATTGTAGCGCGGATGATTTATTCCAATATATCGATTCACACAAGGATTTCGTGGCTCTTGTATTCGAGCCTTCGCAAGGAGTACGTTTATTTTCAAGCAGTGCCGGGAATAAAGAAAATAGATGGAAATGAGTTACCAGAGAAAAGTGGTTTTAACGGAATGGTATATATTTTAGAGCTATTTGCCCAAGAATAAGGATTGGATCAAGGAGCGTTTGATTTCGCATTTTAGCCGACAGAATTCCCAACCGCAACAGCAACAACGTGGTCATAATCAACAATATCACCAACCACGATCCCAACATTATCATCCTCGAGGAGGCAATAGACGATGGTAGCTTTCCCATCACGTAGTCACATATTATACAAAATAACAAAAAGCACAGAGATTATATCATTTTTATGCATTGTCGTTCGGGACAAAAACCTCGTGTGTTTGACGAATGTATGCGACTTTATACAAATGCTAGGCTTATATGGTTGATAAAGGGCAAATTAATCAACATCAAAGACGGCTTTTCTGGAAAAAGTTTATATTGAGCAAAGCTTTATCGAATGATCTGGTCAAACGATCTAAAGCGTCGCAAGACCTGAGCTTGGCACCTACACTTACATTACAAACAAATATGTCTGCCATGAAGGTCGCCAAACCTTTGATACTTCCATCATTGACGTTATACCTGTTTTTGGAAGAACTTACACCTGGCATCACAGCAGTTCTGCTGACAGCACCATCGCCAGAGCGCCACGGATATCGACCAGCATTATCATTGCCTTTAGTATCCTTTTGATACAAGGCCACTGCCATACCAGCTATCGTATAGTTTTACATCAGATTACCAAGGATGAGCGTCCGCGCAGTTGAGGTCAAGGGAGAAGCAATTCAAATTATAGTAGAGCAGTTTTTCGCACTGTGATACTGAAAACTGGGTGGTTGTTACCATATCAACCTATATTTAAGCCACGGGTAAAACTTTGAAACCAATCTTTGTCAAAGCAGACATAAGTATAATGGCGCATGTAAGAGCTGGCAATGTGCATCACAAGAGAGAAAAAGTGTATCACTTGTTCCACATGTGTTTGCGGTAGTAGCAAGCTCTCTCTGCAAGGCGCGTTGCCCTTTTCGGAGAGAAAGGAGCGAACTTGTTACTTACTCCGCTCAGAAGTAAATTTTGAAACGCGCAATAGGCACCGAGTTGCTTCTGACAGGTTTCTTTTGACAGCAAACGTTTTATAAAAAACGAGATGGTAATATTATAAACAACTTCCAAAACCAATCGACAGCAGGGGATCGTCAAAAGCATCTTTATACTTAAACTCTACCCATTTTGTTAGTCTCTTGCACCAGTACAGATTTTCCAGGATCAGGCAACTGAAGAGCGTGCCGAGAATGCGCGTTTGGTAAGTACCCGAAAAAAAAAAACATCGCTTGTAAAAGATCGTCGAGGAAAAGAAGGAAAGATTGCTTATTTCATCTATACTTTCTAGTCATCTTTCATTGGTGCCATTGCTGTCGGCGATCTCGTAAAGAGCACGTTGGGCCCCAAGGGCATGGTTAGTTGTGATTAAATCTTTAAGAAAGAGGGGAAACGTGTCTATGTACAGGTTCAACTGAAAACGCAGTAATCTTGTAGGACAAGATCTTGCAATCTGCAGCTTCGGGTGAAATCTTGGTCACCAACGATGGTGCAACCATTTTGAAATCGATTGCATTGGACAACGCCGCTGCTAAAATCTTGGTCAACATCTCCAAGGTCCAAGATGACGAAGTCGGTGATGGCACCACCTCGGTGTGTGTTTTGGCCGCTGAATTGTTGCGTGAAGCAGAACGTCTCGTAAGCCAACGTATTCATCCCCAAACCATTGTCGAAGGCTACCGTTTGGCTTCGGCAGCAGCTTACAAAGCATTGGAAGCAAGTGCAGTGGATCACAGTGCTAATCAAGAAGCTTTCCGTGAGGACTTGATTAATATTGCTAAAACCACCCTCAGCTCCAAGGTCTTGTCTCAGGACAAGGAATATTTCTCTAAGCTGGCCGTTGATGCTGTCCTCCGGTTAAAGGGCTCTACCAACTTGGAAAATATCCAAATCATCAAGAAGCCTGGTGGTCGATTGATTGACTCGTACCTCGATGAAGGTTTCATTTTGGACAAGAAGATTGGTGTCAACTGCCCCAAGCGAATTGAAAACGCAAACATTTTGATTGCAAACACACGTAAGTTTCCGTTGCTCTATGCTACGTATGGCTATACTTGATGTCTGTGTTCGTCACTAAACTATAATTTTCCTTTAATTGATGATTATAGCCATGGATACCGATAAAATCAAGATCTTTGGCGCTCGTGTCCGCGTGGACGCCACTGGCAAATTGGCTGAGTTGGAGCGTGCAGAACGCGACAAGATGAAGGCAAAGGTCGAGAAGATCAAGTCCCACGGTATAAACTGCTTCGTCAACCGACAATTGATTTACAACTGGCCCGAGCAGCTTCTTGCTGATTCTGGCATTGCAAGCATTGAACACGCCGACTTTGAAGGTGTTGAACGATTGGCTTTGGTCACTGGTGGTGAGATTGCTTCGACCTTTGATCATCCCGAGCTTGTCAAGTTGGGTCGGTGTGATTTGATTGAAGAGATCATTATTGGTGAAGACAAGGTATGTAATACCGGGGAAATGTAGCTATAGCTGTAATAAGAGATGCGTCTATTTCAAGGAGAGAGAAACTAATCCTTTCAATTTTGTACGTGGTTTGTAGCTTATCAAATTCTCTGGCGTTGCTGCTGGTGAAGCATGCACCATTGTCTTGCGTGGTGCCACACAGCAATTGTTGGATGAGGCCGAGCGTTCGCTCCATGACGCCTTGTCGGTTCTTTCTCAAACAACAAGCGAGCCCCGTACCGTCCTTGGTGGTGGCTGCACTGAAATGTTAATGTCCAAGGCCGTTGACGATGCTGCTGCAAAGACTGCCGGTAAAAAGGCTATTGCAGCTGAATCGTTCTCCAAGGCCCTTCGTCAAATGCCTACTATTCTGGCCGACAATGCTGGTTTCGATTCATCCGAATTGGTTGCTCAGTTGAGAGCCGCACACTATGAAGGCAAAGCGACATCTGGTTTGGATATGGTCAACGGCGCCGTTTCCGATGTCCGTGAGTTGGGTATTACTGAATCTTTCAAATTGAAGAAACAGGTTCTTTTCTCGGCATCAGAAGCTGCTGAAATGATCCTTCGAGTAGATGATATCATTCGATGTGCTCCTCGGTAAGAACTCATTTTCTTTCTCTTGCGTGTGTATGGTGTACGTGACTTGAAAATAACTAATGTATATCGTTTACCTTTATGAATAATTAGCCAACGAACTGCCTAAGGAAAAAAAGTACTAAAAAACAAAAACCCATTACATACTTGTCCTCAATTTTCTTTCAGAACATGCACAAAGAATAAAAAAAGTAGCAATACCATTTTTTAAACGAGAGAGAAAAGTCTTTATTGTAGTTGTTTAATTATGATGATGGGCTGATAGATTTGGATGGCGGAAAAGATAAATGATTTATCAATGTTTTATGCAGGATAAGGAATGTTTAGATATCCGAATCCATGGGAAGACGCGACCAGAAGCGCTGGGTGATGAGAGCCTCTCTGAAGCCTTGTTCGAGACTGCTGCCCGAACCCAAGACCACGCCATCGGTGCTGTTGTAGGGCATACCCTCAATAGCGGTCTTGAAGAAATCCTCGCCTTCGCCGGATGCAGCGATAGGCTTACCATGGCGATAAGCGTCCATAATAAATACCTTGGGTTCTTCCATGGGGAAGAAACTAGTCGATTCCATGAGGAACTTGATGCCTTGAGCACCACCAGGGACATAAATGGCATCATAGAGCACAGACGACGTGGTAAGATAGGTGTTATCGACCTGCAAACCGTCCTGTTCACCTTGGTATACACCAATGTAATCAGGATAGGCGCCTTCGGAAGAAAGGTAATCATACATTTCTTTGGCTTCTTGTGCATTGGTACCGGGAGCAGTCAAGATAGCGACCTTGCGTGTACGAATATTATCGGGTTTGGGATACTTCTGGATGGACAAGTGCGAGTCCATTCGACCATCATTTTCAGTGACCTTGTCGGGTAATGCGACACCAACGCCGGCAGCGACACGACGAGCCAAATTGTTGTCGACTTGGTTAAGCTGGTCGACAAATCGCTTACGGACATCAACGGACTTTGACTTGCCAACTTCAAAGCGGAAACCGTCTACGGTTTGTTGTTGCTCAGCGGGCGTAAGTGAGTTATAGTATAAGCGAGCTTGCGAGTAGAAATCAAAGAAGCTTGGCGAACGGCCGCGTTGCTTGCGCCCATCGACTTGTTCGGGATACTCGACATAGCCGCCTTGTTCTGGGCTGGCAACGTTGGGTGAGTTGCCTTGCAATCCGTTGGGGAAGTAAGCGACATTGCCCTTGAACGTGTTCATTTGCATGAAACCGTCGCGCTGGTTGTTGTGAACCTCTGCAAGAGGACGATTGATGGGAAGTTGTAAAAAGTTGGCACTGCTCATGCGGTTCAATTGAGTGTCGAGGTAACTGAACAAGCGGCCTTGCAAGAGAGGATCGTCGGTAAAGCCGATGCCTATAAAGAAATGCGGTTTCATTTGTAAGTATGTTACAAACTTTAGTTTCTGATATGATATATGTTTCTTTTAGGATCTTACCATTGACAATGTGGCCAGGATGCATAGTGACTTGCTCGGTCTCAGAGAAGAAGTTATCGACGTTACGATTCAATACCATCTTGCCGACACGAGTGACAGGAACAATATCCTCGGGAATAATCTTGGTAGGATCCAGCAAGTCAAAGTCAAACTTGAATTCGTCTTCTTCAGGCACCATTTGGAAGCCCAACTCATACTCCGGGTAATCACCGCGGTTGATGGCAGTGTACAAGTCATCGCGATGGAAGTCACTATTCTTGCCAGCAATCTTTTGAGCCTCGTCCCAAACAAGGTTGGACAAGCCTGCCATCGGCTTCCAATGGAACTTGCAAAAGATAGCCTTGCCTTCAGCAGTAATCAAGCGGAACGTATGGACACCGAAACCTTCGACTTGTCTGAAGCTGCGAGGAATACCACGCGGTGAAAGCGCCCACATAACGGTATGCAAAGTTTCAGGGAACTCACTAGATAAAAATATAATGGGTTAGTAACCGCTCAAAGAGGTACGAGATAGACATGTTGTTGTCACATTACGTAACACATAGTTAAAGAAAAAGACTTGGATGTGAACAAACATACGCAAAGAAATCATAGGCAGTCTCATGAGCAGTACCGGCTTGAGGCGTATCCGTATCAGGTTCCATTTTACCGGCATGGATCAAGTCTGGGAATTTGATTGCATCCTGGACAAAGAATGGTGCAATGATATTGCCAACCAAGTCAAAGTGGCCTTCGTCGGTATAGAAACGGGTAGAAAAGCCGCGAACATCACGGACAGTATCGGCCGAGCCCTTGTTACCCAACACGGTCGAGAAACGGACAAATGTTGGGGTCTTTTTGCCAGCCTCGCTCAAGAACTTGGCCGATGTGACATTCGACCAACTAGCATACGACTCAAAGTAACCATGGGCACCCACGCCACGAGCATGAACAACACGTTCAGGGATCCGTTCATGATCTATTGTATATCAAACTCACTTAATTATCACCGTAACATCATAAACAATCAATTTGTGGCTTCTTCTTGCTTACCAAAGTGCATAATCTTTTCACGCATCATAAAGTCCTCCATCAAAGTAGGACCACGGAGACCGGCCTTTAAACTGTCACTGTTGTTAACACGTTGGCCAAAGTTGGTTGTTTCCAAAGTACCCGCATCATTGACGAGGAATTCGTTCATCTGTTTTGTTTTGGCGTCTTGACCATCGAAAGCATTGATTTGAAATGCACATTGACCATCGGTATCGGGTCTTGGCTGCTCATTATTCGTATATGCCAAAGCAGTGTAAGAGCTAAGCTGCTGGATGGCCAGCGCTATGCTGAAGAGACCGGCAAACTTCATGCTTAAATAAAAGAGTAGGGAAATCACAAGAAAATGTAAGGCTAGAGAGAAAAGATAAAAGTTGCAGCGACGGAAACACTTTGAACAAGAAGGTTCTTTATATATTGTTCATGTTTGCTTAGAGAGAATCACCGAGGCTTGATTATAGTACGCACACGCACTGTAAAAACAAAAGAAGCAAACAATCACACAGATGTTCTCAGTCCCCTTCACCGGGAAAAATTTATAAGATTAAAGCGTAAATTGACCTGATTTCGACAAGTGACATAGATACATACCGATTGTATCACTAATAACTCTACTACTTGCTAGGATCCCGAATTAGTCAACTTGAAAGCATTACATCTTAACTTGATTGAAGAAGTGCTGTTATCGGGCATCTATCAAAGTGCTCTTTTATTATTCGTTGTCTAGGGGCAATCCTTAGGACACCACATCAAATCAGTAGGAATGACGATCATGTTCAATCATCGGAATCTTTTATACTTCATGCAACAAATACTAACATGCATAGACGACTATTGTTAATTCTGACGCTACTCTTGTGTACGCAGCGAAATATAAGCGACGAAGCAGAATAAAAGCAAACAATCTTCTAGAAACAACCGTGTTGTTGACATCCTGATCGAAGAAGAGCTAAAAAAAACATTCTTTTGGTTATTCCATGTCTTCTCGAATGATAGTCCTTTTCCGTAATAAACATTCGAGTTCTTTCTTCTCCTCCTCCTCCAAAGACTTTCTATGCATCAGTAAAAAGAAGCATTTAATTGGCCAAGCGTACACATTCATGCTTCGAAAACAAAATATAAAAGCACAGCAAATTCCTTTTATGGCAACTTGATGTTGTCGGTACCACCACCACCAACAGCACCAGGCTTTCTGTTGCGAGGGGGGTAAATTATATAATAGCTGTGTCTTGATGCATAATTTGGCACACTGGTGCTCTCACAGAAGAGAGGATGATAAGCGATAGCCAAGGAGAAACAAGCATTTCCGTGGTAGTAAGTGCTTTCCATCATCAGCATCCAGGATCCACGGGTTCGGATTGGCAGCCTCAAAAGTTTGAATTTTATTCATGATATCGGTGCGTACACTTTGTTCTTTTCTTCTACTACGTCCCCTTCCCACCAATACTATGTTTGGGCAGTTTAAGAATATCCTACCCAACAACATTCGCTCCATATCCGATTCCGTAGGGTAAATTACGTTTTCAGTATAAGAAATACTGTAGATACTTTCCTTCACCTTCCCCTTTTTATTTGGTTTATTAAAGCTGCATATAACGTGTAGAATAAATGAGGAAGAATGGCGAACGCGTGGATTAGAACGGTAATTAAAGGGAAAAAACGATACTCGTCAGCAGCCAAACAATAAACTCCTTTAATGCATAGGCTAGAAGCCATTCGATCCGAATTCCAGAACCTGCTTCTCAATCGACCAGAGTAATTAAACTAAAAAGAAAAATAGTGAAAGGTGTGGCAACTATTTTTTTCTGTTGTGTATGTAACTAACCCGTTGCCTCATTCCTCCTCTTGTAAAAGTCAACCGTCGTCGTCACCGAATACTACCAGTACTACACCTTCACCAACACCATCGCAAGAATCTGCTAACAGATCATCGATCCTTGAACTCGAATCTGTCGCACAACTAATTGACAAGTAAAAGAAGCTATTAAAGAGGGGCACTCTGGACACAGAAATAACTCACGGGCTTTTTTAAGGTTTCGGAACGATTGGCATGATATTCATGAAAGAAACCATGCAAATTTCAGCAAATTTGAAGTAAACACTCCCTTTTTCCATAGAACTTGATCCCTTGATAACAGTTGTAATTAGAGCGCTAAGTAATTTTTCTTCATTCGTTGTTGCTGTTGCCTAGGTAGCGGATCGATTGTTGATCGTCTTACTTGAACGGTGTCAACAACATGCCAATGTCTGCAAAAGAATGGATGATATACCCAACGATCTTTCAACAATACAAAGTGAACTCCATTCCCTTACCGATATTGCAGGTATTGCATCCATCTCACCTACAAAAGAGACACATGTGTACGAACCCCTGCCTAAACCAACATTGAACTCTACATGCATGGATAGGTGAATTGAAAAGTAAGTTAGCGACCTTGGAAGATAGGATAGAGGAAGCTACGGCCGAACATACCCGTGGCGAATTCGAAGCATGGAAACGACAGGAACAGGTTCGAGTAAAAGAAGAACTGGCAGAAAAGAGGTAAGACAGGATGGAGATAGAAAAGCTATATATATATATATATATATATATGTATAGTTGGATGAAGAGACATGGCAGTAATTAACGTGTGTGCTATTGATGTGTACTACTTAATGCAATATCAGAGTAGCACTAGCAAGGCGAGAAGCAGAGCTCAAAGAAGCATATGAACAGCATAATAATACACAAACGCAAAAACGCGTTGAGTTATATGAAGCTACCTTTAATGCAGAACTAGAAGATTATCGACGACGTCGCGTAAATGAAGTATCCTCACTTTATTCACGTGAGTTTACGATACGTGTATATATCGACGGAAAAGGAGGCAGTAGAGTTTGCTGTGTTCATAAAAAAATGTTATGTTATAGACACAGATCGCAATAATCCGGGTTCTGCTCCTCCTGCAGCAGCTTCGCTTGACTCTGTTCGATTGGATAGTGGTGACATTAAAGGATTGGACATGTTCCTTACAGACGATGAAAACGCATTATCACCACAGGTAAAAAAAAAGTTTTGTTTATGTATAAGAATAAAAGTACACGCATATTTATATATTGCTTCTATATTAATTCAAAAAATATATTATTGCTAGGCTACTACTACTGCTATTACCACCACCAGTAATGCGGCAACGACGACAACGACTAGCGTGACATCATCATCACCAATAGCAACAGCAGCAACATCAGATACATCAAAGCATCGTGACAAATATAACATTGACACGGAGGACGACGATGATGAAGAAGGAGGAGGAGGAATCGAGATATTAGGGGATGAGGATTATCATAGTAGTAGCGACTGAAAATTGTATAATTTTATCGCTTTGAAGGGGATATTTGAAGCATGGGCATCTGTACATTGAATATCAAATAATGATTTTTGATAAATGCGCCACCGAGAATGCTAAACGGCATGCCAGCATAAGCGAAACCAGCGGTACATGTCCCATCCGCTTCCTCATATTTCAACGAGTCTGGTGGAACGACAAAATGGGTGCTGGCCATGGTAATAATCAAGGGTTCTAGTTTGGATTCATCGCAGGTGATTTTAAAGGTGCCGTCGTGATTATCGGATGCATTGTACCTTTCTGCGAGTTGATGTGCTATGTCATCTGGAAAGATCAAGAGTGTTGTACCAGTATCGACGATCGCATATAGATTCTCACCAACGATATTATCATTAATGGGAGTGGTAGTGCTGGTTGTGGTATTTGAACTAGTAGTAATGATGGCGCTGTTGTTGGTAGTGTTATCGTTGGCAGGAGTACTGCTGTTACTATAGCCGTAACTCAAAGATTGAATCGTCACGCCCCAGAAACCTGCCAAAGCGGTTGATTAGTTTTGCCATCTATAGTTAAACATGCATGTAATACATACCTTGCGAATTGTCTACAGGTATTGTAGTAAGGTCTCCAGCAATGTGGTTTGGATTATAGTCGCCAAACAAGAGTTCTAAATTTTACAGAAAAAAATATCAGTCTTTCGACTACACGGTTGATGTATTCCAAAGAAAATTGGGTCCTTCTACAGATAGAACAAGATACATACCACCGCCACCACCTTGATACGATTTTCCAAAAAAGACACTGAATATAGGCTTGTCAATGAGCTTCTGGCGAATCAAATTATCCATGGGAGTGACAATATTAGGCACTGTTGCTATCGAATCGAAACCGAGGCCGAGAATTCCGTCGGTGGGGCATGCGTTAAAGATCGAGGAGCGAGAGGTGGCCAATTGAAGCGCTTGGCCTTGGACCTTGTGTCCTCCTAGATCGACAGTATCGTAACCAACTTTACCGCTGGCATGGGTACCGTCACCATATACAATGGTCCATTTTCCACCAACTGATTTTCGATATGTCGATGAAAAACTTGGGTAGAATCTGGTTTTGAACAGTCCGCACGAGAAACAACCGGATGATGCTATAGATATATGTATATATATAAAATACCGAGAGCCCCCTCCCTCAACAATTCAGTATATTTCTGGTGTATTTGTAGTGTGATGGCTCATATTAGCCATGATAGTAAGAAAGAGGCTTAGTATTACCGAACCAAAGATCAGACGATCCAGTGTCAAAGTTGAGTTTCAGTTCCTGACCAGGCGTCCCAATAGACACGGTTCCATAATACTCGAGATCGTACCCACTTTCGCTGAGTGCAATGGCGCCTTGTTTACTGTTACTGTCGTCTTGGTGAAATGCGTTGACATAGTAGCGGGAATATTTTGATTGCACGCGCTGCACCGATGCACTGGCATTTGGAACATAGTCCGGATTGGTGTCAAGTTGTATACCAGTCGCTACTGGATAGAACAAACTACTGCTGCAGAAGACGACAACAGCAGAGTAATAAGCGGGCGCGATCCATAACATGACGATGGAATCAAATAGCCCTTCTTCAATGCTAACTTGCTTTTTTTCTGCGGTCAACTATTAGGTCTTTGTTGTCGTTTGAGGTGTTTATAACAAACACACACTCTTGATCTCTTTTAGAGAACGAAAAAGAGAGAGGGGGGAAAAAGAACAAAGAGGTCAAAGAGGATTATTATGTATCTCATTTTGCAACCGTGCCGACAGTAACACATAACAATATCGCAAGTGGTATTAAAAAGTGCGCGTTACACCAAATGTCCCAGTGCAGCAATAAGTGCCTCCTTTATAATAATCGCAGCCAGCCCGAAGGGGCCCTAACATTATTCATGTCACTCAAGATAATTGTAGATGCGCTTATTACAGCGATATCGCAAATATTGTTATTAATATTATTATTAGAGTTAGAATTTGCCAAAGATCGGCGTCGATACTATGGCTCGTTTAATTCACTCGTGCGCCTTTTTTTACTCACCCTCTGTATAGAAACGCAGGGTCATTTATTGTCCTTGAAACCTTATCTCGAAAAAGTACAATGGGACGTCAAGCGCTTCTTTGTTGCTGTGATTCTATGATGCGTGCCAAGCCTTCTTGTTTTTGTCTCTGCAATCTCAAAACTATCAGGAGTACGCCGCTATTAGTAAGTAGTCCTTTTCAAAACAAAGAGTTTTATCTTCTGTGATTGTGATAGGTAATGCCTGGATAGATAGAACACAGCAGAAGAACACCCAGCTGTCAAGTTCGAAACACAAGCTCGTCTCTATCCAGCAGGTCCTTCTCGCAACATGATTGGATGACTTTCTACGCACTGTAAAATTTTTTAGAAAAAGACCATTTTCCTTAGCACTCCCTTTGACTCCCTCTCTTCTCTTCCACACATTTTCTTTTGAAGGAAAAAACCCTCTCTCTCTCTCTTTTTTTTTCTTTCTCTTCAAAAGGGCTTGCCTCCAAAACAAATATATAAAAAAACCTACAAAAAAAAACTGAAAATATTTATAAAAAAACTTATAAATTTTAACGATCATGTCTTCTCCCGTTGCTGCCGTTGCGAACCCTACTCCTGCCGAAGCTCAGGCCGGTACTCAACAATTGTCTGCTGAACAACAACAGCAGATCGCTCAGGCCCAGGCTACTCCGGCACCTGCTGCTGGTTCTACCAACCCTGCTGTCGCCGCTCCTTCGCCATCGGCTTCGCTTTACGTCGGTGAACTCGATCCTTCTGTCACCGAAGCCATGCTTTTCGAAATGTTCAACATGGTCGGTCCTGTTGCCAGCATCCGTGTCTGCCGTGATGCCGTCACCCGTCGCAGCTTGGGCTATGCTTATGTCAACTATCACAACATTGTCGATGGTAAGTAAACAAAGGAAGGGGGACATTCAGTGCTTTTATTTGTATATGTCCAGGTTCTCGTCGTTGTTTTGTCGGTGGTGGTGATGGATAAGTAATGGTTGAGGACTCAACGAAATTCTTGGTGGTTTTGAAGGTGAACGTGCTTTGGAAAGCTTGAACTACACTTTGGTCAAGGGCAGACCCTGTCGTATCATGTGGTCGCAGCGTGATCCTTCGCTTCGCAAGACCGGTTCGGGCAACGTCTTCATCAAGAACCTTGATCCCTCCATCGATAACAAGGCTCTTCATGATACCTTTTCTGCCTTTGGTAACATCTTGTCATGCAAGATCGCCTTGGATGAGACTGGTAGCTCCAAGGGCTACGGTTTCGTTCACTACGAGACTGACGAGGCTGCCGTCAGTGCGATCAAGCACGTCAACGGCATGTTGTTGAACGACAAGAAGGTGTAAGTAAATTGTTTTACTGAGTTTACTTCATAATATATGGGGCTATGCATGTGTGATGTATGAAGATCTCAGCAGAGATTCAAAGAAAATTAAGGAGAAGAGAAGCAAGTGGGGAGGAGTTGTGTTTCTTAATTGGAATGTTCTGTGTGTATCTCAAAAAAAGATGATGGTGATTAATTTGAATTTTTCTTTAGCTTTGTCGGTCACCACGTCCCTCGCAAGGAACGTCAGGCTAAGATTGAGGAACTCAAAGCCAAGTTCACCAACGTGTACGTCAAGAACTTGGACACTGAAGTTTCGGACAAGGAGGTTGAGGAAATGTTTGGCAAGTTCGGCCCCATCACCTCGGCCGTGATCCAAAAGGACGAGGAAGGCAAGTCCAAGGGCTTTGGTTTCGTCAACTTTGAGAACTTTGAGGATGCCCGCAAGGCTGTCGCGGAATTGCACGAGAAGGAACACAAGGGCAAGGTGTTGTTTGTTTCTCGTGCGCAGAAGAAGGCTGAGCGTGAGGAAGAATTGAGAAGACAGTACGAGCAGGCCAAGTTGGAGAAGCTTGCCAAGTACCAGGGCGTCAACTTGTATGTCAAGAACCTCGACGATGACATTGATGATGAAAAGTTGCGCCAGGAGTTCTCGGTCTACGGTGTCATTACCTCTGCCAAGGTGATGCGCGATGACAAGGCTAACAGCAAGGGCTTTGGCTTTGTCTGCTTCTCCGAGCCCGATGAGGCCACCCGTGCCATCACTGAGGCCAACGGCCGTATGATTGGCTCCAAGCCTATCTACGTTGCCTTGGCTCAGCGTAAGGAGGTCCGTCGTAGCCAGTTGGAGGCCCAGATGGCCCAGCGCAACCAGATGCGCATGCAGCAGGTAATGTGATTGTTGCTGTTGTTGTGTTTGGTGGATTGGGATATGTTGTTTGTTGGATAAGCACGTTGTTGTCAGGAGAATCATTGTGGCCAACAATTGTCATGCTCTGAACATGCATTTAGGCTGTTCCCATCCCCGGTGGTCCTGGTTACATGCCCGGCGCCCCCATGTTCTATGCTCCCCCCAACGGTTTCATGCCTCAAGGCCAGCGTCCCGTGTTCCCACCTAACGGTCTGATGCCCCGTCCTCGTTGGGCTCCTCAGCCCCAGCAGGGCCAGCAGATGCCTGTGCCTGGCTATCCCCAGGGTCCTCAAGGCTTCTCGCCCAACAACATGCAAGGCCGTCCTCCTCGCCAGCCCCGTCCTGCTCGTGGCGGCGCTGCTAACCAGGCTGGTGGCCGTGCGCAAGCTGCTGGCCAGCGCAAGTTCTCGTCGCAAGGCCGCGGTAACGCCTCTGCTGCCACCGCCACTACCAACGGCACTGCTGCTCCTCAAGAACAGCAGCAGCAGCAACAACAACAGGCTAACGGCAACACTTTGACTGCTGCTTCTTTGGCCAATGCTACCCCTGAAGTTCAGAAGCAGATGCTTGGTGAGCGTTTGTACCCATTGATGTAAGTGCAGTATTATCTTTCTGGCTGTTGCTGCGTGGTTATAGAAGAGGAAGAGATGGTTAATTAGAGCTTGTGTTTATTATTGTAGCCACGCTTCGCAGCCCGATTACTCGGGAAAGATCACCGGTATGCTTTTGGAGATGGACAACAGCGAGCTTTTGAACCTGTTGGAGGACCAAACTGCTTTGGATGCCAAGATCAGTGAAGCCATGGAAGTCTTGAAGGCTCACTTGGCTGGCGCCGAAGACGAAAAGGCTGAAGCTACCAAGGCTTAAATGGTTTTTTGTATAAAAAAAAATGCAGCCCTAATTCGAAAAAAATACTACACATACATATTTTTTTTCCCCTTGAGAGACTGAGAGAATCTTTTTTTCTTCCCCTTTTATATATTTATTATATAAAAATATAAAAAGAAAGAACAAATCAACAAAAATATGTCTTTTCCTGTCACTTGTTTCGTACTGTTGCGACGGCGTTTGTTTTCAACAACTCAAAAGCTAGGGCTGCAACCATGGTCATACAATGATGCTTCGAATTGGATCAACAAATTCAACAAGGATAAGATTCCTCAAGATCAACTGCGCATTCTGTTTAGTCGTAGTAGTGGTCCTGGCGGTCAGAATGTCAACAAAGGTAAAACCTTACTTTTCCTGTCATGTCCCTGACATAATACGTGGCCATTCCCTCAGTGTATGCGCATATGCAAATGATTATTTTGTTTTGCGGGGAGAGAGTCAGTACAAAGGTAGATATGCGACTGCGCCTAAACAAGAAGGACAGTGATGAATGGCTTCCTAGCTACGCCATCGACAAGCTCAAACTAAACAAATCGAACGAATTGGTCGTGACGTCGGATCGGACGCGTTCACAAGCAAAGAATATTCAAGAATGTTATGACAAATTGGTCGATACCATCAAATCAGCAGTGGCGGTGCCCAAAGATCCTGATCAGGCAAGTCTGGATCGTCTTGCTGCCATGTGAGTTTTTTACTACTGCAATCTCTTTTTCTCCCGATCATTTTGTTATTCAACTAATAAGATCCATTCTGATAGTCGAGGAGAAGGCAATAAACGACGTAAGGAAAATAAGAAACGACACTCGGATAAGAAGTCGAGTCGACGGTGGAAGGGTAATGATTATTAAATAAATGTATACATACCGTTCTACTACAGTCATAATAGTCCATTGAATCCGGTTAATGTGTCTCGTTGTTTGTCAATGAGCCTGGTGACCATTGATGGTAATCACATTTTACTCCATGCATAAAACAGTCTGCCACTGACTAGACAGAAAAAGCAGGCACAAACATGATGATCCGAGAAGCAGGTAGATCCCGTTTCCTAGCCAACGCTATCCAAACAACCATTGTTCCTTTTCATCTTCCCTTTTGTAAAATGTAAGCATATTTATTTCAAAGCAAAAGAGCTGCCCAACCAGCCATCATTGCCAAACCTCCCAGAGGTGTTACTGGACCAAGGAATCTCAGTTGTTCACGCTTCTTCAACGTTAAAATATAAATGGAGCCGCTGAAAGCAATCGTGCCACCCAGCATTAATGGTGCTACTGCTGGGTGAATGCGTCGAACAGCCGGTGGGATGGACGAAATGGAAACCAATGCAACGGCGTGCAAAAGTTGATAATGAGCTGCCATGCTCCAGTTCTAAACGTATTTTTTTTATATGTTTGAGTTGAAAATGGAAAACGAAAATAGTCTGTTGCTTTATGCAAGAATGATTGAAGGAGTGGGTGGTCAAGTGTATACCTTGAGCTTGGTGGCATCATCGCCAACGTACTTGGCGAGACCATGTGTACCAAACGCGCCCAAACCAACGGCAGTGAGTCCTAAGCCAATACATTAAAATACAAGTACGAGGGACACAGTTCGCTGACCATTGTTGTTTTAGCTATTTACCAAGTATGCTTCCTGCTTTGAAGTAAAAGTTGCTTGCCATGCTTATAGGGCCTGTGTGTGTAAAAGAAGTGCAAGCACAAACCAGAAGAGGTTAAATCTGATAAAAAGTGGCGCGACCGCCTGACGGTGCGCGGTATTTCGGCTCGTTCCGGACTTTTTCAGCACCTTTATTTGTGGCGGCCGAAATAGCCCGCATGAATCTGTGTTCTTGGTAAGCAATTTTCATGACGATCGGTTTGACCTAGCTTTGATAAATGGACCTGTGTTTTTATAATATGATATCATTCAATGACGTGTAAACGTGTTAGAAAGCATCAATGCTAGTTGACTAGGCGTCAGCGGTAATCCTGTTCGTCGACGATCGACTGTGAAGAGCGAACTGAAAAAAGTCTCTCTCGAAAATAGTAATAGCCATCAAAAACCAACGCAAAAAGGTCTCAATACGATCTACACAACGCTTATCAACATTTATTTTATTAGCGAATGTTTGTTCAGCAAGTGCAGTACAGCACATATACCAACGGCTTTGTAGTAATCCCCGTCTTTCCTAATTACTGGAAAACGACTATATTGAAGCAATGTGAAGTTGTATCCCACTTAATACCACATGTTTAACAGCAACATAATACTTTTGCTCGGAAAAACTGAAGTCAAGGGTTGATGCTGCCTCGCCTAAAGAAATGTATCTACAGTGATACCGCCAAAACAGTTTCTCTTCTTTTACATATTATGAAATTAGATGACTCATTGGCGTCAGACCCACCGACCAAGAGGTACCCTTTTTTCAAGGATCCAGAAATCAAGCGAAGCGATACTGTTCTGCTGCCGTGATGTTCAGGCAGCTGTACAGAAACAGCAAGTGCCAAATCTGACTGACTTTCTGGTACAGGTGGCTTGTCGCCAAATATACGTGTATTTGGAGCCTCCATTATCATTGCTGGATGCTGCTTGCTATACTTGTGCAGGTGACATACACGGATCTTCCGTTGACGTCGACAACACCGTTCATTGTACCTAGAAAAGCTCCTTCGTCAGGTTCAAAAGACCAATCGGCGCTATGCGCCCCAGCAGCTCCAGTCTACGACGATAAACCATACACCTGCGTCGCATCTCCGGTCATCCGTTCCTCTCCAAGGCGCAGGATAGATGGATCTTTTTGCGCCAGGTGACCGTAAAATTGGACCATCAAGTCTTGCACAGGTTGCCCTTGATCAATGGATGTCCGGGAAAAAGATCCGCAAGCGTAAATACTCGGTCGTGCTCTTCGCTGCTCGTCCGCGCATGTGCGTGCTTGAGAACGTCGCCAGCATTCCATCGTGTTGCTGGCGGTGGTTTACACAGATCATCAATCATTCCACAGTCACCCTGAATACACCAGTAATGTGTGTCGCGGTGTTTTTTTTTCTAAGGTGGCCTTGATTACTGCACGTTTGGTCATGCCAACTGTATTTGATGTTGATATTTTGCATACTTGTTGAGTGATGCCTTGAAACTCAACGAATGTAACCTTGCGGCGGATGCGTGTTCGCCCTCTAAATTATTTCTGTACTGTCTAGACTGAGAAGATATGATAATCCTGTGTTTGCGTTGATCGACGTACTTTGGTCTTACCGGTGTCCTTGTTTACTACTGTATCTTGTCTCCGGATTGAGCCCAAGAATGATAGCGCACAGTATTTTCTCACTCGGTTGCCGAGGAGCCCGAACCACCTTTGTATCTGTTGTGCGAACGAACCAAGTAGGAGTAAATGCTGGTTTCGATAGCCCTTTTAGTGTTCTTCGCGATGGTACAATTTGACGATCAACATGGTTCCCAACTTAGTGGCCGACCCATTGACTTAGTCTCGTAAGTGATATACATCCTTTATACACCATCGAAGCTCAATTGTATAAGTTAAATAAGTTTAAGAAGTTTTATACCCATATCTTTACCTCGACTATTGACAGTGTTAATGTGTGCGGTGATACTGATACAGTATACTGTAGTTGACAATTGTGATACCTGGAAGTAATATGAGTATGTAGAGTTTTTATCTTAAAATAAGTGATGTGGACTCGTGTGACTATTGCTTGAATGTGATAAATGATAAGCGAACAGGTTGTTCTATATATGTGTGCTGGGCTTGCGACACTGGCGCAGGTGTACATACCTTGACAGTATAAGAGCCTGTAGTTTTCCACAGCTAAATATAGTTGACAACGGTAATGCGCAATATCTACATCAAAGCACACTTCGCATTGAATATAATAGCTATATATATGTGACTAACACTAAATTTTTTGGTGAAAGGAAAGCATACTAGCTTTGCCTCTTTGATTGTCGTTTTCTGCAACAGCACATAGTGTTCCAAGTCTGAAAAACAGCTGCAATAAAGACAATAGCGGGGAGCATTAAAGTTGTATGAGCACTGATGAAGTATCTCCAAAACGTGTTTCAAAACTTGAAGAGTTTCCAAAATACGGGCGGCGACTACACTACATCTGGTGAGAAAACAAAGATAAAGGTTATTATCATACATTAAGAGATGTGATTTAGATACAGCCATCGTTGAATCAGTTGAGAGCAAACGTGTGGATTACATGTTGAAAGTGTGAAAAAAGTTTCGTTCCAATTCGTTCGATAAAATGATAGTAAATGCCAGATTAAAAAGGAGAACTTCCATGTCAACAGTGAATTTGATGCAAGCTTCTATTGGGGAGAAGAAGGAGGCGACCCTTGCAGCATGTATAAAGCGCCAATTGGCTTTAGTCCGTTTTCTTTTACGAACTTGAAAGTATCAAACTCGGTGTCTCCGATGGCTGAAACACTTGATTAACCTGAGGTTGCTCATACACTGCAAAGATATAGCGATGAATCCCTGAACCTGCAGGCGGAGCTGGTGGTACATAAGAGGAATACTGGTGCATAGGATTGTCAATATCCAACTAGCCATGTCACCGTCAATGTTGGTTACCATCCAGTGAAGATATGGTGACGATCCCTCAATGGCATCAGGGTCGAGCTTATCACTTTGCGGATTCGGATAAAGACGTTGCTTCTTTTTTATAATATTTCGTACATAGCAACACGTCTCATTTTTGGATACGTACCAACATTAAAGTGTTTTGTGATTAATCATTGGTTTTTGAAAATTATATTATAGGAGCTTCTTCCGTTTCTTCATAAAGTGTAATGTCACCCATTTCCAATTGTTTTCCGATCATAGAATAAGAGACACGTAATTCGCTTACCGGATCGAAATCACCAAGGACTAGATATACACGTTGATTACGGTGACATCGAAAATTGTGTTTCATGGTACCATTAGGCATATATACAATATTGTACAGTAATCGTCGGTTTCTGTAACAAATACAAACAATTGATATCATATGCCGTCAGGGATAACGCCTGCTTTTTCAAGTTCAGCTTTGGTGGCAGCACCATTGAGAGAATAAGGGGAGCCGCAAGCGTTAATATGGAAAAGAACAGCCAATTACTGTAAATGCCTAGAAACAAGCTCCTATATATATTTTCATCATTGTTATACATGTATGCAATCCCCTTCCTCTCATCTCTGCACTGAAGGCGTATTTTGTTTGGAAACTTTATTATTTCTTCGTTTTTGTTGCCATTGGATTCTTGTGCTATGTATACGTTCTACAGCGTTGTTGTAAATGTACACGAAAACGATACTACGTAGTAGTGTCTACTTAATTTAGCCAACAAAAGGATGTGTCGCTTTTGCAATACATGTCGTTAGAAGTATTTGTCAGTAACCGATAATGTAGTTGCAGTACTACAATATTGCTCGTAGGCTCCTTCCGCACCCCAGAATTCCCGTGCTTGAACCATTGCAAAATAGTAAGCGATCATTGCACAGAGACAAAGTATGTGAAATATAGTGTGGGACTGAAACTACATTACATCATTAGCATTACAAAGCAAAATAAATTAATCTTACCGGTCTCTTTTTTGACAGTTTACGTTATGTGCTACAGGTAGACAAAATAGAATACATACCCAGATATCGCAACGACCCGGAAACGATCTCTCTGGCCATCTAAGTCCAAAGACCAACGCTCCTGAAACATAGAAAAAGGACGTGATAAAGATGCGGCCAAGTCCTATCTCGAACATCATGTCGGTCTATATAGTAGTACGGATCACATACAACGACAGAAACATACATCTTGTCAATAGGCTGCCTCTTTTTTTCTCTCCTTGAAAATAGGACAAGACTACTACATGATGCATTATGCAGCCCCACTTACGCCATGAAGGAGACCAGCGTGAACAAAGCCAGTAACTCCAGCAAAACCGACAAAGACAAAGGTAATGGTACGCATCCACATATATTCCTCAGCTTGGAATCGTGGTATAACCAGCATGGCCGCCTAATGTAATTTTTTGTTAAGTCTTAATAAGTAGCACAAAATCAGCACCACCATCGAGCTTAATAAGAAATCGTTATAATAGCTATTCTCACCGCAGTTCCACAGACAACCAGATATGTGAAAATATAAAAAGCTATATGTGAGGGAAAACCAGTTCGCGTTGTTAGTCTCCTATATGTGGCAGGTGTTGGTGCTATATGCATTTATGCAGAAGATCGCAACTATGATGCTTCTGTTAACGAAGATACCGGAGAAGAAAGGGGGATATATATGCTATAAAAAATACTTACTTTGAAGATGAGGCTCGCAATAAAAATAGTAATGATAAACAAGGAGCCAGCTTCCACTATTATCATGATCATTCATAATTAACATTCCATTAAAAAAAGACGTGGTGTGGCCAGGATTCGAAAAGAAGGCGGAAAGTTATTTGTAAAAGGGTCGCATCAATGTTGATATGATAATTAAACGAAAACCTTACATATTGTTAAAGATGATACCAAGGTAATCAATTGAGTTACATGCGACCGATACGCTTTTGGAATGACATGCGAAAATGTGATAAACACAGCTGCAGGCAAGGCAGCCTGAACCAAATATGAAATAAGTAAACAAGAGCAGATCGGCTGTGGTTCCTACTGAGAAGATAGATTCGCCGGCATGTTTATCATTCCATTCGCCTTGCCAGTATAAGAATCGGCCAAGGTAGCATAGGATACCGATTAAACCAAGAAGATGAGTCCATATATTTACTTGTTATATACGTGATTGAAAGTAGAAGGTGGTAAATTAGTTGGCATTATATGTCAATCAGAATAATGCTAAAATGATATCGTGCACACTGTTGTTCTTTTGCCTACTTACGCGTCTCGTTGTGCCATTCCAATACGCTTTTAACACACGTCCAATAATTGCTATTGGGTGGCCGATATGAACCGAGTATATACGGGTTGAATCTCATCCATTCAGGGATTTCTGACCAGGTCAAAAGACGACGCTGGCCGTTATTATAAGTTTTTTGCTCCTTGAGGCAAGATCGATGGTTTGATGACGACTGGTAATCTCGCCGTGTGGTGCTGTCATCTTTCTCTGTTAGGAGCGGTCTAAACCCTTCTTGTTTGTTGTTGCTCATGAATTTTAATGATGAAGGAAACAAAAAGAGAAAGAAAAAGTGTGCGTCGTTTAGTTTGCGTTTCTCTATATACACACCTTGCTTAGCTGCTGCTTCAAAATCATGTGTTCATCATGTACGTACGCGTCCTCGCGGCATTTTTTGCAAGGAGTAGTTCTGCACTAGAAGAGTCCCCCGCTTTTTTTTTTTACTTGCAAGTATTCTATTTCTTGGTAAAAATGGACCGGAAAAGAGAAGATATACAGTAGACCGGTTCCTATCGAGTACAGTATTTGTTTGTGGCGTAAACTTGTGTGTGAGTGATTAAGGGGTTGATGGCAAGTTTCAACAGGGTGCCTAACAGCATGTCTAATAATGGACGACAATTAGTTCATCATGAGCGGTTAATGAGCGCGTTTTCATATAGTATCTTTCGACCAGTGAAGAAGCCTTTTCTTATTGCACAGAGGTATAATAACAGAATCTTTTATTGGAACTACGTATACCGTTGGTATAAAGATAAGGCATTGATTTGATTTAAAAAAAAATAAGAGCATGTGATGGGATGACCAAGGTCGGCAGACTTTTGATGGAGCGGAGGGAGGGTGAACCAAATTTTCCTAGGTTGTGAACTTTTCGTAAAAGCTAGTGAACCACTCCTGCATAGCACGGAATGATAGGGCTACGAAGCTTTCGTTGATATCGTTGCTGTTACTACTACCATTAATCGCTTGTGGCACCACCACATCTGGTTCAGACCTTTTCTGCTTTTTCTTATTACTACTACTCGACATACTCACCGCGTCACCACCATCGCCCATCTTGCGTTTTGTTCCGGCTGCCTTTCTTTCATCAAAGCGTGTCGTGATCGAATCAATGTGCTTATTGACAATTTCACGATCCATACCACCTGCTGACGAAGAGAAAGAGAAAGAGGGAGCAGAGGCCTTAACCCTATCAATCGCATCACGTCGAGGATCATATATTTGTCGCCCAACACGAGCTACTCGATGACGACCTGGTTTTGCGAATGAATTGTCGGAAGGACCTATACCTACCTCCTCAATCTCTTCTGCTTTCTCAGTGGTAGGGTCTGTAGTAAACCAGAGCCCTGTATTTAGGTGCAACGCTGGAGATGATGACGATGACGGTAATGCGGCGTTTCGCTGCTGGAACCGCACTGGTGTATTGGTTAACTGCCGATGTCTTGATCCCAGCTGTTGCTGGGGTGCAAATCCTGATTTTTTCATTCTTGGTATTTTTGCAGCACTAGGAGTAGCCGTAGCAGTAGTAGAGTTACCAGTAGTAGCTGTTGTTGTAACTTGCGAGGCTCCTTTTTGGGTTGACACAGAAGAAACTTTTAGCTCCTTGATTGAGCTGTAAAAATTTCTATTGTCCATGGTTTATAAAAAGACGGTCTCAGTTATCATACAGTCGCGAAAGAAGAAAGAAAAGAATGACGGCTACTTACCTTATGAATCGCGCATCTTCCGCCAAAATTGAGGCATAACCTTGCAATAGCTTGGCACGCTCTGTAACGCATTCAGCCTATAGTATATAATGTCAGTGTTTCTTCGTAAGTAATGTCACCCGCACCTTCTCATATTAGTGGTTATAACGATATAATACCGCTTGAATAAATCCTTTTCTGCTTTCAGCCGTGGCACGCAAAGACGCCATCAAAGGTCTAATAACTTCCAGTTGTGCTGGTTCAAGGGATCCCTCTTCGTTGAGATCTAAAAGGCAGTCTTTGTTAGTTTTTCTTCTTTCTCTATTTTTTTTCGTCTTATTGGGGATAAGAATAAAAGAAAATACTCAACAGGTTATCAACTTGGGATTGGACATGACGAAGGTGATTGATCGACTAGGCTCAAAATGTGTCAAAACGGCTGACAAGGCCTAAAAAAAGAAAGAAGAGTGTGTATGTGTTAGCTCAAAGGCAAAAAATAAAAGGCCTACGATTATTATTCTGTGCTTACCAGGCAGTCACCGTAAATGGTGTGGTGTTCATAGATTTCGGGTTTCGTTGGGAAACTGCAGACCAGGGGCTCGTATCGATCGTCAGCAAAACTGACGCCGAACCCACCAGATACCGCAGCAGGGTTTGGATTCTCGGAAACACCAATGACTGCAACGATGTCTGTGTGGACAAGGGGAATACAGGTTCTATACTGTTGATGTTTTAAAAGAGAAAGAGAAAGAAAGAAAAAACGTTGGCACAGTGAAGGGAGCGCACAGCAAAAACGGTACTTACACATGGCACCGTGGGGCTTTCCAGCTCTTCAAACAGGTCCATTTTCTGAGTGCAAGGTTGTTTTCTCAAACGAGTGCGCAGAGTTGAACGTAGTTCTTCCAGAGCATGTTCCTGCTTGATTAGGTTTTTTGGATTTTTTTGGTTGTTTTGTTCTTGTTGTCGTCGTCTTGGCGCTAAATCCACCACAACTTGAATTGGATAGTCATCACAAAAATCAATATTTAGCTTCTCTTCCTCTTTCAATTGACAAAATAATAGAATAGTCTACTTGGTGCTTCACTTACCATGGCTACGAGCCTGGTTACTACTATTGACGGTCATTTGGGTGAGAGAAGCTACTTGAGAATCAAAGAAAAAGAGGGAGGAGAATGAGAGCGAAAGCGATTTTGCAAGTGGCGGCTTTTTAAAAAAAATAGTTTAACATAATGCTGCGCGACCGAGCAACAGCTGACGACGCCCTCAACAAAACCAGTGCCATGCCTGTTTCACCAAACAACGCGTATTGACCGTCGAGCTGTATTGCCCGCATTGAAACTTTTTTTTTATTGAAGCTTTGCGTGTATGCGACTTAGATGATACTTCTTATATAACTTGCACATATACTTCTATTAAACAAAGTAAGACATTTTTGTTTCAGAAGGTCCGCAGGATTGAGAGATGATATATGACAACGAACAATACAGTGATATATAGACTCGTGCAAGAGAATGTATCATAAAACAGGCTACAATCAATCCAAAGTGATACCCACAGTCGTTTCCGAATAAGATAGTATGTCCTTTAGTGTATTCCCTCTCAAAAAAGCGAGGGTCCACCGTCGCTTATCATTATGTAGGATGATTATGCAACAGCTCTTTTATATGACGGTGTTGCGATATACAACTAAGAACAGTCTGGGCCAGCTTTTCTTTTCATTTTTGCACGAGTAAAGCACCACGTTAGTGAAGCGTGGCTGGTCGCGGAAGCAGAAACGCACGTGGAAAGAATAATAAGCTGCTGTTATTTTACGTATATGGTCTAATCAGATGCTGTCATGAGCATGACTGTACTTGTTGCTACTGCGATCACGAGAAAGCAAAAAAGAGTCAAAAGAGAATTGCCATGGTTGGCAACATCTTGACAACAACTAGATGGAACTGTAGTCTTTGTTGGACGATAAATGACGACACAACGATAGAAGTAAAATAGCTTCTTGAAATTGCCTGTTTCTGCCCCAAAAATCCATGTGACAGCGGGTTCTGTGTTTCTGCATCGGGATCCGTGGATGCGCAGTGGATGGGGGTGGAGTGGAGGAGGGGGATTTATTTAGGACGATCCTCGCGCTCTTTTCGTTCTGGGCGGAAACCCCGTTGAGTGAAACCTAAAAGCGCAACTCCCCTTGTTCTTCTTGCACTTTTCTCTTTTTCTTCGTTTCTAATTACTGCTACCTTCTCTCTTTCTCTCTTTCTCTTTGCATCTGTTACTACGTTCCTTTAACCGTGGTGTGTGTAGTGTCCCTTCGATCCACGTATATATACAAGAAACACGCCTGATCCGGGTTGGGAGCGAAAACACTACACTTCATCCATAATAGCACTTCTCGCACACCATTGTTACATTATACAAGAAAAAAACATGGGCAGCACTCAGCAGCAGCATTCAAGACGGCACTCCCAGTCGGTGGCCATGTCTACAGCATCATCAATCGGTTCGTCACTGACAGTCCCCCACAACCGCATGCGATCCCACTCGACGTCGTCATGCACACCGACGATTGCTGCTTCACTGTTTGCGTCTGTAAACTCGAAGATACGGGAGATCGAGGACGCCGACTCGAGCGGATTCCTGCGTTATGTGGATGGCCAGGTGCAGGAGACCTGGGATACGGCCAAGGCAGCTGTTGTGGGTGCGCAACGACTGCTCCAGTTCCATGAACTGCCAAAAGAATGGCAAGAAAATGAATATGTTTTGTCTGGGTAAGAAACTCTTTCTTGATCTCGCCCCAAAATCTTTCTCACCCCGTGCCACAATATTCAACCGGGCTTATTGCGGGGGTTCTTGCCACTAAATATAATTTCTAGCTATCGATTCTGCGAAAGCACACATCAATGCTTGAAATCCATCTTTAGACTTCATAATGAAACCTTGAATATCTGGAGCCATCTACTAGGATTCATCTTTTTTTCCTTCTTGAGCGTCTTTTCATTCAACGTAAGTTGTTGTGCTGATTTAGCGACATGATGTCCGATCATTACCCCTTCTTTTATAATTATGCTGCCTACTGCAGCTGCTGCTGATGGCGGATGAATGCGTAGTATGTTTTATCAGAAAAAGACGTTAAATAACGAAATTTGTTATTTTTTTCTTGTGTCTGTAGCGGCATTTCCCCGAGGCCAGCATGAATGATCGCATCATCTTCATGACGTTCTGTGTATCTGCATTAAAATGTTTATTTTGTTCTTCTGTTTATCATACTTTTATCTGTCACTCACGCCACCAAGTCAAGGCATTCACAGCCACACTGGTAAAGCCTCTCCCTTTCTCTTTTTTCTCCTTCTTTTCTGCAAGGATCAACAAGGAACTTGACCTTGTTTTTTTTCATGTTGCTCAACTACTTATTCCCGTGCATTTAAAAAAGGATTATATCGGCATTTCCATTCTCATCACTGCATCCGTCCTTGTCACCGAGTACTATGGCTTCTATTGCCAAACCATCCCCAGATTCCGCTACATGATTTTTACCACCGTCGTCGGCAGCTCAGGTGTCGTCATGCCCTTCTTCAAGCGATGGGATACTAAAGCATGGCGTCCCTTGCGCATCAGCGTGTTCCTATCCATGGCATTCTCCAGCATCGTGCCCGTGTTACACCTTATCTCTATCAACGGCGTCATGCAATCGTTCTCATTCTTCCATTTGGCGGCCGTCAGTGTCTCCATGTATCTGCTAGGTGTTGTTATTTGTAAGTGTGTAGCACCCAGCAACAGCAACAAGGGCATAAAGTAGAGTGGATCATGTAGCTTACAATGCTTTATAATTATCAAGACGTCAAGCGATGGCCTGAAAAGCAGTTTCCCGGCAAATTTGACTTTGCAGGAATGACAAGCCATGCGATCTGGCATGTGTTCGTGTGCCTTGGAATTTATGTAAGTTTATTTGATAATTATACCGGTATAATCTTGTGTTCTCATCATGTGAATAGTTCCACTATCTTGCATCACTGCATTTCTATGCCCAACGGTTTGCTTACGGTTGCATGGCTGCATGAAAAGTCGTTGTTTTCTTTTACCATAAAGATTGAGCAGGCTCAAGATATTATATATATTTACATTACAGAAAAAATAATTACTTCTTCCCTCTCATCCTCCCCTTGTTCTAGCTCGCTCTCCTCCAAAAACGAACAAAAATCTCCCATACCCGACATATACCTAGCAAGAATAATGAACTTGTAAAGAAAAAAAGGAAAGAAAAAATAATGCAATATGTGTAATAAGCGGTGGCCGGTGTCATTGTTTACGGCTTTGTTGCTGTTGTTGTTTGTGTCGCCTTGCCGCCAATGCACCCAATCATACTGTCCACATGATCCAGAAATAGCTGTAATTCTTTGAAATAAGCGGGATCAACGGGCTGCTGCTGCAGGTCATCATCACCCTCTTCTTCAGATATCGTCAATCCTGGCGAAACCTCTGGATCTATACCCACTACTGAGCGTAACCATATCCGCGCACGGCCTATACTGGGTGGATGAGGTGCAAACAGTGACGGTGGCAATGTAACCTCCATAGTACTGTTAGCTCCAATGTTGTTGTTATTGCGGTTACGGGAAAAGGTAGCTTTGGTGGGAGGCGAGTATAACAAATGGTCTTGTTGAACTTTTAGCAATTTGTCGAGCAATAGCGTCACTTGGCAGATGTGTTCTTGATAATGCTCGGCCATGGTTTGAATGGATTGTATGATATTGTCGTGATCAAAGTGCTGGGCGAGAAAGACTGAGCCGTCCAATGCAATTGTTATCTTGACAACAGTGAGCTGCTTCTTCTTTGGGCTGTTATTGCGTTTATTGATATTATTCTTGTTGAACGATACAGGTCGACGCACAAGACCGCCAGGTGCTCGTGTTGTTGAAGAAGAATGGACAAGGAGGTCGCACATGCCTTTGCTTTTTTCATGGTAAAGAAACTTTTGTTGTTGTTGCTGTTGTCGTCGTCCGTCTGTAGCCATTATTTATCAAAGTAGGTGGGGTATATTTTAATGAAAAAAGGAAGAAAAAAAAGTATGAAAGAACGAGGGAAATTGATGCATTGCACCAAATCGCCTGACAAAAATTTGATTGGCTCACGAAAACAATTGTGTGATCAAGTGTACTGATAACCCAACTTGATTTTCCCCAATAAAGTAAAACTGTTGGTTCTTGTTCCCTTGAATGAGCTCTCTTCACTGGTCCTGTTACAAAATCGAGCCTTGGTGAATTTCTAATGTACATCCATGTATCTTCCAGCGCTATCGCTATGGGCTATTTAGCGAAGGAACTGTCTACTTTGTATATCATGCAGCTTTCTAGAGCTTCTTGTCTTCTTCATGCTAATTATAAAGGTGGTCTACACTGCCTTACATAGCTTGATGCATACAGGCCAGTTCGTTTTGGAATATTTTTTTGCCTCAGTCTATCTCGTGCCTAACGCCGAGGAAGCTATTATGTAATATATGTATCATCAGCGTCACACATCATATCTGTTAAATTGACTCTGAATTTGTATAGGCATCACTGGATTCTTCGTCTGAAGTCAATTCATTACCAGAGTACGCGGATTTTTTTTTTTTACTTATGCGAATGATAGCCATATACTATTATTGATTGACATGCCTCTAAGCTCTTTCTGCATGGTGTAAAGATTATTTGCTCGTGGAGGTAGCGATTTCCGGACATCAAGACATACATTTATTAAGGCATGAACGGGGTGTTAAGAGCCCTTTGAGTCGATAACAGCGAATTTTGCCCCACTTAATAGAAAAGTCAGCTTTAACGCTACTAATCTTTGGTCTTTGTACATTGCTTGAACAAAATTATATGGTGCTCCGGCTTATAGAATGCAAATTTGTTGATAAGATCATCTGCACAGACCAAACAGCTAGAGTATTAATACTGCAAACTGTTCCATTGGTTTTATATACAGTAGCTTTTGAGTAAAATTTATTAGAGAAGCTATGGCTAGTAGTACATTTTAACCCGTGATTCGTCATGCATCGTTTAACCCTAGGCCGTGAGCGTTACAACGCCCTTAATACACTCTAACTCTTCAGCTTAGTAGCTATTAATGGAACTCGGAGCTAGACAACAGAACTAAACTATCTACACCCGAAGTTTAGAAGCACAGCCTCTTCTTCATTCACCTTATAATTTCTCTGAAAAACTGAACACTTACGTCGTTTATCGACGTTAACATTATATTTGCGCCTACTCAACCATCTACTTGCTCCATTCAAAAGCTATATTCCACACAGTCTCTGTCATAACACTGCTTGTTTCAACAGCATTCAATCGATATCACAGCAATTGTAAGTCTAAAGAGTACATATACATTGTCAAAAAGCTTCCAAAGACATCTATAGCTGATGAAACTTGAGGCAGATGTATATCACATACGTAGTAAGACAATGGAATCTCCAAGTCGGCCATGTACTACTGTATCTGGTCCCAAGTATCCCCACCGCCCAGATTTCCTCTGCATATACCGAAGCCAGCGTTTCTCCACGTAGATAATTTGCACATCAGATATGAAGGTGGTACCGTTCCTCCTTTAGTGATGGATACTGTGCGCTGTCCCATTTTAAATTAAATGCGGATACATGACCGTTGACAAAAATATCGACAAGGTCGAAGCGGGTCAACCAAGACAAGGTTTTCTACATATGCATCCATCAAGAGAAGATCTACAGCCTTGCGATGGAATAGACGCATTCAAGGCAAGTATAAATTGGTCATGTTTGAAGGCGTCATCAAACAAGTGTGCAAGGACTTCAACATCAAATACATTTGGTATGACCAAATGTGCATTAATCAAGAAAAAACAGCGCGATACACACAATGTGCATAATAAATACGAGAGCGCTTACTGTACCTTGGTATTGGCTCCAGAATATCGTACTTATTCCGGTAGAACAGACCCTGTATACGCAGAAATAGAGCGACCTTGTCGTGTGATCGTTGAAGCGAACAAAGAATCGTAATGGAGAAAACGCCTGTAGACTCTAGAAGAAGCACTTTTGTCTCAAAGATTGCTGTCTGTTGGTCGCAACCTACATGCTTGCTTTGGTAGTACTCAAAAGATTTCAAGAATATGCAAGCAACTTAGGTTACTTACCGCAAGTAACACAATGGAACGCTTCGATTTTCTCAAGCACGCACAAAGAGGCACAAGTAATGAAAGGCATGAACGAGTGTTTGCGCTCGCGAATCTTGTCCCAGATTTCACAAAATATATTAGCATTGATTACGAGCAGCCTGTGCAATACTTGATGACACATCTTTATACTCTTTTGGCGAAAAAGACCTTTTAATTCTGTTGTGCTTTAGACAAAAGAGTAACAAAAACAGGGCCGAAACATACCGTCACGGACTGGCACTGCTGGGGAGCATAAAGCCAAGTGAAGGAGTTTCTCCAGGAAACAAAAACATCGGTGTCGAGGTCAAGGGGAAATCATCTTCGAGACCTGCGTTGATAAGGAAGCGTCATCCCTTTGCCGATGATGATGATTTATAGTTTTTTATCAAATTTTATACCACTGAAGAAAAAAAAGCTGTTTTGGTACGATCTTTCCATAGTCCCAGAGGAGCAAACTATAAGCTTTACTCAGGACTTAATAGATAACTTCTCATCTGGAGTTGAACACTCGCTCCTATGTTGGATACAATTTACTGACGGCACAGGGCCTTGTTTCTCATTGTCTTCTGGTGATCGGGAGAAAAGGTGAACACCACAAAGCCACTGGTAGATGTGATATAGAAAACTCTGGACACTTTCTTTATGGCTATACTGCATTCCTCAACAAAAATATATTATCCAATAATAGATCATATACCTTTATTATGTCAATCGACATCTCTTTCGAGGATGTATATTGTATGTCACTGCTCAAGTTGACAAAACTCGGAACAGTGTCACAGTGTAATGTTGATTTTCACAGTTTTTTAAAATAATGGTAGATTGCAGCATTTGATAGTTGTAGCCATTTTACATTAACACAGAAGGTCCACTTATTATAAGGGCTTTGCGGCAGCTGGTTGATTAATGCCTAAGTGCTCGTGGCTGTTCCTTTTTTTGTAGCCGACCGTATCTATCGTTCAACCATTGATTCTACATTGATGATAACTCAAGTTTAACATGGTAGACTGTCGATAGTTTAATTCATCATAACCAAGTAAACGAAAGAAACATGCATGTATATAAAGCTACAGATAATGCTATATGCTGTGAACACGTCATGAAAGCGTATCTCTTCATTTATATCAACCTCTGATCCTCGTTCCTCTCACAATGCAAGGCCCAATAAGATTCGCGCTTAATTGTGGACCCTCCAGCACACATAAATTTTGTCAGCCACTTGCCCAACTGAGCAACAGTTTAACCCCCACCTGTCTCTCTCTCAGCTAAACACAACATGTCATATTTACTGCCACGGTCGAGGGTTCTCGCTTCAGCGCGTCTTACTTTCCCCATTGCCAAACGTGCATGCTTCTCTACCACTGCTCGACGACTCCAACAACAACAGACCACTGAACAGTCGAAAACAACTCACTTTGGTTTCCGCAATGTCCCCGAAGAAGAAAAAGAATCTTTAGGTACACACAGACATACACACACACCATCGCCATTGGAAAAAGAAAGGATGCCTCGCTTTGTAATCAATGACACTGACAGTTTGTGAAATTGTGCACGTAAAAATGTAGTACGACAAGTGTTTGCCAAAGTTGCAGGCAACTATGACATAATGAACGACGCCATGAGTTTAGGCATTCATAGGATTTGGAAAGATCAGTTTATTCGTTCCATGGCACCTGGTCCGGGTACTAAACTTTTAGACGTAGCAGGAGGAACTGGTTAGTATCTTTTGAAAACAACGTGGGAGGAGGCGTGTAGAAAGGAGCAAAACGTTAGAGCAATATGTCTCATTTATATTTAAATTCTTAGGTGATATTGCTATGCGATTCTTGGATTATTGTCGAAACATTCACCAGGATACGACAGCTAGTGTAACCATGGTTGACATCAATCCACACATGTTGGAAGAAGGCAAGAAGCGATTCTCTAAGAGCCCTTATGCAAACAGTAAGTAATAAACGGTGTTCCCACTTATTCGATGAATCGCGCATAATATCATTTTAATGAGCCTTGTGTTTTATTAGCCAACCAGACCCAGTTTTATGTACAAAATGCAGAAAACCTCGAAGAAATTCCCGATGAGTCAATGGATGTTTATACAATTGCATTCGGTATTCGTAACTGCACACATGTTGACCGCGTTATCAAGGAGGCATATCGTGTATTGAAGCCTGGAGGTCGTTTTATGTGCTTGGAGTTCAGCCGGGTGGATAATCCCGTCATTGGAAAGTAAGTAAAATACGGTCTTTTTGGAGTTTGTGGATAAGCGGACGGATGACAATTGAGAGAGAGAGAAAAAAAACAAAAAGAGAGAGATAGTGTCTAAGTGGATGTTAATATATTCTCTACCAGATTCTACGATCTGTACTCTTTTGACGTCATTCCTGTTCTTGGCCAAGTCATTTCCCAAGACCGTGATTCATACCAATATCTTGTTGAGAGCATTCGCAAGTTCCCACCACAAGAGCAGTTCGCACAAATGATTCGTGACGCAGGCTTTTCAACGGTCGGCAAAGGCTATGAAGATTTAACCTTTGGCGTTGCTGCCATCCACAGCGGTTTCAAGATTTAAGAAAACAAATATCGGCATTCATTTTGATTCTTTTTTTTTTGTAAAGTGCTTATTGCAAGAAAACAAAAGGACTAACTAATATATACAGACAAAACAAAACATCATTTGCATTTTTTTCAAAAAAAGAAGAGTAGAAATACTGTATAAAACATATTAATAATATAATTATGAATTCATTCAATTGTTATCTTTGCAAGTCGCAATTTAGTGAGTTCCACAGGATGTTCCTGAACAACGACAGGCTTGTCATCAACAAAAACAGCAGGTAGGCGAGCTTGCCCATCAGCAGCATCTGGCGGAATCTGCATAAAGATATCGAATGGTTGGTGAGGCATCCGGCCTTGACGCAACGTAATATGGATCGTGCACCCACTCGAATCGTTGCTGCTCTTTTGCTGCCAACTTTCGATTTCCCATCCAGGTACAATATGGCCCGACGAACCAGCAAATTGATCAGTTACTTGCAGGAACGTTCTCGTTTCATGAGGCTTTAGCGTCACTTTATCCTGTTGCTGTACCCATTCCACGACGGGCTGCGATTGCGTTGCGTTTTTGCCACCTGCGATCATAATGTTCTTGTGCTCAAAGTAGTACATATTCTCCTTATCGCTGTTGTTGTCATCATTTAGGGTATCCATGGTAAATGGCATGGGGGACAAATTAACGAGTGTAACATAACGACGGCCATTGCCTTGGAAATCAAGACGGTAAGCGTTGGGGCCAATAGGGATCATGCGCTGGATATCCGGTTGTATTTTGGGAAATGTTGAAGCGTAAAGACGATGCTGATTGGCATCATACTGAGTGATGTCATCCGACATGAGCGTGAGATGGCCGATAATTGAATTGATCATGCATGTCGTGTAACACTCGTCCGGCGTTAGCTTATTGTCGTTAGATCGTAAAAAGTACACGTCCGGATCCACGCCAAACATATGCTTCATGGGCCATCGGTGCAAAGTGGAGGTGAGCGCATTGTTGGTAGCTACACGCTCACGTACGTTGGACAATCGAAGCACTGTATGGTCCCAAAAAGGCGAAGCGTCACTGCTGACACGGTTATATTCGAACCGTTGCCAAGTTGCTGCTAAAGGTACGCCAGATCCAAGAATAAGCGCTCGTTTTTGCGTCAGTTCGTCAATTAACTGCACAGATTCCCACAAGATCTGGCCGCGCGACTTGCCGTGCCGTGGAATCATGGCTTCTGCGAAGATGAAATCAAGTTTCAACAGTCCGTAGCCCCAGTCATGCAGAACCGTGTCAAAGACATGGCGCAGGTAGTCGCGTGCTTCTGGATGATACATGTCGAGTGCATAGAATCCGCCCCAATTGGGTCCAGCTACCAACAGCGATCCATCCTTGTTCTTGATCAACCAGTCTGGATGCTCTTTGACAATCTTGCTGGTAAATCCAACAGCAAAGGGCGCAAGCCATAGACCAGGAATATAGCCCGCTTCTTTGATTGAGCTGGATAGATAGTGCATGCCGCGAGGAAACTTCTCCGTGTCAATGTCTAGCCAGTCACCCACGGCTCGTTGGTATCCGTCGTCGATCTGGAAAACGTCGATCGGATACTTGTGTTCGATGAAGCCTTGCAAACTCTTGACCACGTCTGCTTCGGTCACGCGCTCATAATAATTGTACCAGGAAGTCCAGCCGGTCAGATGACGAGGAGATGCTGGTGATCCCTCTTCCTCATTACTAGAATAGTAGGCTGCATAGCGTTGCCATAGGGGATCCATCGTATTGCTGTTGTTGTTTTCCACCATCTGCTGTTGAGAGACACTCATGATCATAAAACGGAGGGTCAATGTTTCGCCACTTGCTAACGTTAGGCCATCAATGTCCTTGTAGATTCTAAAATAGTTTGCATTGTAATCAGCCTTGAAATAGGTGTAGCCGGATTCTTCGGAAAGCGAGCCAACAAAAGCCGTCTCTTGTGTATCGCGCAAGTACGTGTAGCTGTTTGAATGAATCACTCCTGGTGCACCTGAGTACTGGAAGAAGTCATAGTCGCTATGATATTTACGTAGTCATTGATTAATCGTTAGGAAACCTCTGAAGCTTTCATAGATATATGATGTAAAGAGAGAGATAAAAGGGGGAACGAGCTCATTTTCCTATGAACATACCCTTGAAGGTTGAACTTTGTCCACCAGGCAACCGTTTTCGAAATGGGTGGCAAACGACCATGCAAATCCATTTCTCTGGTATGCGTCCAACACTGGAATCCATCAGCCATCATGAGTTGACCCATCAAATCCATCGGCGTAGAAAACTCGAGATGCCGAAACTCGATGGACGACTGGTCATTGTCGTGAGCTTTCAGTGTCAATGTCAGTTCAAAGTGGTCTTCCTGTATTCTTTGGATTTGCTTGTCCACAGTGAGGTGTTGTAACTTTTGGCTGGTTGCACCAAGAGCTTCTTGATCTTTTTCTGAAACAGTGAAGGTGGTGGTTTTGGAAGTGTTCTCCTCCTGAGGAGGAGGAGAATGGTGGATATAAGTGACAGCCATGGATGGGGTAAAGTTCAAAAGGGTTTCATAAGGTCTTGTCACTGTCATGATGATGGGCTTGCTCTTACTACTACTACCACTGCTATAAGCACTGCAACTATGGGAAAAGAAAAGAAGAAGATACGTTATAAGTGCAAGCAGCACGCGTCCACGCGCTATTATTAAACATAGCTTCATGCAGGCAAAGAACAAACAGGTGGCAACCAGGCCGAAACGGAAAGCAATTAGTTATTTTGGCCGATCAAATGAGGTGCAAGCATTCCTCACGAGTATACGCGCATTATGAAAATCATCGCGCGCGATCGCGGCGTATGTATCCGTCGTGCATGTGCAACACGCGCTCTTTATTTTTCTACTGAATAAACATAACTCTTGAAAAAAAAATGAGCAATCCAAAAGTTGTACCTTCTTCAATTCCCAAGAAGTACCTTCAAACAAAGTATATTAACTCATATTTAACTTTATATGATCAAGCAAAACCACGGAATGCTTAACTTACTAGTGCATTCTTAATATCGCTATATTAAAACTAGACTTTCGTTCGCTCCTGCGTCACCTCTTGTAACTGCCACTACTACAACCGATAACGAGAACAAGCGTCCTTCTTCTACTACAACAACTGCCATTCAATTCTCAATGTTGTCTAAGAAGAAATTAAAAAGCGTCAGCAACACCATTGCTGCAACAAAGATTGACGACGTGAGTTTTCAAAAGCTTTTCGAATCACACCTTTCTTTCCTGAATACAAACCTTGGAACAGCATCACTCACCCCGTCTTACTCTCTCTCCTTCTATCTTCCTCTATGCAATGTACATATGAGAAGCAAAAAGTGGCAAACGACAAGGTAGCATTATACAGCAGCAATACTGACGATCAAAAGCATACACTAACCGACCTGGATTTTCTCTAGCTCAAGTTTAACAAGCGTAGTATATCGACGTCCGTTGAAAAAAGGTATGTTGAGAAGAGAGAGTAATGAAAGCTATATATACATATATATAGTGTCTGAGAACACTAGAGAGAGCTCAGGTTGGGTTACAACAAACTTCAGCTGCAACAACAACAACAATGATCAGAAAGGAAATCTAACCTGTGATTACAATAAAAAAAAAAGTCGTGTTTTCTCCTTTAGCAAACCACAACCGATCGATCCACCCAAGTTATCGCGTATATCTCTCTTGTACAGCCAAGAAGAAGTATGGATTAGGCTGCAAATTCGCGAATTCGTATTTCGATTTGGCGACTATTTCGAAATTGACACGCGTGCCGCAACCAGCTTACAGAATGTTCAGGGCAACTGGCGAGTTAAGCGGCTGGCTGTGAATTTAACATACCGGTTATTGACACATATGGAACAAGGCATGATTGATGTTACATTACCACCGCCATCATTGTCATCATCGACGACCCTTCGTGATAGCTTTTTGCACGGAGCTCGCACACCTCAACAAATAGCAAGTCGAGTCATTCACAGATGGATGGACCATTATGGCTTGACTAAAAACCGATACCTGGAAAAAGAAGCTGCCCGTGTTGCTTTTGTCGAGAACCTTGAACGAGATGGCTTGTCTGTGGATAACTGGGCGGATTTGATTGAATTGCTTGCCCTATTGAACGGCAAACCGCTTCCGAACAACAATAACAGCGACGATGACGATGACGAAAACGACAATCAATTACCAGAACCAGAACAAGTTGTGCATTCGTTGTTTGAGGAACTCAAAATGCTGCAGATGGTGTGTGACATGCTTTTGATGCACAACTCGCTCCGACGGATATGGGTGCATGAAGACCAACCTGCCAAGGAATTGCGAGCGACCGAAGCTGAGATCAAAGCCGAACGTAGGCGACTCGACAGCCAGCAGCAACAACAGCAACGAGAAGAAGAAGGAAAGAGTAAGATTACCAACAACAATACCAGCAATAAGGATAAGGCGGAGCGACTGCAGATCGAGAAAAAATATATCGACGTCATGTCGGCTCAACAACGTAATAATAAACGATTCGGACCAGTGGGTCGAGACAGCAAAGGCAACGAGTACTGGATCTTTAATGATCTTGTCACTTATGGTAACGATGCGCGGAACAGCGAACCTTATTGGGGCCACGGCGTTATCATTATTGGTCCAGGCTTGTCTAGTGGCTCTTCTTCTTTGTCGTCCGACAATGCATCATCATCTACACCCGAGCAAGGACAAGAACAGTGTTGGTGGTATTTAAAGGATGTGGATGATTTGAACCAACTCCGTCGGTGGATTGTTCAAGATCGCTCCTCTGCTGCTGCTTCTTCTTCCTCACCACTACACTCTGCTACTACTACTACCAACATCAACAATAATGCAGCAGACAGTCTAGTGCATCAGCTGACCTTGCGTACTCAATATCTGCGTTCCCTGCAGTGGATTAGCCAGGTGCAGGGTAGTTCAAGTAGCATCAACGACAGTAACAGCAACCGCAGAAGCACACGAGCTTAATCAAGGGGGCTGAAGGGGAGAAAGGAAGGTGAGGAAGGGAGGAGCGGAATAGAAGAACAAGGATTAAAAACAAGGCTTTTCGTTTGGGGGACGTGGGCTGAAGATAGCAGCAAGCAAAATATGAAAGGAAAGGATATGCTATGCTATGTACAGTATGTTTCAAAGGGTCAAAACCATCATCACCATTATTAGCACGCACACATAAAGAAAGCCCGCGTATTCATCGTAATATATATCCTATCTATCAACACCTCTCAACCATATTGTACTTTCTACACAATACTCATTACCATCACCACCAACTCCCAAAGTAAATAAAAGCAACGAGTGAAATATTTCTAAAAGTTTAAAAGCAATCAAGAATTAAAATCCAGGTTTTTGTTGCATAATAATGACAAGTTATGTAATACATTGAGCATATGTCTATTATGAAGGACGAGTTAGAGACACACATACAGAAAGTCAGTCGATCACTGATGGTGAAATGCCTTTTACAGTGAGTTGCCATGACATGTAAAACTCTGTTTCTATGTAATATGTACGTGTGAGATGAAAGTGCATAATTATGAGCTATACCTGATGAAAGAGGAAGCACACATAATACTGTATAGAGTTTAGTTAGAGAGGGAAAATGTATGGGCGGACCAGCAAAATCATTATCACTGTCACTATTACTACTATTATATACTAGAAAGCAAGGAGTTGGACGTAATAGTGCGTAATAGCAGCTACAGTAGTGCTAGTGGGGCTTAATCTACTATACCACCTGTACATCATTTTGCAGCTCCTATTACCCTTCAACAAACGTAGCACGTTCATGAAAGAATGTTCAAATAAAAAAAACATTGTGTAATATAGAAGCTCTCTCCCCCCGTCCTCCCCTCTTCCCCAATGAAAGTGAGAAAAAAGGGAGCTACCCCTTCCTTTCCCCTTTCTGGGTGTGACATTATATGCCTTGACTTCCCTTTCAGCAGCAGCGAAAAGAAAACCCCCTTTCCTTCCCCTTGTAACACCTATTCACCTTATTGAGGCCCGACTTTTGGACCTACTTTCTTGTATTTCTTTGCTTTGCTACTGCTATTTTTACTACTGCGACTGCTACTGCTACTATTACCAACCAAGCATGAAATTTGGGTAGGGGAGAAGATAAAAAAAAGAAGCCTAATATAATAACACAGCTAGCACTTACTGCTGCTAAATACTCATATTAAACACGCACACACCCACGCTTTATCCTACTACTACTGCTAATAATTTGATGGGTTACCATCCCCTTTTTCTGCTTTTATATCTAGACACCTTTTATTTTGAGTTCTGTTTGTTTAATTCTCTTTTTCCTCTCTCTCTTTTTTCTTCCTTTCTTTCTTTCTTCCTTCCTTTTTACTTTTTATTCTACTTTAATACACAACGATTCAAACAACAGGACACACACCACTCAAAGTTACACTATTTCCCTAATATTATTATACGAAAATACTATTACAGTTACTATTACTACTACATAATAAGAATAATCATGCACGCAACAGTACATCCACTTAATACAACAGCCGCTACTACGACGGCTGATAATTACTATCACCACCACCATCATCATCAATATCCGCAGGCCGGTCAACGTCGTTCTAGTGCACCTTCCAATAATAACAGCACCAACAGCAGCCGACGAACATCCATGGTACTTCCTACCGCATTGTTATCACGAAACCGGTCGACCAAATCATTACGAGACAGAAGACGGAGCTCTGGTGCAATTTCTACTTGTAGTTCAATGCAAAAGCCTCGTAAATTGATTGGCGATTATTACCTTGGAAAAACATTGGGCAAAGGTGCTTCAGGTAATCTATCGCTGGTCATTTCTATAACATATACAAAGTAATAAGTTGCTTTGAAATATATTTTGATGATATATGGAAAATGACATTTAGGTCGCGTGAAGCTCGGAGTTCACAGACATACGGGGGAACAAGTTGCAATCAAGATTATTAGCAAGACGCATCTGGCTGCGAACCCGGCTATTGAAAAGGCCGTGCGGCGGGAGATCGCCCTCATGAAGTTAATCCATCATCCAAACGTTATGAGTTTAATCGACGTTATTGATGATAATAACTCTCCAGACTTGTAAGTAATTATTATTACTGACCTTGTTCTTCCTCTTCTTCTTTCTCCCCTATTTTTATGATACTTCTCTTTTTTTCTTTTTATCTTGCATAAAGAAAGAGAGGGAAAAAACAAACTCCTACACCCTCTGATTTCTTTATGCTTCTTGCAAAACACGTTTTATCCTTGGAAAACTCTAAACATTCCTCCCTAAAATATTTATATTAGACACTTGATTCTCGAATACGTTGAAGGTGGTGAATTATTTGAATATCTGGTCAGTAAAGGCAAACTGGGTGAAAATGAAGCTCGACATCATTTCCAGCAAATGATTCTCGGACTTGATTATTGCCATCACCATTTAATTTGGTATGTATAGTATGTTTATGCATGAGAAAGGGTAGCTAAGAAAACAACTTGATATACTAACTGAATCTGGAAAGCCACCGAGATTTGAAGCCGGAAAATCTCTTGTTGGATAGCAACAACAACATCAAAATTGCCGATTTCGGTATGGCGTCACTGCAACCTGCAGGATCTTTACTCGAGACAAGCTGCGGGTAATGTGTTTCAGTAGTAGTGATGGATGATTATGCTCTTTTGATTTGGATATCGACTATACTATCCAAACTTCTTCAAGATACTTACTTTTGATGTTATGTTATATGCTACTATAGATCACCTCACTACGCAAGCCCTGAAATTGTTGCTGTAAGGAGTCCCCTCTCTTTTTATTTCTTTGCTATATTAGTATCAGAAGCGGCAACAACAGTGAACAGCATTGTTGTAGCTTTCTGATAAAAACTGCAGAGTTGTACTGACCCTGAAACTTCTAATGCTACCATATTAATTTCAACAGGGCATGCCTTATAATGGTGATGCATCCGATATCTGGTCCTGCGGCGTTATCCTGTATGCCTTGCTTACGGGTCACTTGCCTTTTGATGACGATAACATCCGTCAGTTGCTGAAAAAGGTCAAGTCCGGCAAGTACTCCATGCCTGAAAACATTTCACGAAACGCACAAGACTTGATTCGTCGTATTTTGGTTGTTGACCCTGCAAAGCGATTGACTGTAAGTGGCTCGTTGCTTCTCCCCTATCATCCCTTCTCCCTTGTCATTGTGTGTTTCTTTTTGTCTTGATCAGCCACTTATTCTCATTGATTCGCCACCACTGATAAAACATATCATAGATGGAACAAATCATGGCTCACCCTTGGTTCCGTGAGACAAAGCCAAGAAATTTGGCCAGCTTACCGACGCCACCAGCACCTAGCGAGATCGGTCAACCTATCAATGACCCGTCGGAAATCGATGACCGTATCCTTGAAACAATTAAGTTCCTTTGGGGAGAAGCTAGGGATGACGCAGTCATTCGCGCACTCGTCAGCAACGAGTAAGTTTTTTCCCTTTCTTTGAACACTTGTAATAAGTTAGCAACAATAGTAGTAGAGTTTGTACCGGTTTTAGGACCTAGTAGTTTGCATACATGATACACAAGTCAGGGACATGCAGGTTTTGTTTTATACTAAATTAACGACTAATTTATTTTCAAGGCCGAATATGCAAAAAGTGGTGTACGTGCTTTTGCAACAACATGCCGAACGATACTGGCAAATGGAACATGGCGATGATGAATTGTCCGATAGTAATGACGATGAAGCCCGCTATCACAATATAGGTACGTTAGTCGAAAATGTGCATGTGCTTTTGCAAGCCGTATATATCAGGACTATCAACTAAGCGATATGCATCGTAATTAGGTACTGCTCGTCGACAATACCGAACAGTGAGTGACCGGTCTGAGCGCGACCGTCGTTGCATGTCCATGACTGATTCTCGTCGTGCATCGCACCAGCGGCCACAAACACCCTGGATGCCGGAGAAGTCAGTTAACCGACGTTACTCTGCAGTCAGCATGCGTGTCGAACGGCAACAGGCAGCTGCTATTGCTACTGGTGGGTACACAGATTTACCCTCACCTCCACCATTGCCTACTTCACACAAAAGAGGCAGTAATGCACATGCTTCTGCTGCTGCTGCTGCTGCTGCTGCCAGTGAAAATAATACACCGATCAAGAAAAGCCAAACCTTTTATGAACGGTTTGTCCGCAATGTTTTGTCACCATCATCACGACGACAAAGCAAGGACAAGAACGCCGAAACTCAGCAACAGCAGCAACCGGTTAGTCCAACATCACCACCACCTACACCTGCATCGCCTAATACTTTGACCGGTACCTTGCGTCGCAAAAACCCGTTTTCCAAAGAAAACATGCGTGCATCCAAAACACCTGCACCACCACCAAAATCCACTTTGCGTCATCCTGGAATCTTGTTGCAGCGCAACAGCAAAGTCGACCCCTCTTCGACTATTTCGGATACCACTAATACCACTACTATCAATGCTTCTGCAACTATTGGTGCGAGTGCAAACAATGAAAAGAATAGCAAGCGATTGTCGATTCGTGTGCCCAATGCTTCTGATACCCAACGGAAGTTTGCAGGTGTCTTTACATTAAACGGCGGTTCACCGAGTCGACGTCAACGCAAACAGATCAACTTGGCTGTTTTTGATCAACAACAAGGACGCCATCATCAAGAAAAAGAAGAATTGCCACCACCACAACCTCCAGCTTTATCTGATGGTAGCACATTGAGCAGCAGCAGTTCATCTTCATCGAGCAACCATTCCAATACCAACAATAGTAGCAATATCACTGCTGTTGAACCTGCCAAGGGCGTTCCTCCAACATTTAAGACGGCTTTAAAAACCATGCCATCGCCCACTAGTACTGGATTGTCTCCTCAACAAGCTGCTTATAATGAGCGTCGACGTGGTAGCCAAGCTTCCGTACAATCTTTTGATCGTCGTGGAAGTGATCAAAGTGCTACTACGGCCACTCGGCCAGCGACACCAAGCTTGCTCTCAAATAGCTCGACCATCACTACATCTCCTAGTGGCAGCTATCCATCATCACCAGCAACTACAGTCGCAGCTACACCCAAGTCGTCATGGATCTCCAATCTGTTTTTCTTCAAGCAGCCAAAGGTACGACAGTATAACTTTGATATATCCTCGTTTCAGCCTATAAGAATCAAACCAAACTGATAACCTTTTTCATTGTTTTAGATATGTACATTGACTGTGTACGACACGGAGATTGCCAACGTTGTCCGTATGTTGCATCGTGTGATGAACAAGGTTGCTGATGCACGTTTGTACGAAAAGACTGACAAGCACGGTACACGATACAAGATTGAAATCAAGACCAAGCTAACCGATTCTTCAAAAAGTCGACAAGTCAAGTGCCGTATGGACTTCCTCCCGTCTATTGACCAGACAACAACGCGTGTTCAGTTCACGCAGCAGCAAGGCGATGCCTTATTCCTCACATTGATTGTGAGACAAGTACAAGAGCAATTGGAGCAAGAAACTGCTTTACCAACCATGTCCAAGGCGGCTGTTGCTGCTGCTCATGTCGCCGCAGCAAAAGAAGAAATCGCATTCTAGTAATCCCTCTCTACCATTCCATATAATACTGGTTCTTTATTTATCCAGACTACTACCCGCAGCCATTCGTTATTCTTTTCTTTTCTTCTCTTCTCTTTTCTAGTAGCTCATACACACTCACTTTCTCCTCCTCTGTTAATTCCACTCCATGATGTAGATATGAAACACCTACACACGTACTCCCTCTCTCTTCGAATATTATGACTTTACTTCCTCCTACTCTACTTACCATCATTCTTTTTGGGCTTTCCATCTTGCACCCTGCACCAACTAGTACAACTATTTGTCTCCTGCTCATATCCTCCGTCTACACTCCCGCGCCTCTCCGTGATTTTTGTCTCCCTTGTTCCCTTCCTCCGTAAACTTCTCCCATCGTAGTCCCGTTCTTCTCCTGTTCCTTTTTCTTTGTTTCCTTAAATTTTCTACACGCACTCTCACACATATTCCATACCAACATCAACAACCGCCATTTTGCACTCACGAACACTTGATACCATTAATTCTAAATAGTACTCACACTTTATTTATACATATACACACACATATCACAGAAAATATTGTCTACATAATTGTAGTTGGTCCCTCTTTTTTTACTGCTTCGTATGCAACCATTTCATTGGGAATGGGGCAGAATCAACAATAACAACAAGATAGTACAAAGACTCGGTGGACAGTAGTATTTAGTATTAGCAAGGCGATTACGAATAAGGCCACAAAAGGTCTGATGAATAATATTTACATGTGATAGATGACGGGATGTAGTAACGATGAGATATACAGAAACAATGATCATAATGGTCTGTCTTTTAGAACAACAAGCACATTTTGCTTTTGAAACCATCAACCATGTCTACATAGGAGATGTGCTGGGCTTCCCAAAATTCAGTAGGATCCATATTATCCATGCCTCCCTCCTCTGCGTCATCGTATTCGTCCTCATCATGATTCTCGTCTTGTTCACCCTCGTTCCTCTCCGTGATATCTAGTCCTTGATGCTGACGATCATCAACAACATTGCTGGCACTGCGAACGACACCAGCTGCTACTGCTGCAACTCCTTGTTGATCTATAAAGATAATATATGGAAAATAGAAAAAAAACAAGTTTTCTTTTGTTATTCACCCTTCTTCCTTTATCCGTGGTCATAGGATCGCACAAACAAGCATATATACTCCTTTTATACATATGCATAACCCTTTTTGTTTTTAAAAACCCATACCTGAAATATCTGACCGCCGTTGCTGGTCGTCGTTATGTAGCTTATTTGGAGGTATCTGTGATGTTGCAACAGAATACGGGAGTACTGCTTGATGATTATTAGGATTGTCGTCTGTTGCCACATTTTCTTGTTTGATGATTGTTTGCAGAATTGGACTAGCCCCATCTACAAATATGTGTATCAGTATATATGTATATGTAGAGCAAAAGGTGAAGGTTGGTCGATATTTTGGGAAGAGGGGTAGGGTTGCGTGCCTACTTGAACAATATATAGAAATAGAAATAGACATGGTTGGTGGTAGGGGTGATCTACATAAATAATTACCGAATGAAGCCAAGATTGCCAGCTGATCTGGTGGAATTATGCAGTCGCTATCGTCGATCGTGTCGAAACTATCAAAAATGTCCTTGACGTCACCCCGTGTCAATGGGGGACACTATAGAAAAGATGCGTGTGTATATTGTACGATGTCAGTTTGTTTTCCTTTCTTCTCCTCTTATCACTTGCCCACCACAATATTTACATATTGTGATAGCAGGCTTTGTTGATGCTGTGTTTTGACTTGTTTTGCTGGTCGTGATGGCGGGTCTCTTCCAACACTTTCTCGATTCGCATGCCTTTTTTTGAACGTCTTGCTTAACGGCCTTATTTGCTCTTCAATTTCTGCCTGTTTAGAGAAATTACACAGTTTTTATTGGTACATACAATTTCACCGTGAACGTACAGAAATAATATGCAGACAAGTGTTACCAATGAAGGAAGTGCACCGTATCGGTAAAGTAAAAGTTCTTCTACGGCTGGATGGAATTTATAAAATTCATCTTGGGTCATGCCGGGTATTCTAGACTTAGGATACAAAGGCATCACCCAATCCTTGTCATTCAGGTCAAAAGTCAGGTTTAAAAGCTGATTCTGTACGTCCATTAACCAGCTATTGACGCGCGGATTGTAGCAAATTTCTCGAGGGGTTCGTGGAGTGGCGGCAGACGTATTGTTGAAGACGAGCTCATTTATGAGCAAGTAGGGCGCCAGTGCTTCACCGCGTCGGTAAACACCCACCATCCATTTGGTTATCATTAAGTTTGTGTTTGCAAGCGGTTCCAGTCTTTCACCAAGCTCTTCCTTTGTTGATCTATTCATTATGCACACACAAATACACGTATGAATCCACGTTAGCGCTCCCCGTCTGTGTGTATATGTGTAATTTGAAGAAAAAACAATAACATACGACGAGATATTGAGGGCAGTTTCTAATGTTTCTTTAGGCATTGTCACTGGTAACCAATAATCTCCATCCGTCAACTCCATGATCACCAATTTCAACTGAATTTCTTCATTTTCAAGCACTTCAGCCTAGTTGGTAACAAACGCGAGGTAGCAGCGTATTATAGATATGTATGGGCATATCAGTATCGTCAATCAAGGTTATAAATTTTGACACGTTCCCTTTCGCTCGCTTTTTTTAATTCTCTTCATTACCATATTCATGACCAAACTAAGATACTGGTCTTTTACAGTATATAATGATGGTCGCGTACCGAGCCATTTGATTAATTCGCTTTTGCTGTTCGTTTGATGGCTCATTGTCGCCTCTTTTACTTTAATTCTGTTGGAAGTTGTGCACGAGTGATGCGTCCAAGTTGCGGAAGGAGACAAAAGAGGAAGAAAATTAACATGTAACGCGCTCGCTTCGCGCGGCGTAAAATTCAAGCTTTTCCCAGCGTGTACGCGCATATCAGTGTCACAAGGGGTTGCTCTCATAGAAATAAACTATGTATATTGTTTTTAATGAAATGAGTATAAAATATGTTATTTACTACGGCCATCCTCCTTTTCTTCTTCAACGACATAATCACTATTGGCAAAGTCATTTAAGTCTTCCATGGACGATGGTCCCTGATTCATCTCCAGTAACCGATCTCGTAACTCGATACACGCGTTTTCCCAACGCGTCCTTTCTTCCCATAGCTCTCTGAGTTTCTTGTACGCTAATCCGCTCAACACTTCAAAGTGGTCGCACGTTTCCTCGAGTGCTGCCTCCAGGTGTTTGCGTTGCTTTTGTTCTTCTGCCAATTGTTGTTGTAACTGAGCAATCACTGGATCGTCGCTTGTGGTGTTGGTACCAGTGCTTGTACTGGCTGATATTACCGCTGTATGACTGCTACTGCTGCTTCTGTTGTTATTGTTAACTGTCGTTGTTGTCGGTGATGTTGCTGTTGACGATGATGCTTCATTGGTATTGCTATTGTCGGTGGATGATGAGAATGTTTCGTTGGGTGGGGATAATGCTTCCAGAGGCATGGTTTGAACCTGCATATGTCGGACCTTCTTTTTCGTCTTTTGTTGTTGCTGGTTGATGTTACCGCCATTGTTGTTGGGATCACATAGTTGTTGCTGATCAGACACTTCATATTCCTGAGTGGATGCTTGTAGTGCACGCACATGCTCCGTTGCCAGACCCGCCGCAACCACATCGCTAGGCTTATCCATTTTAGACAATCGAAACCGTTCCAAACGTTGCAACAAAGCTGATTCCACTGTCTCCAGATCGTCCTGCGATGCAAAGTGGCTGACCATCGTCTCTGTTGCCTTTCTGTCTCGTTCTTCAAGCTGTTGCTGATTCGGTGCATGCGGGTGCTGTAAGTCCGTTCCTCCTATTGTTGACGGTCCATTATTAGCACCAACAACGGATCCCTGTTGCTGCTCCAATTGTCCTCCAAACGTATGTTCGCTCGTTCGACGTTGGAACAATCCCGAAGTAATGGATGATTTAGTTCCCAAAGTAGCGTCCGTATCATGTCGCATTAATGGCCTTCCACGCAAGGAGTGGGATTTGGTCGACATGGAATGTCGAATGGAATCGCTATACAGCGATGATTCTCGTTGTTTGATACTACGGTTCGATGGCAACAAAGGGTTTTGATTTTGTGGGGCCTGTTGTTGATCGCTATTGCTGATAACACTCCTTCTTATGGCAGCCGACTGTCTTGAAGCAAGCGACGGCGTACGACTAGCTACTCGAGTCAACGATGTCGAACTGGATGCCTCGCGTGATAAAATAGGATTGGCAATGTGGTTGGGAATAATTTCAATATAGTTTTTACGATGAATGGTATTTGGTGCTGCAGCTGCACCGGCACCACCACCACCAATGACATCGTGTCTGCTATTGAAAGAAGTCAAATAGGATGATGTTGTGGATGGTGTCGGGGTAGATGAGGTCGACGATGGAGCTGTAGGCGGCTTGTTTTTGTTGCGACGGCGGAAAAACAGGTTTGAGGTACGTTTGGGCGACTTTTTTTCAAACTCTTCAGGGCTCGTTGTGTTCAGGAACTCGACCAGAGCTTGGGTGCCTGTCTTTTTGCGTCGTGGTCGAGGTGTCACGTCAGACGTCGTGGTCAAACTCCAGTCGTCCAACTCATCCTCGTCGTCGTCGTCTTCGTACAAATTAATAATCCTTGGATCTTTGGGCTCAAAGGCGCTTTTGTGCGGCATAGGTGACATGTTTTATCCTCTGTGTTGATTAGGGGTGGGGGATGTATGAGAGAGAACAGAAGAGAGAGAGGGAGAGAAAGATAAAAAGAAAGGGGATTAACTTATCGGTTCAGTAACAAGAACAAACGAGTTTTAAAAAAAAATAGAAAGGAGGTGGACTAGGTCTATAATCTTTCCAGCGTGCGGGTTGGGTGGGGTTGAAGGAGCGCCTTTCTTCGGGCGTCTTGTAGCTCCCACAAAACACGCGTTGTGCGACATATACTTCCTTTTCTCGCTCTCGCTCTCTCGGACTAAAATCTCTCTTGTCCCGACGAAACCCTTATTTTACCATACTATCGAAAGTGCAATAATGGAAAAAGTCCTCGACCAATTCCAATTCGAACGCGTCTTATCCCACGATCCCCGATCAAAACTCGTCCACATTCTCGGTCGTATTAACGGCGAGCATGCCATTGTGTCGTTTGAAAAAGCACGTTATGCTGACACTGACATTCCGGAACTGGCTTCAAGAACATGTCAGTTGGTAGATTCCAACCACAACAATATCTATGGCTGGGGCATGGGCACTGTCAAGCTAGCGACGGCTGATACCAACATTAAAACCATCTACCCTGCCACGGAACTGCATATCCGGAAGTACGAACACCAGCAACGTCATATGATTATCGAAACGCCCGACATGTACAAACAGATTACATTGCCGTATATTCAGTCTTTGCCTGCTGAGCGTATACAATGGGTCTTTAACATTTTGGAGGGCAAATCTGAAGCGGATCGGGTCTTGTACCGCAGCAATGACCGAGAAACCGGCTTTGTGGTGTTGCCGGATATGAAGTGGGATGGAACACAAGAGTCGTTGTATTGTGTCGCTATTGCCATGCGTAGTGATATCTTGTCTTTGCGGTCATTGAACCGCTCGCATCTACCATTGCTGAAGAACATTCGCGATACAGCGTATCAGTTGGTCAAGGACAAGTATGGCATGGACAAGGATCTGTTGCGGTTGTTTATTCATTATCAACCAAGCTATTATCATTTCCATGTCCATCTTACGGCTATGTCGTTTGCGGATGCGCCGGGTGTCGTAGCTGGTCAGGCACATTTGTTGGATACAGTGATTGACAACATCGAACTTTACGATGATTATTATCAACGTGCAAAGTTACCATTTACCATTGGCGAACGCCATCCCTTGTATTTAGCTCATACATCGCCATAGAACCATAACTGTTGATCACCTTTTTTGATCAAATGATAAATTCTTTTCTTACATTGAAAAATGGCACCACTTCTATCAAATATGCTCCTTATATTAAGGGAGGGAGAAGAAATAGACGCGAAGTACGGATGCTGTCACGCCTATGAATGCTTGCGGAATCTTGATTTTTCAGCTTTAATTACAGCCAGCCTTCAGCGGCTTTTGAGTCTTTCACACCTTGCTTCTTTCACAGCGCGCATATACACACAATGCACGATCCAGCGACAACACAATTTGAGATCGCCGATCCACCTACTGATGGCATCACCAACGTCACATTTAGTCCAACCGATTCACAATTGCTACTCGCATCGTCCTGGGACAGTGTAAGTTGTTAATTCTTTCACTGTTATAAAATTTTCACAAACCACGCCCTGCGATCTGACTTTCCCCTTCTCTGACAATGCCTTTTGCAATTAGACGGTTCGATTGTACAATGTAGACGAAAACAAACTTACAACGCAGGTCAAGCACGCTGGTCCTATTCTTGACACGTGTTTTGGAAAGGATAATAACAGTGCCTACCACGGTGGTGTAGCAAAACAAGTGACAAAGTAAGGTGGAATTCATACATACGCGCGTGTTTTCCTTCCTTAAATTATATTCTAATCGATTACACTTAATGTCATAATTTTTAAAAAAAACTGCAGATTGGATCTCGAGACGAGCAGTGAACAGAATTTGGGCAAGCACGACGAACCTGTTAGGTGCGTGCGCTGGAGCTCTGAAACAAGTAAATATTTCATATAAGAATCGTCAACTCAATACGAACTGGAATCACAAAAATTAAATTATAAACCTTTTCTAGATAACTTGTATTCGGGTTCATGGGATAAGACGTTACGCGTATGGGATGATCGTAGTCCTGAAGCACTTCAACAAACACACAACTTGCCGCAAAAGGTTTTCAGCATGGATCTTTGTGACAATAAGCTGGTGGTAGCAATGGCAAGTCGACAGATTCATGTTTATGATATTAGAAACATAAATGAGCCATGGCAAACTCGAGAGACGACGCTACGATACATGCTCAAGTCCGTACGATGCATGCCTAACGGTGAAGGTAATGTATAGAATTTGCATTGTCTCTATGTATCAGGTACACATATACTAAGGTCTGTGCGTCAAATTTATAATAGGCTACGCGTGCTCGTCAATTGAGGGTCGAGTGGCACTTGAATTTTACGATATGTCGCCCGAAGCACAAGCGAAGAAATATGCCTTCAAATCACATCGACATATGATAAATGATACCGAAGTGGTGTATCCTGTCAATGCTCTAGCATTCCACCCAGTGTAAGCTTCCTCATATATTGTGAGAGTGTGAGATAGAGATAGGGTTTGTACATAGATTTTGTCATGTACTCATCTACTTGCTATCAATAATTAGCTACGGCACGTTTGCATCAGGTGGGTCGGATTGTGCGGTAAGCATCTGGGATGGCGTCAATAGAAAGCGTATTCGACAATTCCCTCGATATCCCGACGAAATTGCCAGTCTTGCTTTCAGTCATGATGGAAAGAAACTTGCTATTGCTAGCAGCTACACGTTCGATGAAGGAGAACGAGATCATTCCCCAGATGCGATTTTTGTTAAGACCATGGCCGAAACTGATTGCAAACCGAGAACAGCCTAAAGCAACTGATCAATCATTATATGTGCAGCAGTAAAATAAAAAAAGCAAGATAAATACAATGGAATCTCTCTTTTTGAACGTAAAAACGAAACAAACAACTTTGTCTCTTCCATAGAAATATATTCCCAACTTCCATTATAGTAGTATTATACTAGGACGATGATGGTGGTGTTGGAGTAACACCTGCTGCTGTCATGACGGACCACTGAATCCGAGCAATATCTTGTGCCATTTGCCCGACCTGATCCTTTTTGCTCTTTCTTCGTTTGCCTGTAGTCAGAATCTCGGGATAGCAACAAATAGCATGCTCAACAAGATAGCGTTCAATTTGGGATTTGGATTTTTGGAACGCTTCGTCGGTTAATCGGTCGCGTTTGGTCAATATGACCTGGTAGGAAAGAGGTTGTTGGTCGAGGATTTGCATGATTTGTTTATCGGTTTCTTTGATACCAGCGACGGGATCGATGATGATATACAGACGCTTTAACCTTGATTTAGAGATAAATACTCAAGATTAGCATGAGACGTCAGAAATGTTCATCTCAGGATTCAAAGTCAATTTTGAAAAAGGGAAAACCAACGCCAACATACTGTTCTCGATATCGCAAGTAATGGAGGATAAGCTCTCCCCATTCTTCTTGGGAACGGAATCCATAGCCTGGCATATCCACCAACGTAATTTGATCCGCAATATTAAAAAAATTGAGCGACTTTGTGTGTCCCTAGTTGATGAACGGGTCGTATTTTTCATGCAAAATGAGCTTCTTTTCAGATAACGAGATAAACATCAAGAGATAATCACTTAAAAACGTACTGGTTTGCTTGATGTCTTTACGAGTTTACTATTGTTCGTCAATCTATTTATCAAAGTAGATTTCTATTTTACATTCGTTAGTCCTGCCAGTTACAAATAGACTGAGCTAAATTAAAACTTACTCCAACGTTGCTTCGTCCCACAAACGCAATCTAAGGAGAAAGCAAATGAGTGTCTTTTTTATCTTCAGTACACCTAAAAGCCCCTGGCCTCTTACCTCTGGTTGTTTAAAAGGAGGTATTTGTTTAGGATCGAACACGCTTGTCAAGAACCGAGCTGGTTTTGCAAATAGTTTGGTTGCCATGCGCGATTCTACTGATGTGAGCGGTGGTGGTTCAGGGAATGACGTTAATCGGTAACTGCCGGCACGACGCTGTTGCTCCAAGTGACGTTGAACGATTGATTGTTGCAAGCAGGTACATCGGCATGTATGGAAAGATCGTCGTGATAATAACGACGATGGTCGTGTTGTCGTGCTCATGTTACTAAAAAAGGGGTTTATAAAAATTCGTTATGCTAAGGAAGGCGTTTCAAAAATTTCACGGATGAGTTTCACTGTCCGACATACGCATGCCGAGTATTTTCGTATGAAAAAGAAGGAAAAGAACTTACACGTTTTTAAGCAACGGGGCTCGCCCTCTCCGAAAAGAAGGCTTCCCGAAACCTGCGCCGGCATGCCGACGGTGCGTCCCACAACATATGAGAAAGACTCTGCCGAAACATCGTCAATCCCATACTCGTTGCACGAACTCAGCCGAAGCTTCATCGAACGTGCGATATAACACTGGAAAGCAAGCAACATAAATGCCCTTTGCTCGGGCGTTGTGCTCCCAGTAGTAGCCTGACAAAAACAAAGGAGCGAGCCTAAAAGGCCCGCCCCTTTGGGCAACAGAAAGGAAAGAAATTAAGGCAGTTAGCAGTCTTGCTAGACAGACAACGTACATTAAGACGAGACACACACACCAAATTAACTGATGAAATGATGTACTGTACTTACAGTAATAAAGCAGCGATCACACTGTGCAACCATCCTTGTTCTTTCATCCTTCATTGGGCCATGCCTTCAACTTGACAGCACGAGAAGCAACAAGAAGCGAGATGGACTTGTTGACCACGAGAAACAGCAGCTTGAGCAACAGGATGACGGCAACTAGCTTGTCCCTAGACACAGGAGAAGGCCTGGCTTGCTTGAGAACAAAGATGGAGTGATTTCAACCACTGTCTGTGATGGATGGATGGATGGTGGATACATCTTGAGCATAGTAGGTAAACTTCTTTGACAAGTTTCTCAGGCCGGGAGTAGCACAGTGGTGGAAACTAGTGACAGCCAAGAGACTCAGTAGCAGCAGCAGCAGAGGCAGTGGTGTGAGGTGTCTTGATTATCACACGAGTGATGACATGATAGGTCTGAACGGTGGACACAGCAGAGACGAATGGCAACACGAAATCAACGGATGGCTCTTTTCCTAACCTTGTACGCCTTGTCCTTGCTGCCATAAGTTTCAATATACAAGTCAAAAAAGAAAAGAGAAAGGTGTAAGCGGCTAGCATATATACCTCAGCAATCATCATGCCCACATCCAGTATACCCCATCATCCCAAAGAAAATAGAATGCCGTACATTTTTTAATACTCACACTACTAACCGAGTAAGAGAAATATCGTAATGTGTGCCCTATGAAACATCCGTGGTGACGATGAGTATCAATCATCCTATGGCGCAGTCCCCAGCATTTGTCCTATCCATTTGCATCTTTCTTCATCTGTCCGAGCAACCCTTTGACTGTAATAATACTTACGTTGACCTTGTTACACTGACAGCACGCGGAAGGAGATAATGATACTTGCTCAGAGGGAGATATATGAAAAATGCTAATTTTACACAAATGCCAACTGTGATTAGCCACTCTTTTTAAAACCATTTACACACGGTCATTTCACAATTACCTAGCCCATTGCCCAATTGCCAAACATAAAACTTACGATCCTTCTCTTCTGAGATCTTGGAGAACCAGCTTGCATATTGCGACGAGGATCCTTCTTGTGTAGCACAAAGCGGAGATGGTCATCTATCACAAGGATGTCGTAAAAGGTTAATAGAGGGAATTGAAGGCGACGATGATTGTGGAAACAACGTATGTACACCATTTGTTGTATAGAAGAAACAACATCACATACCATTCATAATAAAAACAGAACCTTGGCGCAGCCGCAGCAGGAGGAAAGCATGGCCGTGCTTCTTGGATGAACATTCGCACGGGTATGCCTCTTGAGTGGCAATACTGTATTGATGGAAGACAATAAAGAAAAAGAGAGAAAATTTTCAGAGAAAAAAATACGCAGTGTCGTATATATACGTCTACGTTCGAATGACCCAAAAGAAGGGGCGATAATCGCTTGACAGTTTTCACGAGCAAGATGCGTAGGAATTGCCAAAAGAGCCGTCAAGTTCTTTGCTCTTTCATTATGGATATTCCCCATCTAAGCTGTGGCGATATTGGTACCATTTTCTAGCCACGGTCTTGTAGTTCACTGTTGTATGTTTTATTTCAGATAAGAGGCCTTGTCGTGTTTGCAAAGTAGAGTAAAAGCAAACAAGTGCCATGGTCTGATCGGAACAAGTCACTTCATAGTGTGTTGCTTTTCATGCAGTCTGGATCGGTTTCAGCTAGCCAAATAAGGAGATGCTGACAACAGTGATCATGTACGTACAGGTTGACTGTTTTCTATCGATTAGGCATATCGTATAAGCCCACATGAAGAGATAATGGAAGTCTATATGTATATAGAGCAGGTACTACGCTTGTGACGGACATACGTGATTCGATGATTACTGCTTTGCATTATCGACACATCTTCCACAAAATGTTAATAATAAGAGTATGCATATATAGTGTTTTATCTTGCAATAGTAACAATGAGTACAAGCGAAAGCGCACAAAGAAAGAAAAATCTAGAAACTACGTATAAAAAGACAGGGGGTGATGTTGTTGTGTGTTTACTAAGTGAGCTAAATCTGTACAAGGCGTCTAGCCATGAGCGCTTTTATGAATATGTTTTTGCTGCTATTGATGTCACGGTGCATTACCGCACCGCAACCGCGGCATCGGTACACTTCGGCACCACCCATGATCCGAGCGTTGCCACAGCTTGAGCAGGTTACTGTAGTGTGTCTTTCTTCTTGTTCAATGACTGTTGCACCACGTACAGCAGCTATACGAGAGCGGAAAAAGAAATCAGAAATCATCAAGTTCACAATCAACCTCGTCCATAATTGTTTTCTTTTCATGTGTGTCAACTAACCTCTCTCTTTCAGCTTCGCACGAAACTGGTAGTGTGCCCATGTGAGCATTGCTCGGACTGATTTCTTTGTGATGCGCCGTGCTCTTTCTCCTACTTGGTGGCGTACCATATTTGACACATGGAAGGGGGGAATTATCACAACATCAAAATTGGTGAGCAACCAATAAATCGCTTGGTTGTGATACTCGTCTCGCAGTTGGCGTATGCGTTGAAACGTCCGATGTACTGCTTGGTTGATAGCTTGACCGTGCCTTTCGCCTGCTTTGCTTTTTAGATTATATGCGCGATCACGCTTCGAAATGAGATCATCGAGCTCCGCAGCCAATCGGTAGAATCGCTTCACTGCGTTTGGTGCAAGCAATCCTGCCCCCAACGTCGGGCTATACCAGGCGTGTGGTGTTCGGACGCCGGGGTCTAAGGCAACGGCGTGCGTCACTGGCTGCTGTGGCTCGGGATCGACTTGAACACTCCACAAGATCTTTTTACTTATCCAGGCGGTGATGGTACATCACCCGGATGACCTTGCCATTGCTCCCTATATTCAAACGAGCATCGCCTCGAAGCTTGACACCTTGGAAATGCTTTAGATAATTCTTCATATCCAGTTTGAAGAGATGAATTCGTCGCTGTCGTTGAGTGATTAGAAACTAGTATTTAATATGTGTATACAGCCATTTATTCTTATCAATTTTACCTTCATTTTCTTGTATTTAATTCCATTGAGATTCCCAAAGTTTCGGTTCACCGTCTTGAGGGCATCAGTACAAGCTCTGTTGATGCTATCCATGATTGGCTGGGTAACATCCTTTTTGCGATTTATATAGACTTGCAAAACAATCTTGGCAATACGATATAGGAACATAAACTGCGACCACCCCGGCAGCTTACAAGCCTCCAGCTGATCAGTTCTTGTGAAGTTGTTTTGGATCAGCACTTGAACAATACGTCGTTCGTCTGTGTCATTATAGCTGTCTACGTCAACCAAACCGGGTGTGACTAGTGAATGGTTGGTTAGCACCCATCATTTTATACGCACTATGTATTGTGTCATTCATTCATAAATAAGACAGCGAACATGTTACCCAAGAAAGTTACTAGTGGAGCTCCTTTATAATAAGCAATCACCGTGTTGTATACGATCATGCTATATCTACAATGATTCTTCATTGCTTCTGCGACGGCTTTACACGGATAAGCACCAAGCACGTGCGTTTTCCAATGGCCGTTGTTTCTTTCATCATCATCAAATTCGTCCACGTCAAAATCCCTGCGATGAAAGCCGAACAGCCCTCCATCTTCATTGTCTGGATCGTCGCCATCCGGCCCCACTGGCACAATTAGATTTTCGCCTTCCGGTGCGACATCAAAACGAGGCTGTGCTGAGCCTTCTGGCGGCACGGTGAGGTTCATATCGAACCAGGTATTCCAATGTTCTTCGAACATATCGACGTTATCTACAGTAGGCGACCACAAGTCCGCAGCAAGCTGCTGGGTCCGGAAATCCCAGAACGATCGTGGTTGCTGAGGCTGAGGCTGAGGTTGAGGTTGAGGTTGAGGTTGAGGTTGAGGTTGAGGTTGAGGTTGAGGTTGAGGTTGAGGTTGAGGTTGAGGTTGAGGTTGAAGATTTTCAGGATGTTCCATATTTGTAAAAAGGTGAATAAAAGAAGGGTGAATAATGACAGATAAAAAAACCAATGCATTGTCTATTTATATGAATTTTCTAGCCAAAATTTTTTTAAGCTTCAACAAAGTACTGCTACCAAATGCCCCATTCATATGGAGCGCATGTTATAGATCAGCACCCAAACCGATGGATTTCATCCTGGCGATATCATTTTCCACACTTTGCTATATTAAACCTTTAAAAAGAACGGTGAGCGAGGTATGATAGTAGCTTGTCATCCAGCCCGAAGCAAGCAAAACACACAGGGCTCATAGACATGCCATTCACCCAGCAGTATAGTGTAGCTTCTTAGGTACGCTGACTGGTTATTCTCATTTTTATTCCGTTTATCGTCAAAGGATCACTAATCTTGTTCGTTGCATCAAAGACGGCCTATTCAGGATATCTCGATTTGCATACAGAAAGTTTAAGTATCATCATGTCAATTTCTTGACCTTACTCTTATCAAATTAATTATCATTACTTGTAACATAAAATAGAAGCATACTACCATTTATAAAGCAATCTTCTGTCTGCAGAATTATGCCAGAATTGCTACTTTATATTTGACAGTAGTGTTTGTTTAAGACGGTGTACGAACAATCATCGTCAGAATGAATACAATGTATTTTCTTCTTTCGATAAGCACCTTGACATAATGAGAGGTCTAACAGAGCATCTTTACGTTATTGCTTGCAGAAAAGGCAGAATCTTCTATCAGAAAGATAAGACGCGACGCTATCCGGTGGGCTTGCCTTAAAGGCGTGGCTGCAGTAACTGGGAGGCTCTATTAGCTTTCTATATCAATCAAGAGCAGCAACCATCAGGCTATCAAATCTTCGTCACTGGCCTTATCTTTACGCTTTCCACTCTTCTTTTACTTTCTTTTGAGCCAGGGCTGATGTGTAAGTATAGCTGTTGCAAAGCAAGAGGACAGATATCAGAGCGTGTATGTTTTATATTCTACATATCTTTCCATTACTGTTTCTTTGTGATTTTCATGCCATAATAAAACAACATCATCCTCACCTCTGTAAAAGGCTGCTTCAATTTGGGCCGAAAGGTGGAATATATTTGAGGTATGTACAGGTAAAAAAAAGCAAAAGAAAGCAGAAAGATGTATGAACTTCATGTGATAGCAACAAGCTTCGCGTACTCCTGCGTTCTTACACTGTAGAATTACTTACTGCCAAGAGCAGACAACGATGAGCATCAAAAGGGTGGTTAACAACAAAAGGAGGATCAGGACGGCCCGATGCAGTGGTCCCTCGTTAATATCAACCCGTCTTATACGGTTGAGCTAATGAGGGTTGAAATACAAGGGGGTTTTAAATAGAAATCATATGCTTTCTTATCTTAAGAGCTCCATCAAAAGTGTTGACACAACTTAGGGTTGAGTTTATTCGAGGGTGATCTTCACGGGGGCCATTGTACAGACCCGCTAACCGAAGGAGCCAGTCAGCAAACGCTATTACTGAGGAAAATAAAGCGTCCAGTAGTAGCGGCGACATCAGCAACAAAAAGCAAAAGACGAATAACAAGCGAGGCCAAGGCGAGAACGTCGATTGACGAGCAAAAAAGATAATGCAAATAAAACCCTAGTATTATCAGTTATGAAGCCACACATTTCAACTATCGGCCATGCCCATTACTAATAATATCGACAGGACGACTGCTGCGCATGGTGAATTGACGAAATTTTTCATGGCCCTGCACAGGAACAGGTAACGTGCATTTTGTCTCATATTAGCAAAACTTATCGAGTACGATTTATTGACGGTTATGACAATCATCAGGACACAGACAGCGAATAAGTCTCTACATTATCAGCTCTACCAGACGCGCTGGCTTGTTTGAAAAGTTGGATCTGCGTATCCGATTTAGACCAGGATCATCGTACAACGACGACGATCGCGATACGACGCAGAAATTTTACGAATACAAGAAGTTCGCTAACAGTCATTACAAACATATCAAAAAACGCATCTTCATGAGCTATAGTATGTTTTGCTATAGCCTCGCTGCAATAAAACGTTGATCAGTTAACATTTACACAGAAACCCACGTTTGCTTGTCTTAGTGCCCTTACGCGTGTGTTGCTTGTAAATCGAGACGAAGCTCAAATTCTTCACCACGGACGAACTTGCTATGATAAAATTGGAAATAGTTTCATGGTTAGGCGGTGAGCACAAATGCTTCGATTCGGCATTGCTTGGTCAAGTCAATGAAAATTCAAATGTAAGTAGTTCGTATCGTTGCATAGTAACTATATCATTGTGTATACTCAATTGTACTTAAATGTGTAGTATGTTGATCAACAAGTTGAAGGGGATTAAGTCTAGTACGTTGATGGTGTCGTAGACCTAGAACGTAAAGTCCGGGCCGATGGACTCTCGAATTTGAAGCTAAAATCTTGAAGTCCTTAGAAACATGTAAGATGATCTGCTCTCTTCATAAGATATGTTTACGAATTACATGCTACTTATTGCATTTCCCATCATCACTGGTACAATAGCTTCGAAATGTACTCCCAGGATCCCTCTAATTGAATGTCTTCCTGGGCTGGATGTTTGCGCCAGCTATTTGAGTTCCATTCTATCTGCAAGTTTAAATAACTCAAACAAAAGCTTCGATGGTAAGAACGATAACCAAAAAGAAGGGGAAAAAGTCACCAAGCAGAGTAAAAATGAAAAGAAAAACCGTTTTGTTAATAAAGGTATCTTTACAGGGCAAACACCAAATTCAATGATGAGCACATACCAGAACTAACAACCAATGCTTGCAACTACGCAATACTGTATTAACGCAAATTTTCCTACCTTTGTACCCGGTTACCTTCGTACTGGCTATAAGACGACTCATGAGGGCTCCTCCTGTCGAGAAAAAAAGGTTAACCCTGTTGTATACGAAAATTAGCAACGACAGAAGATCGCAGCGTGCACTCCCCAGCGAAACACTAGAAATTGTCCGGCACGCTTGGGCAGAGGTTCAAATGGCGAACCTTGATCGATTACTGGGAGAACTGTGTTTCGAAGAAATGGTACGAACCATAGTGGGCCTAGAATAAGCGATGAACGCTTAATGGCAGGTGTGTCGGTATTCTCAACACCAGGATAAGGAATAGATGTATATTTAATCTGATCAATAAAAATTAATCAAACAAGACGTGTGCCTAAACTATAGCTGAGATGCTTCTATAAATTTTTTGTCAAAATGCTTCCAAAATTGCGGATATCCGGCAATATTACAGACTTGCTGTCTATATGGCCAACATTGGGCAAAAAAGAAAAGGGTTGTTGAAAATCGCCCAAAATACCAATGTAGCTCTACGTTATCCGATATTGTCAGTTGATGTCTCTGTGATGTAGTTGAATGGCCAGTAGAATGGGGACACACAAAGAATCATGGGTATATTTCTACGGAACGCATCGTACATCGTCAATGACAGATACAGTAAACAACGAAGTAGTGTTATTTATAGGATGACTTATTCGGTCTTTTTAAGCAAAGTTGTTTATCCCGTTATTGTGAATCCTCAATTTTAGCAAGAAAAACGGAAAACCGTTGTATAACTACCTTCTCCTTAGTCACTTGGTAAAATGGCACATACTTGTCATATTTTTTGTGTTACACACTGCTCAAAGAACATGCTCACAATATAGATTAGGAAACGAAAAGACACAATTTTCATATCAATCATGGTATAGATATATTTTCACTCTTATTAATCTATGGCAAATTCTATACGCCTCAACTAAAGGATGCCTTCCAAGATAATCGGATCTTTAGGCGGAAACTTCACCATGCCCATTGCAACGTTGTTAGGTGCCCGCTTTCCAGAAGGAGTGGAGATATCGAAGCGTACCAAAAGCTCGGCCAAGACGTATTTAATTTCATTTACGGCAAAATAACGACCAGGACATGCGTGTGCGCCAAGACCAAAGGAAATCATGTCAATACCAATAGTACTTGACCATTTATCTTCTGCAGTGTTCATGAATCGGTATGGATCAAATACGTCTAATGGTTTGTCTTGCGGTGGTGCGAGCGCAGGATCATTATGGGCTTCATCTAGTGCGCATACAATTAAGCTTCCCTTGGGGATAATCTGTCCTGTAGAGAGGACCAGGTCCTGAAGAGCCATGTGATGGAGACCCAGGTTGTCGATATCGTATCGTAAAACTTCACGCATAAATGAGTCAAGTAATCGCAAATGACTGACTGTTTCCGGTGTCCGTTTCTCCAGAGAACTGATTTCAGTTCGTAACTCGGTCATAAGCTGCGGTCTACATGCCAATTCATGAAGACAAAACGTAGTGAAGTGGCTCGTGGTATGAATGGAAGCCAATGCGACTCCTTTAAAATGAAACGCTGCATCTTCAGAAGAACGCATAGAACCGTCGGCTTTGGGTAGTTTCGATGTCATGCTAACAAATGTGGGCTCGTCATCGGGAATTTCGCCAGATCGGAGGCCTTTAATCAAAGGTACGAGTAGCTTCATCAACAAGTCGAGTTGGCGTTCGACAGACATGTAGCGACGGACGATGATATCAGCAATACAAGGCGGAAGGACGGTTAAGAGCATACCGGCCTTGACAATGTTTTGTGTAAGTGTCGCCATCGCAGCGATCAACTCTCTGTCGGTACCAATGCGACTGCCAGCAAAGCACAAGCACGAGATTCTTGAAATAGCATGCGAAAGGAAATCCCAAGGCTCGATCTGCTTCTTTTCACCACGCTTGAGCGACAATTCTTCTTTGAGCGTTTCTTGAAATGCCTTTTCGATTCTGTCGGAAAAGACTTCAATCTGTTGTGGTTTGAAATTTTGTTTAATGGGATATACAACTAATAATTATGATATTAATAACTCGTAATACAATGTTGTTGTCGCTTGGTAGACGAACGAAATACGCATTCGTCAACATATAGTACTGAAAGCTACACTTACTGGGATGTTTGTCCCTTGGGCTGACGACCTCTTCAGTGTGCTTGTGTTCATAAGATAAGCGCATCACTCTTTCGACGGGCATTACAGTTTCGACACCATCGGAAAAGCTGACAGTTTTGCGGGACGCCATAAGGAGTTCCGGAATCATTTTGCCGGTGAGGACGTAAAGTTCCTGGGTGACCAGCTTGATACTGAATGCAGGACCATACTCGGCCTTGCATTTCTGGATAAAGCCTAGCGGATCCTTGTTGATTTGAAAGGCGTGGCCGAATACGGGAAGCGCACCGGCAACTGCGGGGACGGTGTTGTCGGCACGTTGTTTTCTTTGCTTCCGAAGGAGGCGCCAAAGGGTCCAGGTGCTTAGGACCGCGCTGCCTGCAGTGATAAGGAAACGTTTACGGTTGCTGGAATATTGGTTGAGTAAATAGGTAGAAGCTGACGTTAATATGCTGCTATTACTACTAGTGATGGCTCTGGTGTCCATTATAGATGTGTTATATATTGATGTATGGATAAATGTAAGAGAATTTTAAAAAAAATAAAAGAAAGAAAACTGGGTTCAGAAGCTTTTTATACTAGGCACTACCATAATTCTTTCTCCGGTGCGCGGGTTTGTCAGTGATCTATCCCCGTGGTAGTTGTCCATGCGCGCGGTTTTACTTGCCAAATTTCGCCGACGCCACACTCTTCTTCGTTTTTCCCCTTGCATAAAAAAGCAGGACGAAACAAAGAAAAAATTTTCCAGCTGGATTTCTGGAGGGAGATAAATGTTAGGATGTCTTCTCGATATGGCTTTAGAAATTTTGGTGGAAGGTAATGTTGCCGCAATTCAAACTAAGATCTATTCTCTTTTTCTCCATTATAATACATTATCTCACAGTTCTTTTAACCAATAGTCCACTAGATTGTATCCTAAAATGATCATTTGTTACCAGCACTAACAACAGTAGAAAAGCCCACATAAAGAATGTACATATATCAGTCTTTGAAAAGGATCCTGAAAAATATACCTCTTGCATAAATCGTGTCACCCAAGCACTCTGACGTCGCAACCAATACCATTAGTAACCTCACAAATCAAGGCTCGACGCTAAGGGCGCCAAAAAGGCTAAGAAATTTAGCATTGAATATAAATACAGAACAGATTTACGAACAGAAAACGATATTGAACAATCACCTCTTTCACTTGATAGAACTTTTATTTTAACCCACAACTTATATTGGACATGGTTCCCTACTTGTGCGTCATAACCTATTGTTCTCTCGCTCAAGATTGCTAAACGGCTTGTTTATCCAGGTTTCCTTACAGCATAGACCGAGGTCCCTTTTCTTTTGATTTATTCCTAAACAGCAGGAACCATACTCATATCTATATCTTTTGTCACCGATACAACGCTATAATTTTCCAGGAACCAGACAGTGTTCTATTAAAGGATAAACTCTTTTCATCTTCTTTTCTTTGGCTCACAGAACAGCCAACCCAACGTTGCAATAAACGATATGATTGATTGCTGGTGCTCACTAGAAACTAAACTTTGGACGCAAGCTTAGCTAAGGCTCAAATCCGAAAACTACGGTAAAAACATTCGGAACTGGCCTTTTTATTACATAGAATAATAAAGCAATCACTAAGAAAACATTGACGACAAAGCAATGAGTATTGTCAGGAACACTTACGCTGTCGAGATGATATTCACATATCATATGCTTGAAATTCAGTCAGTTGCTCAGAATTCTAGCACAAAGAAGCGAGTTGCACACTGCAAGAGATTAGTTAGCTTCCTTTATTGTACAGAAAGCTTCCAAATTATTGTTACTGATCTTGGTTGGTTTCTGAGTGCTAGTTCTTTGTTGGGACCGTTGTGAGTTCCACAAAGAGTGAGTTTTCCGCTGGAACGTCTTTAGTCTGCGCTCAGTCCAAACACCAAGCATCTTATTTGTTATCCCAGCGTTCACAAAGCACAAACAAATTGCTTTGATTCCTACAAATTACCGCTTGTTTGCACGAGTTTTTTCAACTGTGCTTTTCCATATATGACACAGTATTCTACTCTGCTGTCTGTCAGTTGAACATTATACTTATCACGTTAGTAGATGCTCTTCTTTCAGGTTCTTCAGCTGTTTTGTATCATATGTCGGCATGTCGGTCAGAATCTCAAAGTAGTTATAAAATTTAATAATCTTTACCATGCATCGGCCGATCATAAAAGTACCCATAGACAGCGATGTCCCGTTTATGGCTGTATGTGTGTGGCTTCTCTTCACACAGAAAAATCACACTTCTTATCTTAGTCAAGTCGTGCCTTTCCCTGCTTCATTTCTAATCTTTATACATAGAACTTTATACAACTGCTTATATTCGATTCGATTATACACGCAACTCGTCGCTTGTCAATATTTGGCAGTTGCTACTTTTAAAAGATGAATAGTTCTAAACATGTCATTTCAATACAGTACATATTAGCGACGAATTGACCAACCACTGTAATGCCATAAGCATTTCTTCTACGGTGCATGGCACGCATTTTGCACTTGAACCGGCGTTCGAGCAGTTGATATTTCCATCTTCTTCTACTTGTGAGCTCCAGATGCCTGTAGAACTGGATCTTAGGAAGGACTTCTTTTTGGATAATACATACGGCACTTCTCATCGGAGATTCTTGATAGTTGCTTACTACAACTGCCGTTTAATTCAACGGGTGGTTCGATTGCGCTCATTTCGAACATACAAATACACGAGATTAAGAAAGAAGAGGAGAGAGTTTCGGCTCGATTAACTGCCCGCATAAAAGTAGAGAGGAGCTGCCAATCAGATGCTCAGCTGCAGAAACAAATATCATGCTTCTTGTAATATATTTGACTGCAAACGAGCATAGTTTCAAAGTTGATGCAATGAGCCATAGCGTGTGTGTGCTGTATATTTCACTCTGTTGCTTGTTTACAGAAATTACGGGCACACATTCCAGACCCATTTAATGTGCGACGCATGCTAAGTTCTTCGAAGACACATGTGCCAACAAATATTTTACAGCGCACTGTGGTTGTTTATATATAAAAAAACGATCTTTTTAAACAATTTGTCAAGAATTCGGACAGTAAACAATAAAAGGACGAATAAATCAAATTATCGCCAGTAAACAATAAAAGGACGAATAAATTAAATTATTTTAGCGATGGGATTTAAACGGTAAAAGACGATACGAAGAAAGTGTTGTTGTGCTAAGGCATATATAATAAGTGTGTGTGTGTGTCAGATAGTGTGCTGTGTGCTGTAGAGACTAGGTAGAGAGTGGATGATGTTAGTTTTAATCCACTACAAAAGAAAGTAAGCGTTATTAACTAAAAGGCTCGCTCTTCTTATCGTTATCGAGCACCTACTCACTTATTGGCCATCTTAAGGGGCAGCGGATGGTGATGGCTCAGGTTGAGGGAAAATGGGGCTGTGTTATTGAAAAAAAAAGCTTAGTATCAACAGAATATATTTTATAAATTAACTTGCGTACAAGAAGGTGACTTACACAGCAGCTGCGCGCATATGGTGACGAAGTTGAAAGATGGACATAGCAAAAAAAAGTGATGATAAGCAAAAAGATTCAAGGATTTCTTTTTTGCGCATAGTCGTACGGTAACTTACTTGGCTTTTCAAAGACCCATCTTGTCTTAGTAAGGGTGATGGTATGCGAAGTGTCAAAGCCACCCCATGGGGCTTTGTTGTTGTGCCAGTCTTCATTCCAGTCGCCGCCTTCCCAGTCATCGTCCTTGCCTTCCCAGCTGCCTTTACCGCCTTTCCAGCCTTCGTCGTCGCCCCAACCGCCTTTGCCACTCTTGCCATCTTTCCAGCCTTCGTCGTCGCCCCAACCGCCTTTGCCACTCTTGCCATCTTTCCAGCCTTCGTCGTCGCCCCAACCTCCTTTGCCGCCTTTGCCACCTTCCCAGTCATCGTCGTCGTCGCCCCAACCTCCTTTGCCTCCTTTACCACCTTCCCAGTCATCGTCGTCGTCGCCCCAACCTCCTTTGCCGCCCTTGCCGCCCTTGCCTCCTTTGCTACCTTCCCAGTCATCGTCGTCGTCGCCCCAACCTCCTTTGCCGCCTTCCCAGTCATCGTCGTCATCGCCCCAGCCGCCTTTACCACCCTTGCCGCTCTTCTTCTTTCGGAAGCTCTGGCCAGCCTCATCAATGAGACGGATAGCAGCAGTGCCGGCATCATAGGGACCGCTGGCCTTAATAGTGATTGTGTGGTCGCCAGCGGCAAGATCGAAGGTACCCTTGCTGTAACGCTCGTCCTTCAAGGCTTCTTCAGGGGTGGCAGCATACGCTGCTTCATCCTGAACGGATTCGACCTCAGAGGTTTCACCCAAAAGGACGTCGTTATCAAAGATTTTGAACGAGTCGCCGCGATTCTTGTAGTCGGTGATTTGGATACGGGCGGCCTTGTCCAAGTGGATGGTGAATGATTCTTGAGCAAGTGCGTCTTGACCGTTCCATCGGAAGGTTGTGAACGAATCAGTCAATGGGACAGAGTCGGCCATGACCTGTTGCAAAAGGACGGCAGCTGCCGCGGAAAGTGCCAAAATAGAACGCATCGTTTTTTGTTGTTGTGTGTTTGCTGCTGCTTGTTTTTTAAACGTTTGGCGTGAAAGTTTGTTGTGTGCGTTTGCCACTGCTTCTTTTAAAGAAGTAAAGGTAAAGTAAAAGAAAGCGCAGAAATGAATTTACTTCGATAATATCAATCGATCAATTATATATAGGCGTTTTTGTATATGAGTTCGATGATATGTGTATGTGCACATCGCGAGTCTGTATGGTGTGTACGCTTGGGTGTATGTGTGGAGAATGTTGGGTATCGGCCCAGCATTTTTTCTTTAGTTGGCTCTTGAAGGTCAGGATCTAAATAGACTGGAGTATTTTCTTTTTCTATTTCGAATTATACATGAGCTTTACAAAAAATCAAATGATGAATACGATAAGAAAGCAAAATATAACAAATATCAAAGACGTAATGGCCTTAATGTGGCCAGGCAACCGTGCTGCTACCTTAAAGAACGGTGTTGCTAAGGGGGTGTTGTCTAAGGAAATACGTTACTGCGGTCGGGTGTTTTTAATTCGTATGAGCATTCTTTGGAAACCGATACTACATATCACAATAAAGAACGCTTTTTTTAAATCATTATTGGGATCTAGTCTTAGTGCTCTTACTGAAAATTCAGGTACGGGGTTGATCACCTATTTGTTATGCACCTGTTGTCTCATCTATTTTTTATTGCCGATCTGCACTGAAAGAGGAGCGGGGTTGAGTCGTGCCTGAACCGAGGTGTAGCTTGAATCTCTAATATTGACCCCCCTGACACTCATGAGTGACATCTCGACCGAAAAAATACAACATGACGTTGACAATCTCACGGAAAATAAAGGTATGCTCGTGAATTAGAAAGTTATAGCCTGCTTATTACTGAAGTATAAACTCCTATCTGTTGCATCTACAATCCATCGGTTATTTCCAGATTACCTCGTCGGTCATCTGCCATTAGTTGCACAAATACTCATAGATTCAGGCACACTTTTGGAGAAAGATGCGTCGGCATCGACACTGTCAGTGATATGGAATCAAGTAACACGGCTAGCGCAAGTGTTGGCTGGCACTCTGACCTCCGGTAACGAAAAATAACATGGAAAACAGTACGCGTTGTTGTGCATAAAAATTCTAAATATGTACTGCACCCATATAGAAACTGTGCGTGCCAATTTGGGCGAGAACATGATTATCGAACATGTAATTCGACTGCTCAAATTATCGACCGAGAGTCAGTTAGATTTCCGTGTACAAGCACTCCGGGTCTTGGGCAATGCATGTATTGATTATGGTAAACATATATGATAGATATAGTATATACATGATGTGTATGCGCATCCGTTGTGTATACTGAGTGTATGCTGAAAAATCAAGATAAGACGACAATAGAAAACGTGTTCTTGAAGCTGGCGCAGTTCAACTTGTAATTCCCTTTTTACAAGAAAGTCAAAACCCTGATTTAACGAAGGTTGCATGTGGATTCTGCTTAAACAGTAGCATGGATTATGGTAAGAAAGAGATCGTACATGAAGCAAAAAAGTTGAGGGAGCTTCTATTGTGTAATGCGATTTAAACGCTTTCGCTCTCCATTTTTTCTCTTTTGATAGATCCTATACAGAAAGCAATCAGTGAAACTGAGGGTGTCAGCTACATGGCCCATCTATTACAGCCGGCGCGGATGGATCATGGTGAAGAAGTCATGGTTACAATTGCAGCGAAAGCCTTGGACAATTTGATGGGAGATGGTAAATATTATGTGAAATATATACTGTTTGGAAATAGGGAAAGGTACAGAGCTGATGATGGCTCACAAAAAATAGATGCAGGTCGCAAAGCATTCCCACTTGACTGTGTTCCACGCTTACTAGAAATGGTAAAATATGAATGGCAAGTCGATCGGTTCGAGAATCTTGACTTACTCGAAAGCTTAGTGGATGTCCTGCTTCAACTTATCGCTGAGGATGGTAATTTCTTTCTCGCAAGGAAAAAATTACATATCGACATGGCTTTAACTCATCTATGTGTCTATATATAATTACAGAGCCTGTACAAAATGCAGTTATCGATTCCGGTTATCTCTCAGTGTTGCTTGATTTTATGGAAAAGGCTGAGCTAAAGGATGAGGATGCGGATGAAGAAGATACCAAGCACTTTGAGCAAATTCAAACTAGCGTGAGCAAAGTCGTTGTTTGTGCTACATACAGCGGTAAGCTGCTAGGCATTTTAAAAAACTGGACGGCTATGCATTAGCAGTGCCATTCTTGGTTTTCGGTATAAAGAATCTAATCTATCTAATATCTATCTTACTAGACTCTAAATTAGAGGAGCTCTATGCGGATAAGGAGCTACTATCAAGATTTATGTCATGGGCTACAAGCAAATCCGAGATATTAGCTCAGTGTGGTATTTATGTAATTGGCAATCTTGCTCGTACAGGTAAAAGCTGGAACTCGAAAAAACAACAAGCGTGTATAGATAGCAGCGGAGCTAATGTTAAACATCTACAATTTTCTTTATCATAGATGAACACTGTATTGATTTGGTGCGTACACACCATTTGGAAAAGACGTTGCTAAGTGCGTTTGAGTTGACGGACAAGGCGATCTTCCGATATGCTGTTCTCGGTTGCCTGAAACATCTCTGTTTGCCAAGTAAGTAGTTATGATAAATACTCATGTTTTACAGAAAGATAGTATGGTATCAGAGCAAGAAGTACTCACACCGCAGTATATTTATAGAGGAAAACAAGACTGTTATCGGAGAGGCAGATGCTATAGCCATCGTTTCACCAACCCTGGAATCAACTAATGATATGCTGAAACGAAATCAATTTCTTACTATTGGCATCATTAAACTCTTGTGCGCAAATGAATGTAAGTTTCTTCAAGAAAAAATAGTGGATCCAAAAGGAGGGGTAACTAAAAATTTACATTGCTATTCCAGATGGTAATGCCACAAAGGTTATTAGTGGCAAGCTAGTAAATAGTAAAATGGATAAATCTCCCTTGGATCTTGTAATGGATTGTCTTGGACGATTTGATGATCCAGCTGCCAAGAGTGAAGCCACACGTATCCTTACAAATCTTATCAAATCCGTTTGGTTTCACCAAGGCAAGTATATTCGAAAGATTGTATGGCAATTTCTAGGCTGACATTAAACAATCTTATTGTATAAATTGCACATAGATGCCCAGGCTTCATCAACCTACCGACAAAAACTGACGAAGAGCTCAATTATACAAGCAATCTCTGAAATGACGCGAACATCCAAATTCCCTATTCTCAGGAATGATGGACTCGTTGCATTATCGTTGATATTTGCAGACAGCCGATCAGATACAGGAAAGGAAATGTTGCCAGAAGGTAATAAAAATATAAAACCTTCTATTTGATATATGCAAGATCAGTGTGTATCCCTATGTGTATTTATATATAACGGTATTGACATGTTCGGAATTTTTCTAGCCCTGTCAATTGTTACTGGTGAACCACCAAAACTACCATTACCAGAACAGGATGAAGAACAAGAAGAGGATCCAAGCGAACAGCAGCAGCAACCCCAAGAGACACGCTCGTTTTTAGAAGTGCTCACTGAATTGGTTGGACCCGAAGGAAAGATGCCCATGGAAATTCGATGCAACGGTTGTGTTTTGATTGAAAAAATTGCCAGTGCTGCTGAAGCCGGTGAGTGATAATCAGCTTACTTTTTCTCTAATGTTTTGGTAAAACCACTCCAGCCTAGCTAAGAAGCTCACTCATACTTCGTTTTTTTATAGTCAAGGACACTGTAGCACTCGAAAAGGTGAAGACCGCATCCCATGAACAGTTGCAGCGGCTGCTCAAGGAAGAACAAACATTGACATCATCCATGATCGCTCCCATCGTTCAAAAAGCACTAACAGTATTAGATGGATCGAGTGATTAATATCAATAAAGGATTTCTTGGTCTAAAGATCAATGGCAAGTTTCAACCCGCTGTCGAACCAAAAAGTTCACTATCGAAGAGATAAGAGCAAGTGGGACTCGGTTTAATAGATAATTTTCTTATTGACGTTTTTCGTTGGTCTATATATACAGAGAAGGATCGAACTATGACACCATGTGTTAAGCTGTGCTTCGCAACTTCCTGGCACTTTATTAAAATAAAGCCTGAAAAAGGTTGATCGATTTCGAAAACCTATGTGTATATACATACATGAAGGGGAGTGAGGTTGCACAGTATACACCTGTATCATAGAAGGAGTGGATGTAAAAGAAAGAGAGTAATAACACCACCGCCATTTCACGAATAAGCGGGCGTTGAGTGGATACAGGCTAGCTTAAAACAAGGTCAACGTCTGTGCGACATGTAGTTGTAATCACGGTACGACCAAAATCCAAGTGATTTAGGCAGTAATGAAGCCATTACTAGGATTTATACTGAGATAAAAGACAAAACACACGTTAGAGGTGTTATATAAAGGCGGGTATTATCTAATCTTAGCGAGTGTTGCAAAATCTTCTTGAAATCAGTTCTTTGTCAGCTGTACAATGACAACGCGTAGGATATGTATTATATAATGAATAAACTTCATTTTCATGCACCCTGATGGCTGCTTAATGCTATACCATTTTTGTCTAGATGCAGAACCTTGGCCTTCGCAACTTGTTTAAGGTAAAATTTCATGTAAGAGCATCCAAGTTGTTAGAACTCCACTTACTACAAGCTTATTACTTCATCATCGACATTTTTCGAATAGGCATATGCGATGAGGGACGAAATACTGTGTTTTATCACAAGGTGCATTTTGTACTTTTCATAAATTACGTACTTCTGAAGGACATCTATGTACATATTTACTCAAAATTTTCGTGTCCTATACCGTTTTGATCATTACTGCACAATGGCGCGCGACCCACTTAGCGCGGGTCAACGGAATCTAGGCCAAGACAAAACAACAATAGGAAAGTGGAGGCTCGATCGCTATTAAAAGCGGCTTGGATTGAATCGTTGGGCGCCACAGCAGCAAACGTAATACGGAAATCGATTCTTCCAATGGTCGTGGTTTATTTTAATATGAATAAGACCTTTTTAGGTGTATGACGCGTTCAACATAAAGTGGGGGTGTGAACGACATGTCTGGTTTTTTCAATCAAGTAAATAAACCGCGTGAAGCTGAAATATCGTAGTACTGTCTACATGATCAGCAGCACAGGCTTTAAATTACATCTCGACTGTCCAAGCGACAGGTTGATGATACATGAAATGATCGACAACAAATCAAGTGTTTCTCTTTCGGCACGCAGCGAAGAAGTGAATGGGGTCTTATATACACTCTTACATAGCGTCTCTTTAGCAGTTCAAAAAAGAAAGGAGAACAAAAACGGCGCACGGCAGTTTTGTTGGTTACACGCGGATTTATCAAGGGTTGCCGATCAATGCTATGTTTGTCGATGCACATGGCTGAGCGCAAACATGTGAGTCAACAGGTTACAGTAGTGGATTGGGCTAAAGCTATCCTAACGCCTATGCTAGTCGGTCAAAAGAATATGTGAACGACGTGTTCTTCTTTACTGCAATCACTGCAACTGGCAAGTAAGAGCAGAGAATTGTTGTTGAGCCCTAAGTGAGTACAAAAATGGTTATCAGTTGACAACAACCGGTTTGTTAGTTACAAAAGGCAATAACGGCCAGTAAAGCTGTTTTGTAAATAGAGTCTTCCCTTTTGTGCGGCCAGGGAACTCTCCCCCCTCTTTTGCCTCTTACGCTCTCGGTGTGACAATTGGTCAAGGTCGGACAAACTACTATGTAACACCAGAGAGAGAGAGCTCTCGTTTCATTTGGCACGATATTGAAGAAGAAACAAAATAATCGAATGATGTTTTTCTTGTATATTTCAGCAACGGCCAACATTGATAATGGCAAGTAGAGAATAAGGCAATGGTTGATAAACGCTAAGGGATACGACGACAACTTGTGAGAATAAAAAGCATAAAAGGTACTTCTTTTCTTTTTTCTTTTTTTTTTCGTTTCCACGTAATATGTGTGTATTGTAGCACTTTGCCACTTTTGTTACTTTTCCCCTCTCTTGCATCTCCTCGCTCGCTCACAATCGAATATTTCTGACGGATAGGACGATGGTGATGATCCATGCCGTTTCGGTATATCAATTACTTATCAGTACAGGCGCCGAGTGAGCGACTGAGTGACTGAGAGCGAGACAGATACATCGACGTCGTGTGCTTCTTCTTCTTCTTCTTCTTTCCCTTTCTCTTCTTTCCATCTCCTCCTTTCCTCCCTTCGTCTATTTACCGTTACTCCTCTCTTCTTCTTTCTGCATGGATGTGTTTGCACAGCAATTTTTTAATGCGGGAATTATCGTCATCAGCTATGTTAATTCCGTCATTGGCGCGCTAACGACACTAGAACTCCTTACACAACGCACTCACTATAAAGGCGCTTACAACTGGTTAATATCGCTACCGTTTGTCCATCATCATACATTACTTCGCAAACCTTCGATAAAAACGACGAGAATCTTTATTAACGACAGCGACGCACACCCACCGTTTTTTACTACCATCATCATTGTTTAGGCTCCTGTTGTTAGCTGCAGCGATTTCTATGGGTGGCGTCGGCATATGGTCAATGCATTTTATCGGCAACAATTGCTTAACAATCACAATAGCAGCAGAAAACGACAGCAGCAGAACATATCAACTCGCATACGGAGCAGGGTATACCTTCGCCAGTCTTGTCGTCGCCATCTTTTGCATGTTTGTCTCGTTTGCATTTGTTGGAGTTACCGAGGAAGCCAAGTTAATACGAATTGTTCCCAGTGGCATCCTTGCTGGCGTAAGCTATTCTTTCATTACTTCTACAATTACCACGCTAATATACTGGTAATCTCTCTTACTCTTTATCAAACATTTGCTCTCTATCTATAGTCTGGTATTGCATTGATGCACTATATTGGTCAGTTTGCCGTCAAGTATTTTATTGCTCGTTACAAGGTTGCGTATGTTGCTGGGGCTGTTATTATTGCAATTGCTGCAGTTACTGTGGCCCTTTACATATTTTTTAAGCTTCGGGAGCAATGGGCGAACCAATGGTATAAGCGGTTAGGCTGTGCCATGCTGATGGGTGTTGCTGTCTGTGGTAAACTTTTTTACTTTTGTTGGGAGAGGGTAACACACACACAGTGCTATAGCTACAGTGCACAATGCACTGTGTGACACACACGCTTCTACTATGCATATAACTCATCTTCTCTCGCTCGCTTCGCTTGTACCATCAAAACAAATAGGTATGCACTATACGGCCATGGCCGGTACTGAGTATATGATTCCATCTGACACAGCCGTAGCTCCAGTCCCTTCTCTCAGTATAGCAGCGCTTGTCGGCATCATATCAGCTGTTGTTATTGTTGGATGCGCCATCTTGCTATATGCCCTCGTGTTTCGACAGCGTGGACAGTTGTCTCTGAAAACAGCTATTTCTGCAAGTGTCCAAACAGAAAAGGTTCAACGCCGACTGGTGCTGAATTCGGTTGTTTTTGATAACAAAGGGAAAATATTGGTGAAGGTTGATGGCGTTTTACCGAAACGAACAGTCATGGATGACATGAGCACACATATTGTATGGTATTTCGTACAAGCGTATAATAGAGAGTGGAAAAGAAGAACTAATTGTTTCTCCACAGGTGGGACCATTCTCAACATCGCAACCATTATTCTTTCGATTGTTTGAAGCAACGACGCAATGGACACGACATCCCAATATCGAAAGCTATAACGATCCAATCCTTCAGCAATACTTGGAAGCAGCACAACAATTGGCCGAAGAGCTTAAACTCTCGTCGGTTGCTGACTTGGGCATCTTATTCGACAGCGTATTACATGCACAAGCACCGGCGTACAAGCATAAACCACGCAACCGATTCTTTCCGGTATCCATCAGACGGAGCCCAAGCGCAACTATCCGGCTACTTTCTAGAAAACAGCCTTCGTCGTCAAGGCCAGGCACGCCATCGAGTAATGGTGGACAGAACACACATCATACTAGCATGCAAATGCTCTTTGAGCAACAGCCGCAATCACCGTCACCTCTTTCAGACCAACAAAGTCGGCAGCAGCAAGAGCTCGACCTTGAGCTGGGTGGCATAGCCTCGTCTGCGGCATCGCAATTACAGGTAGAAGACGAAAAGCAAACCAACAACATTTTAGGAGATGTATCAGCAGCAGAGGGATACGACAGCGACGACGAACACATTCTACTTGTCCGCAAAATCGGTAACGACAAGGAACTTGCGGTCAAGCTGCTTTCCCAGGGTTTCCGTTTCGCAGACCCAGTATTTATTGCACGAATCATGGGCGCCAAACTTAATTTGTCGGCTGAACACATGCTGAGCTATTTCAAAGACATGAGAGCAATGGTGGAGTCAACGCATATGGCTATGCCGATTTCTGCAAAAGGCTCACTCGAAAGTAGCAACAGCAACAACAACAACAACAATAATCCACCAGGATCACCATCACAGCAATCTCCTTCTTCCAGCGTATCATCCACTCGCAGTCTCTCGATGCCATTTTCCAACAGACAACTTGAAGGTGGTGTTTACGTTGGATTGCTTGCTTTGGTGGAAGAAAAGCATCACCATCCTCGCCATCACCAGCAACCTGCAGCGGCGGCAGCATCTATAGACTTAATGAGCGCTGCTGGTGGCGGCGGTAGTGGAAACCTAGAAATTCTCGTGGACAAGAACCGCCACTTTTCGTTTCCAGTCGTTCCATTGCGATATGAAGACGGCCAACATGCAATCCAACTAGGACGAGAAGAGAAATCATGCGTTCATAACCTACAAGGACAGTCCATGCTCGCAGTTTCCATGTTGGATTCCCAGTTACCGCACGAAACAAGTAGTCAAGACAGCGGCCAATCGACCTCACCCATTCTCCAGCATCATCGACATAACAATAATAGTAGTAACAACAGTAGTAGTAAAAGTAATACCACCAACAATAATATAAGTGCCAGCAGCAGCAGCAACAACTTTGCTGCCGTCACCAGCAGTCTATTTTCGCCTGCCACGATTATGGCGGGTATCGGCGCTCCTTCACAAGCTCAACAAAACGCACAAATCCGACGATTCGTCAAGGCCTTGGGAACAGCTTGTAAATCGCTTGTGCAGACATCCAATTATGGAAAACTACTGGGCACAGGTGCTCGACTCCATGGCGAAGTGCTGGAAATCCCACCATTCACAATTATTCCTGGTCCGTGCGAGCTAATTTTATTCCGCACACTCGTGACGATCCCAGGCACCAATACCGCTATCAACCAAACACCTACCGAACCCATCAAATGCATACCTCTCAAGCTCTTCAAATCATTCGCGTACCATGTCACCGACCAAGCCATTGAACTGTATCGTCAAACAAATTCCGTCACAGCAGCATCCATCGCATCAAGGTCATCGCCACAAAATCGATCCAGTAGTAGGAAAAAGTTCCCACAATTGGTGGAAAATGGAACAACTACTCTGGTGGAAACATTTGCTGGTAGACGTAATAATAGCAATAGCGGCAAAAACCGGTCATCACCTTCACTTACATCATCGTCCAATTCCTCAACGCGCGTGCAGGCTACTGCGGTTGAGCTCCCCATTATGGTCAATTTAATGCCAACCCAAGCAAGGTTTTTATGGCTCGATTTGATGGTCGAGGAAACTTTGCAAGCAAACAAGTCTCATCGTCGATAACAACAATTAAGAATGTATTTATTGCAAAAACAAACTCACATTCCCTGTCAGTTTTGCGTGTATCATAAAGAACAGATAAAATACCAAGAGGACCGAAAAGACAATAAAGGTCACAGCATTATTCGCATCTTACGTCTGTACGCGTACAGTAATAAATAGTATTATATAAGTTTTTAATACTTGGTATTGTAGTTTTTAGCGGGTGAAGTAAAGCAATGACAGCAATTGATATTGTTAGATCAATACAAGACCTTACAAAGAAATCAAGTTTTTACAGTATAGCTCGTCTGATTCTTGAGCATCCCAAAAGTTTCGTGCTTTGAGCATGCCAAAGTAAAAACTCGTCAATCCCATCAACAGCCAAACATGGGAAATTGTGTGGGACTGAAACTATATACGTGTATATTAATAACAGTTGTGTATGTTAGAGATTGGTGGGACTCTTTTTTTTTCTACAATGTTTGACCAACATACCCAAATGTCGAATGATCCCGGATACAGCCTCTCCGGCAACCTGATGGTGACAGCAAAGAGCAAATGATGTTAGTAGCTTGATTTTCTGCTTGTTGTACACTATGACTAATATATTCTCTCTTCCCTGCCTAACCTTGTTGCGTAAGTTAGTCCAAGCAGCAGATAAAAGAAGAACATCAGTACTAGATAATCGTACCCCATATTAAGCACAAAAGTGGTCTATAGCAACATGCTGTGTTAGTATTTGGAAGGAAGACACGTACACGCTGTACAAAGTCACTCACGCCATGAATGTAAACGCTGAATATGGAAGGAATAAATCCTGAAGCTGTAAGGGCTCCAAAAACCAAAGTTCGAGTCCATATATATTTTTCTGATTGGAATCGAGGAACGACCATCATCAATGCCTTTTTAAGGACGCATTTGGAAGAGCAGACAATCTTTTGATTAGTATACTTCGCTGCTAAAAAAACAGATAACAACTTTGTAATCGAGACTATCCAGTAAAAAATACTTACTGTAGCAGCACCCAGTGCAATCATAACACTTATTGATATAGCTTGTGTTTAGAGATAAGATGAGTCCGCAATACATATTCCAGGTCATGTCAAAAGGGGTGGCTGCATTAATCAAGGAATGTCGTTTTTTACCTTGATACACTGGTTCACAGTAAAAGACAAAATGCAAAATAGGACACCAACTACCGCTATGTATGGTAGACAAATGTCATTATCGTCATTTAGCGTCTTTTATTTGAAATTCATTACACGGACTAAAAAAATGGCTTACATGATCAAGAGTGAAATACCGAGGTAGTCGACACAGTTACATGCAACAGACACGGTTTTAGAGTGACAAGCAAAAGTATGATACGTACAACTACATGTCAAGCAGCCGATACAGCAGATAAAGAACGTCACCATTGATAAATCAACCACTCCTGACAAACTTTTCCACTCGCCTTGATGGAACAGATACTCGAGAAAAAGCACAATCGTAACAATCAAGCCGATGAGATGCGTCCAAATGTTTCCTAGAATCTTACAGTTGGTAAACTGATGCAATATATAGCTGTTCGCTTTAAAAAATAAAATGATTCACGATACCATTACTCACCGGTTTCATTATGAATTTGAAAAACACTTCTTATACATGCAGAGTAGCTATAATACGGAGGACGGTAGGATGTTATGATGTATTGATTGAATCGCATCCATTTAGGTATCTCTGACCAAGTCAATAAGCGAAGAGGTTTCGTTCCATGCTTCTCAGGGGCCTTTTCTTTCTTTGCTGAAAGCAGTTGAGGAGACGCTGTGTTCTTGATGACAGTACTATATGTGCTTGGGCCAATGTAAGTCGACGTCGATGATGTTGTGGTGGGCTTGGTTACATCTTTTTTAGGTGACAACAATGGTGTACTGTGATCACTACTATAAGTCATAATTGAAAAGACTCTTCTGCGGGATGAAAACAATGTAGTTAGTCGTACTGTCATCCTCCTCATCTTGTTATTTTATAAACAAGAAAAACTTAAGTTTAACGCACCATGTCGATCCAACCCCCTTTTCTTTTCACCCTCGCTCACTGTCACTCTCCTTTTCTTATATAATGGCAGCAATGTGCATATCTAACTGACATATGAGGGGAAAAGCTTGTGCTGAAGTGAGGCCAGTGACAAAAAATTGCTAGTTTGAGCTAAAACATATGTAGTTTATAGCTTTCTGAAGAAATTGAGAAAGACATTAATAAGAATCAGAGGCTTGAACACAAACTTATGATATATGTTGAGATAGTTATGACAGTTGAGACCGAAGCCGGAATGTCTGAGCAGTTTTTTATAAATGTATTGCCAAATGCTGCATAAGAAGTACATAATGAAGGATGAATAATGATGACCCTTCTTTTAAAATCGCATGAGGGTTGTCGCTTACTGTACTTTGGACAATTGTGGCAGTAGTACTACATACATTACCTTTCTTAATTTTGCCACCGTGCATTCAAGAGGAGTATCATTTGGTAATATCTTTTGCTGCAAGCTCGACTATTTACAAACCTTCCATATTACAAAGTATGTATGCATCATTTATACACTTCATTGCTTGTACGTGTTTTTGCGAGCAGGTTCTTTCTGTAAGTTACAGTACGTAGCAAAGAAAGCATGTACCACTGTTTGCATTCAGGTTCATGCACTTCACGTTTGCCACTTTGCTGTTTGGATGTCTTTAGGAGTATGTACCCCTTCTTTCGCAATTTGATGCAAGTGCTTAGATATCCATAGATGAAGTAACTGTCAACATGTACGGAACCTTATTCAGAAGGAGGATGAGAGGAGGCTGTTTGCCCCTCATTAGGCATTTTCATCCATTTTATTCCTCTCAAGGTTTTTTAAAAGTGCAACTAAGGCATTTGATCACAGAACCGGCATTTAAAAAGCAGCAAAGAGAAGGACTCGCATGTCCTGTATTCTCACGAATGGTGCAAGACAAAGGCGGGCCTGCCAAAAAGAAAGTGTTAAGTCTGTGACCTTCTGGGATTGGCACCATCCACCTCCCGCGTTTTCTTCACTACGTATAGAATCACCCATGTGTCCATGCAAAAACATCGCTTGATGCCTACGGAATACTACTCTTTCTTGTTCAAATGAGTTCTTTTGGCAATCACGAGCCGGTCGAGTGCTAGTGCTTTTAACTTTCGTACTTCTTCGTACACGAGAGACTGGAGACGCGCACGTCTGGAACCGAGTTATTGCTGACATCAACAGTACGTTCACAGTAAATCTAGCTAGAAGATAACACGCCATTACAACCCTTTTTCTAGAATATCGTAAGCCGGTATACGAATTTCAAGAGTACACTTTAGTTAGAATGTGGGATGGTTCCGTTGTAAATGGTATCGACAGTCGGATTCCAAAGTGTACATTTGACGTTTAGATGGTGACTTGTAACGATGTTAAAACTTACATCAGAAAAATCTATGGTACAACTGCTCTTATGCCTTTTAATGCTCGATATAGCAGCTCAATTTTATCTATAGCAATTGGTGCTTTACATTAAGATTTGCTTCTGTCTATCATTGAAAGGCGAAAGCGCATCGACAATTCGAGTGCCTTGATATAATTGCTATGTTATGCCCTTTCGGCAGTTGAAAGTACACAAATCGCTCTGTTGCATTAAGTTCTCTCGATAAACCATGCAGATGAATATCATATCTCTGCCTTTCAACAAAAGTAGTGCTAATCGCCATCCGGCTTTGTTTCTGCTTATTACAAAGTTACAATCATTAATACAGTGGATCGGAAGAAAGAAAGTTGAAGAGGAAAGAGGGATATCACGTGCCCTTTTTTCAAAGATTAGACTTGGGGGCAGGTGTAGCAATAAAGCCGACACTAGGGAAATGGATAAGGGCAGTAATCTTTTCTGTCTTGTGCTCAATGACAATCTCATCCTGAGTTAAGCTTCGCAAGATGCCCGTGGAAGGTACTTTGCCGGTATCCAGCGGCAATACCACGACGTCCTGACCGACCTTTAATTCCGTCAAGATGCTCTGCTCCTGACCATCGAAAGGCTGATACTGGTTCTGAGCGATTTCCAATGCTTGCTCAGCCTTCACCTTCGGCATCTCCTCGGTACGCGACATTTTAGCCTCTGCAAAGATGCGCTGCATGTGACGAGCGAGCTTGGGTGCTTTTCCTTCCACAAAGTCAGGTCCGCATACATTGCTCAAAAAGAAAGTGTTTTTTGCCAACGACAGATCCACCAGGGAGAGCGAGGGCGTATCCAACACATATGGTTTGTCACCAAGCAACTCTTCGGCTTGTGCCAATTGGGCGAGCAGATCCAGTTTCAGGTAAGGCGATCCACCACCAAACTTTCGGCCAAGGAATCCATCGCGATCTTTCTTGAACTTTTCGGGCAAAAGTGCGACATCGAATTGTTGGCTGACGGCGCCAAAAAGCATTGACTCTAGCCATACGGCGATACTCTTGGCCAATGCAGTGGTTGATTCGCCGGATTTCAGCTTTGGATAGATCGATGGCTGAGGATATCTTTGAATCGGAGCATGAAAAAGTAAATGTGTCAGTGCATGCCGCCACGGGTTTTGCTTTGATATTCTTTAGTTTACCTTTTCTCGAGCTCGTCAATAATGCGCTTCGTGTCGCAATAGACATGGTTGCCAATTTGGAGAATAGGCGTCTTGCGATATCCGCCGTCAAGAGGTCTTCGAAGTGGACGAGGCTCAACAGGCGAGATCTGAACGACCTTGTAGTCGATATTCTTGTAATTCAACACCCACGCAAGTTTTTGTGCGAATGGTGACATTGGATACCAATGCTATATGAACTCGTTACTATCATGACCCATATATAATGCTTATACAAATTATCCGTAAAAAGATGTAAGTAAAAAAGTGAATGAGCATCATACCAATACAATATCTGCTTGTGCCATGGTGGTGTTGTAAAAAATAAAGAGGAAAGAAAAGAAGTGTCTTTAATTCCCAGTGTCATAATGGTTTATCTAACCCCGTTCGGGGATTACAAATACGAATTGTACCGTTTTTGTGCCACAGGTAAGGCATAAATTACTGCTTATGCATGTCGGCAAGGTACATGAGAAACTAGAAGCTTTTACATCGCAGGATAGCTTTTGAATATCAAACCGATTAACTCTGAGCGGCAGCTGGATATAATAATTGAGATATGGAGTGTCGTAAAAAGCTGCATTGAGACCATATATGATATGAACATCATTGCTCCTAGGGAGTAATGTAATCTGTAACCTCTTTTTTTGCCCTACGGACTACTACATATTGTGCGTCTTCGATCAGAAGCGGTTAAATACAGTACCAGAAAATTGTGTAGCCAGCGTTGAACTGGTCTAAACATGGCAATACTTGTATCAATGCCCCAGCGATATAATAAACATGTTGTCTTGTGAAAACAACACAATGAATAAAGGGGCTACTGGAACAATCTTTACGCGAGAGTACGAAAGAAAGCCTTTTTATTTGTATTTTTTACAAACAGTTATTACGATGAAGAAGCTTCCTGCATCATATACAAGGCGCCGACGAGTTTTAATCCATTGTCTTCTGCAAACTTGTTGAAATCAAAGTTTTCCCGGCTCTCAACCGGGGTAAAGCTAGCCCTATTGACCTCGGATTGTTCATATACTGCAAAGATATAGCGATGAGGGCCACTTTCTGCAAGGGGAGCTGGAGGGTCGTATGTGGTATGCTGATGTTCTTTATTGTCAACATCCGAAGCAGGCTTTTGACCGTCAATGTTCGTAACAATCCAGTGGAGGTAAGGTCCATTGTCTCCAGCATCTGGGTCAATCTATTGTAATGGAAAAATGTTGATTTTTAAGAATTGACAATAGCTTAAAAATCAAAAATGAGCATGAGTCTATTACCATCATCAACGTATATTGCGACAGATCGTTTGTCTTCGAGAACCAAACGTGAGGTGACTTTACGGTTTCATCAGTGGTGGTTGTCATGCCCATCCGCAATTGCTTTGTCATATGGTAAGTAATCCGCAATTCACTCTGAGGCTCGAACCCAGTGAAAACTGTTTCCGTTTATATCCAGAGAAATAATGGTTAGCAACAAAGCATACCATTTGGTCATCTATAGAAGTGCCCGGTGTATCAGATACCATCAGGAACAATGTTAGCTTTTTCGAGGCCTTCCTTGATGACGACGCCATTAAGAGCCCATGCGCTGATATGGAAAAGCGCAGCGACGATGAATAGAATGGCAAGCATCTCTGTAGCGGCTTAATTATTTGTTTCCTCTCTATCAGATATAGCTACCCTTTTATATATCACTTTTCTTTTTAAACTACCTTAATAGACAATCTCTTTTATTGTACTTGTTTGTATATACTATTTATATACCATCTGCTTGGTGCTTTCCATTGAACGTAACTTTAGTAAGTCGTGAAGATACGTACGTGTTATTGATCGCTCATACTTTGATAAACATCATCGGCGTGAAATGGATGCTGACAGCTTCATTGGCAACTCGACTAACTCTAGCTGATTAATGAGTGCCTTGTCTTTAAAATATGTGTGTACGTACCTGAGGCTTCTCCATTTGTTTTGATATCAATAGCTATTATATGCTGTAAAATGTGTAATGATTGAATAGTCCATTTTTAATTGGAAAATCTATATTTACTGTTAGTAATTTTGAGCATTTCTGTATATCCAAAGCTGGTACTGACATGCCCTTTTTTTTACTATGGCTATATTAAGCATTAAAATCAATTTTAATGAAACTGCGTGTTTCAAAATTGGACTTTTAACGGACTGACTAACATTCCTCACCAATTTAACAATTACATACCAGATTGGCCGTCTTTTAAAACTTTAGACCGAATTGGCTAGAAAGCATAATCAAACGCGTGCAACTTGCCGGAAAAACACTTTTCAACTTTCAACAATGTAAAAGATGCATGATACACCGGGTCCGATGCTATTCTAAGAAGCAAGCCTTGAATTGCTCGCCCATAAACCTCAAATTTTATTGGCCAGATATTTTGCCTATTAGAAATAAATAACACTTGGACTGCAGTTAAAGGTACAACAATCGATCCAAATGAAGATGCATTATACACATATCTAATTATATATATATTCCTTGTTATATAGCAATTGAAAGAGGACGGAGACCTTGTTTGTCTTGATTCAACCCATAAGACTTGCGTGGATGGTACCAAACATGACTGTTATCTTTAAACACTTGTAGCAAGATGCAGGACTACTGGAAAGGGCAAGCCATTGGCGTGGATGATTACAAATCTCAAGGTCAATATCCTATTATGTATTCGCTTCAATGGCTGAAGGATGAGCATGAATATATACCATCCCGTGTTATGATCGACGATTCTGATACAGAATATATTGCTATTAATAAGGCGTATAACTATGTAAATGATTATCCGTCCAAAAAACATTAACTGACAAAGTGAACTTACTTATCTGCCACTGGCATGTCCTTAGAGCATGGTAGAAGAACATTCTGTCCAAACTCACCGCAAAACCGTCCGATCCATCAAAAACTCTGAAGGAGAAGAAAGACATGCGTGAACATGCACTTTCCCTAATGATGAATATGATGAAAGCTGAGGTACCAAAAGATTTCGATCTAGTACATGAACGATTTGAAACTTAGTCCATTGATGGTGAGGATGAATGGGAAAGCGCTCGTTTGTATTTGTACTTTGAAAGGGAGTTGCTTCCTAAACGTGAAAAATGAAGCCAAGCATGGCGCAGTGTAAGTTATTGCTTCATCTAATATTTTTATGTCATTTTTCGACGAATTCTATTACTTACCACGTATATAAAGCACCATCATCACATAAATACAAATAACTACATAGAGAGCTGGCACCGTCACCTCAAAGAAATATTTGCTAAGCTTGCGAAGACAACGTGTTGACGTGCTTATCTACATCCTTTGGAGCCATGTTCTTCCGGGTATAATGCAAGATCATGTATGTACGGTAGCCAACTTTAGGCTTCGTACAATAAACAAGGCAGAAAGAATGAGACTTGCATGAGCCCATGAATTGAACGGTAAGTATCTCTTTCGCCATTTGATTTAATATTATTTCATATATACTATTATACAAACCTTTTTGCGCAAATCATAGATGAAGAAGCCGCTGCCAAAAATTGTTGGTCAAGAAGGGGACGTTTACAAAGTACTTTCTTTCACTGACCTTGAAGAAAGTACTACAGTGCCCGCTCGATAATTCGATCACTTTGGTCACAGCCATAAGTGATCGAATTATCGAAATATCGAGTTATGAAATTGGGACTCCGTTAAGAAAAGGAATATTCATTGGGAATACATGTTAAATCTGGACTCTGATGTATGATCCGACACTGATCGCTGGTTCAATTCCGCGTCACTAAGCATTTCTATTGGTTTATACTTGTCGATATGTCACAGCAAGCGATCGATGATCGAATTATCGATTTGTCGATATTTTACTGCTTACCAGCCTGGTCATTTGAGAAAGTGATCGAATTATCGAAAATATCGAGTTATCGAGTATCGAATTATCGAGCGGGCACTGTACATATGATGTTTCGGTCAATATTGACAAAGATTATCTTGTGTCGTGCACTTGTGTCGATCACCAGACAAACAGTTGACCATGCAAGCATATGTATTTGGTATGTAATTACATGAAAGACTTGAGCGAGCATTAACCTTTTTTTTAATAAAAAGGTCATCCGGGTCCTTGAAATCAGTTTGATCTGTCCACTATCATCACCATCACCATCATCGTCACAACAAGAGCAACACCAAATACAACAACCACAACATAGCATCATGGAAACTGACGAAGCTGCATCCACAGCATCTAATAATCTTTCTGAAGAAGCTATGGATAGGTAATATATTAGAAAAATCATCAGATTAATAATAGTACTTAAAGTAAGCTTATGTTTTTGTAGATTTGTTGATTCTTTTGAAAGATTGAAGAATAAGTTGAAAAAACAAAAACAACAAAACGCGTACAGTGGTTCCCCACTTAATTTCAACCTCAAGGGGTATAAATTTGGTTGAACTATGTGAGGGTTGACACAAAACGAGGGTGATTCAAGCAGTGTTCTATGCTAAGAGGGGGTATGGAAAAAAGTTGAAATAATTGAGGGTTTATCTTATTGAGAGTGAAATTAAACGGGGAACCACTGTACCTGTTCCTGTTCCTGTTCTTGGTCGACTTGCAACAATGTTTCACGATGAAACAAACGTGTTGAAAAGCTGGAACAGTTCAACAACTGGTCCTTCAGAACATCAGCCTCGCTATTAAAGAAGTATTTTATAATTATGAACATTAAGATGTTAGATGTGTGGAATGGTCGTGAAGGGTTTTTTTTTCGTGAGATATGTGAGAGACGGGAAGAAGACAAAAAAAGTTTTGGCGGACTATATGTATTCCAAAGCCATCAGGTATATCCACCGCACTACCTGATCCTGATCGCTTGGTCGACCTCTTCTTTTCTGTGATCAAAGTTATGACCCTAACTCGCAGCTTTTAGTAACGTTTTACCACCGGAAACGTAACAGTCAATGCATACAGTAGCAAATCGAAATCTCTTTGCTTCTCTCAATTGGTACTAGCTTTTTGTACACTTTTAAACTATGGTTTCACTGTAGCTTAATCTTTCAAGCCTTAAAGTACAAAACCTCTACATACATTAGCTTGGCCGTATGATTTGCTATGCAGTACATATATAGGGTGGAAATATAAAGTACAGTTGCAAGAAATACTTGATTATGAATCGAGAAATAGCGCGCATAAGATTCAATGCAAGACGAATATCATACATTTCCGATTTCGAAATGACAAAGTTGTCGAGTTAAAAAAAAAGCTGCATTTATATACATACTTGGCGTGTAACTGTGTGATGACAGTGTATGAAGGTCAGGTAGCTACTTTAAGCCTGTAGCTTTTTGTAACGCGTTACAACATGGAATTGCGGCTATACTTGTTGCTTAAAAATCAGCAAATACTTGAATACACCAGCTTTCTCGATGGAGATTTTACTGTCGCAGAGAATCACCAGGCTACTATGATATACAAGTAATTTCTTATATCGTTACTGGATTTTTATTATGCTTGGCACGAGCGATCTTTTAATTTTGCATCAAGCAAAAGCGTCAATGTATAGTGCCAAATCCCGCTGTTACCATCCTCAGCAAAGATTTGTTTCTCTATCGAAGATGGCATGCGTCTATATATATTTTTCCTTTTCTTTTTACCATTATTAGAGCTGCTATTATACTTCTCGGGCATAATACAGATAGAGCCGATAAGTAATACTATTGATACCTTATATGAAAGGCACTAACTTGAAAACTCAGATGAACTTTTTTTTAGATTACTCTCCTTTTTTGTGAGGCAAAGGACGTGTACTTCGTTGACTCCTGCATGCCAACGTTGTTGCACTTCTCCATTTCCGATACTTATTACCTCTGCGTGATAAAGCTGCTAACCCGTTTTCTCCTTTGCAAGATCGTAAGTGTAGTGAGCGATCATCTTAGATAACCTCCTTCATGATCTGCATCAAAGAAACGTTGTGGGAAAGAATTGTATAAATAGGACAATTTCATCGTAGAAACCATACACATACACGCCATTGCAACTTACTTTATTTGAATACCTCCATCTGCTATACATACAACAATGCGCTTCTCGCTCATCACTGTTGCTGCCGCCGCTTGTATGCTCGCCGCTTTTGTTCAAGCAGCTCCTGTAGGTCCTCAAGATGCTGCTGGTACTACTACTACAACTACTCAACAAGAAGGCCAACAAAAGCCTGCTACTGGCGTAGATGCCATTGATGCTGTATCGAATGGTGGGCAGGGAAGTGCACTCAAGGCCGCAACGGAACTCGGCGATATCAATTCACTTCGAAAAATACGTGGAAAATCGGACCAAGATCGAAACGGTCTTACACCTGCGCAACAATTTTGCGCATATCAATCAGTTAGCGGCAGTGCTGGTTTGCATAGATTGCAACATAAAGTGCAAAACGGAATTCTCGGTGGTAGTCTGGAGTGTACATTAGTGAAAGCTGCGGGAGTCTAAATGCCCGAAGGCTGGGGAGATAAACGAAAGATGAAACCCAAAAGTAAAGATGTCTTTAGATGTAGTAGTAATATCTAATGTAGTAATCTCCCAACAAAGTATATGGTTAATAATGCATTTCAGTCGCTTATCTTTAATATATACCAATGCAGTATATTGCAGTTATTTCTTACTTGCAAAAGTACTATCGGCTGACTAATATGATTGCACAATTATGAATGATACTACGGATGCTCTGCCAAGAAGAAAAAGGTAATGACTTGATGAAAGAGGCATCATATTACTGCAGGTTTAGTGATTGGTTTTTCATCAGGCAAAAAAAGGCAATTATAAGTGTAGGTATATCTTAGTGCATGACAGCGAAAAAAATATAGACGGTATTACACAACACAAAACATCAAAGTTAATGAGAGAAGTGGAGACGCAAAAGAAGAGAGAGGTACTTGCGCAGGCATCTCATCATCACGCTGCTGCTCTTACAAGTAATCCATGCTGCCCAGAATGGTGACATGCTATTCTATAGATGGAAAGTCAGCCATAAACATATAGGTCCGCTCTTGAATAAAAACTAGCAAAATTGCGTAAACAACAAAGACGAGGAGAAGGTTTGATTAATGTTTCTTAGGTTAACTGCTTCTCGAAAATTTATGTAAGACAATATGGGCTATCTTAATTAGTTTAAATTATTTTACAAGCATCAAACTAATAGTTGGATTCAAGACATGGACCAGTTAGTTATTCGCATTGTCTCTCGAGATAGCAAATTTACGTCAACATCTCATTTCTGGCTTTGCAACAAAAAAAGCCGCAGGTGATACAATCGTTCCTGTAAACGGAGAGACGTCGATCATTTGCAAGTCTAGAATGCTGCAGCGACAAATCGTCATCAAAATCAACAAACACGATACCAAGAGTTACATATAAATAGATTGACTGAATAGTACTATCATACTACCACACTATCAGAAACCAGCGGAATACGGTCCTCATCGACGGGTAATTTGCTTATGCTGTCGTTTCTGCCGATGATATGGTCTGAAGAAGCTTTATTACATACTAAAACCAAAAATAGTGTTTCGAGGGGTTGCTTCTCTTTATCACTATAGTACAGAGCCAACATCTCTCATCGTTCTTACTTCTATCATTTCGCTGGTAGCAGCGTTGACCCAGGTTCCACTCACCGGATTCCAGGCTAAAAAGAGTTGTTTGCAAGCGTCTCGTATACATGGTGATCGTCTTTTGTCGTAGCACACGAATTCCTATTTTTCTTCTTGTAGCACAAGATTTCATGCAAGCTTAGCTGCTAGTAGTTTAGCTAGTGATGTCCCTAATAAATTGCGTAGGACCATGTGCTGTGAGAATAAAGGTGTCATCAAGCACTAGAACGATCCTTGCAAAAAAAAAAACAGAAATAGAAACTTTCATAACTATATACACAGGTGCATAATGGTTATACCTAACGTGCATAAATTTTGTAAGGTTCAAGCCGTACTTTTGTCCCAAGGTGTCTGCAAAAATGCGAACGAGCTTTTTCTATTTAAGTACGGCATTGTTTTGTTAGCGATTTAACGCATCATCATTAAACACGAAGGATTTTCTAGCATCTTGAACGGACGTCCCACCAGACACTTTTTTCCCTTGGGTGTCTGATGCTAAAAAAAAGTCGGCGTGAGCTTTTTATTTATGGTTGGTGTATCGGGGATTGTCAACCACATGACCCTTGTCTGTTGTTCAAACAGGATCTACGGCCTCACCAAACGGAATTCCGAGAGTGATCGACCACCATCATGCTTTGTTGCTTGAGAATTAAAGCCGCTTAAACGGCTGTCAAACTTAAACTCTACGTGATTATCATACAGCTGGTTTCTTGCATGTCTATAGAAGTCAGCTATGATAAATCATGTATAAGATTTGTACAGCCGTTTCTGTTGACAGAACACCCTATTTTGCTTTTCCTTATTGTAATGTACTCGAAGCGAGTTTTCATCGCTATGCCGGTTATAAGAATAGAAGCGAAACTCAATTTTCTGGACTCAAAAACGCCGACAAAGCAAAAAAGCTAGCCTAATTGGTGTTTAATGATCGATGACCTATTAATCAATAACTCCTATTGCGAACAAGTATATTGTTGAAGCGCGCACTCTCCCTCTCACACATCACAGTTGCTGCTTTGGTATTAGTTTTCTCTTAAAAATATACCAGGACGGTTACTAGCATACACTCGTCGTTGTGAAACTGCGTTGCTCAGAAATTAGTTGAAAAACTTAACCCATGCTAATTTGTTCCTGATTTTTTTGTATTGATTTATCATGAACCATTCACATTGTTTTTAGATGAAAACTAGTGTCTAGTGTCATTATATTTAGCATCCAAACTCTATTAAATGGCTGATGATGAAGACAAAGAGAATATAGGGCTTCGTGTTGAATGAAAAAACGGACGGAAGAATGAAGGGCGCCACGACGACAATAATCAAACACCAATGATGATCGTCACAAGTGAAAGGAAAATACACAAACAATGAGCCACGCGTGCCGAGCCGATGGTCTTAGCCAACGTTTGCATGCATTTGCATGGCCACGCACAGCAATGTAAAGAGCGACTTCTTGGCTTCTGAATCTTGGTTTCCCTATGCATTGCTGGGTTTTCATCTGAATTTGTTCTAGACTAAAACTTTTAAGCGCTGATGACGATGATGGAAGATTTTCGCTTTTGACGCTTACGTTTCTAGTTGATGCTGTTGTTATTTACTGGTGGCCATATACAGTATAAGGAGACTCGTCCAAAGCCCACAAACAAAACTTGTTTCGAAAGGGGTGTCCCTCCTTTTTTAGCCGCTCATATGATCTTTAGGATTTAGGCCAAATAATAGTATGGTCAAGTTTTCGACTAACTAGTTTATTGATGGGAATAAACGAATCCCTGGTATGGAAAAGTGTTTTGGGACTATTAGGAAAAACAAATTTTAGGGTGGATCGTGCCCCTTTTCTCCTCACATTTCGGTGTTGCTGTTCTATGTATAGCACACATAACAGCCGAGATTTCTGTCTTTTGCCACAGCAACACACTAAAAACAGTAGTGGGGATCATCACATCATTGCTGATGATGATATCACCATTACAGGTCCATTTAGGAAAAGAATAAGGATCGACCAAAAAGTCTTTTTCTAGAGCTCTCATATGGACGAAAATAGTGTAAAAAAGGTATAAATACCAGACAGTTTGCTACGTGTTCCATCCTCATTCAAACAACTCACAAACTCTTCAATCCTTTTCCTTCTCTCTCTTAACTCCCAAGACAAGCAACCCAATCACATCACACAAAATGGTCGACTACTACGCTCAATACCAAAACTTCGTCAAGCGCCAGGAAGCCGGTGCTTCCGACCCTGCTGCCGGTGGTGATGCCGCTGCCTCTGACCCTGCTGCCGGTGGTGATGCCGCTGCCTCTGATCCTGCCGCTGGTGGTGATGCCGCTGCCTCTGACCCTGCCGCTGGTGGCGAAGCCGCTCCTTCTGGTGACGCTGCTGGTGCCGCTCCTTCTGGTGATGCCGCTGCTTCTGGTGACGCTGCTGGTGCTTTGCCCTCCGGTGGTGCTGAAGCCTCTGGTTCTGATGCTGCCGGTGGTGCCGCACCTACTGATGGTGCTGCTGCCGAACCTTCTGGTGGTGCTGCTGACGCTCCTGGTGGTGCCGCTGGCGCCTCTGGTTCTGGCGCCGAAGCCTCTGGCGCCGAAGAATCCGGTGCTTCTGGTTCGATCTCTGGTGGAGCCGCTGAAGAGACCACATCCGCTGCTACTTTGAACCAGCCTTTCTTGCCTTTGCTCCAATTCTTCCTGATTGCCCTCATCTCCTGGAGAGTCTTCCGTGCTTCGCACTAAACTGCACAGCTATATCGAACCTTGAAACAAATCCTTCCTTTCCCCTACCTTACATTTTGTGTATTGAGTAGTATGTAGAGATTATTTTTCTATCCTTTTGTAAAATCACCACCCATCACCGCTATCTCCTCCCCTCCGCATATATCTTCCAGAATTTTGTTATCAAACAAAATAAATTATTTTAGGTTATAGGCCATTATAACAAGAATCAACCCGTTGCAGTTTCTCTGGCGCTGCATGATTCTATGCGCGTGTTTATTGATATATCTATACTGTGATGTTTATCTAAGCCATTTGTAAAATAAAGTATATAGTCCTATACAGAATCCGCTTTTACTGATATCTCGTTGCATAAAAAACCATTTTTATTCAGTCGTTCATACCATACCTCTTTTATTTTGTCCGCTATATATATCTGAAGATCGACTTTTTTAAGCATATGTTATACATACAAATAGTCAAAATATCTTCTCACAACTTCTACTCCTCCAAAAGAAAAAGCAGAGGCTATGCTGTATAATGATTGAACAACTACCTCCACCTGTCTGTTATTACTTGTTAATCTTCGGAGAAATGAATTGAGAAATAGGTTTACGTAGAAAAAACCGCCAATATTGGATGATAAATGTCTGTTCAGGAGGTGCAGTACAGTATTATCAAAGAAAAAGTATTCAGCATTTTCTACATGTACCAATGGTTAAATTGATCTAGTACTCTCCTAACTATCGAAAAGCAGTATTGTGCCACGTAAATAATCGCGTCTGATACATCATATCCCCGTTAAGAATCGCATATTCTTTGTCGATATCAGATAGTGTTGTTTCTCCGTTAAATCAAAATAAAAATAGACGCGGATTCCTTTGGATGCCGTCGTTCGGGCAGTAGCGCCAAAACAGTCTCTGTTTTCTTCTAAGGTTAAAATTATGGGCCATGCGAAACGATCACTATCGTCGTCCAACAGCACAAGGTCCACCAAGGAATACAGTTTTGCTTTTATAGTGTCCAAGACAGTGAACGAGAATTACTAGTTTCCAGTCAAAATTCTCGATGTAGGTCTTCCGAGTCAGGTGGTAATTCGTCAAGCGTTCAAGTAATGATATCGTTTCCTGGATTTGCCGTATAACTAGCAATAGGAGTGCAAGTCACGTGTAGTAATCTTCCGTTGACATTGACGTTTAAAACTCCTATGGCACTGAAATGAGGTTCACTTATATGAGCTCACTAACGCCAGTCCACGATGGTAGATAATACATATTGGTCGTATTTCTGCATTCATGAAAAAGCTCTCTTTTTCCAAAGCACAGGATGAACTTATCTTTTTCGCCAGGTGACCATAAGAAAATCGACCATGAAGTCTAGTATGGGCTGCTCATAATCGACGGTTACATCCTTCATGGTATCAGGAATAAGATTCCCAAACGCAAATACTCTATCGTGCTCTTTCGCTGCTGATGCGCGTATGTGTATGTCTTCAAACGTCACTTGCATTCCACCTTTTGTCGGCGGCGATTTCCATATATCGGTTAATCATTTCATACCACCAAGCATGTACATTGCGACCCACAAAAAGCAATCGTTGAGAAAGGAAAGCCTCTTCTAGGGTCCATACGCTGTAATTATTCCGATTCTTACATGCCCAGTCATTCTATTTACGAGAAATTATTCTCTCTTGTTTATCCGCATGCTATGTACTTCAAGAACCAATACCAGGGTGCACTAGGCGTTTCTAGTGATTGTTTGTGCATATAGTGTGTGTCTCGCGATGCTTCTCCGTGAAATCGTTTTGGATGATGTACATACAATTGGTCATACCAAATATTTTTAATGATAGACTTTTATATGATTGCTGGATAATGACTTCAAACTCGACGAACTTGATTCCATTGTCGACCTTGAGCGTAAATATGACTTTTGTGATAGCTGCGGTCGACGCGCATTGCCTTGCTGGTGCCTTGTCCAGAACCATGTGTCCGAAATGATCCCAAGTATAGGACACGTATAGTACATTTCATTCACGGAGGAGCCGTGAGCCACTTTTATGTCTGGTGTGCGAACGAGTCACGTTGGATTAAATGATGGTCTTGATAGCTGGTGAGGGATTCTTCGCATCATAAAATGCATCGTCAGGAGCCGCGGATAATCGAACGACGAGTGTTATTGTCTTGTCCCGTATGCAATATGTATCTGCAACACGCTGTGTTTTTATATCTCTGAGTTGTCGCTAACTGTCTCGAAAAGTTTGACCTGCATGTCTTTCTATAGATTCACAATTACGTCAATGATGCAGAAGAGTTTAGCGCTAATGCGAGAAAGTAGTTTCTGAAAAAGTGAGTTATGTTAAAGGGTATAAAGATATCGCTTGTAGTATAGATCAAAAACTGAAAAAGAAGCAGTGTGCTTTTACATATTGGAATTCTAATGGTGAGGCCGGGTGCACAAAGCTTAGTCAAAGAGCTATACCGAAACCTTGGTAGACCGTTTCGCAAACGGATGACAAATGATGGGGCCTATCAGCTTTCCTGCTGTAGTTTGGGGTTAATTCATTCCAAAATGCCGCAAAAGCTTATATAGCAGTGATGGTAGACTTGCAAATAACACTTGGGTGAAAAATCATTTATATAGCATCTTTCTACTAGCTCGTGCAATAAAAAAAGGGGATCCGTTGGTGCCTTTTTGCTTCCAACGGAAGATAAATTTTCGAATACCTTGGATACGTAAATCTGGTGGCATTTTTGTAGTCGCTATCATAGCATAGTGGTAGTGGTGATTAAAGCGCCCACAGCCACTATAACCATTTTTGGGATGGAACAGGAGTGTAGGTTTCGTGTAACTTTTCCTGCCAGCGCATTTTACTTTATAGCCCAATGAAACTCTGCAAGCCAAAACGTTTTCCCTTTATATTCTTGACGCATGGCCGACGATAAAGGCAGCAGTAGCAGCAGAAGGCGTGTTGCCGACACCAGCAACAACAACGACCAATCCACCAAAACCAATAGAATTGACGACAACAACAACGATAATGACAATTTACTCGCCTCATCAGCCAAAGGTGCTGGCTACCTTGTTTTGCTCCAGTTTGCTTCGCGCATGTTGACTTTTGGTCTACACCAAATTGTATTACGGTACACCAGCGCTGAAACGCTTGGCATTGCGTCTGTCAAGTTGGAATTACTCTTGTCAACCATTTTGTTCATTTCACGCGAAGGTTTTCGATGTGCTTTGTTGCGTGGCAGCAGCACCAATGACACGAGTTGCGATGGTGACAACAACGTAGGCGACCGCAATGACAAAGGACAACGACAAGCTGCCAACGATACCAATGAACAAAAAGTGACCAACTTGGCCTACATTCCAACTGCCATCGGTCTCGTCACGACATTTCTCGCGTGCAGCTACTACTTGTCAATTATCGACGCTGCGGCGGCGGCCAAATACCCTTACTATCGCACATCCGTCGTATTATTCGGTACAGCAGCATTTGCAGAATTATTAGTCGAGCCACTGTTTGTCTTGGCCATGAATCGGTTGTATTTCCAACTCCGTGTTTCGGTCGAAGGCGTGGCGGTTCTTTTACGATGCTTTATTACGTTTGGATTGACTTTGGCTGGTGCGTCCGGCGGTGGATCATCGTCTTCACATAATGCCTATGGCGTGTTGGCTTTTGCAGTAGCACAATTGGCGTTTGGATTGACCATGGCTCTTGGATATATGGGATTCTTTTTGAAAAAAGTGCGCGAGAATGAGATCGATCTCGATACTTTGGTTCCGAAAAAGCTTGTTGGCGGTGATGGAAGGTAATCCAACTTCTTTGAGGTTGCTGGTGGATGGCGGAGAAAGAGAGAAAAAGAAAAGCAGTGGTTTTCATTATTAAATATAATAGATCGTACTGGTTCGATACGCAAATGCTCAATTTGGCTACTACATTGACAAAACAATCGCTGTTGAAACACGTGCTGACAGAGGGCGACAAGATGTTAATTTCGGCATTAAGCACAGACGATAATCAAGGCGTCTATGCTTTTGTTGTCAACTATGGTAATGTAATTTTTTAAAAAGCAACAGTTGTAGTTACTAAGATTAAGGACTCGTCTCAACGTTGAATAGGATCTTTGATCGTGCGGATACTTTTCCAACCCCTCGAAGAAGCCAGTCGCACGTTTTTTTCCAAGTTATTATCAACACCCAACAAAAACAACACCAAAACAGCTACCGACGTGATTCTTCTGATGCTTCGATTCCACGTGATGCTCGGTCTTTTATTCATTTGTTTCGCCACCAACTATACCGCGACCTTGATTGACTTGCTGGTGGGCAAAGAATGGTCGACCGCACGCAACGCACCTGCCGTGTTATCCATGTACTGTCTCTATGTGCCGGTGATGGGTATCAATGGCATTACAGAAGCATTTGTCCAAGCCGCCGCATCCAAGGCCGACTTGACAAAATTGAGCTACTACATGATTCTCTTTTCGGCCTGTTTCATGGCGTCTGGGTACTTGTTTATGAGTGTGTTGGATATGGGCGCCATTGGGTTGGTCTTGGCAAACATGGTGAATCTGTCGATCCGAATCGGATATAGCTGGCATTACATTACACAGTATTTTGCGCAACGAGGACACACAAACGAAGAAAATGGAGTAGGAGTAGTATTAAAAATACGACAATGGTTTCCAAGCACAGTGACGATTGCCGCATTCGTTGCATCGTGGGCGATCACTCGATGGAGCGAAGAGAAGGTAGGGTGGGGAACATTCCATCAAAAGGTGACGCATATCGCTCTTGGCGGTCTGTGTTTCCTGGCAGTCGCTGGTACGACGTAAGTTAGTTGCGATTTGATAAATAAGACGAGGTCTATGTAGTTATATAGAAAGTCCAAAGGAATGACATCTCTTTAATTAGGGCATGGAGAGAGCGTGGTTGGATCCAAGACTTGCGACGATTGGCTAAGGCACAGAAGAGTGCATGATCTGCTGCTGCTGCTGCTGAAGGTGGCTGCTGTTGTTATCAGTTAATGAGATCTAATTTTCGATTAAGAAGGCTGAGTTTGCTTTTCTGTACCTGCATTAATTGGTTTCCAATAAATAAATGAGCTTTGGACTTGTCGGCCTTTCCAGACAATCTTTTTTTGTAGTGGTAGTTGTTATTACTGGTGTTGTTCGTTGCTCTCATGCGCGTTGTGCTGTAGTAGTACATGATGATCTTTCAAAAGGAACAGCGTTCCGATCTACCGGATTGCTGGCGGTCTATCTGTTTGTTTTTCAGCTACTGCATCTACAATTATAGCAGGTTGTTGATTCTTGTAGTAACTCGGGCCCCTCTAATCAATGCAGACTGAAAAGATCATACGGATTTACCGGGGATGATCGTATGAGATGATGATAGAAGCGAATCACGCAGGCTTTTGAAAGGAAGTGAGAGTGCGTGCGTGCGCATACGATTTCTAATATTACAGGTGTGTGTGTGTGTGGTGCGTCGAAGAACAAGAGCAAAGTTTTCGAAAGAGAAAATTGGGCAGCCCGTCGTCGTTCGTCCTTTTCCCGACGAACAACAAGAATGTGTCACTGCAGCCCAGTTCACCCATATTGGAGCACGCACGCGATTCCCCCACACACGCAACGTACGTTTTACTATATAACTGCCGTCTCTATATCTACCCTGCCCTTTTCTTCTCTTCTCTCCTCTCTCTTTTGATTCTTCACCCTGTATACTTTCCTTCTTTCACACACACACACACACACACACACACACATACCCCACCCCCTTCCCTTTTACCAACGCAAAACACAAAAGATGCCCACCCGTCGTGCCTTGTTACGTGTAGCTGTCGTCGCCAGTGCAGCTCTATTCACCTTCACTTACGCCGCCCCACTTGACCAACAACAACAACAACAACAACAACCTTTCGTCGCCACCTCTCCTACTACCACCTCCGCCGACAACTGCAACAAGCTCGTCATTCCTAGCAGTGTAGCTGTGCAAAACAGCTTGTGCGAATACTATGAAGATATCGTCGACCAAGTCATGGAGACTGTTACCAACAGTATCTTTGCGTCTGCCTCGCACTCTTTCATGACTGTTCGTCACTACCAAGTGACAGGCCATGGTAAATGAAATAGCAACTCTTACTTTCTTTAGACTCGGTATAGCTAGCCTGCGTGTCTCCGTGTATAAAATTAACTGTTGAAAAAAAAACAATAGATCAATGCAAAACGTCGCTGCCTTCATTTGTTCACGCACTCGGTGACCACCTGACACTTGTTCGTTCCAATCTGTTGGCATCCGTTCGACCATTGGTCCAAACCGATCTCGAAGTTATTCTGCCGCTTACCAAGATCACTTCTTCCGAACTTGCCCTTTACACACGTGTCAATGATGCCGTGATTCACTTGAACCAACGATTGGCTGAACAGTTGGGCCAGATGATCAATGTCAACGAAGCAGCCAATATAATCATCAGCCAGTCTCTCGTTGATAATCGGTACTTGGCGCACTGTACCGGTCAAAACTCGCCTCAGTTGCAATTTGAGCAGTTGGTTGCTGTTCTCACATCATTTTTCCAACCAAAAGAAATGCCTCAGCTGCAAGGACAAGAAGAGCAACAAAAGCCTCGTCATCATCGATCGATTGAAAACAACGAGGCCATGATCATGACCCGTTGGTTGCACTCGTGGTTGTCTGAAATTCCAGGTATCCTGACAGTCGAATTTGATAAGCGCATGCATGAAGCTGTTCAGTCTGTCCTCGAAGACTTTTTGACCGAGGATGAGTAAACGACAATCAGCATGTCTTTTCTATGGGAACCTATATACTACAGCTTTTCTACGAACAATATCCAAAGAACAACCATCAAGCCAGCATCATGATTATATCGCAAACGATCCGATACCCTTCTTCTTACGACTGCCTCTATAACGACGATTCATCTCAACTACGACACTACACACATCCTTACCAAGCCAAAACTGTACCAACAACGGCGACGATGACGACTTTAAAATAACGCCTTTTCTTCCTTTGTAACAACCTTCTTTTTCCTACACACTCTCAAGACGTTGCTTCCTTCTAGACAAAGTAGCCCTAATGTTCCACTAGTTCTCCCTTTCCGATTTCTTTGTAATACTACGCCCTACCTGTACATACTATACTAATCTATAGCGCTGCTTTGTCGCCCGCTCTCCTCCTTGACGTCTATAATCACTCGAATAAAAAACAACAACAAACGTAACAATATCAGTTGTATGCTAACACTATATATAATTATCTTGCAGACAGTGTGTCACTATTGGTATGTAGTATGTGATAGTAATAATAGTAGTATTACAGATTACAGGTATACAAAGTATCAATGATAGATAAAAGTAGTAAGCGTGTATCCTTTCATGCGCGGATCAGTGCTTCCGCCTCGGGAATTGTCAGACCGCAAAAATCAAGAGCCGCCTTCCATGCCTTCTCGACATTCTTACATCCAGGAACGGGTTGCCTCACTGTACTTGACCAATATCCACCTGATTCTCTTGGCTTTGTCCCCCTTGCTGCTGATAATTTTGAAGCTGGAGCAAGACACAAATACAATGGAGTAATAGCGCCTTCACTTGGTGTGAGCATAATGAAATCAAAGACATGGGATGATATGGGTAGTGCAAACAAGGTGGTATGTGAAAACAGGTTTGTTCGCACTGCTCCTGGATGATAGCCTATTATGAAACAAAGTTATAATTACCGTGAGACAAAAAAAAGCCTTTTTTTTGTAGAATTATATGATTACAGGATATAGAGCCAAACAGTAATAGAAAAAACTTACAGAAAACTTGGACGTTGCCGTGACTATCACGCAAATGTTGGCCGAGGATTTCACTAAGCACTGAAATATACAGTTTGCTGTGTGCATAATGGGTCAGCCCATCCCATCCATATTCCTTCCGAGCCAACGATAGATCGAGATCGGGTGAGGCGGCATAGAGTGTGGAGCTTGCTGCGAATAGGATCCGACCTTGTTTTTTGTTCATCCATGGCAACAATAGTAATGACAGGTAGAATGGTGACAGACAGTTCTATTTCAGCTTTCGCATTAGACTGTATAAGTTTCTCATATATACCAGAAAACAGACTTGCTTCTCTCTTACTGTTTGAAATTGGGCGTCGAATCCATCGGATGTGATATGACATGGTGTGTTCATGATACCTGCGTTATCTTTTTTTTGGTGACAGATCTCAGTTAATAAAATGCAAAGCTGGTCTCCCTCTTTCACTCTCCCTTTAACTGAGTTTCAACTTTCCAGAACCTTACTTATGAGAATATCAATGCCACCCTTGGGCACCATCCTTTTAACTTTGGCAGCAAATTGCCGGACGCTCTTAATTGATGTCAGTTCCACTGTCAAACACTCCACGTCGTCTCCCAAGTGGGCTTTTGCTTGCTGTGCATGTTCAGCAGTACGTGATGCTATATACCAACAGAGAAAAAAAAAGTTTAGGCCCATCGTTATTATAGCGACGTTGTTGTCAAATTTGTTACCAATGATCACTCGAAGTCCAGCTTCTCGTAATCCTCGTGCAACTTCCAATCCTATGCCTGAATCGCCGCCTAAAGGAAACACAATCTCTTTATATCAGTATGATGGATGGGATGATTGGCTCGTCCGCGACGCTATCAAGGGAATGTAGTTTTTCACAACTTACCAGTGATGATACATAATCGACTGTTGTTATTAACTTTATTGTTGCTAGTGGCATAGGTACGAACAAGTTGCTCAGCAGTGTTTGCTTCAATTATACGCTTCCATAATACAGTTGCTACGGTGTCTACAACGCCAATTGCATACACTCGAAACCAAGTCGGCACCCAAGCAGGCAAATCGTCGTGGATCATGGTGTTGATTAAAGTCGACCATTGAGACTCGTAGGTTTTGGTACCGAATGGTGCAGGTTCAATAGTAGAATGTAGCCATTGCCAAGTGGCTAGAGCAAGCGCGATGACTATACTTATTGCAATGATCATTTGGAAACAAGAAAGTGGGAAGGTTGTTCGGTGGTTGTCGTTTTGACACGTGCAACAAATTTTACATGCACACGAAGAAGAGATTAAAGGGACCAGCGCCTTCTGAATATGGTAACTGGACAATTGAAAAAGAAAAAAGTTATGATGCTGCTGCCAGCAACAAGCAAGAATGGTCCTTACAATGATTTGAGCTTCTGTTATTTTATGCCTAATAAAACAACTGTGGCGTTCGTGTTTCGAGACTGTCTTCTGTACTATATCATGCTCGCATCACACTGCTCTCGACAGAACTGTAATAATAACTTGGGTATGATACTACATTATTGTATGCGTGTTCCTGCAGCATCCCACCATAAATATTGCGTATCCACCACACAATCTTGGCAGAATGTAGAATTATTTACTCCTTATTTCTGCTGCAAGCTAAAATCGTAATTTTTATTTTGGACTAAAAATGCTCAGAGAACTTTTTTCTGCCATGAAAACCGCTCACTCAATATATGGTGGGTATGTACACAAACATAGGCGCTCTTCGTGCCAACAATGAGTTGCTTTCGAATTCAGCGGGATATATTTCCATCAAGTCATCCACAGCTACTTCCAATTGCAAAAACCTATGTAGATGCTACTATATCAATCTCGTAGTACGCACTAAAATACATCATGCCACGTGTCAATAACTCTTTTTTCATATCGCTAGTCCCAAACGCATGTAAGTAGTTACTGTACAGAAAAATTATTTACAGAGAATACCAAGGATATAATTTAGAAGGGTATTTTTTGCCAGTATGAGCAAGAGAGAAGGAACGCAAGTCTACACAGTAATGACACTGTAGACTGCACTCAAAAGTGACATCTTATCACTATAGTCGTCGTCAAACTGTGAAGTAACGTTATAAAAGTGGCGGTTTACAGTAATACATCCTTGAGGTCATACCAGCAGTAAGCGTACATCTTGTCAATATCATGAATTATTAAAAGCATGACTTATCTACGCAATTGCGCAGCTGTCAACCATGTTTGACTTAGTATGAGGTAGTGCCTCTTCACGGCTACTGCTAATTAATGACGACTCATTTCAAACGGATCCCGCGCTATCAGGGCAAATACATACACGCAAACTGCTATCTTTACGAACAATAGCATGGTCTGTGCATTTTGAACAATGTCTCAATAACAGTAGCAAAGGCTTTAGTTTACACGCCAAACGCAAAGACGAAACCTAAAATCGCAATCAATATACTCAAACAAGATGTCTTTCTTTATAAAACATACATTGTGGATATGTCATTTGATCAACGTAAAAGGTAAAGAAACTAAAGTTCGTTGTTTCCCCCACAGTGACAAGTATATCTAAGGTACAACGTGCCACTGCAGAAGCGACGAGAATCGGGAGACCGTGCCAGCCCACAGTCAGCAAATCTCAACACGAAGGGAAATGCTCCATCCGCCTCACAACAGTATTGTTAGATACCATCGGGAAAACCTAATGAGCAGGAATTGTCGACAGTGGACCAACCAACCTGCACACGACTCATGATGAAGAAAAAACCAGGATTTGCTAGTGCGGACCCTCTCTATATATGTACGATTTTCCCGACTGTCACGCTCGGATTTCCAAGAGGTTCACTGGATCCTCATGGATCCTCATTAGTTTTTCCTATGGATTTTTTTTATCATATGGCCCAAGAAAAAGCGCAGGAGGAAACGAAAGAGGCGGGGGAAGTGTAGCAATATTAGCCGCCGTCGGGTAGAGAAACATGCTGCGGGGGCAGTGTTCGGCATGTGTCAGTATCATAAGAAATATCAAGTATTACTGTACTGACGTGAGTCAGCAGGAAGCAAAGGTAGTCTAGGAACGAGGAGCTCAGGAAGAGCGCAACACAGATCTTTCTTCTTTGGATAGTGACAAGTGATGCGTGTGTCAAACCTCGAACGTTCCAACAGCTTTCCCTTGAAACGAAAACTCCGTAGAGTGAAAGCGCATTGTTACGCAACGATTTGGCCAATTTACTTGGTACTCAAAGTGCACAAAGGAATGGCGGGTGAACAAGGTGATCAATGGAGCAACGAATTACGTGCAAAAGGGTCAAAAGATGTACAGTAGGAAGTCATCGTTTATGGTGTTATTCTTCTGATCGTCCCAATGGATCTTGAAAGCTGCTAAAAAAAACGTAGAACCCGCACAAAAACAAACGAACCGATTAACTTTATCAGCAGCAATGAAAATCAATGAAGGGTGAGTCAGTTTCACTAGCGGCAGCGTATACTTACCATGAGCGGTCAGCTTATCTGCGGCAGCACACTTGGATAGAGTATGAATTCGGAATGGATGGAGGGAGGTTACACGGCGTAGTTCAGAGAACTGTTGGCGGATGGCGAAAATTATAAAGCAACAGTAGACAAGCACGCTTCACAGTAAAAGATAACGATCTTTTTTTATATACTGCAGCGTTGGAGTCAAGTGTGTGTTGTATCTATTCCCGCACCCAGCACATGCAATCAAAAGATACTAATCAAATGGAATAGTCTGTGGACTACGCTCTATACTCATGCTGTTTACCTTGTTGGGTGAAGAATAGAAACTGGCTGCTGGGAGGATCGTGTTCTTAATGTTTACTAATGCTGGATCAGGAACAACTGATGCCGTAGAATCTCTTAAGCTGTTTACCTTGTCAATCACTCCTGTATTGCCATTTGATTGCTCACAGAAAAGCATTTCTTCCGTGAATCTACATGCTCAGTCACATTCGTGTCTTTGTTTTCGCTTGACACGGTGCCGTGCACGGCCCACTCACAAACAAGCGCCGATACCATCGGAGGGTACAGCTCCGCATGGTGAGAGACACGTACCACTACCGCCGAAGCACGCTTGTCTACTTGACCATCAAGTACCACTCCTTTCATTTCCTTTGGTGCTGTATGTTTTGTTATGTCATAGTAGGCAACCCACAAGTTGATTCGCAATCCGTTATCTGGGCCAATGAGAATCCACGGGGATTTGAAGTCCCGAACGAGAAAAATGTCTATATAAAGCGAGCAATTTCGCCTTTCTTTTTTCTCTTCTCTTCAGTTCGTTTTGGTACAGCTTTGGTCTGTAGTACAGATGCACTGCTCTGTGCCATGATCGGGTCATTGCTTGTGCTGGCTATTGTCATAATTCTTCTGATGATCGGCAGATTCAGTGGTCCGCTCTGAAGAAAATTTGCAATATATACCAGTGGGAATGTGGTCATATACTCCGGCAGCCGATCGTGAACCTTCGGGTGCATGTGATGCCAACGGTATATGTTGGGATAATTGAAACGAACTTTTTTTTTATTATTTATTACACACAAATAAGAAAATGATAAACAAAATAAAAAATATATTTTTCTTTTTCGCACTTTCCGCATAAACGTTTTACCGCTTTTGCCTCGCCTTTTTTTTATGTGCACGACAAGTTCCTTTTTCTTTTTTCGCGAACAAAAAGCTAATTACTCCCCCCTCCATCCATTCACAGCTCCGTGCTAAACAAAGCGGGGAACAGTGACAGTGGCTCTGTATCGTAGCCGAAAGTAACACGATCACAATGCTTTGGCACTCTTTTTCACTTTCTGTGTTCGCCTAAATTGCCAAAGCAATTGTCAAGAAAAAAATTGTTATCGAGGATATGGTCGGTTATTTTATAAGAGGCAACGCCAGAGCATACGCCAGCAGACCTGTATAATTGTCAGATCTGTAAAAAATTGGAATGTTTTTTTTTCAGCTGTTCGTCTCTCTCACTCTTCCTGCACGTAGCTTATCACAACACAATTTTCTTATCATTTTGGGTTTCACCTGGATTGAAAAGCTTGCACTGATCTTTCCGGTGTGTCTGCTTTTAAAGCGTGATTCTTGTAACAGCTCTTTCCCTCCCCATACACCTTCACTTCTCTCTTCCTTTTCTTATTTAACTTTACTTCGTTACATATTTTCAAGGTATGCGTTACCTATTTGAAAGTGATGATCGCTCACCAAAGATATCAGGGGGACCTGTTGAAGATATGATATATTTGCTCTACCAAAACATGCACACAGGGATGCTGTGTTTTCCAGGCCAAGCGATTGGTTACTAATATATGACTTTTGCGGCTCGCAAACAATAAACCCGAGTATTGATTGAAGCCTTTTCCTTCGTATCGAGAAGTCGATGGTTTTAGAAAGAGCCTGTTCTAATGTGTATCTGCGTATCGCTATGATAGCATAGATTTAATGAAGTTACTGGTGGTTACAATAGATCAATCTTCAGGGTCCCCCTTTTCCAAATAAAATTCAGGTGAGCTACCTGGTTCGACTTGCTTTTCCTTTGTCGGACATATTATTTCACGAGTCCGGATTATGTTATACAGGCTTTGTTCGATTAAAAGCCTCGTGCCAAATTTCTTTTCGCGCGTCCCCTTTCGCATACACGTAATATGACTGATTTGATCTCGATTTTGCCTCCCGAATCATTCAGTACATCTTCTCGTTTATCGGACAGCGGGCTGTGTCGAATGTGTGAAAGTATGTCGCCGCTGGTTATACGCGATCCCCACTTACCAGACAGCCCTGTGGACACTGGTGGGAATCTCGCCTGATGCATGGAACAAAAGGAGCGACGCGATGCTTCGATGTTTGGGACAACAAGTCGAATCAGTATACATCAAATCTCAAGCCACGTATAAAGTACTGGAACGACTTGCTTGGCGAAGATACAGCATTCGCTTCCTTGGTGAAGTAAAACGATACTCTTTTTTTTTGCGTTAAGAGGATCGCGTATTCGGTAGTACTAACTACTGCTTATGAGCAAAAGATATACTAAAGCTTTTTCTTTGTTTTCAATAAGACATTAGCAACCATGTGCATAGCAAACAATTACAACCTATTTTCGACAGTAGCACGTTACTGCCAGGATTCATCAGATATTTCTCGCATACGCTAACTGCTCTGACGATTTCATTTCACACTTGCGATATCTCGCTGCCAATGCTACTGGACTTCTTGCCGTCATTAACGAATCTTTCAGTGATGTTTGATGGCCGCACTAACTTATCAGATGCTACTCTTGAACAAGTTGATGGCAGAAGCAGACACAAAAGGCCACCGATACACAACATTATCTTCTTAAGACTGGACGGTGTTCTCAGTTTTAAATACCGGATCCGTCCCTTATTGCAGCGTTGCTCCCACATCAAGTACTTGATATTATCGCCTTACTCACGATTCAACAACGTATCTCCAACCAACATCTATACAGCTTATGAGCTGTGCCCTCTATTACGCTACATTATGTGGGAATGCAGCGAACCAGTCATAGCAGACAGATGGATTTCACTATCAAGAAGCACGAGTGCTTATATTAAGTAACTGAAAGGAAAGCATCGAATGATGGCGAGGAAGGCAGTATGGCTTATGAACTGCTATTCAACGGCAAGGGACACGAGAGGATCATGCCGATAGTAGTAAAATCGCAGCCGATACTAGAACATTTACGTATAGTCGCCTGTGGTCTTTCTGTATTCATTGCTGGGATGTCTTGGCACGCAACCAATTCACACAGCTGACAAGTTTGGGGTTGACGGACATCACTGGTATGTCAAGCGAAGATTGGTCCCAGATTTTGCTCATGCAGCAACAAAATGAGATCTTGGAAGTTGGAAATCGCGCTGGAATAACGCAGTATCTGAACAGCATTATCGCAACCATCGGTACGCTGCAACGGCTCCGTATACTTTCCTTGCGAAATTTCCTTCACATGTTCAGCGAGAATCCTCTTTGCGATCTTACTCCGCTTCGACGTTTGCAACAGCTTGAAAAAATGCGTCTCACGAACATACCCATCGACAACCAAGGTCTAATGCAGTTGTGCGAACCATCACAGCACCCACTAGTCAGGAGATTAAGCTTGAACCCGCACATCACCGTACAGTAATAGTGTCGACGACTTTCTCACAGAGGCAGGATGGATTGTGTGGGCACAACGACTTGAGGAAACCAAAATACTGAATCTGGAACTGACAGCCGTGAAAGGTGTTACTGGTGCTGTCCTTGAGCATTTTGAACAAGTCGAGAGCTCGGTGCTATTGCGTGTTTCACGGATCTATAGTCTCACCAATGCAGGCATCAATGCTTTTCGTATCATTGAAGGATCTAGTAAAAAGATTGAAGTCGTGGGGTGTTCAGGATTATCTCGGACAGATGATCTTCGTATGCCATACAACATATTTTTAATAATTGAGTACCATTGCGGTGATATTTGCAGTCTGGCTTGTACTTTTATTTATAATGAGCTGATAAACAATATTGGCAGCATGTTTAATTAATCAGTTTTCCAGGTTGGATTGTTGTGATATCTGTATAGTCAAGCATCGATTTGAAATGTTTACATATACACTTACTAGATCCAGGATTGATGGAAAGGCAGCACGATGTGGATCTGGTCGGCAGCGAGTCTGGTGCCCTTTCAAACCTGAGCGAAAGCACAGACTAATTTTTTTTTGGTTACCCTATGCTTTCCTTATATATCAGAAATGCTTGTGTACCTCTTTTCGTCACAAAAGGGATCACCTCGCACTCTATATGATATAGTCTCTGTGACAGAAGAGAGAAAAAAAAATGAAGTGAGAATATTCTTTCTTCCGTTGTTGAATAGAAAGACCATCGTCGCCTCCTCCCCTCTCCCTTTATGACCAAAAAAAAGCAGTCTGTATGCTGTATGTATGCGCATACGCGCGTTCCTGTTCATGTCGGGCAGTGGATTTTTAATGCCCGGTATTTGGATTTCATTGGCCAACGTGCTGCTGCAACTATACTCGAACCGCTTTGAGAGTTATACTACGCAGAGGACTTATTGGAGTCAAGTTTACTGACAAAGGTCAATATTTATGGTAAGCGGGAACATTATCATCTTCCACATGCTAGGATATATACGGGATCAAGAACATCTTGAAATATAGCGATTCCCGGAAAGTGTTCCTCATATTTTCTGGGCAAATTCTAACTACAGTACTTTGTCTGTTTAAACTCTATATGTAACAAACTCATGAGCAGTTGTTCAGTAAATGAACCCAGTGTCTTAAGCTTGATGCTTACCAAACGAACAACAATACGATAGCAAGCTCAAAACGCCAGAGAAAAGGCAAGCCTGATACAAGACGCTGGAGTGCTACTGTGTGCTGTCAACCAAGATTTTTTTTTTTGTATGAGAGGCGGACCTCTAAAAGAATTTATTGACGAACACTTGTTCAAAAGAAGGGAAGTGCTCGCGGCTTTGCAAGCGCAGGTAGGGAATGGTTGTCAACCAAGATATAAACATCACCCTAGTAAGCTTCCTGGATCCCAACTCCGCTCAATGGATTGGATAGCATTGTAATACCCTGCAGATGCGGTAACGAATAAACAACAGCATTCAGGATGTCTAGATTATATAACTAAAGTCATCCTGGCAATAGCAACATAGAGAGCAAAAGCTAGTTCAGTCTTCCTTACTCTCAAAGAAAGAAAAAAAGAGATGCAAACGAATTATTGAAAAGTAATATGCAAAAGGCAACCATGACTGAATCAACCCACACTTGTGACAAGCATTTATATGCCTGTGTGCTCTCCGCTTGTTATATAAAAATAAGGTAACCGTCCGTGCACGCGTAAAAAAACAAGAAGCTTCGAGTGTAATGCTTTGAACGATCATTTTAATTCTGTAGCTCAGGAGCAAAATACGTATAAAACACTACATCTCAGAGTACAGATAACGCCCAACTTGAAAATAATGGGCCAAGCGTCGGTCGAGAACTCTTCCCGCTTTCTCAGGTACGACAGATTCACTCCTTGCGTAGATCCTACATAGCAGATTTCAATAAACGTTTGCTTTGTAAGGTTTTGTCAAATCGCAGCCTAGATGTTGAGGAGCAAGCGTAGCATTTGAGCGTGTTATGTATAATTGCGCAATAATCGATTATCATCTTGCGTAAAACAACGTTGCAGTAAGTCGATAAATCAGCACCGCAATTGGATCATCCTTTGCACTACATCAAGAACCTTTCTATACAGTACTAGCTATTATGGTGTGCTTGGTATCCATCCAATGGTGTGTATGGAACCAGTACACATTTTCTAGCCTCCCCAAAGGATAACGGGATATATATCAACGTAAAAGCCAGAAGAGATTTCTTGTGGTTCTTTCCTTGGCTTACTACCGTCGACACCGCCTAGCGAACAATTATATCTATTTTCTCGTTGTCGTTTAATTCGGTGTCCAGGAACTATCCGCTCATGCAGTATCAATGGCGATCGTTATTATTGTTGCTGTGGTGAGGTACGACGTGATTCAGCTACACTTACATGTGATCGAGCCAAAACTGTTGTACGATTTTTAGTATCCTACCCTCCATTATGTACCAAGTATGATACAGCCCTCTTTCCGCAGTCAAGGAGAGAGAGAGAGACGGTAGAACGCGACCTCAAAACTCGTAATAAAACAAGGAGGCAGACGCTATGGGGTTAAAGTGACAGAGTGACAGTTAGCCACATTCTATAGAATGCGAGGAGAGATTCGTGGCAAAAAAGAGTAGCCACCATACGAGGATGTTTTTCGTTTATTGGCCAAAAAAGCAGATAGTATTCTTTTTGTTTGTATAGAGATTAAGAAAATGCTAGGAGGAAAATAGTAGAAAGAAGGAAACTTTATATAAGAAAAAGCTATATAGATTAAAGAAGGGCTTTTGTATATCCGTGTGTGTGTGTGTGGGAGGGGATTGTATAGATTGCTTTGATATGTTGTTGCAGTAGTAGTAGTAAGTTGCTATCCTTGCTATTGATAGATGAATGGTTTTCATTTTACTTGGTGCGTCTGTAGATCTTGTCCATGAATTCGGTAAAGACGGCCTTCTTGAGACCAAGCGACTCATCCAACTTGCTGATCATACCCGAGATTTCCTGATACGACTTTTCTTCGTATGCCTTGTAAGTGCCCTCAATGTCCATTTCGACATAGAGTTCCTTGATCTTGGTCTCAGCAGCCTTGTCCTTCTTGCCATAGTTCTCATCAAGCACCTTGCGTTGGTCAGCATTTGCCTTGGCCAGGGCTTGGTTGATCAACCAGCTGCACTTGTTGTCTTGGATATCCGTACCGATCTTGCCGATGAATTCGGGCTCACCATAGCAGTCGAGATAATCATCTTGGACCTGGAAGTATTCGCCAAGAGGAATCAAGATTTCTTCAGCGGCCTTGTATGCAGACTCGTTCTTGATACCAGCCTAGAGTTTGTTCCCGTAAAAATATAAATCCGTTTATATGTCAACTTTTTTTCCCTTTCTTTTTGTACGACCTGTCTTTTCAAACCCCTGATTTTTTGGATAGTTGATTTTCCAACGGTAATGTACAGCAAGCAAGTAACTTGTTGTTTGTTGGCCAAAAGGAAAAAAAAAGTGGGATCAAACTTACCATATGCATGGCCATTGCCACAGGGAGGTAAAACGAGTAGTAAGCGGTCTTGTAAACAACAATGAAATGGTGCCTATGCGTTTGTTTGCTCAAAACGTTAAAATCCCTGAAAATACACAATCCTTTGTTGTACACATATAGCCTATATACTACTACTACTACTACCACTACTACTACTATTACTACTATTACTACTATTACTACTATTACTACTATTACTACACCGACCCCAGACAGTGATAACTTACTTTTGAACCGAGAACTTGCTCAAGTCAACGTTATCTTCGGGAGCAGTGATCAAATCACATAATTGGCCCAATTCAGTTTGGAAAGTGACCTTTATATCCGCATAGTACATCAATAGAACACACAGAGAGAGAGAGAGAGAGAGTTAATATGTACTTCTTTGCCATTGACATAAACGTCCACCTTTCAGCCCCACTCAAAACTACCCTTTGCCCTTTTGTTTCCATTAACCACACCCCTCCAAGACGGGGGAAACGCATACTTTTTTTCCTTTCTTTTTTTTTTTACCTCATGGAACAACTCGAGCAAATCGACGTAGTAGTCAGTGCTCTTGAAATACTTTTTCAAAAAGACGTAGATGCACGATTCCAAAATGAAAGCATCGTTGATGGCAACCATACCAACACCATCCTTGCGGTACCAGCAAGGCTGGCCACGACGGGTGATAGAACTATCCATGATATCATCTGAAACGAGGAAGAAGGCTTGGAGCTAACGTAAACGATAGAAAAGCGCAAAACAAATTTTTTTAAGTTCACTTTGTCGATCATTGCCGAGTTTGACAAGTTAAAAGCCTATCTCTCACATCTCTTCACTCATGCGCGCGCTAATGCCTACTACTACTCCACACCATTTTTTTTGCCCTATCTCGCTCGAATCTTTCTCTCTATTATTACCACCTCCTCGTAATAAGCTGTCCTAACCCCCCCTTTTGATCTAGTATTACCGACTACTTACGAGTTCCACAAGCCAACCAAGGACAGAAGCCTTGAAAATATCATCCTCGGTGACAGCATCACCCTTCAAGATACGGATGGTGTCGACAACAGAAAGACCGCGGTTCAATTTGCCTATAAAATATATCAAGTCATTCGAGCTTTGTTCGCGTCATATATCGAAGAGAAAGAATATATCTGTATATGTCCAAATTCTAGAGCCCGGGAAAACTCTTTCACCCCCATTCCATCATCCCATCATGTCAAACCATTAATATTTTACCTCCAGGCACATTGTAGAACAACATCTAAAAGAAATGCAAAAAGACGCTTAGCATCCTCTCACAATCCGCTACTTTGACAACAATAATATTCGAAATGTGTACCTCCTTGGTCCATTCATAAGCATCTTGGGGCATGTTGTACTTGCGCAACTCGGCAAGGACTTCCTCGGCCAAAGTGGGAAAAATATCGAGGAAAGCCTTGCGGTTTTCTTCCTTTTGCAACTTGACGCTGACCATGATGATATGAAGTTTTTCTATAAAGGGCGTCCAAGAGAAAAGATGGTTTAGAAGAGGATCCAAGCTACTGGATATCGCTGGGAGGAGAGTACGTACCTGTAGCGTAGATCCAGGAAAGAGAGAGAGAGAGAGAGAGAGAGAGATGCTGGGACAAGAGAATTAAACCTCCAACTCAAATATTAAGTATGTATGCGGGCCCTGAAACCTTGTATTTTTTTTCTTTGTGTTGCAAAGCCCTCTAATAACTCCTCGGTGCTTCAATGTTTCTATTCCCTCCCCCCTTCCTTTTCCGCAATACACCGGCATTCAATGCAGCAGTCTTGCACTTTTATGGAATGTGGATCCCTACATATTCTGCTGATCACTTCAACGTACAGCACACTGCTTACGGTCTATATGTACACAAGATTCGAATTTGATTTATTATATAATCGTGCGGCAGTCAGTGAAAGGATAGTTCAAAATTTTAATGCGGTGTGGATGTGATGTAGCAGTAAAGTGGTAATGCGAGAAGACATGTTGGGATGACAGATGATTGTTAGAAGATAAATAATGTGAGTGAGAGAAGAGAAGAGAGGAGGGGAACAATGGCTTGTGCTTTTTTCTCTATGGAATGTTTCAGGATGTGTTGCTGGATGGGATGAGCATGGCTTTTAGTTGGTTTCAGCGTAATAGTTTTCACGCATGAACTCAAAGAAAGCAAAGTGGTCAGGCGATGCACCATAGCGGTAGACAAACTGAGAAGCCAGATAAGCTCCAAAGATAGCCTTGACATAGTTTTCAGGTACACGAGCCAACAGGGTATCGAGCCCAAGCTTTTCGAGCAACAAGCTGGGGAATGCCTTGCGCAACACCGCATGACGGAGCTGGACATTGTCCCACAGACCCGTGTTTTGCAACTGCTCGTTGAGCTGAACGATGGCCACTGACAGGTCGTCCGAGAGGTTAGAGATCGGAGTACCTGACTTGCTATGCTCGCGCCACAATGCTTCAAATTCAACTGCTGCGTTGCGCTCAATGATGCGCTGGACCTGCTCGACGTAGGCTTGGTAGAATTCAGGCACCTGACCATCCTTGACACACATGTGCTCGACAAACTCGGCATCGTTGAAAGCCAAAGCAGCCAAGACTTCGAGCGAAGACGACGTGACACCACCCTTGTTGGCCGAGGCGTCCTTGAAAATTACAATGCCTTGGCGTTCGAGACGGAGACGGGCTTCTTGAGTAATGAACAGGTTGGCACCCTCAACAATGTATTTAAAATGAGGCACGCCGTCGTTGTCGACAAGTTTCTGGACGTTGTATAAGTCGATCGATTCAGGTCGGCCACCACAGGGTACAAATACGGTGGCCTTAGCCGATGGGTGTGTGTGGAACGTGTTGCGGAATTGAAGGCCATTTTCAACCACATCGCCGTTGGGCAATTGCACATTGTTTTCGTCCACCAATACCCGGAAACCGTCTTTGCTCAACTTGGCCGTGTCAAAGTTGTTGATCATTAAGCGCTTGTTGGCCAATCGTGTCAACTCTTCGCGCTCAATGCCGTTGGAATCGTACAAGACACCCGAACCATCAACAATGGCAACCGTTTTGTCCTTGGAAATCTTGATTTCGTTCGAACCCAAGTCGCCATCGGGACCACCGGTCTGAAGCTTGGTGCATTCTTCTTCCTTTAGGCCAAACGTGCGATAAATGCCCAACACATATTGATGGACCGAACGAGTGGTCATGCCATAAGTGTCGTGAGGAATACCGCCCAACGACTGGCTCTTGCCGGTAGTGAAAGCCTTCCAGAAGCTGGCATTACGACGACGTGCGTGTTGCGAGGCCCAATCCATGTAGTCAGCAGTACCTTCATCAGGACCAAAGAAAAGAATTTCGGGCTTGCCCATCAAGTCGACCAAAGGTTCCTTGATACCCATCGTCTGGCCAGTAATCAACAAGTCCAACACTGAATCCACGTATTTCTCGAATGCAACACGGGCCTTGTCCTGCTGGTAAATGTCGAGCAAAATCGTACCCTTCGAACCGCCTTCGGGGATATCCTTGTTCTTGCGCTGCTGGGTCGCGGCCAATGCATAGTTTTCGTCAAACAAGGTACGCTGGTTGATCGAGTAGGCTTCACGGTTGCGCGAGCGGATAATACGGATACCACCACGGGCAACGTCACGGAAACGTAGATGGAAACCACGGAACTCGGAGCCGACGACCAAGAACATGCCATAGAGTTTGGTAGGGTATTCGATTTCGGGCAAAAAGCTGGGATCCAAGCGGAAGGACAGAGCGACCTTGGTGGATTGGTAAAAGTTGGTCTTCAAGACATGCTGGTTGAATTGCAAGAAGGATTCAAACACCAATTGCTCGTGTGCGTTCGAGGTGACGCTCTTGATTTTCTTGCTCAACTGTTCGTTGGTCAGATTCTCAACTGTGGTCAGACGTTGGTACGAGATGGTAGGCTGAATCGAGGCCTCGCGCTGGTTGACATAGTGGACAGTGGCAAAATTGGCATACAAGAGCTTGATGAGGTCAGGGTATTGCTTGATAATGTCAAGAATGTATTCACGCGTAAAGGTGTCCTGGCGCAAACGTTTCTTCATCTTGGTCAACACTTCTTCGTGCACAGGGTTGACCTTGTCCAGAATGTTGGTCAGACTGAGGTATTCCTTGCCGAGTCGGTTCAAAAAGTGTTGTGAAAAGATCCAGCAGACGTAGCCATAGACGGTTTCTTGGACAGAGAGTTTGTTGGTTTTGAAGAATTCTTGGAGAGGCGTGGTGGGCAAGCAGTACAAGAGTGAGGTTTCCTTCATGACTTGGTAGATGGAGTGCTCAATGGGAACGGCTCTGGCGTTGGGCAATGGGTTCAGGTACAAGCCCATGATGGTGACACCATTAGAGAATTGTTCTAATAATATTGACCGGTATATCAGTGATTCATTCCCATTGTAAGCTCACAATCCGCTTCACTTTCAAAAACTTACCGACATATTTGCGGGTAGAGTACAAATCATAGTAGTGGTACAAATCAGACATGGCAGAAAAGAAGCCTTGTGTGCTACCCTGTCGGTAGCCGATCACGAGACGACGCTCGCGTGTGCCCTTGACTTCGTACATTTCAATCACGGGGCCGGTGCGTTGCAGCACATTTCGCATGACATCCTCATAGATTGTGCGGGTGTAGTCGGTGGCCTTTTTCAAAAAGTTTTGGTCGGCAACCTGCTTGATGTCGGTTTCTTGTTCAGGCGTGGGGGATGGGTTGACAAATTGGCACTTTGTGACAAAATAGCAGCGGAGTTGAGGGGTCATAGCGTTGGAGACGGTGGGGGATGAACGATAGGATTCGACACGGTAAGCGGAGGATGCAGTGGATGGGTCCAGGTAATGCTCGTCAATTCTAGTGTATATCGTTATCAGCATACCAACCTTTGTCTAATAATAGAGCCACAACACACTCTGAAGGATGGTTTACCTCTTTTCACATTGCGGACCTTGCAATTGGGAAATACCAGGCTCAGACGAGTGGATATAGATGGAAGAGTCCTCGGATTCTTTCTCAAGGTTGATGGCCAGGGCATTCTCGTGCTTTGTAAAAGCAAGGATCTTGGCGCCATAGAGGGACATGATGTGATTGGCAATGGTCTCGACCGATTCCAGCGCAAAGTAAAAGTCATCAATACCAAGGTTTCTAATGATAAAGAGCGGAACAACGAATTAATCGATTTCAGTTTCCCTTATCAGTTTAAAAAAAAAGAGATAAGAAGCACCCACCCCCTTACTTTTGACACACTTACCCGTAGAACCACGATACTTCATTCTGGACCAAAGCCTGGGGCAAGAAGCCAGACTTTTCGAGATACTCGCAGACTTGGACCATCTGTTCTTCCTTGCCAGCAAACACGTTGGCGTTGTATCCACCATCGTCGACGGTAGTATGAGTCTTGTTCACACCATTGGTGGTGGTGTTGGGAGGTGCCAGGGTAGCTCCTGTCATTTGGTGGTTATAAAAAAGGTGAGAGAGAGTGTGTGTGGAAAAAAAGATATGCAGAGAAGAGAGGAAGCGGATAAAACGTAATGGGGTATTTATATGAAAAAGACCAACAACCGAGGTATGAGTCAGGAAACGTTCAGGGCACCCCCTCTTTTTCTTGAAATCGGGCAAGGTCCAGAATGAACCGCCAGCCCACCCCGTTTTCTGTGATGTGATTGGTCGAGGCGTGAGAACAATTACGTTAAGGTAAGAACCGTACATCATTTTAGCCCAATCCCCATTGAGCTATTTTTACCCCTTGTTCCCCTAAACACGTAGCTGTCTCTCTCCGCTCTCTCTCTCTTCTTTTTTTTTTTTTTTTTGGCACGGCTCACACAACAACAACGACCCCGCGGAACTGAAACAAACCAAAATCTTACAAATCTTGCAAAAAGTCAAAAAGGAGTTGGGTCGCAAGAAGCTTCTGTATGTATGTATAGCCATCAGCACAAGAGTTAATCGGCTGCCATGACAATAAACAAAGCGTTTTTAAGGTTTGTTATGGATCGTGTGTGGTGGTTGTCATGTGGTCCCGCCAGTCGCCATGGTAGCAACAAAGAATTGAATTCGAAAACGATCCGTCGTCCAGGCGCAAAGAAAGTGTGGGGCTCAAAAAAAAATGCAATGTACGATTGAGCTCTTTTTTTTTCTTACCCCGCTTCAAACTGACAACAACAGCAACAGCCCTTGAAATTTTCCCGCGGAACCGATTCCATGGCACCATCCCGCGGGGTGTGTACTAAATTCAGTCGCATTCATCTATCCTTTGCCTCTGAACGCTATTTCCCGCAAATGACGACATGGTCCATACCCTTTGGAGTAAAACAAGCTACTACTACACTGCACAAGTCGTTATGCGGAGGGAACACGACCTGGGCGCCCTATTCAGCATGTTGGCGTATACGCTACGGGTTGCTGTTGTTTCGGCTGGTGCTCTGCAAATGGAGTCAAAGTGTAAAAAACCCCGCAAAGAAGATGGGCTGGCTGGAAAAGGAAACTTTACTTGACTCACGCAGATCGTCGTGAAGCTCATTGGGAGAGTGCCCTGACGCTCTTACTAATAAGAGCACGCTCCTTTAGTAAGAACTTACTGACGCTTATTACTAAACAAATATATTATTTTTTCATATGAAACAACCGTCGTCATCATCATCAGCTTCTTTACATCCGTATTTAAACGTATCATTATCATCATATACATCAAACTTCTATCAAAGAAAGTGTCGCACTTTCTTTTTTTAGTTAATAAAAAGGAGAGGGCTCCGTAAGCGTGTCGCGTTTAAACTATTAGGCAAAACATCGACAATCCTGTGGCGTAAATGAATCGGCCGCTGCGTAGTTGATAATCATTCATGCACATCTCAATCGTCATGCTGTTGTACCTCATCTGTGTTTTCGACGGTGACAGTCATCATTCACTTCATATCGTGTTTCTTACGATGAATTGGATTCAGTATTAATGACTTATATTGTGCTGCGTTATCATAAAGGCATCAATTGTAAGCACTTGTTGATCACACTTTGCTGCGTATTATAGATTTGATCAGGCAAATAAAATGCATTTCACAAAAAAGAGAAGAAGAGTATTTGCCACCGTATCCGGAATATCATTGTATCATCAGGGGTGAGCAAGTAAAAGAAAGAATGACCATGAGCTGCATTATTCAGCAATGCGCATGATATCTTTGGTCATCATGTCAAAGAGAAACGTAGATAACGGTCAAGTAGACCCTCCTTTACCCTGAATTTACATAAGCATCGATCGGAGAAGAGATTTTTTTTGACATGTAGCATCACCATCATACGTGGGAGTCTCTTGACTATGAAACAACTGCATGATAATACTTACCATCAATCTTCTAGTAATAGCCTAATGTTTCATGCTAACTACAGATCTTATGAAGGCAGTGTTGCTGATGATGGCCCAGGTTTAAAACAATAGTCCAACACAGCAAGGCGGCGGTTCCCCGTCATCATCTCTTGGGACTGGGTCTGTGTTCTTACCCAACAAGACGCAACCCCACAAAACAAGCGGAGTAATATAAAACTAAATAACAAGGTCGGGAACAGGGCACGGGACAATCTGAACCGGGCATGACATATATCTTGATTTCAAAAGGGCGTCCATGTTGGCAACACTTGTTGGTCACACCTCTTTCGGAAGGAGGTGATTGGATAGTCTCGTCGTTCAAAAGGTCTAACTTAAAAATAGATAGTGTGGCTACATAGTACTCGTAACCTCGCTAACAAAATGATGATGGTAATCGAACGCTTGTTCTTTCCCAACCCGACAACGTAATGGCTTGCTATGATCTCATGCCACTAATAATGGAACGGTGCATTGAAATGGAGGAATGCTTGTGGAGGATGATGAAAAACAAGGTTTGCTGTGGGGCCGAGCGCGCGCGGCGGGCGAATAATAACCGTGGGAAAAGTTTCCATAAAACGCAAGAATTTAAGGTTCGTTATTGCTCCTAAGAAATTCACGGAGGGAGCTGCTGCTGCTGTCAAAAAGAAATTTTTAAAGGGTCGGCCGCTGCTGGTAGTGGGCGTTACAAATCTTATTTTTGATGTACCTTTTATGTTTGTTTATTTCAATTCTTATTACACTAGTTGTATGTTTTTTTCAACGGTAGTTCAATCACGGTTTGTCATATTCATCACGAAATACAATATTGGAATGTTTGTTTTGATATGAAAGGGCAGAAGCAGAGTGTATCAACATTGAAGACTTGGAAAATCTGAGCAATATACGCCTTCAGGGACGGGCGAGGGAGCGAGAACGCAAACGTAACAAGAGGGCTGAAAGCATTTTGTATGGGAAGATCGTTTCTTTGTTTTTGGAAAAATAAAACTCGAAGAAAACATGTTCTTATAAAAATTGTTTTATTAATGTTCTACGTTATACCAGCTTGTGCGGTCTCCCCATCTTCTCAATTTTTTTTTTCACTGGTGCTGTTACCAAAGCCGAAGTTGAAAGGCGGCATCATCTCCTATAGAGAGATTGATTGCTCATTTTCTATTACATGCACTTCCCCCTTTGTCACGCATATACTATGAAGGGTTTGCAATAATTGCTTCATAAGCCATATTGGCCATTGTTGTAATATTGTATATCTACCTCGTCATCGTTGATTTTGAGATTCTTTTAGCGAGGTGTGCACCACTCATGTTAGAAGTTTGAAGGTCATTCTATATAGATGCGTGTGGTAACGTCTTATCTTCGAGAAAACCAACCAAAGTATCTTCCGATCTAGCTTGGATCTTTAAGACATGTGAGGGTGTTTCACCAACATAATTTCAATAAACAGCAGGATATACTTGCAATACGGTTTGTTCCAATCCTTAGTACCACCGTAAGCGTGTACCTGATACCATCTTGATGGATGGTTATCTAATATCTGATTTTCACTGGATGGAAACATATCCTGGCGACGTAGTGACATGGTCACTTTGAAGAATGTCGGAATATCTATACACTGGTATGTACCCCCAGATTTTGCCTATAAAATTAGGGATCATCCTCATTTTTGCCGCCAGTGGTTAATAAGCCTATCTGCCAGCCGAGACACTTGGTACAGAAAGAATTTGATGTTTTAAACCTCGTAGAGGAAAACGGATCAAAGTAGAACTAGTTGGCAATCTTTACATGCTGTAAAGGCTTTCTCCTTCTATTTCCGTAATAGAAGGCTACATTATATTAATAGTTTTCTTCTGTGCCTGGCAAATACTGTTACAACGAACTAACATGAAGTACGATTTACATTTTTCATACGGAACTTTTTCTTCTGTATTGTCCGGTATTAGAGACGCATAAAATCCTACAATCTACTACAGTAGCAAGATCATAAAAGTACTTCAAATTGTATAACTACAGTACTATGATACCAGCGCTTAATTCTTACTACTTTGCCAGCCCTATAATAGTGAGTAAAGCACCTTAAAACGAGTGTTGCTTTACAGACAAGATTGGTGATATTTCATTTCATTAGAAACATCATTTAGTTTTAGCCAGTAGTTAATTCAAGGCTTGTTTAAATGTAAGTTAATTGCCTGTCAGGTGTTGCTATAAGTTGCTGTGGAGCACTACGAGCATTGAGATTAGCTCTACTACAATGCGTTAGGTTCATTAGCGCCAGCTGTTACACACCGAGTACGTATACCTACGTATAAGAAGAGCAGTATTATACGCTTTTGTCCTTGTTTATCACTTTCAACATTACCGTTATGATACGTAAATCTATGCATGTCTCACATTTTGTTTTAGAAAAAAGGAAAAACAGAATGCTTTCCCACATTTTACTACTAGTTTCTAATATTAGCGTACAATTTTTTCAGAGTGTATCTAAAAGCAAGCCGATAAACATAAACCGATCACCACAGCGAAAGAGATTTTAAATTATCGCCATGCTCTCCCGCCCAGAAGATTCTCCCAGCCACTACTGAAATCAGCATTTAGTCCTTCATGGCTCGTTTGCCCTGTAGGTACGGAGATGATCCAGGGTTCCTCGGTGAAAGAAGGATACTGCGCGTTGTCATATTCTTATGGTCAATAAAAAATAGATGTAGACAAAACTGGAAAGGCATCATCTTTCGATTCTAAACAGTACGGAAACAGCTGCGGGGCCGGAAATGCATCCGCCGCAACGTTCGAGTACGTCGAGTTCGAAAGCATTGTTAAACAAGTATGCAAAAGATTCTAATGTCTAATACATTTGGTATGACTAAATGTGCATTAAACAAGATGATTTTAAGGAAAAACACGGTAAACTACACCACACATGCATAAAATATACAGCAATGTATACTGCACCGTGGTTCTAACTGCAGAATTTCATACCTATGACAGCGGATTACTCTTACTCTTACAGTACCTGGAGCTTCATAACGAGATTGTTGGTTTACCAAGCTTACAGAATCAGAGTGGACGTAGCGCCTTATGGACCTTAGAAGAGGTACTCCTGTCTCGGAAATTGCTACTTGTTGGTCGCAATTCACATACTACTTGATGGTATAAACAACGTCATTACCTCGCGTATCAGTGACTTATTTGCCCACAACCGGCAACAAAAGTGTGTTATTTCTCACGCTTTTAAAGAAGCACATATGCGCACGAGCAGTGAAGAGCACAACTCGTATTAGAATTTGTGAAGTTAGGTTTACATACAGAACGGTTTATCATTTAAATCGTCGCTACATCAAATGTATACAGTCAACTACACAGTGAACTGTATCGATACTACAGTTTATGATTCACGAGCCAACTCACTCGGAATCGGATTGTGTGCTTCTGCTCTTCCTTCAAGTGTCATTAGAATAAAACAGCAGCAGCTGTCGATTCCTACTTGACAATTTACTCTAATTTGTTTGTTTCGTCAGCATTATCCGGCAATATGTTTCTGCGATCTGAACAGCAACTTGAAATCATGTTGTGCTGTTCAAGAGCGTATAAAAAAGTCCAAGCACTTGGGATGGGAATCAAAAGTCCCGTCATGTACTTTGCTATAAACGTAGGAAAAAAAACTTCCCTTAAGCCTTTTCCTTCTCTAAAGATTGGACGGACACGCTGGTTGATTGAAATCAAGTGACGTTTCAGTTTCAGTGCATTAACTCAGCAACAGGTGACTTTGCATGAATTTTTGCTTTGAAATGGGATGATAATGGGGTGACAGCAACAGCAATCTTTTCTCTTCCTTTTTATCCCACATTGTTTCACCTACTTTATATTTTTTGGGCTTTTACCACCGATACTACGAAGTAACAGAAAATGCAACCCGCAGAACCTATGGGAGTACCGTTAAATAAGAACCAAAACAACAATCAAGAAATACCTGAACATATACCGGCGCAGATGGCACTTGCGCCAGAGCAACGGCCATATGAACAAACACATACAATCAGACGGCAAGACTTTGAAGACGACGGCACGCACCGCAACAGTCTGGCCAAACACAGTCTGTCCCCCGAGCAGTTAGGCGTTGTCGGTTATGTGAAGGATGTTGCGGGGTTTGTCAAGGACGCAGTTCAAGAACGACGAGTCAACAAAAAGGCAAACAAAGCATCAGCTTCATTGTCATCTTCACCACCGCCGTCCGAGGAACGTCGTGGAAGGGTAAATGGTAGCAGAAGCAATAGCAGCAATCAAGCTCCCGCTAGTCCAGCTATATCTTCGTCACCGGAGGGCCGGGAGTCGACCCCGTTGGCGGAAGCTGTCACAAGCCTGTTTCCTGGCCTTGACCCAAGCGCTGCTGGATGTAGCCACGCAGATGAATTGCGACATGATCTTATGCGAACCCATAGCAGAGACTCAAATGATTCATCCAAACTTTTAAACGAATAAAAAACACAAAAAGATTGTGAACAGGAGTATAAGCTTGTGTTGTCTTTATTGCTTTCGGCGTCGAGAAATTTCAGTTGCGTATTGACAGATCAGCTCATACTGTTGTCATGGATACTATTTTTAGTAAAGCCCCATTTACATCATTGGTTGTCTTTTAAAAATATAATTACTCACCAAGCTATCGTTCCGACGAGCACAAAGCTTGGAATTATGAAAGTTATTAGAACAATGGTATGGATTTCGTCTTTGATAATGATATTAATAACAGTAAGACTATTGGTAGTACCTTCACATCTTCCATGGAAATCGTACTTCGCTTTCCATGCCTAAATAAAAAATAAATTCATCAGTAAGCAGTGTGCGGGGATTGAGTATATGTCTTGATACATAAATGCGTCATGCGCACACGCGTTGCAGAATTTACCTTGCAAATGCCTCTAGATCTTTGGCCATGGTACCTAAGAAGTCAAAGTCAGTTTCCTATTGTATTACCTGTCAACCGTGTACTAACAGCAACTTTCTTAGTATAATTACATACCAGTTTGCTCGTAGACGACGTCTGCTAGCGATGTGACAAACTCTGATGATACTGTCTTGCCTATTTTTTGAGCTATATAATCCATACATATTCATGGCCAGGCGGTGAGATATGTGTATACGGGAAATGAGCTCTTTCTTTCTAATAAACCTTCTTGTTGAACAATCTGATCTACTGTCTGCCAGATTGCAAATTTTAAGGCCTATGTAATTTTCACGCTAAGGTTAGCTAATACAGTCCATTCGCCAAAGATCTTTCTTCTCTTTTCGTACCTGTTGATCTTCATCTTCCATTGTGGGAGCAAAGAATTACTTAAAAGTGAGAAACACACTCTAAAGAGACTGCGGGCTCTAATTAATTATTATGCCAATATTTTTTTTAAAAAAGGTGACTCCTCCGCCTCCACCTTTTCTTTATATCAGCACTATACGCAAATGAACGAACAATTACGAGCACTCGACGACGCCACGCTACCCGACAACAACCCTGAACTGGACGCGATCCGCGCGTGTCTTGAGCAACCTCTTGAATGGGCGCAACCGGTGAAACCGGTAGCGTGGAAGCACCATGTTCGAACCATTGCACAAACCGTTATACCCAACTGGGCCTATGCCCTGAATAGCAAAAGCAATAACAACAATTTAGCACTTAGAAGAACCATACTACGCGAACCTAAAGTGAGCTTGCCGATTCTACTCGACAGCCTGCGACATTCCAGCGTCATGGCGTTGGACTTATACATTGATCTACTGAAATACCTTACGGACGATCCAATGGTGTACGGGGACGATCGGTTTTTCAGCAACTTGCTATGCTCTGTGCCCACACGGATAGCCAATGCTCTCGGACTTGGCGGCAGCGATAGCTGGTACTTCGACAAGAACTATTATGCACGACTTGCTCGACATGTTGCCCGTAACAACGATACGGCAATGCATCAACGGCAAAAATATCAAACTTATGCGGGCGAAATTTTAGGCAAGATCATTCGCCTCGGACACGCAGATGTCTGTATTGCCGCCGTATACCCAATTGCGTTGGAACAGGAAGGCAAAGGATGGCCACATATTTGGGCTTTGGCTGAAAGTCACTCGTCTGGTACGGGTAAAATAACAGAAACAGTACTACGTCTTGTACAACAAAAGCAGCAGCAAGATGGGGCCAGCCTACAAAAAGCTGCTTCCCAGCTAGCGACAATCCTCTTCGCCACTGACGGAAAATCGGATCGAGTGGATAAGTTTTTGTCGCATGCTTACATACGGATAGCCAACGCATCGTGGACGGATGCCACAACACTTAAAATCGCCATGACAACAGCCATCTATGCTGTAGAAAGAAGTTCACAGGGGTAATAACTGTTTTGATTAATGAATTCTATTGCAAACACGTTTACAAGGTGTTGGTAGTGTTAGAGGGAGGGGCACACCCATGGCGATTCAACTCGGCATCTTTATTGACTTATTACGCGCAGGTTAGATGAAACGAACCTTTCTCCTGGAAGCTTCAGCACGGTCGATAGCTTAGTACGTCGACTTATTGATAAATGGACTGATCCGGTATTTTTGAAACATGGCAGCTACAAAGAGCAAGAGTGTAAGCAAGAAAAATAAGCACACACACACACACACACACACACACAAGCCAAAGAAAAACAACTAACGCAATCATCGTAACCCTCTTACTCTACATAAAATCGAATGTAACGTTATCCATTTAGATACCACCGCTGGATTGGTGTATGCTTTGGGGCATTTATCAAAAAATCAAATTGAAACTATTATGTACGAAACAGCTTTAAGAGGTGTTATTGATCGATGGTTTGAAAGTAGTGATCCGATCAAAATGAAGCTTGCTGTGGTAAGTCACGAAGACGAAAAAAGGAGCCTGGGAACGATGTTTCTTTCTCGCTCTCTCGCTCTCTCGCGATTTTTCGATCAAATGTAGGAGAAATGTGTGATGGCCCTTTCTTATTCAATCAATTTTTTTTCCTAAACTAACAGGTTCTCGCCGAATCGCTCTCAGAACTAACTGAGGAAATCACATCTCGGTTAAACTTTGGGATATTGGACGAGCATGATGACACAAAGTATCTGGATATGAAAATGCTGGCACGGAAACGAGATGCACTAAACAAAGGTAGGTAACATAGTGAGGATGGGTTCCCGGAAAGTTCACTGATCGATCGCCCTCCCCCAACGGCTTTCCCCCAAATAGAGAGCGGTGACGGAATGACATGTGACGACGGCAATGGGCCTATCTTAGAAGAGTACGACTCTCCATCGTCTAGCGACCACGAGCAAGAGGATGAAGAGTTCGATCCGGATGCTATCATGACGGGGGATCAAGAAGGTCAGTTTAAGTGATGATTTGTTTGGAAAGGGGCAGAAGATAAAAAACCTCGTCTCTTAATATATAAAACAGATAGTGAAGATGATAATGATAGGGAGTCAGATTTGGAACCATATCCCATGGAAGAAGAATCAGATGATGATGAGGCGTTGCAAGGCAGTAGCGTTGCAGCAGCCAGGAAAAAGCGTGTGAAGGCACCAGTGTATGTTATGTTTGGTATTTCTGATCGTATTGTTATTGTCTTATGAAAAAACATGTGCCTTTTTACTGAAAATCACACAATCATATACTTTTGTACATTAGTTATATATTGGACCTTATAGCTTACTTAAAGGATGACGAGGACTCCGTCAAGCTGGATGTTGGTTTAAGCACGGCAGAAAGACTGGTACGAGACAAGACGGATGCTGGATCGGAGCTGAGTAAGTGCAACAACACTATCTAACGCCAAAGGCATACTGGGAGGGAAACGGGAAGATACGGCGCTTTATTGAACTCACCTATACTTTATATTTATAAACGCACAATAAAAGCTGAATCGGCTGTCGAACTTGCTAAGAGACTAATTGGTTTTCCCAAAGCATATTATTTGGACAATACAACGGAGAGACAAAAGCATGCGTTGGCGGCCCTGGTGGCAGCTGCACCAAAAACAGTGGCAGGGTAAGTGTATAGCGAATCTTTCGTTAGAGGTAAATAAGGGAAAGAAGAGAAGAATTTTTGCAATTACCTGGTACTCACACGCATGCGTGTGCGTTTCAAGTTATATGATTGATCAGATTTTTGATCGAAACATATCTCTGGAGCAAAAGCAGACGATTCTAGCTTCCATAATTCTGGGAGTGCGTGAATTAGCGGGAACACGAACTGATCCAGTTGGACATGATGAGGTAGGATAAAATATGATGATACATATGATCTTATCGTATAGTTTGATTAACTATTAAAATGCAATATCACAACTACTTGATTTTGCTTTCTGTAGTTATCAGAGGAATTAGAGAAACGGTTAGCCATTCAAGAGGCTGGTGATGATGCAAAAGCAGCAGCGATCTCCACGGCCACAACAGTGATAGGCAAACCCCGCGTATTTTCTCGAAGAATGGATATAGAAAAAAATAAGCGAACCCAGCGTAACCGACTTAGCGGACTTGCTGGTCCGGTGTTTTTCTTCCCCTTGTTGGTAGGTTGGTGGGAAGGTGCCCGTGGAAAGGCAAAGTAAGTGTAGACTATAACGAGAAAAATGGACCCCCTGTTTTGATGGTTGCACGAGCATGTCTCAGTTTGGGTAACACAACGAGTTATCAGATCTTGGATGGGTCGCGATGCATTGCTTGCCGAACGCTTTGTCATGACCTTGCTTGTGATTATGCATGGCGCGAGTAAGTTTGGTCCCACTTTCCATTTTTGATCGACTCTGATTGTCACTGTGCTCGCTGACGCTATTACTCACGCGCAAAACAATCCTTCCTGTATTATTCTTGATACGCAATATTCTATTCTGCTTTATTTGCCCTAATCAGCCAATACACCCGACAGAGGACGCATTGTGACCGAATATTTTGAGTTTGCTTTGCCACTACGCTTTCTCAAGCTCCCAAGACCTGTAATCCGTGGTGCCCTGTTAGGCTTCGACATCATCGTTAACGTCAATTACGCACACCAAGGCACTCTGCTTTTGCAAGAATATCCGCAACAACTTGCCGAAACTAAACACTGGCTGGAAGGTCCGCTCGATCAGATAAGATGATGGTTGAACAAACAATGCCAAGTTGCAATCCAACGTATTCTTACCGCTTTCTGTTCTCTTCTATTTTATTGTTTCATTATCTAGAAATCATGGAGATGATGAATGCAGATGATCTGAATCGCATTGCATTACGAATATTGGCTCGCCTGATGGAGATATCAATGTCTGCATGAAAAAAGTAATTGATTGACAATCTCGGTAAGCTAGCATCTACGCACTGTATATAATTCCTTATTTCAATCCGTTATCATGATATTACCCACTGTTTCACAAAGCTAAGTAAAACAAAAGATTTAGTCCTGTGGATGATTCGAATCCCACAATAGGAACGCACTCCAGTTCCGTCGCTGCTGCCTATACGGTAGATGGATAAGATGGCGGAAAATGTTATATAACATGACCAAACCTTAAAGAATAATATGTCCATACAAAACGATAAAGAAATCCCAAAAGTGTTCAGATAATGATATTGAAAAGGTTCAATTAATTAGCCGGGCGATCAATCGTCTATCCTGCTTCTTTGCTTATTGTCGTCGTTGAAAACCAGCGGAGCACTAAAAAAAGTTTTATACAAGCGACACAAGTTCTATGGATAATCCACCATGACGGTAAGGAAGGTTCAATCTCTCGTTTACACAGGCCGATTGGCGAATTGGGCGGGATGGGGAAGGATGAAGCCCTCTCACTCTCTCTTCGTCGTTACAGTCGCATGGCCCTAATCTTGTTTTGAATTGGAGATCCGGCAAAGCATTTAAACCAAGGATGGGTGGTGTAACTTGACTACATATCCCATCATACAACACAGCCAAAGAATCTAAAGAAAAAAAAGCGCTGGTCAATGTGACACAAGTTCGTCATGTATTATTCAGGGCACGAACAACTTTCTGGTTTAAAGAGGCATCGTTCTCATCTCTCTTTCTCTTCCACTCTTTTTTCACTTCCCTATCCTCTCCATCTTATTGTGGCTTTCATTTGTATCTCTCTCGTGCCCTTTGGATACAGACACACGCCGGTTCAACCCCACCCATTCATCCATCCATCGACATATCACATTTCACCTACTATGGACGGCATCCTCTCATTGCACGACTTGATACATGCGACTGACAAGGCAGAGCATGTGCTCGAGGATCTGACTTTTGAGCAAATCACTTTGATCGAACAAACAATCCGAAGGATTAAAAAGAGAAAGCTCAGCTGCCAAAAGGAAGATGATGACGACTATGTACCCACACCAACAAGAAGAAGCTTGCCACGCACGGCTTCGACGCGTAACACTAACAGTCGACATGAGCCAACAGTGGAGATCCGCGACGGCATCGAGTGGGTTTCCTTTGTGTATTCTCACAACCGTGTACTCAAGCGCTACTCGATTCGAACGGATATTCAGACAGTCGCCTTGGATAGTTTGGATGAGCAATTCAAGTTAGATAACTGTGTACGTTATTATTTTTGTAGCTTATCAGATCAGAACATATAATCTCAGACCGTGCGGTGTATGCTCATATGGTTGATTTTATGATTAATTAGGTCTACCCCAGAGCACATTTGCCCAAAGAAACTTATCGTGGCAACCGATGGAACTATGAAACCGAGTGCAATCGGTTGGGGTGGAAGTTGGCATGGTTGAACAAGTCAGAAATTGCTGGTAAACGAGGACTCATTCAACGCGCTGTCGACTCATATCGCAATCGATCTCCTAGCATGCGATCGCGCCGCGTGGCACGTCAGGCAAAGTTACTCAACGGCACCCTCCGAAAGCGTAAACACCAACCTGCAGCGGCTTCGCCACCTTCCGCCACCTCCACCTGTATGGATGAAGAAATGGAAAACAGTATATCTGCTACCGAAAGGGAGCAATTGGAGCAGCAGTACGAGGAAGATCACATGGCGGTTACGTTTCCATCTACTCTAGCTGCTGCTACGGTAAAGTCAGCACATTCGCCAAAGACCCTGATAATGACAGACGACAATGAGGGGCGATATCGCATCAAAATTAACGTGGAGAACGTCGTACTCGAGGTGATTCCAGAAGAGTTCCGCAAAGTCAATTGTGTGTTCCCTCGGGCAATGACAACGGCCGAAGAACATTACAATGACAGACGACGATGGATTGAGGAGACCATGTGTAATGAATTAGGCTGGAAACTTGCATGGCTAAATCAACGCTATTTGGCCGGCAAAAAGAATCTGCTGCAACGCGCGATCGACATTTATCGCATCAAGTTTATGCCGGCGCTACAGCCGCGCAAGACCGCTGCTTCCGCTGCACCCCAGATGCCGCCAATTGTGGATACCAGCAGTCCTTCGTCACCTTCTAGTTGCTCATCGACGGCCGAATCCTCGCTGGACGAAGATCCAATGATGCTGCCAGCACAGTTCTTGTCGGCAGCAACGTCAGTACCCGCAGATTTTGCAACGTGCTTCGTCGACGACATGATGCTCAACATGGCAATAGAACCTTCGTTCGTGACACCACCACCATTTGCTCCCGCACAGATACCAATGGCAACAATAGAAGAGACTCCATTTGCGATGGATACAACATCATCTATCCCAACGCCCACCACAACTACCACAACCATATCCACCATGGAATCCGAGGATGACAAGTGGCTCAAGTTCGAACAGGAAGATTTCGGTGAATCTGCCTTTTTATCCTATGATGCTCTTTTCTAAAACCACATATCACACATTTCACTACTACACAAAAACTGCATTACTCACATAACTACATACGATCATATATTACTCTCATATATAGCCTTATATTTCCCCCACTCTTGTACATATAAACAAATCCCTCTTCTCAGTTGACTTTACCTCTCTCATCCATCCGTTCATCCATCCATTCATTCACTCATTGCTTGCTACATATTTCACTTGTAATATTCTTTGTTTCCCAACGTGCTCTAAGCACCTCTCCCTGATCTCTTTTTCTATTAATTTTCCGTACGTTGTTTTTTATTTACCTTATCTTAATTAGTAAAAAAGTTCCACTGTCAAGTATATTTGTGTTTTTCAGAATAAACTCATAATGGTCATTTGTTATTTTCATATACAGACAATAAGAATAAATGTTTGGGGGGGGGGTTGAGAAAGAAACAAGGAAGAGGGAAATAGGGTGGTGCGTGGGTATCAAGTTAAGTGGGAGGGTAACATATATTCACTAACTAAACAGAAAATAACTAGGTAAACGGATCAGATGAAGAGCGTGTCAGCCAATTTGTTCTGCAGATAGTAACACATCGTCCGGTGTCAAGGGAAAAATCATCTGCTGTTTTCACAAGCTGCGTTGCGTCTGTAAAGTCATAAGCAACACCAAGACATATTTCATTGATGTGCGGGAGGTTCTGCAAAAGATGCAGAACCACAGCCGGAGATATGTCTGGCTCCAGCCCACTGATATTGAGTGTTTCCAGTTGTGACATACTAACATCAACACCACCATCTATCCATGGACTAAATGCGTTATCGGTCAATAATCGGCATCCGGAAACGTCGACTTGTTTCAAATTCAGGCAATATCGAGTAAAAAGCTAGATACCAAAATAGTGATGCCACCCTTTTAGTCAATAGCAAGAGTGAAGAAAGCGAAGATTTTTAGAGCGCTTCGAATTTACCTGCACAACTTCGTCCGTCACCGAGAATTGATGCGCCAGTGACAATGTCTCGAGCGATTGACAGCGGATAGCAAGATGGATAAATCCTTGCTGGTCCACCAAGTTACACTCGCTCATGTCCAAATGAACAAGCGTATCTGCCGTAGCGCACGCCAGATTATACATGGGCTCGGCATTCAGAGTAGTTATATCGCGCATGCGTATTCGAGTGAGTCGAGTCTTTTTCTGACGTACTAGATGAGCTGCAAACTGGTTGAGCCGTGAGCCATCAAGGGCCTCGGAGCAGTGCTCCAGACCCAAATCTTGCAGTTTGTCGCATTGCTGAATGGCTGAAAGGATATTGTTATTGATGTCGGTCAAGCGGATACATTCAAGGCTATTGCTATGGCGGAGGATGACGGCGGAGAGAGCGTCCTGGTCGATCTTACCGCAGCCATAGAGGATCAGGGTCTCTAATGCAGGCGGAATGTGAAGCAGAGGACGAATGGCTTCGGTTGATAAGCAATAGCAATGCGAGAGATTAACATGACGCAGCCGCGAAGAGCTCTGCATGATCTGCTGGACAGCGTGGTCTTGCGCAGCCGCATAAGAAAAGTCGAGGCGAACCAGGTTCGGAAATTGGAACACATCAAAGAACTGCCGCTCAAAGTGCATCGTTCCTTTATCGTGGGGGTACCACCGAAAATGCTGGACTAGTTCTCGATAATCAAAGAACGGGATGCGCTGTTTAGAGCCGTGACGCCCTTCAAGCGCCTGTCGAACTCGTCGAAGGGTAACGTGTGTCCTCGGATTTAGCATGCGCCAAATTCGTGCACATGCCGTCGAGAAAAAGAGCTGGCATGTGAATGCAACGTTCAAAAGATCGTCAGGATCAACAAGATCAATGACCATTTTCGCAAGCTCTGGCATGTCGAGCGGGCTTGTCGACGAGTGGACACTCATTTAGCCATGTACTGACTTGTGTGCGAAAAGAGAGAAATACGACTGTAGCTTAAGATTGAGAGAGTGAGGGAAGAAGGAAAGGAGTAAGAAAGGAGACTGTGGAAAAGGTACACAGAGTAAAGATACATGTAATTCACTGGCAAGCCAGCAGAATTCTATTGGCGACCCCGAGATCCAAAATAACACCCGGCGGCGGTGAAGACTAAAATGCAGATATGCAACAGGCAAAGAAATCTATAAGAACTAATAGGAAGGAAAAGAGTGGAAAAAAAAAGTAAATAGCTATGTGCTTCTAATCTTCTGAAGGACTCATCCTCTGAAGGAAACAATGCCAAACACAATAGAAGTCAGCTAACAGCCAGTTTTATTTTTATTTTATGATACAGATGGGTAGCGTCACCGATTTCGTCGACGACGGGAGTACAAAAACCAAGGTGAGCTATATACCATTTTTGAATTTTTTCATATCTTTTCCTGTAACGAGTCCAGCAAACTTACACGTTCTTACCTGGCAGCATCAATTTACAAGACCACGACAACAGCCCGGGGGGGGGGGGTCAACAGCAATGGTCGTTCACAAGCAAGAGAAATTGACAACCAGCAAGAGCTGCCTTGTTTAACGGAGCATTCGACTGCTACTGATTTTCTGCTTTGCTCCTGGGCAGCATTCGGTGAATACTTGGAAACCAATACTGCAACAACTATCAATGACCTCACAGAATAGGGAAAAAAAGACATCGCCATGATACGTTCTATATTGAACGATTATTATGCTAATTGTCTTAAGCTGGTTTTCACAACAAGAACCAATGAGCGAACGCCATTCGCGGAGCATGTGCTCCCGATATTCAAGTACTTCGGCGCATGGACAAACCTCGTTGGGTTTTTATGGTAAGCAATATCATTTGGTATGGGTTAAAGTATGTGAAAACTGATTGTTCCAACGGTACTTTTGGGCTCCACGAATAGGTGTTAGATCGGCTCCAGCTCTCAAGAAAAACGTGATCATCTGCTTGTCCGTCCGATGGGCAAAAAAGTTGATGGAAGGAATCGCTTATGACTCGGCGAAATTAGAACGATTACTGGTAGAGTGCTCAGGGTATGTATTACAAACATTTCAGGTCTTAAAAAGCTGATTTGCAAGATAGAGACATAGTGAAATTCTGTCTTCTTAGGAATTGCTTGAGGAGCAAGATGAGCTCACTCAATTACGGATCAAGGAGCACGGCGGTGATGTGCTTGTCAAGGAAGACGACACGATATATGCCAACTTGAAACGCGTCACAAACAGCACTTTTTAATTTTACCAACAACATTATCATTCCTTCTTATATATCGTCTCTGGTGCATTACTTTTGTATACGCTTTGTTGATTGTAAATATGATTTAGTGTAGTTATAACGAAATTCTTTGCCATTATTAAATATTGTGGACATCTTAGTCATCGATGCGAAGTCGGGCACAAAGGGACAAAATTGCTGGGGCACTGTATATCATGTCTACCAAGAAGGTTGGCGGGGTATCTGTCCACGGTAGCCCGTCGATCCTCATCAACAAGACGGGCACCTAAAGCACTCTGAACAACGTAGGCACCTGCTCATGTGGACTTGTTCAATTGTTCTAGATTTATTGTAGAGCAATACTGTCTGTATTGACCAGAAGAGGCTCTACTGTCAACCATCACACATAGTGCACTCAGTCGTCCAAACTTACTTCGCTCCTCCCCATACAGTATTGTATTTACTCTTTCATTTATAAGCACCGCAAGGAAGCAACAAGGATGTAATGAAAAGCGCACCGTCATTATTCTTCTAATAAATTACATGAGTTTTAAACTACAGCAGTACCATATAAAAGCGTATGCACATTATATAATTTAATGTTTTTAGCGGTAGAAATACATATATCAGCTACCATATAATCTAGCACTTTCACGGTGGTAAGCTGTTATTTTCTCTCTTTAATACTCATGTACATAACCACTAAAATAGTATCAGTAGCACTATTATGTCAAATATCATGTAATGAGTACCGCTATCATATCATAAAATTTCCAAGTATCATAGTCGATGGTGCAAAAAAAAAGAATAAAGGACGGTACTCGTATGTCATCGTATGGTGCCATGCCTGACAACTAACGGATCTGAGGATACCCGGTGATTTTGTCTTTCAGGATGAACAAACGGTTATTTCAGGCATTCGCTATGCCATAGATGCGTGATTCAACAAGGATGTTGATCCGCGAGACTCGGTAACATCTTCACATATGTACTGAGGCTCAAGAAATGATGGTCGTATTTGCAGACAAGTAAAAGATCATGCCAATCATATTTAAGTTTTCCAAAATTTATCAAAGATGTCAATATTATAATGACGATGGTAGATAGAGTAGTAATGCTTTCAATTTAAATAACATGGGAGATAGCTAGTATTTTATTATACAGTAAAGGATGACAGTCGCACTATGTATGGTCTAAACAAAAGAACGGTCCGAGTTCTGAATTGGCATATATCGTGTCGTCTTTATTGACAAGTACATCACCGCCGTGCTCCTTGATCAGTAATTGAGTGAGCTCATCTTGCTCCTCAAGCAATTCCTAAGAAGACAGAATTTCAGTCTATCACATTCATTAACTTACTTCTGAAATAGCAGACGCATTTTTCACCTTCAATTTGAAAAGAAGTTCAAACACACGCTTCCATGTGTAACGACTTTGGTAGTCGCGCGGGACATCAGCGGATCGTAATTTAAATGAAAGACCATTTGCCTGAAGGCAGTAGGCTGGTTGACAGTAACGTGATTTTATCACCGACGCATTGTACAGAGAGTACGCGTCTTTTGTTGAATGTGTTCCATGATGCTGACTGCCGCTTCTTCATCTCGACATTCAAGCAATGATGGGAGCATTCCATTAGCTTTAATGTATCTTCTTCGGTGTGAGTACCATCGATCTCCCTAATATCATACATGACACATATATCAGCATGTAAATAAACCTGCGTTTTTTCACTATGCCTCAATCTTTCAAATTAGCTTATTAGCGAACTTAAATGTTTGTACTACATACCCTGAGCACTCTACAAGAATTCTTTCTAGTTTAGCAGAATTGAACCCAATTCCATCCATAACATTTTTTTGTGAATTGGATCCAATTTCACACCTATTCATGGAATCCAGAAATACTGTTAGAACAATCAGCTTTTACTTCAACCCATACCAAAAGGTATTGCTTACCATAAAAACCCAACGAGGTTTGTCCATGCACCGAAGTACTTGAATATCGGGAGCACATGCTCCACGAAAGGCATTCGCTCATTGGTTCTTGTTATGAAAACCAGCTTAAGACAATTAGCATAATAATCGTTCAATATAGAACGTATCATGGCGATGTCTTTTTTTCCCTGTTCTGTGAGGTCATTGATAGTTGTTGCAGTATTGGTTTCCAAGTATTCACCGAATGCTGCCCAGGAGCAGTTGAGCGCATTTGTTAGATACTCTTTTGCGGCGGAATGCTTTGTTAGATATTTTAATTCTTGCTGGCTGTCAATGTTTTCTTAGAATTCTTTTTCTACAAGAGCTGGAACCAGCACAGATGGATCATCACTTCTTAGGGCGATGATAAAGTGCCCGTCAATTTTTGAGCGGTGGCGATATACTAAGAGTTTTAGTTTTTTTTTATTTTTATGGATAGTAAGAATATTATAGGTAACAAAGATTTTATAGTTTGTAAGATTATTTTCTAAAATTAAAACTATTTTATTTTATCATAAAAACAAATTGAATTTTTTTTAATATAAAAATAATAACAATGGATATTAATAAATTGATTACCGCTGAAGTAAATTCTATACTTGTAATGCATTGGGCTTTTTTAAATTATAATTGGCCCATCATTAATAATAAGTATAAACATAGAACAGAAATAAAATATATCAAGTACATTGATATTATTAAAAAAAATTACTAGAAAAATTAGGATATATTGCAGTCTTTTTCTTTTTGGTTGTATTATATACTAATAAAGAATATCCTGCTCCTTATTTTGAAGTAGAAAAAGGTTTATTTTTATTATACTATTTAGTATCTAGTATTTCAGGAAAAGATGATATTGATAAATTTATTCCTCAAAGTTCCTTTTTTAATTTTTATAAAAAAGTTTGGATAGATGAAGAAAATTATAAAAGAATAAATAAAATAGTAAATGATGCATTGGATAACATGTTTTCAAATATAAAATTAAGAATTTTATCCACCCATAAATATAATCCAGAATTGTTTAAACACATAACATTGATTATCGACAGTCATGATCCTAGAATAAATTATAGCGACACAGAAATTAAACGTAGCAGATTATATAGTTATAAATTTAAGAAAAATGGATTAAGAACTCAATTTGTTAGTGATATAAATGATATGATTATTTATACTTCTAAAAGTGATTATTGTTCAGATAGCTCTGATAGTAGTATGTTCTTGAATATGAAATTATATAGAAAACTTAATAATAAAGATACTATTGCAGTTGATGGTGGTTACACTTTATTTTTAAAATATTTTGTAGATTTATCAGTAACTAAAGGTTATAATTTTACTGATGATAATTTTGTGAATCCTATTAGAAAAAATCCTGGTGAAAACTTATCAATTACAGAAGACTATTTTAACAAAACATTTGGAAGTTTCAGAAGTAAAATTGAAAACCAATTTTCAGCAATAGGTAATAAATTTCATAGATTTAATAATAACAAATCAGTTGTGAAAATGGATAATGTAAAGTTTTATAATTTACAATTTAAGGTTGCTTGTTTATTAAAAAATATACATAAATTTTGTGAGTTATATAATGTACCAACTATGCCACATCATAAGTTATGGGAAACTGAGAACTTTGATTTTCCTATTGAAAGAAAATTAATAGATATTGTTGTTAGTAATGAAAAGTAAAATATAAATAAATTAAATAAAATGCTTGAATTACAAAGTAGTTTCTTAACTATGGATATATCGGATACTCCTATAATAGATAATGATTATTCAGGTGATGAAATTAATAGTGATGCTAGTAATTCGAGTGATGATTATAAAAAAAGTAAAGAATTATCAAAGAAAAGAAAAATTAAAGGTAAAGGAAAACAAAGAGGATACAAATCTTATGAAATTGAAGCAATTGTTACTCATAAAATAGAAAATGAAGTATATCACTTTTTAGTTAAATGGAAAGATTATTCAGAAAGTGAAAATACTTGGTTAACTATTGATAACTTTAATGAAAAGGCAATGCTAAAAGAATACATTGAAAATAATAATCTTAGTTTACTTCAAATTAATTTCTCTAATATAACTTTATTACCATCTTTAAAGATACTATACTCTACCTTATATATTTAAAGAGGATAAACTCCTTTATTTTTTTAGTTTTATAATGAATAAAGTCAGCTGCTATTATTATTGCATTATCTTGTTTATAATATCTACAAATTTAATTATTCCACCATTGCAAACATAAATTTTTTTCATTTTTCTTTTTTCAACTTTTTTTATATCTTTTTTATGCCCATATTTGCTTATAATAACACAGGGTAATTCTGGTTTTTTAATTTTTTTTGATCTTTTTTATTTCTTTTTTTTATTATATGCTTTTTACTATATTTACAGCAAAGATAATCAGGCTTTTGAACCTTCTAAATTAGTATTGATTTTTTTGTGACACATATATCCTTTTTTCTTTCCACGTTTATGTACATATGTACATATATTATTACTACTATTCAAATACCAAAAGTGATTACTTTCAACATCTTGCATTTTTTCTTTTATTTTTTTTCCATCATTTTTTTTTAATTTTCTTTAGTTAGGTTATCTGTACCTATAAGTATCTCAGAATTTAATAAGACCATTTTAGTTTTTACTTATAGATTGGATAGTTATTATTTTTATATTAAGAAAAATTTAATTTTTTTTATATGTAAAAATTAATTATATGCACGATTTGAAACTCCGAAATACTTAAAACTTTATAAATTTTAAAAAAAATTATAGGTTATAAAAATTTTATTGCTACGGATATACCTGCTATCTCATTTTTTTCATTATCACTATTAAATATTGAGCAGTCACTATTGTTGACTCTCGGGCTGCTGTTGTGATCTTGTAGATTCATGCTTCCAGGTAAGAACGTGTAGGAGTGTTTTCCTCGCTTAACATTGGCCAACTCAATCTGTTCATCTACTATATGTATATAAATTTAAATGTAATCATAAGTTTTGAATTTCTGATTTTATCGATTCAATTATGTACTCACCACTTACTTCGATATCCAATCTTCGTTTATCCTAAACATATTGTCTGTGGTATTTGTGAATAGCCAATGCCTTTACTTACTCCCAGAGCAAACACGTTTTTGGTGATATTCGAGCAAGAGTTATATGTGTCATTGTTATCGCCTGTAACATTTATTACGGTGGACGGACCTGCTGAGGAAGGTGATGCCGCTCTTGACTTTCCAACATACTTCTCAAAAAACTATAGAGATAAAGGAATCGCGTTAGGTATTGTTTTTGTCTAGAGCAATTCTTTATATATAGTGGTTCATGCAGACCTTGAGATCCTCCAAGATTTCGCGTATCTTGCCCTTCGCTCCTCTTTTCGACTTCAAATCGTCATCATTCAAATCCTTTTTTATCACACCACAAATGTCAACGCTGCCACCGAGGTCTTGTTCATATACGGAATATGCTTTACGAAACAACCAGTCTTTGACTGGTATTCGGGCAAAATAGTGTTTGTAGTTTTGGCTGTTGGTGTCCATGATAACAAGTGTGAAGGTGAAGAAGGTGACTGTTTTGACCAGCTGACTGTTTTGACAATTTGCTTATTCTCTAGATCCTTTAGCAAACCTAAATTATCTTCAACACCACGCTTACAATCGATCGAGCTGCTATGGTCAACCAGTGCACAGTTTGCCCTGTGGCTATCCTTGCTGAACTGACGTGGAATTCGTTTATGTCGCTTGCACTCACCCGTCATTATATGGCACGTGTGTGATTGTAGTAGTTCTCTACTTCCATGCTTCATTGACCCGGTTCACGTCACTTGGCTTGCTGGCGACCTCCTGCAGGCCATCGTTGGGTTTGGTATAAACATGCTTACTCTGCATTGGATCTCGCCTGGTCAATGTTTACAAGGTAGTGTATAACATTCTGTTTTACTCTGCTATCGGTCAATGAGAATCTATTTCATATCAATGACGCATTTTCGTATCCATATATTAGACTCGGTTCCCGTTCAACACAATGCTTACAAATCGATCGGGCCGCTATGGTCAACCAGTCCATGATTTGCTCCTCGGTAAGGTATAATTAACTTTAGATATTTCAACGTTACATACTGTATGTGGTTGGTTTATTCAAAGTGTGTACAAGCTATTAAAACTTTTAAATTTTTCCCTCTAAAAAAGCTAGGATGATGATGTCATCTTTGGTATTAGTACGGTGGTACTATCGAGGGCAAGGTTATCAACAAATCGAGATAGGATGACTTAAACCAGGTCAAGTGCTGGAGGAACACTGCAGTGATGTGCTTGTCAATAAAGACGACACGATATATGCCAATTCAGAACTTGGACCGTTCCTTTGTTCAGACCATACATAGTGCGAATGTCATCCTTTACTGTATATTAAAATACTAGCTATCTCGCATGTAATTTAAATTGAAAGCATTACTACTCTATCTACCATCGTCATTATAATATTGACATCTTTATTAAATTTTGGAAAACTTGAATATGATTGGCATGATCTTTTACTTGTCTGCAAATACGACCATCATTTCTTGAGCCTCAGTACATATGTGAAGATGTTACCAAGTCTCGCGGATCAACATCCTTGTTGAATCACGCATCTATGGCATAGCGAATGCCTGAAATAACCGTTTGTTCATCCTGAAAGACAAAATCACCAGGTATCCTCAGATCCGTTAGTTGTCAGGCATGGCACCATACGATGACATACGAGTACCGTCCTTTATTCTTTTTTTTTGCACCATCGACTATGATACTTGGAAATTTTATGATATGATAGCGGTACTCATTACATGATATTTGACATAATAGTGCTACTGATACTATTTTAGTGGTTATGTACATGAGTATTAAAGAGAGAAAATAACAGCTTACCACCGTGAAAGTGCTAGATTATATGGTAGCTGATATATGTATTTCTACCGCTAAAAACATTAAATTATATAATGTGCATACGCTTTTATATGGTACTGCTGTAGTTTAAAACTCATGTAATTTATTAGAAGAATAATGACGGTGCGCTTTTCATTACATCCTTGTTGCTTCCTTGCGGTGCTTATAAATGAAAGAGTAAATACAATACTGTATGGGGAGGAGCGGAGTAAGTTTGGACGACTGAGTGCACTATGTGTGATGGTTGACAGTAGAGCCTCTTCTAGTCAATACAGACAGTATTGCTCTACAATAAATCTAGAACAATTGAACAAGTCCACATGAGCAGGTGCCTACGTTGTTCAGAGTGCTTTAGGTGCCCGTCTTGTTGATGAGGATCGACGGGCTACCGTGGACAGATACCCCGCCAACCTTCTTGGTAGACATGATATACAGTGCCCTAGCAATTTTGTCCCTTTGTGCCCGACTTCGCGTCGATGACTAGCACCGCGCGAAAAGTCCAATATCAAGGGCTTTTAAAAGACCTTGATATTTGTATATAAAGAGGCAAGGTGGGCCTCCACAGAAGGTGGGGGTTTTTGGAGATTGGATGCGGTAGTTATGCATGAAGTATTCTGTTTGTGTATGTAAATTTACTATATTGGTACAAAAAGTTCCCAGTATATGCAATAGCTGCAAGAACAGAACCTCATGTTAGTTACTCAACTACTACATCAGATGAAGCACTCCGAGTGTATGCTTTGGCTACCAAGAGAAGTCTTTTATGAGTTTTCTTTCACATACACCAGTATGCACCATTCGATTATCTAAAAAATGACAGGTCTCGCACTACCACTGTTCTGCATCATCTTCATTAATCCCCCTACAAACCCTTGCATCAAAAGATCATATGTACTTTCTATAGTGCTGTCTTACAAACATATACAGAGTAGCCAAAAATGCCGCTCTTGTATACATAATTGATATCATGCTGAAACCAATTGGATCTAAAAAAGGATGTTATGATGCATTTTATATATACAAACATTCTCATCGCGTATTACAAGGCAGCACATGTTTTACGATGCTGATTGAATGTGTTTATCTTTCATACTGTTGTAATTGACGATTGCAATCAAGATGAGGTTCATAAAAGTAAAAGTATGGTAATAAAGTTGCACAATATAGAATGCGTTGAGGGAGTAATCAATGGTCTCAGTTGATCCTCTTTTCTGCATATATACTTAGACTGCTTCCATGCATTATTTCTTAAACTTCCTTTTTTTCTGCATGGCCTGTTACTTTTCACTATGGTCATGGCTTTTGCACAGGCCACTACTTTCTACAACGCTTTAATATTCAGTACTAAGGGAACGCCAAGTGGATACAGCTTCGTCATGCCTTCATAACCTCAGGTGTAAGGTGGTAGGTAAAGTTGGTGTACAGAAAGATGGATGAAGTATCAGTCAGTGGAATTGACGTGCTACTTGCATAATCTGTTACAAATGTTTGTATTGGATTTTGTGAGTATGCATGTGATGAGTACTTTTTGAAAGTTTTTTTATTTGGTTCACTGAAATACCTTTCTCTTCCTCCTCCTTCTTCGATTTTTACTTATGGTCCTATTGGAAGGTGATCCTCTTGGCTCTTATCCTTTCCTTACATTTCCTACGACCTATATTGCTAATACTAGTGCACGCCTTCACTATACCATTTCCTACAACAAAGTTCGTACTTTATGCCTTTTGAAGCTGCCGTCGCTGCCAAATGTTATATACTAGCTAGAAGAGTGTAAGTTTCTCTTTTTTTTAAGTATAACTATATATACCATTTATCCATAACCCTGACTACCTACAATGTACCATTCCTCTCACCGTGCCGTATGTATACTACGAACTTATTCATGCTTTGCTAATGTTTCCTAACGTGATGAAATGGAGTGCTACTATTATGGTTGACTCATATGGACGGTAAGGATCAAGGCCACATAGGTATGTATATCTTTGTTAGTGCTTTTTTCTTATGACATATAACGAGCTTCGTTATCTCCACACTACTGGTATATATCAAACTTCTCCTTTCGCGGCCGGTCTTAACTCCTTCATCCTGTGAATAATGCATTCTGGATTCTTCACTAACAATCTTCAATGTATCTTTTAGGTATGTCATCTTCAAAATCGTCTATGAACATCTCCTTCTGCACTGTTTTTGTTTTCACTTATAAATTGACTCAACATGCATCTTTCCATAGTAGGATCGCTGTCCTTTGCACTAGCTCTTTTCAACTACAGCCTTCCTTTTAAAATCATCACATAACGTAGACTTACATTTGATGACGTTCTTTAATGTTCTATAAAGCATAATCTTGTACTCGATTTTTTATACAAATATAATAATAAAGACGGTTGTGAACACCATAATAATATATATATTAGACCATGAATATAAAAACCAATAGCATGCTTTGTCCATTTACTATATGTGTAATATAAAGAACGAAAATATGCAATGCGTAATCCTTCTTTTTACGAACCTACTACAGAAGGCACCTGGTCCATATGCAATGTATGGTAAGACCGTTATCGACATCTACATGCATGATGTAATCAAATCATAAGCTTGGGGGACTATATGCATATAAAAATATCAAGGTGTAAAAAAACCTTAATATTTACTCGAAAAGCTGAATATCAAGGTGTTTGAAAACATCTTGATATTTTATAATAAAGCTGTATATCAAGATAATATCAAGCTTTTTTCTACCCCTTGATATTCCCCTGCAAGCCCAGTGTAGGATGTCCACAATATTTAATAATGGCACAAAATTTCGTTATAACTATATTAAATCATATTTACAATCAACAAAGCGTATACAGAAGTAATGCACCAGAGAAGATATATAAGAAGGGATGATTGTTGGTAGAATTAAGAAGTGCTGTTTGTGACGCGTTTCAAGTTGGCATATATAGTGTCGCCTTTCTTGACAAGTACATCACCGCTGTGCTCCTTGATCAGTAATTGAGTGAGCTCATCTTGCTCCTCAAGCAATTCCTAAGAAGACAGAATTTCAGTCTATCACATTCATTAACTTACTTCTGAAATAGCAGATGCATTTTTTACCTTCAATTTGAAAAGAAGTTCAAACACACGCTTTCATGTGTAACGACTTTGGTAGTTGCACAGGACGTCAGCAGATCGTAATTCAATAAAAGACCATTTGCCTGAAGGTAGTAGGCTAGTTGACAGTAACGTGATTTTATCACCGACGCATTGTACAGAGAGTATGGGGGACATCCAACTCCAATTAGATATTAGATAATACTATTGGCTGTAAGAAATCTATTGGCTATAAAAATCCAAATTATACAAAAAATTGAATTTTGTGTATATATAAAAATAATTGGTAAGAAAGGAATGCCAGGTATGAATTCACATTATGTTATATACCAGTTGAAGAAAATGCTGTAAATAGTACTGAATTTATAGCAAGATAATGAATATAGGTTTCGAGAGCATTTAATAGAAATGTTATCAGAAAACTATTAATTTATACTAAGAAATAAATTTCAAACTCAATTACTTTTTTGACAAAAATTGAATTTTTGTATTTGAAAAAAGAAATTGTTTCAAAGATTCAA